TCAGAGTCTGTCGAGTCTGGGTCAGGCATTGGAAGGGGAGAGAAAGGGAGATTGGCTAAGCGGAGTGGCGAGTGAGTGCGATCTGGTCAGGTTTATTGGGCCCATGATGACCGCAAACACGTTGGGGGGGTTGTCGGGGGAGCGAGCCAGAGAGTCTCTCGGGGTCTTGTCGCCCACTCGCTGTGGCAGAGAGCAGAGACTGAACAAAGACGAGTGCCCGTTCAAAAGGAAAACAACTCAACAGCCACACTCACGTCAGCACCCGCCACTCCTCCCGGCACTCGGCCCTGCCCCCTCCGTCCTCACTCGTCCCTTTCAAACCCCGACCTAACACCATCAGGCAAACAGACTCGAACTACCTCATATCCGATCCACCCTGCACCCTCCGCTTCATTCGCAGTCCTCCTACACTGCCGTCACCACCAACTTCTTAGCTCACTTAATATTCACAGACTCAGAGTGATCACGAAACATCTCAAACTAGTCTTGTCTTACCCTTCGCTCATACTACTTCCTATATTTACCAACGAATGGCAATATAACCTGACTCGCAGCTCCATGGGAAATACCCTACCCTGCACAGTCCCACACACTTTATCCAAACACGGCGCTGATCAGAATCCAACTGGTACATCACAGTGCCTCTAGGCTCAATCAAATTCCCTACAACAGACATCTCGCATGCTCACCGTAAGAAAAGCGCTATGAGCATCCACCATCAGCTAGGCTGTTCTGCAACAAAAATACCGCTGACCGCAAATATGTACGGGCACGGAAATAGCCGGCACATGTACAGTTTATCAACATCAAGGTTCAGTGGCTGACTTACGTAACCTGAGAGCCCTCTACGCCTTGCTGACCACATTGGCCCCCACATCGACCACTCCCTCAAGAACAAGGTAAGAAAGGCGCATACACCCACCCATCGCCCTCTGCATCGTCCAGCTCACCCCTCCTTTGTCGCAGACAGACGCCATGGTCAACCTCCGTTCACAAAAGCGGCTCGCCGCATCCGTCGCTGGCGTCGGCAAGCGCAAAATTTGGCTCGACCCCTCCGAACAGGCAGAGATCGGTAACGCCAACTCGCGCTCGCACGTCAAGAAACTCATCAAAGATGGACGGGTCATCGTCAAACCCACCATCATACATTCCCGTGCACGCACGCGCGATCTCCTCGCTGCCAAACGCAAGGGTCGTCACACTGGGCCTGGTAAAAGAAAGGGTACCGCTGAGGCCAGAATGCCCACAAAGGTCCAGTGGATGCGGAGACAACGGGTCTTGCGCCGCCTGTTGAGAAAGTACAGAGAGGCAGGCAAGATTGACAAGCACTTGTGAGTCGTCCTTTTGGGTGTCCTCCTTTTTTCGTTATCGCACGGGTCGTCTTATCACCTTGAATTCCATCATAGGTACCACTCCCTCTACCAAAAATCGAAGGGTAATGTTTTCAAGAACAAGCGTGTGCTCATGGAGTACATCCACAAGGCCAAGGCCGAGAAGAACCGTACCAAGGTCCTCAGCGACCAGATGGAGGCTCGCCGTGTCAAGAACAAGGTAAACATCCCATTCTCTGTTGACGCATGTCCACATCACTCATGTCCTCTTCCCAGGCTGCTCGCCAACGTCGGGCAGAGCGTGTCGCCGAGAAGCGACAGGGATTCTTGGCTGTCGAGCAGGAAGCACCAGTCAAGGAGTAAATGGTCAAGCAGTGTTAATGATTTCCGCTCGGTCCCTTGCTCTTTGTATCCCATATGCTATGCATGCATGCTCCCACTTATACACTACGCCAGGTTTCATCATGCAACATCTCATCTGTATTTCTTTCTCTAACCCTAAGGATTGAGGTTACGCAACGAATTCGCTATGAAACGAGACGTTATTTTGATGATTCCTTGATCAGAGTTAAGAAGTTGATCTGTTGTCATGGCTGATAATCACAATGATGGCAAAGCACCATGAAAGATGTGCTAATTTACAACAAGACATGTGCCAGATCCATGCACATGTTCTTCACTCCACGCTCCTTTGCAACCACTTCAACCGCCTCCCTGGTCACGATGACCACCTCACTGCCCTCCTCTCCGCTGCCCGTTTGCCGTCGCACCAGCAGGCCGCACTCGTTCAGCGCGAACGCAGCGTCTTCCACCCGTAAGTTGGTCGCCTGTGCGATATCAGCCAGCGTGCACTTGACCACCACATGACTCGTCGCGCTCCCATCCGGGTTCGCCACCGTCTTGATCGTACGCAGCTTAGCCATCGAATCTTCCAAAATCAGTCAGTCCGTCAGTAAGTCTCGGGCGAGCCTAACCGCGTTGTGTGACACAGCTAGCAGACAGACCTTCTCGCACGCCGTTCGGCGCAGCCGCCCCACCCCCCACATCCGCCATCTCGCCGTCCCACCCCTTGAGCCTCTTCCTCCTCGCCCTGCTCCCCTCCTCGTCCTCCCCCCCAGCTGCCGAGGGCGAGGGCAGCACCGAAACATCCGAAACCCTGCCAATCGAATTAATCTGGCTGACATCTGCAGGCAGAACCGATAGCAGCCGCCTGTATGGGGAAACAAGCCGAAAGCCACGACGTCGGTCGTCTGTCACCCTGATTTTGGCGCGGGGCGGGGAAGGGGAGGGGGGGGGGGGAGGGGTACGTACCGGAAGAAGCGGATGAGGGTGGAGACCCAGTAGGTGAGGTAGCTGCGGAGGCCGAGGTCGGAGAGGGGTCGTTCGGGGGTGCCTATTCTGCCGCTGCGGCGGGAGAGCTCGTAGCCTTACGTGTGGGGTTTATGTGAGCGGCAGAAAAGGGAAGGGAAGGGGAGGGGGTGGAGAAAAGGGACGCACTGAACTCGATCATGAGCATCCCATAGCCTTTGCGCTGATATGGGGGCAGGACGATGATGCAGGCTAGGTTATAGTCATCATAGGATATCTTCTCCTGTTGAGAGCATATCCTGATAAGCGGTTCCGATATCGAGGTGGGGGTACCTGCCGAGGCGTACCTTTGAGAAAAAGCCAAGGACGTAGTCCCTTTGCGAATCCGCGTCCGTTAGGAGGTAAAATAGGACTGGAAAGATAACGTCATTTGAGGAGGAGCGTTAGTTATCTTTGGGTGTCTTGCTTACAGTTATCGCAATCAAAAAAGAGCGTTTTTACATCTATGAAGAGCTTTCCGAAGAGTGATAGATTTTGGCAATACAACTTGGGGACGTACATCAGACATATGATAGTACCTATTAGGCTACGGACTTCACTCACCTTATCCTTTGCACCGTCCACCTCCCATATAGTATGTGCCCCGCGTTGATACACCTTCCTTCCGGGAGGATGCCGTCTAGTACATTTTTTCTGATGCCCCGATGAAACACATGAAACGATGTGAAGAGGGTCAAACGCACGACGTGTAGCTCCCATGATGCCCCTTCGGACATGTACTTGAAGCAACGATCGCACACCCACAAGATAGACCTCTCTCCTGCTAGATGGGCACGTCCCAGTCCGCCGGCGAGTAGGTCTGACGTGCGGCCGTGCGAACGCAATGTGGCCCTATTCACTCCAGGAATCTTGGCGGGCTGCGCGGACGACGCAGCTTGAGGCGTTCCGCCCTCCTCAGCTTCCGATTCCGTCAGTGGATACGGAGAGAAATACCTATAAAAAAAGGACTGTCAGAGCAGATATGCAATAGCACGAAAACAACATCGACAGACCATGTTTTGATCTGCCAATGTCCGAAATTGACTTTATCAAAGTTGCGCTGGGCGGTGATTTGCTTGTGGTGCTGTATGTCGAATTCTTCCTCTGTCATGAGCGCGTCGTCCTGCGGGGTGTGGGGGACGGCGATGTCGGCGAGCGTGCTGGCGATTTCTGATGAGATACTGGGTCGGGGAGATGCAGAAGGAGACTCTGGGTTGACGTAGTCCCGTTCTCGCTTCAGACTGCCCTGGCCCATCATGACAGCATGGGCGTGTTCTGACCCAACGCCCTCTTCTGACACGAGCTTCAGCTCTGACTCCGGCACCCATTCATCCAGCCTCTTGTCCGTATTTTCATAGTGGACGTAGACATGGCCGTCAGCGCGACGCTGGAGGATAGTGGTGATGTCTGTTGAATATCATTAATGGTATAGGAGAGTGGGGGTGTTTGGGCGGCTCACGGTCGATACCATTCTTCTGCGTGACATACACCTCTCTGCTTGCGTCTCTGGACAGAGGTGGGACCATCCCTGTGATTGTCGCCAGTGCTGCTTAGATGCGGTCGTCGTGAGACGTCGACTGACAGTGGTGGATGGCGTTGCAAGCCAATTCAAGAATGTCCGTTCATAAAGGTTCAGAGACTCGGATCCTCACAAACATAGTAGGTCACATCTGTCGCCGAGTCAATGCTCAGCGCAACACCAACGTCGTCGACATGTACCTTCGTCACGGGCTGGACTCGTGCTCAGCATCAAAATAAATGCATGCAATAAACAATGTAAGTAAAGCCATCTGTCTTCTGGGCTAGAACTCGCTCTAATATGTAAGGTGGTCAGGTGTTCCGAATCTCCCTGCAATGCGGCCCTCTTTCAACTTCACAAAACGTTGCCAGCATTGTCTATTCATGGCGGCATAGCTCATGTTATGTATAACACATTCTTCAGCTTTCGTAGGTGTGTGTTATTTATGTCAAGACAAGTTTGCAGGATAACTAAGTACATACTCTAATGTCCACTTTTGTCCGATGCAGCTGCCCCGATCATCGTCACTGAAGCTTTCCTGCCCACTCCATCCCCTCGGAGTCATTATTGTACCACTTTCACAGACGACATGCGACCTGTTACGGCGAAAACTCGGTCCTGCAGGTGTCGTCGAGGAGCACTACGCTTTGCCGAGTTATTTCAGGCACCCTCACACTACTATCGATCTCCCTCACAGACCTCCTCAGAATCGTTGTTCCCCATATTTCAGTGGGAATAGAGAGTATTTCTGCTTCTGCGGGGCTCCGAGGACATCTCGTGACGTTTCTCATTACAACATGTTTTCAACACGTGAACATGACATTCTCGGTGAGTGGTCGGACATGGACCAAAATATGACTACCATTAAGTGGTCATATAAGCTACAGAATGTCGTTGGGCATTGGCTCAAGCCTCGTATTCGCCATGAAGCTCTTGCCAATGGTTTCCCTCGGTCTGGCAGCAGTGCCTGCTGTCCTCAGCCAGGCCCTGAATGACCCGCTCGTTCGCAACACGACTTCTGGAATGATTCGCGGATATTTGGACACGAATACCACGTCTGTCGATCTCTACAAGTGGTATGGTGTTCCTTTTGCCGCTACGACGGGCGGACAGAACAGGTGGCTGCCCCCGCAAACCCTTGAGTATGCCGATGGGATCACGAACACCACCGTGTTCGGCGCGGCATGTATGCAAGGCATATACAACGCTGGGAATGGGACACAGAACCAGAGCGAGGACTGTTTGTTCATCAACATCGTTGCCCCTGTAGGAGCGACGAATCTTCCCGTCTATGTGTATTCATTGTACGTTATTGGGATTGTTTTTAATTCCCTATCACATCTTACACAATCGCAGTGGTGGAGGGTTCGACAGTAATGCTGCGTCGGACCCCAAAATAGACGGGTCTTGGCTTGCAGCAAGAGACATCGTATATGTCAGCTACAACTACCGATTGGCATTATGGGCATTCCCCAGCTCTATTGAAATTGCGGAGGCCGGCCAGACACAAAACTTGGCTTTGCTAGACACACGTGCAGCAGTCGAGTGGACGGTAGCCAACATCGCGACCTTCGGTGGTGACCCTACCAAGATCACCCTTGGCGGTAAGAATTTCCTCTCGATTAGCAAGGACGCCTTCTCATAGCTAGTTTATAGGTGAATCGGTGGGCGCAGGTTGGTATTGCCAAGATGAATGCGTTGTTATGGGTGTTGACGATCCTTAATAGAAATGACGAACATGTACCTGACGGCATGGCCCGAAGATCCCCTCATTCGTGGTGCCGTTATGCAAAGTTCTGATAGTGAGTGATGCGTACTCTACGTAAAGCATTTTCCTGACATGACCATCTTGACTAGCGTCGCAGCCCATGTATCCCCTTGGGCAGCAATTGTCCATAATCGCTCAGAACGTATCTTGCCCCGCACAACCTCCCGGGCAGCTTGATTGCCTCCGACAGGTGGATCCCTTCACCCTCCAGTCCGTCCTTATCGCCACTGGCGCCCAGTTCCAGCCTGTGATTGATAACATCACCGTCTTCCAAGATTATGTCCGGATAACGATTACTGGTCAAACAGCCAAGGTTCCGTTGCTTATTGGTAACAATAAGGTACGCTGATGCAGTACCGGTGTCTTATTTCTCTGATTTTTGTGACTGCAGAACGAAGGACAAACGATTGTGAATGGGGAACCTACGTCATACACGAATGAGTCCGCATACATGTAAGAGATATGTAACAGCACATTCGTTCGTATATTCTGACAAGGTCCTAGAATGAGCAACAATTTCAACTTCCCAATGTCCAACGTTCCTCAGGTTCTCAGCATGTATCCTTCCCCATCTCCGGAATATCCTTCCATCATCAACGCTACTAGTGCTATGTGGCGTGATGCACACATGATCTGTCTATCAAGCAATCTCGCTTTGTGGCGCACACAACTGCTACAACTGCCAGTTTGGCGATATGAATTCGCACTCGTGGCGGACAACTTGAATGCCGAGGGAGCTTCGATAGGAACGTTCCACGGTAAGTCCCGCATAGCTTCAGTTGGAACCATGCAACTGACCTAACTAGGCGAGGATATCCAATTCGTCATGGGGTTTGTTATTCGTCGTGCACACAATGGCTCATAACGGCTGATTATTCTACCAGAACTCTATACACTATAGCAGACCAAGCTCCCTACATTCCGGCTACACCATTTGAGTGGAACGTGTCCGACTATATGGTTACTGCCTGGACCAACTTCGTCAAGGGTAAGAACTCAGTTTTGAAATCAGCGGTTTTGACGATTCTCAATCTCCGTGTGTCCAGACCCTACCTTGGGGCCACGTATTGAAGGATGGAATCAGTACAACCCTGCGGATCCAACTTCGCTCGCAGTATTGGGCATATCTGAGACTGGCGCCATTCCTGGAAATTCCAGCGCCAGGGACCACACTTGCCAGTACTGGAACCAGATCCTACCTCTGTTCCCACGAGTATGTCCTTGCAATCAATGGTTGGTTTGTGGAGGACTAACGCGTGTTTTTAGACTTACCCCGACTGTGGAACTTGGACTTGCTCGGACTAGAGGCGGTGGTCTGTTCAACGAGTTACGACGAACTTTCATGGCTATTGGTGTCTTCATTTTACAAAAATTTATAGACATAGCTCGGTTTTGACGATAACCACGTAGAGTAGCGAAAATGGGTTACGAATCAACGATGCCATTTCTTTTTGATCATTTCTTGTGTGTGAAGAAGAAAGCTTGAGGTGCAACATACAACTTGACCAGCACAAAGCGTAGCATACTCGTGTACAGTTACAGTCTACATTGCCTGACCTACATCGCACGCTGTCTTGCTATATGTACACGAGCAAGAAACACCTGTGACCAGATAATCTTCCCCGCTAGGTTTGGGGTAGACGTTCCGGAGAACAAGTATAGACCAGGCCACTTCTGCACCACTGCAGTGACGAAGGCGTCGTCGAAACATTTTGATGCGTCAAGGATAGTGAAGCGAGTGAAAGCGCTGGTATCGATATTAAGGTTGGTCCAAGAAACAAACACGACGAAGTACGAGTCCGAGATAACGGCTTACGCTGCACGATCGAGAAACCTGGTAGAATGAACATCCACCAGATTATTGAGCTAGTGACCGATGATCAAAGTTTTGGTAGCTGTTAGCGATGACCTCTCCAATGCCTTTGGGGTTAAAAACACTAGGCTTCAAGTTGACGAGACAGACTCCAGAGTCACGACGGGCGGGAGTCAACAGGGCAGATGCTACGAGGATAATAGCGGAGACGAAAGATCTCTTATTATGTTCAATGGAGTGGAGACTACTATTAGAGAGAGAGCTAGTAAGACTCTTGTGTTTTGGCTAGGTGTATAAATGAAAATCCGTACTGGTATGACATTTTGGTGATATGGATAGCACATGTCCAGATCGTGATTATATTATGACACACAATTTTGTAGCGATATGAAAGTGAAGATTGGCAATCAACGAAGAAGGGAAGAACAGCTTGGAATATAGTCTGACCGAGAATTATTCGGCTCGAGCTCCCATTTGTAACGTAGCTGAGGGGCCATGCGTTTAAAATTCTTCATGAGCAAGGAAATCTGTCGTATCAGTAAGTTTGCAGACGGTGGGCCATGTGTGTCTGGTGCTGTCCATGTACTCAAATCGATCGACGTCGTGCTTCGCATGATATTTTCCGTACCACTGATGAGGTGTACATGTTACTGGCATGGATATACCCACTCCGCTGATCGAAGTAACAGTTGCCATGGACTGCTCTACGCGTTGGGTATTTTCTACTCAGCCTTTCATTGCGATGGATCATGAACGAGTGGTTAATCAGTAATGGCGCCTGCAGCAGAAACTAGCGGTAATCTCATTAGAATAAAAGATGCGCACTGTATCCCTTGCATGACCACACTTGTCCGTCTTCGACTCGAACTATGAGATACTTTGCGCTTGCCACCGTGGCTGCCTTTTTGGTTGCTCTTTCGGCATCAGCCTCTCCTACTCGTCGTGACTCAGGGGGACGTCTCGTAGATCACCTATACCCTCCAAAATGCTTCTGGTGAAGTCCTAACAGTTGGTGAGTGATCAACAACAAATAGCCCGACCTATATTGTTGACGCCCACGTTGCGTCCCCGCAATTCTTGCACACTTGCAGGTATTCTCGATCATTTCCATGATAGCGAACCGAGTTATGTTCCTATTAGCAGTGTGAGTCATCTCACCTCGTAGTTTAGCTTTGAACAGGCATAACCCGGCTTTGACCAGGCCAACATCAATATATCCACCATTCATGCAGCTGCGTACACTTGTTCTATAATCCCCGACGCTTCGAAGGGCTTCGACGATGCGTTCGTTACGGCAGTGGTTGAACAGTGGCCGGGAATATACCTTTACTCGAACACGAACACGCCTAGCACGGGAGAGGACGGTGATTTCCTAGTGACAAGTGATTCTTGCTCGTGAATGAGAAGAGGGGATGCGATAACTATGTCACTACCGCAGACTTGACTTGATCTGCATAACTATGTATACGCAAAAGAACATACAAGGAAAGAAGGAAAGAAGATTATGAGTGGGTACTAGTAAGCACGTGATCCCCGCGTCGTGTTCTAACTGAAGCGCGTCGGGCCTCCTTTCGCCTTTCACAGAGCCTCATGCTCGTTCCACACAGTCTTGTTACACTCCTCGAGAACAAAGTCTACGAAAACTAGAAACCATTTAATATTTCTTCTTCATTCAAGCACTCTACGCCTCTCCTACAGTCGTTGCGTATATTTTCCTTGGTCTTGCCGCATCGATTTTCACTGAAAGTATCTTTCTCATGGCAGCTCCTGCGACGGCCACAGTGGCAGGCTACACTATATAAAGGCCAGTAAATAACGATGTCGAATATTATAACATTGACCCCTACCCAACTCCACTTCTTCCAGCCAGTTCCAAGCAATACCTGGTAAGCCAATAACATCGACTTTCCCCACCACCCTCTATCTAACGACCGCCGTCACACCCAAATAGAAAATGTCTAATGACAAAAAGACCCCCTCTCAATTGATGGTCCCAGCACCCTACACCCCTACTCTACCAAACGAGCTGTGGGTACAGTGCTGGAAGGATTGCAAGTCCGAGGAGCTTCAGAAGCTATCCACCGTTTCCCGCTTATTCCGTGAAATATGCAGCCCTCTCTTCTTTCACGACCAAATATTCGAAGCTCCGTCGTTGATATACATTCAACACGACCAAGAAGAGTGTCAGGTACAAACAGATCGTCTACGTCATTTTTCTGATTTTGTTTGCAATCCGCAAACATTAAGGGAGTTTCCACCAGCGAAAATGGTTCGAACATGGCAATTCCGTGGCGGAATTTTCCATGACTACTCCGAAATTATATTTATCCAACAATTCGAAAGGGCTTACGACGGTGCTCGCAGGGCTTTCATTGCATCTCTACATCATTACTCGAACCTCCACGAGCTCTCTTTATCCGACATTCACATCGACAGCACGGTAAGCACCGCGCTGGAAAAAGTGCCCATCGAGGTATTGCAATTGAGGGACTGCGTTATATCTAAAACCGAAGGCTCCTTATTGGCTTTAAAATCGTTAACACTCGACAATTGTAGCGGAGGAACCTCCCAACCGTCAAGCGTAAAGCTTTTTTCCTTCGAAAATCTTACTAGCCTATCAGTTTCAGGCTGCAGTTTCGCGAACAATATTATCAGGCTACATTCGTTCGCTCCCTGGCCATCCAAAAGCATCCTGACGTGTCTCAAGGTCACTGTCTCGGTCGATATCACACGATTGATTTCGCTTTTGAAGATATCTCCTTGTATAGAAGATCTCGAGGTACAAGAACTTGACACTCCTCTGGATGATCGAGTCCCTCTTCTGTCAGCAGATATCATCCCTAGGCTCAAAGAATTCAAGGGACCTGCTTATTTGGGTCGACTACTAGTTCCCGGGCGCCCAGTAGGAGTTGTCTATCTGAACCACAGCCACATCCAGCGGAAGAATTACGGTTCCAGAGTATACACTCTGGAGTATATTCTGTCTGTCTTACAAGAAATCCTGCATTCCACTGCCACGATTCGCACGCTGGGCATTCCTAGGACTTGTCCTTCCCAGAGGCTCTTTGTTGACATTCTCTTGCATTTTCCCCACTTGCAAGTCCTGGATGTTACCATCGAAGACCCATTGATTCCCCGCCCTAATGCTGAACTGAGCTCTCCGAGATCCAAAGACTTGACGACCGAGTCAAATGATGCTGCTGCGAGTGTCGACGAAACAGATTCATTTGTTGTACGTATTCTGAACTTTTGACTGTCCGATATCGCAACTTAAGCTTTTTTCAGGGTATTTTGAATTGGATCACTTCGGAACCCGCAGTTCTTCCTGCTGGTACTGAGGAATTCTCGTTGCGTCAGGCAGGAGAATCTAGTACAACGCAACGCACGATTCGATGCCTCAGCGAAAAAGAAGCAAACAAGGCTTGGGATACTTTGAAGTCTAAATATCCCTCTCTGACAATACTGAAGTTGGCGCACCACAAGATTGCGAGCCTATGAATTTCGGACTAAGATCGTGATAAAATAAGCGTTAAAAGGCGATGTGGACGTTCTGAAGATGTGGTTATCAAGAGTCTTATGATGGATGCAATGATAATGTCTCCCTAATATAAAAAGTAGAATAGACGCTAATTTCAAAACTGTATGAGAATAAAGATTTCAGTCAACACTCACGAAATCGAAGAGTGATAAATTTAACAATGAATCCGGCTATCACAGGGTGTGGTCCACTGCCGTAATTTGCTTTGGATATGTTTTTGCTCCATTCATCCTAGCTTTTCGACTACAAATCGCAACTGCAACTGCCAATCAACTCAGAAGCTTGGTTACAGGCTGGTATATCAGATCATCGCTATATCAGGACGGTGCTCTATCGTGGTTACCTGTTCACCCGGTCATTGGGCAGGCAGGCAGCGTGGATTTCGCCACTTGGCAGCACAAAAGCTATTCCGAGTCACCGCCATTGAACCAAGTATCTCATAATGTGCGATGAACGCTCAATAGCGGCGGGTTCTCCCTATCGAGTCAACCCGTGTGTAGACCTTGCCCAGTAATAAGGACAGACAGACCGCCAGCTTCCTTGCGAGTCACCACTCGCACGACCTCAAGGTAAGTAAACTTGGTTGGCACCGGTGTTAGTCTGCGTGAACCTTACTAATTATGCGCGTATTAAACCATTTCTGCAGGTTTTGGGAATAAGATGAGAAAAAGATACGGTCGTGCTGTGAGATTAACTCTATTAATGATAACGACGGTCCCGAACGCTCATGCAATGTCAATGTGTTCCGACTCTCTGTGAGCTTTTTGTGCTGTTTCTGCGCTGCTTCGTATTGGAACTTTACCGGTAGATGGATCCTCCGATGCTTGGGTACAACGCAGACGTTATCTCGCCGTGATGTCTTTGGTTCCTCGGACTCCACAAGGTCTTCGAACCCCACTACAGGGATCATTGTTGCTAGTGAGTCACTATCTAGCCTCCGTATTTCATCCATTGAACGACTTAAAAACACACAGTTGTCGTAGTATTAATCATTGCAATCTGTCTTGCCGTTGTGAGACATGTCCGTGGATCATCCACTCGAAGTCAAACATACAATGCTAATGGATATGCCAGACATTCGGGAGGACTTGCAGCACCTTCTTCACACCAAGCTTATGGACAGATGCAGCTCAACCGTCGCTCACATTGGATAGATCCGGATCAACCACTTCCGTTATATAACGCTCACATCTCCGAAGACCAAGTGGCCAGGCAGCCGCGACTGCCTTCGCCCTTTCCTCTTTATGTACCCTCAGAATCTCCGGTAGCCCCACCTTCAGCAATAGTGTCAGGAGTATCATCCGATATTCCTCCTCAATCGGTCCCACTCTACACGCCAACTGATCATCCGATAACCACACCCATGGGAAGTGTACAGGTGCAGAATACATCGAATAGCTTACCAAGTGTGCCACCACCAGCATATACGCCACTGTAATGTAACTTTACTATCTCTTTATCTGCACCGATGTGAAATTTATTATATCTGTGGTGCAATACACTTTTAACTACTTTTCAGGAAAAAGCGTACTACACAGTAACGTCTCTAGCCCCCCAAACACCTGCCCTCGCTGCAACGGTACGACAAGCACGGAAAATATAGTTAGTGCAACGCATTATGACTAGTGCGGCACTGGTCTTTTTTCACGCTGTCCAACGAAAGGACATTGCTGACGATAGAGGATATGTGCCATTTAATCGTTGAGAAGAAATCAAGAGTCAGTCTATTACAGTCACTGTGCTACATCCCTTCAGCAACACAGTGGATACGTCAACCAGATACCGAGAAGTGCTGCCTGAGGAGCTGAACATGGATTTGAAACACTATGATTTCTACTGGGGGGATCCGAGTCAGTGTTTCACCGATGTAAGAGTATCACGAATCTGTGTTTGAAGGTGAGTTCAGAACTGACAGCGTAAAGTTTCAGTTTGAAAACTTGTCAATGGTGGCATCATTGTATCTTTGTTGGTTTAATCTCCATAACGCAACTTGCATCCACGCAGCAACTACTACATGCATAGTAGTTTGGAAAAAAACAGTCAGCCCATCTATTCTGTCTGATGTCAGAAAACTGACTTACTCAGGAAAAATATGGTTGTAAGCCAGAGTGCACTGGGGAGACGATAGAAATCAGGTTTCAATCATGATTTGACGAACCGTGCTATGCCATCACAGGGGATCACCAACGTGGAAGATAGACATTGTACCAAGGCGAAGATAGTAGGTGTACGAACCCGATGAGCAATTGGACGGCATAACGCTAAAACGAGACTTGACCACACATTCCCTTCGCCTCCTCGACTACGTCCCGGAACGTCTTTGCGCCGTCGAAGGTCCACCATTCTCAAAGAGCGGTGTCCGTTACTTCCTCCGGATCTGGGGTGATATTCCTAGGCTGCAGGCGGTTGGAGTCACGACGATAGCTTCAGAAGGCGATCTTGGTGCTGAACGCGGACATGCCATGCAATACAGGGATCTTCAGGTAGGGGATGAGATCGATGAGTTGCCGGCGAAGCTGCTCGTCCGCCTCCTGGCACTTTGAGGAGAGGCGTGAATCGGCAGGCGACTTGACCTCAACTATGAAGACAGGTGTCGTTTCGACGTATGTGAGGAGGTGGAGGACGAATTGAACCGCCTCGCGTGATGCGACAGGAGGAATTTGAGGGACGGCTTCGAACATCGTATCAACGTGGAACGTGGTATTGAACAAACGGTTCCAAGATCCGTAAAACGGCTTCTCGGACGTTGCGCTGGCTGCTCCGGCAATGAAGAAGGAGAGCGCATGATGATTTCAGGCCGGGGGTCAGTGGGTGTCGTAGACTGCTGCATGGCAATGGGGGCTGTAACAATGCTGTCAGCAATGAAAACAAGCTACGAACTTCCTTGTAGGGGACAATGAACGGTGACAGTGTGACGGATGGATGGTGGTGATACAGTTGTGGATAATCAAACTCATACAATCTGGTCAGCGAGTTTTGTAGGCTGCAAATTACTTCGAAACATTCCTTTAACCTTATTTCCTACGTATTTAGGAGTCAATCAATGTATTTGCACGAGCCAATATTTTTATATCGACCTTGTAAGGTTTTTGATGGCTCAAAATTTGGCCACTCCCCTATAACGATCGCGAAAAATGATCAATCAACTCCTTTGTTGAGCTGAGAATGATTGTCATGGATCTATGCTAAATGATAATGGAGTCTGGGACGGTGGTGATGCAAATACGATACTTGAGAATGCATTCGACGGAGTATTGAACCCAATTATTTCCCGGTCACTTTTCCATAACTCAACTTGCATTCGCGTGACAAGTATTGCAAGCAGCGTAGCCTGCAGACTTTCCATTATTGTGGTGGGATTGAGTCAGTTGATATCTATCATCAGCAGTTGATTTGTACACACTTGGGGAAAATGTGGCCGTATGGACCCTGCATAAGCAAAGAGGAAGTCAACATCTCGAGAAGACAATGAATTGATCTGAACTGATGCTACCCACCTTGAATAATATGACGGTAATAGCACTAGCCATTGAGAGAACTGAGAATATTAGTGAGATGGGCACATAAGCAAGTTATACTATACGCACCCAGGCCGCAAGCAAAATATAAAATGTTATGTTGCACGAGGACTGGGATAAGTGGGCTCTTTCCACCACGATAGTAGGCTAAGGTGCGATATAGGCTTAAGATGCATATTTCTTCGGACCCCCGTGATTAGCCATGTCTCAGTTATGAGACTTTGCAAACGCACCTAGTTGAAAAAATACCAGAATAATAAAAACAACAGAGATCACGTAGTTTTTATTGGTCTGGTAACATGCTGTGATGGTGGGTGCCGGGGACGGACTGACTAGACCAAGCGTGCATTAGTAAATCAGATTAATTTGTAGTAAACATAAATACAATCTGCAGTGACTTCAAAAATGCTGTACGTCACGATGGTTGATGTTACAAGAGCCTACATAGTATCTTAGTATCTAAACTGTTAATTTGTTGGGCGCGCTACAGCGCAACGTGTACTTACGCAGAGACCGTAGAATAATAGTGCCTGTATTCTCTTGCTGCTTTCCCACAACACGTCTGTCCGTATTACAAATATGACTGTAGTCCATTTCTAGTCAGTGTATACAGTGAGCAGGAAAACATGTAACACACGTTCAGTGATACACAATAAGGATGCTTCAAGGGCTGGATTATAGTTATATTAGTCTGGTTATTTTGCGACTACCAAGACAACTTACATGATTCTATTCGATTAAATAATATACACGTCTGGGATAAGTAGTTGAAATCAGTGCGTGCGAGAGTCATAATCATGGACCTACTTCAGGCTCGAAGTGTATATTGAGTGTTCCTAAGAAAGTTTTGGACGATTTTAGTTGGTTTAGATGAAAAGGAATGACAAACACTCACTGCACATACGAATAGTGGCCATCACAAAGGGCACATATCGAGCAAACAAATATGCGACCTGTGCTTTACTGCATCTCAAATTACGGATATACATGATCTATTGGTGACAGGTAAGGTCCTTAAGGGAAAGCCTTCACTGTCAAAGCAAGCTTGTAAAACTCACCTCATCGTCTAATCTGATCACATAATCATATGCCTACAATTGCTCGTGAAAACATATAACAATATTATCAAAAGGTAAACGTACCAACAGTACACCTACAGAGACTTGATATCACCACAGAACATATATATCATATATATTAGGATATGGCTGAATTCAACACGGGTGAGTGGGATTACCTGTGACATACTAAGGATACACGAGTGAGATATGAAGTGCTACAACTAAGAAAGCAGGAGGATACTTACATTGCTGAGTTGTATACTGGAAGCTGTGGTAACCTCGTCGTCTGGGTATAGAAGTTGAGAGTACATTGGTTGATGAGGCAAACTGAACGGAGGTTTTCCCTGTCTCTTTATATAATTCACAGCAAGTTTACAACAAGATTCAACCCGAAAATGATTCATGAGGTCACTTCATTAAGACGCCCGGCAGGTTTTGTTGAAACCCCCACCGTGACGTTAATGCACACAAATTACTCTCGGCTAAAGCCTGGGGTACCCCTATATAGCGTTCAAGTTATGCTGTACCGTTGGCTGCGTACCTCTGCCAAAAGTGACAGGATATCCACCGTCGCAATGAAGCTAGTGAAAGCAATATTGTCTCCATACTGGGCATGGCTATCCTCAGGCTGGCCTGAGTTGGAGACGATATTTATTGAAGGGTGCTCCTGCCAGTGCCCAAGGTTGAATGTAGATGGCTATAAGTCCTGTAATACTGAAATCCCGGTGACGTTGAAAAACAAACTCTGGCAGTGCAAAAAATGGTCAAGAAATGAAGTTGACAGAATGCTTGAGGCTCAATTCAAAATGGCACTGTCGCGGTGATTATGTAAAGAATAGGCAAACCCCGGAATCTAAGTTTGTCAACTGAATAACTCAAACAAATTTATCGAATTGAATTTAGTCGTAGTAAATGTACACGATCATTGAAAGCTTGGAGGTCCTTGGACATCTTATTTGAATCATCTAATTCTGCTTTGGACAAATGCCCTGATGAACACCAGAGAACTATCAAACGGAGCCAAAATTCAGAGTCGAGAGCTTGGTCAGTATCACGGAGCTCAATCTGCATCCGAGAAACGATCACCGCATGAATCACAACCCGCATATTTTTTATACAGATTTAGAACGAGCGTTAGTACATCCGTACGTTAATAGCTTGGCTAAAGGTTTAAAGTGCTCGGCCGATGTCAACGCATTGGCGAGAATAGACACTCACTTTACAGCAAAGGACCATCAAATGCATAATCCGCCATAAACAAGGTCTTGCATTCACCATTGTTATAGTCAGAGGGTGTAGGTCTCAATATCATGTATATTCGGATCAATAGAACTTCAATTTAATATCCAGGACTTTGGGTGTGGCTGCCTGGCTTTTAGCAATAACAGAGTTCATAAATGGCACTATCTATGATGTGTGTACGCGCCAAATCGAACGTTCATCCCAATAAAATAGATGCGGAAGCAGCGAGCACAACCGCGACAGCCACAGAAAACATCTTCACATCTACATTGGCACCAGCAGCACTGATATTAACGGGGGCGGGGGCGTTGGCGGTTGTGAGCGACGTGTTGGTGCCATTGGGAATAATGGTGGGCCCACCACCCGCTCCAGTACCCTCTGTGGGGGCAAGGTATGGAACATAATATTCAGGGTTTAGAGGTCCTGGAATGGTACCAGTAAGATTGAGTAGAGGCAAAGTCGTGACATTCTCGTTCTGGTATCCAGTGCCATTAGCGACGAAGGAGAAGACGTCTAGGATACGGTAAATTCGGTGCTGATGTTAGACGAGATTATTATGTTACTCACTCGAGACAGTCTTGTTGATATCTTGGCGACCAAGGTTGCCAAGGCTCCAGTTGTTCTCAACAGTACTTAACCTGTGGAACACGTCAAACATTGTTAATATTTCGAGTGTTTCGAGGTACTGACGTAGAGTAGTGGGTGTAAAATTGAGAATCGGTCGTGTTTCGGAGGGATTGTGGAATGACACCACCTAGAAGGACTGTGTAGACCTGGTTATTGATGGTGTACGTCTCATTTCTATCCAAACGGTCAGGATATCAAGTATGACATGGTGAAAAATGCTACTCACTCATCAAAAGTAAGAAGGATGAGGGTGCGGTCAGTGTTAAAGTTGGTGTCATTCAACAAGGGTAAGAGCCAGTAGCTTAACCAGTTGGCAGCATATGCAACAGTAGTATCGTGGCCATCACTGTCGTTGAAGTCAACTAACTGAACAATGATCTCAGGAGACACGCCTACTCTCGAAGGTTGGGGGTGATGAATGTCCATTGGGATATCGAGTTGTTACCAAGCTATACCAATTGCAGCAGTGAGAACCTTTCAACCTATTAAAGACATGAACTACTCACGTCAACAGCAAAGTCGTTGAAGTTGCGGATGCGTGCAGCACGTGTTGCATTGCCAGAGACGGTGTCGTAGATCACCAGCGGATTATGTTTGCGAACATAGTACGTATAGCCATCCGAGTTCGTGTAGTTGAATCCTTCATATCCATCAGTTGGCATATTCTCCTGGTATGAAGACCAACTGATCGCCTTTTGGTCAAGTAAGTCGACAACAGTGGATATATTGGTCGGAACGGCTTCGAAATTATCATCATATAAGCCCCAGAAGTCACCTCCTGCGGCGGCGAGGTAGTTGGGCTCGGAAGTGTGGGTGACACCATAGTAGCTGGTGAGAGTGATCCCTTGTTCCGAGAGCTGTTGAAAGACAGGCTGCGATGCGGCACTGGCGAAGTCTGTGTTCTCGAGCCAAATTTGAATGAATCGATCGAAGACTTTGCCAGGTACTAATGGTGTGTTCGTAATGGTAGAATTGGAAGCACCGACATAGAATGGACTGGTGTCGGTGGGCCTATAATGAATTAGTTGAGCTGCTTGAGCATCATATGCCTTAGAAACAAGATGAAAGAGCGTACGCAGCAGCAGGAGCTGTGAAGGTAGAGGCAACAGCGGCTGAGGCGCTTTTGACGAGCGCGCCAAGGACCACAATCGTAGGTACAAACATGGCCTTGTAAGATCACAGGAAGTAAGCCAACTACGGGGGGTGAATCAGGGCGAGATCAATAAAATTTGAGCCATATGCAGTATTTGTACTTACTGGCCAACGAATGCGATTTCGGAATTGACGCGGCCCATATGCATGATTTGTATGCCGAGTGCATATGTTGGACGGTTAATTGGTTGACGAACATGGAACGAGCGTCGGAATAGCCTGAAGAGAAAGGGGCACCGCCAATATGACCGCGGCCATGGCTATGCGCACGTGATCTGTCACGCGTGTGACAATTTAATAAGGCTTTTGGCGCACGTGCAGTCCAGAGAGGTCATTTGGATACCACCGCCGCATCGCTGCCTTCTCATTTGTTTTCATGGCAAACGTTCGTGCTCTTACCATCATTGCACTCTTATCCCACCCCTCGTATATGACTCATATGTCGCTGACCTTGGGAAGAAATATCTCGTTTCAAGCTTCTTGTGTGCCTTTCTGATATATGTCAAGCTCTGATGACTTGAAGAAGGTATCGGATTTCAATAACACACATGCAGATACTCGCGAACGAGTTCAAAGCACCCAAATATAAAACGAAGATTTACCCGTGCTATCTCCAGATCTTACCAAGATATTGCGAATACGCATACACAAGTGATCGCATACATAGCACACATTCTTCACATTTCATGAGAACTCCAGGGTGTCCCCGTGTTATTCCCCTTCATGTCTGAGAAACCGTTCATTAAGTCGAATGGCTCTGAATCTGCAAGCCATGACGATGCTGAGATCAAGGCGGCGTCCGAGGGTGCCCCAATAGCTCTTGGCAGTCCATCAAAGGACAGAGGTATGCATTTCACTTTGCTCCTGGCCTACAGCATACTCACACGCATATATTCAGTTCGGACTCGGCGCAGGATCTGTATTCTCAGCATCATCGCGTTTTTCGTTGTTATCTTGGCACTTGCTCTAGGTTTGGGCTTGGGATTAGGACTTCAACATCATTCCAGTGCCAACTACGTTACAACCAATTCATCGTTCTTGTTAAACTCTTCTTTCGTGATAACGAGCACACCGACGACAAGGTACTATGAATGGGCCGTAGGGGAGGCCACCGGATCACCTGATGATTTTCAACGAACAATGCTGGTTGTAAATAGTATGTTTTTAGTTACCGTTTACTGATCGATGGTTCTCAGTATTAATGTCTCAAAGATCAATTCCCTGGTCCACTTATTGAAGTGAACAGTGGAGATGAGCTTGTAGTCAATGTTTTCAACAAAATGTCGAACGGTACTACGATCCACTGGCACGGTCAAATCCAGAATGGAACTAACTATATGGACGGCACAAGCGGTATCACTCAATGTCCAATTCCACCTGGTATGAATTTCAGTGAGTGTGTTACCCATTTCATCTTACTGCTAATGTGCTAACCTTGTCTTGCCAGCATACAGGTTCACCATAGACCCAAATCAATACGGAACATTCTGGTGGCATGCACATGCCTCTACCCAGTACACCGATGGGATCTATGGCCCATTTATCATTCACTCTCCCAATGAACCTATAATAGATCAATATGATCGTGAAGCTGTCATCGTGCTGTCTGGTACGTACTTTTCACCAGATTTTTTTTTCGGATCTCTCGTGCCTGATGGTATCGCAATGGACAGACTGGTATCATGACATGTCATCAGGTTTACTCACCCAATATCTCAGTAACGCTGGTATCGATGGATCCAACTACGGCGGATTCAATCCCGGTGCCGAACCCGTTCCAGATAGCGGTCTCATCAACGGCCTCATGACAGGCTCATCTTTTATATTCGAGCCTAATCTACGATACCGACTACGCCTCATCAACGCAGGCTCACTCACTGAATTTGTGTTCAGCGTTGATGACCACGTACTTGACGTCGTCGAAGCAGACGGCACCAGCCTTGATGCTGTAAGCGTACACCGCGTCCCAATCAATGTCGCACAGCGTTACTCTGTCATCCTCACCACCAACCAAACATCTGGATCGTATAACGTCCGCGGCGAGATGCAGAGCGTATGCTATAAGCTCACAAATCCAAATTTGAACACCATGGTCCTCGGCACGATGACATATGGCGCAGAGCCATCAACCAACGTGACAACCCAAGACTGGTCTGACGCGTTTCCTCAGGACTGTGTCGATTTAAACTCTACCATGATAGTTCCCGCCCTTCCTTTGGCCGCTCCAAACAGCACACAAGACGTTTTAGTAACTATGTCTTTCCAGCAGACTGTTGACTCTGGAGGCCAACAAACACGCGCATTTATCAATAACACGAGCTGGCAACCGGACAGCTCAGATGCAACAGTATTACAGATGTCCTTAGGTGGTGCAACTACCTCCTTCGATTCAAATCAGCTCGTAGTAGTTAGTGATAATATAGGTGTCATCAATTTAGTGCTAAACAACCAAGACGACGCAAGCCATCCGTGAGTATCCTCTCACTTTCATCGCTGTAACGATCAGTCGTGACGCCATTCCTCGATTTGTGCAGATTTCATCTTCATGGACATGTCTTTTGGATCGTCGGAGAAGGCGCAGGTCTCTACGAGCCTGGTGTCTCTATCTATACTAGCAGCACTAATCCTCCACGGCGAGACACCCTTTCTGTGCCTGGGTACAGCTGGATCGCAATTCGGTTCTCAACCGACAATCCCGGACTATGGGCGTTCCATTGCCATATTGGTTGGCACATGGCCGCAGGACTGCTCATGCAGTTTGCAAGTCTACCAAGCGAAATACAGAAGTTTAACATCCCATCCTATGTAGGAGAGCAGTGCAAGAGTCAAAGCGGGGGATCACTTGTTGGATAGGTGATCTATATTACAGTCGTACTTTCCCAAAGCATATAGATACTAGTACATTCCAGCCGTTTGTGAGTCAATCAGGCCTGTTCTTCCGCATTCATACTGGGCAGTTAGTTTCAGATGCGGTACTATAATCCCAGCGCTTCTTTGACACTTATCCAGTGATGACCTTCCCAGAGCGCATTTGCGCTCGACGCCCGCTCAACATTATCCTCAGCAGCTACATTATCCCAGCCTGTGCTTACTTTACCCGCCTCGAAATTGCCCTGAAGGAACGCTTGCTTCGTGAAGTCGCCCTGGTCGTCAGGAAGCTTGTCCACATATTCAACTGATGCTTTATTCGCACTGGCATAGAGAGCTCCGATGGCATTGAGAGTTGTGCGTTCACCTTGGATGCGAAAGGATTTATCATGGAGGGCAGAGGGGGAGAGGGTGGTGAGGACATGAGCCACAAACCCTACCGATGTTGCCATTTCAATAAATGTGCGAAAGAAAAAGAAGACTATAGGCTGACCTGACACGTCTTCTAGTGAGGTAAATGACGCCGGTTTGTCACCTTTACCTGCAATGAGGAATTTGCCTATCTGAGGAACGCCAGCAAGCCATGGGACGAATTCCATCAACATTCCATTCTTGCATTATCACCATGTTAGTCTGGGCGTAATATGTATGATAATAAGAGAATGAATGAACTCACATATACACGTGTAGATGGGAGATTGATAGACTTCAAATACTCTAGTAACAACCGGTGTGTACACGTCCATGGGCAACGACATAATATGTAGACTCACCAGCAAAAAGTGATTTGATAATCAGATGTCCTTCCTTCCCGCCTTCGGTTACCATTCCATACTCACTAGGAACGAATAACGTTACCCCTGCTTCCTTCGCAGCATCTGCAAGAGGTCTTTGTGCTTCGAGTCCTCCGAAGGAGAAAGCAGATACAACGACTTGGACATTATGTGCTCGCAAAACTGAGGATACAGATGCGATGTCTGTGTAGTCGACTGAAGCGACTTGAGCGCCAGAAGGGTGTGTTTGTGGGGTCGCAGATGGAGCTGGGGACGCGGCGCTTCGGGAAAGACGAGTCAGGATTAGAACAGAGGCGTTACGAGCCAAGAGTGCCTGTGGATGAGAAACGATATGTCATTTCTAAAAGTAATATCAAACAGGGGTACAAACCTTAACGATACGCAGACCGATAGTGGGACCAGCACCTGCGACGGCGAAGGAGGTGTACCTGAAGTCAGCCATGTCAAGAGGTCAAGAAGCGAGATAAGAAGCTTGACTCGAAGTCTGACGGTTTTGCTGAGAAGCACTGGCACTGGCAAACACCGGCATATAAATGAACGTGGGTGAGCAGAGTAAGCAGGTGTACCTTCTTTTGTGGATGACCTCGTGGAGACTGGGGAGAAGAAGGTAAAAGGAGCTTGGCGAGGGCGCTTATGAGGAACTTAAGCAATAACACGGCAGCTTGTGCAAGATGGGCTTTTTGGATTTCCCGATTAGCCTGAACTACTAAGAGAAGGCATGTTGAAGATGAAGGCTGGGGCTGGTGGGGGTTGATACTTATTCATATATGATGAAGGAGTGCGTCTAGAGTGCCCCATAAAGGTTGATATAAAGCTCAAGATATTGTTCGCGAGAAATTGGCGGGCAGAATCAGTTTAAATGAACAGAATTGTAGATTGATTATATATCCATGCATGGATAGCTATCATTTATGACTCTAGCAAAAAAATTCAATAAAAGCCACAGTGATCAACTGGAAAAGAGGAACAGACGATACCACTTCATAATAGCTACTTCCACTGCTCCTGCTCTCTACCAGCATCGCTCAGTACCAGGGGTTTCACCACTTTATTCCAGTTTTCCTCCCAATTATTCCACTCCCAGCCCTCTACACCACCATGCATATCCAGGCCCAGATGTTGGGGGTTTGATGCACTAATTAGGGAAGATCGTAGTTTTGTTAGAGCAGGGGAAGAAGGGAAAGAGGCCAGGAGAGCCTGAAGGAATAAGTCAATTATGGAAAGCACGAACGAAGCATAGACAAACCTACCTCCATATGATCAGTCAGTTGCTGAGCATTCTTGAATACCAAACCATTCTGGCCATCTTTGACAAGCTCGTTGAGACTAAAAATTTCCTCGATCAAGGAGGGACTATCAAAGAAGGTGGCTGTCCGTACCAGGCAAAATCCAGTGCGCAGACAGGTAAACCACAACCAAACATATCTACAACCTTCATGGGGAGATCAAGAGCGGAGGAACTCGAGTGAAGACATATGCCAAGGTCAGCAGAACCTACGGAAAGTGAACTATCAATAAGTAAATATATTAAACGAGCCAAAGGCTTCATAAACACACCCAGTAGCAAAGGATAATCCCCAGCCTCGAGCCATAGGCTTGTACACCTTACCCATTTCCAGTCTTTTGACAGCCTACCGACTTCAGCCATGTACTTCTCCTTGAGTGGACCCTTTCCAGTGATTACCATCCATATACGAGGCAACTTCCTTGTGGAAACAGGTGTCTGGTTATCAGTGTTCTTGTCATTGAGCGCGCGCGCACGATTTTCGTAGAGCTTCAAAGCATCGAGAAGAATACTGAAATCTTCGTCAGGAGTCCATGAAGTGCTTGATATGAGAAGAGCGGGTCGATCAGGGCGAAGGGTTGGCATAGCTACGCGAGATGAGGTGGTCGGCGAGGTTGGGTTAAGCTGGTTCTTGGATGATCTTGTGTTCACGGTCTGCGTGAACGGTGTCGTATAAGGGGGAGATGCCTCTGGGAGGAAAGACTGAAGGAGAGGGACGGTCAAGGAAGAACCAAGTCGGAGAAAAAGCTAACATGTGCGATAGTCGAATCTATTTAGTGGTATCTCCACTGGCAGGAAAAGATCAACTTACCTCATGAACTTCTGGAGGCGAAGTCTTGTGAAAATGGGCTGGGGGACGGTCATGCAACACTGCCTTTTTCCCTCTTTACATATACAATGAGAATTGCAGGAAAACAAAATGGGAACTAACCTACTTTAGGTCCCACTTCTCTACGAGGTGATCGTGCATGGCTTGTGTCACGAATAAATGCGCATAAGCACTCTTCCCAAAAAAGGCTTCAAATCTAGCCGATATGAGCATTGGGAAAGGGTATGATATGCACGGGACTGACCTCTTGGCAACCTTGACGAAAATATGGTCCATTCCAAGTTTAAGTGCGAGTATGCTATAACCAAGGTTATGCCAGTCAATGATCACTTTGCTCCCCCGAGCGTGACCTACTATCCACACAATCGCCAGCGTCGGAATACTAGGTGGGTTCTTAGGTAATTCAACAATTAATGCAAACACGTTAATTGTAATTAGGTAGTAACTAACCTGGACCATGATGAACTCTGGAGGTCGTGCAATCTCAAAAGCGAGGACAGAAAATATGGTTGCTATTTGATGGATAATCTTGACTGGTGCTGCAATAATGAAGGGTATTTTCGTGACAAAAGAAGGGGGCTCTGCCAAGTAACGGAGATGAACATGAGGCGGCGAGGTCAACGATGGAATAGGTTTGGAACCTAAGAATAAAAGTTATTATCAACACATCTATCGTAGAGTCTGAGTTACACGACATACCACGGTATCCAATAAGAAAGGTGTCAAATTGGATCTTTGCGAAACTCTCAGCGTGATACATCATTCTAGGACTTCGACCAATATCACCCAAAACAAGGATTGCAACAGAGCGCAAAGCTGGGTATTTCTGACTTGTAGTCGTAACCCGCCATATTATCCAGGAAATGAGACATGCTGAGGATATGGAGAAACATAAGCCAAGTGCATAACTGCCAATGGTCATCGGGGACGGAGGAAAACGCAGGATGACTAAGCGAACGAAAGGAAATGAGCAGCTTTGTCAGATGCGGACATGGATCCCGGGTCTGCTCTTAACCACCATGTCCTCAAGAATTACATCCCGTTTGCTTAGAACATCAGCAAAACCAAAGGCTGTCACGAAACAGGATCTACATATATCGTTGCGGTCATGGTCCAGAAGTCTATCGTCCAGTTCACCACGGCCCGCTATGCACCAAGGGCCTACACTTGCTACCTCCTCGGGTATTCATGCACGGCAAGAAAGTCGTAGCCATAATCTGCATCCTCAGCTAAGTAAGCATTCTGGTTTCTGACGATAAATTATACCAGCCTTACATGGCTCTACAGGCCGATCCATGTTCATACAAACAGAAACCACTCCGAACGACGATTCTCTAAAGTTCATACCCGGAGTATCTGTAATGGGCGAAGGAACGGCTGAATTTCTTGACACTCGTTCTTCACTGTCTTCCCCTCTGGCTATTCGCTTGATGGGCGTTCAGGGTGTGAAAGCTGTCTTTTATGGGCCCGATTTTGTCACTGTGTCAAAAGACAGCGAGAATCCATGGGCCGTTCTAAAACCAGAAATATATTCTCTACTCATGGAGCATTTCTCTTCTGGTCAACCTTTATTCAGATCGCAGGAAGAGAGGGATGCAGCTGGACCACAGGACACCAAGATTCTGGACACCGACTCGGAGACAGTTGCTATGATTAAAGAATTACTAGAAACGAGAGTACGGCCAGCAATAATGGAGGACGGGGGAGATATTGAATACCGTGGGTTGTCTGATGAGGGGTTCGTCAAAATTAAGTTGAAAGGTAGCTGTCGAGGATGTGACTCCAGTACCGTGACATTGAAATCCGGTATCGAGAGAATGTTGATGCACTACATTCCCGAGGTTCAGGGCGTAGAACAGGTGGGTTCAGTTTCTCATGGATTTTGGGTTATTGTAACCATTTGATTTTGCATTCAGGTTTTAGATGAGGAGGAGGTAGTTGCATTGGACGAATTCGCAAAGCTAGAGCAGCGCCTAGCACAGAAAGAAGAATTGAAGAAAGAGTCTAAGTGAGCCTCTTCGGCCCTGTTTATGCAATATCACATTCCCCGTTGACCGTCTCGTTTGTGCACGTAGAATGGCAAAGTATATGTCTATTTGACGTAGTTGTATTATACCGCATACAACGAAGTTGGATCCTATTCAGCAGTTCACCGCACTTCATAAAGATGCCCAAAATTACATTTATTCGCGACATTTGTTCTCGGCAGTCTTTAATGTCTCATCCCGAGAGCTCAAGCGGCAGCCTTAAAAAGAAAATTTTCCGTAGTGACACATACTGTGAATGCCACCGCAGTGGGATCGCCTTGCGGCAGTAGCAATTCAAATTCGATTGGATGAACTTACGGTGCATAAATTCATGCGGTCACCACTGCAAGTTGTCAAAACATACAAGGAAACTTGCTGCTGTATTCTGTCGTGTCGTCAAACCTTCCATGTTGTGGGCTTGATTTGAGATGCATATATGGGCGCCGCTTCCCAATCTCTTCGGCTAATATACTAACACTTGATCAAGTAGGATGATGTTCGGTCGTGTAAAAAGAGAGGGAGAAAAAATACATGCTTTTATAGGACATTACAAAGGAGGTAGTTCGGGATGGCCACACAGCACAGCAAGGATGCGGTATGCAGATTCAAACTAATTACATTGGCCCCCTCTTGTTAACGGATATGTCGAACATTTATCAGATAATGCATAGCATTGTACTGGAACCGCTTGTCATGCATGACGACTGTCACCAATGCATACAGCTTACTGCTGTATCTTGCTTAGTGAACATTGTACGGGTCACTAAAGCGGAAGGTTGCTGTCTGTCGGTCTGAAGCTTTATCCCCAAGTGATGTGGGTATCCGCAAGTCCGAAGGGGCTGTCTCGTCCCCAAACTTGAAATGCCAAAAGTTTTTTTTTTCTCGAAGTCGTTATAAAAGGCGAATGAGTATCTATATGCCTGTATTGCTGACGAAAGCCATGGATTCTCAACTTGACCTTTCTGACATCGATGTTTTCAACATTCTTCAATCAGCGAACGTGAGTGGTCTGATTGGGTTCTAGTACATGTACCTCACTGACATATTCTTAGTACATGTCCGGTAATTTGTCTACTTTTCAATTACTTGCGGGTGCTTATGACCTGCTATCTGGATTCTTGTGACCATATAGTTTGCATGGCTACACTTTTAGTAGGTTTATGTTTATTTGTGTTGGATGGAATTCGCCGCAGACATACGATTATATCCTTAGACTCGACGACGAAGTACATTTCACAATCATGCTTCGACGTGCTGTTCTAAGGTATTTTTGATAGATTACCTATATCCGCAACTCGGGAAGGAGTAAATTAAAACTCATATACTTCTTTACCCGCTATGTGTCTTTTGTCATGCCGACTATCCGATTGTTTAGTAAGTTCTCCGTCTCTTTAAGTGCCATTCGCTAAATTCAGAACGCTACCCTCTTAGAATTAATAAGCGTCCACTACGGGCCTGAGGTAGGTCCATGACATTTATGCACAGATATCCCATAGTCTCAAGTTTCACAGGATTGTCTATTGTTTTGGCTGTTGGAAATGTGTAAGTTGCAACTCTTTGGGAGACCACTGAGGTACTATGCAGCTTTCTAGGGCCAGCACTATCCATATCATTATGCTCTGAATGTATTCCGTTGTCTTATTCACACTTTCACCAGCTGCTAATTGGTAGCGGCGCAGTTATTTTCGCCATGCGAACGTATGCTCTATGGGAACGCAGCAAGAAGATATTGGCAGTATTGTTACTCAGTCTCGCTGTGAGTGCGCTGTGCATTACGGTGCGCATTTATCGACTAAGATTATAGTTAGGGTCTTACGATATTTGTCGTTGTGCTGATCGTTAAAATGTGGTCCACTATATCATGTACCCCATTCCACGCTCAACAGGCCTTATCTTATATGCTGATGCGAAATTGATTTAGTTTCTCCATCTTTTGCACCATCTATCATGATGTGCTATCTGACTGCAGACGATGGTGAAAAGGTATTTCTCGCTTTTTTGGCTTTATTTCTTTTCGAACTGGGTACGTCTGTGCTTTGGTACTACTAAGTGGACAGTATCGGCTGACCCGGAATGTGAAGAAATACTAGGTTTCAGCACGTATCGTGCTTATACGTATCACCGCTATGGCATGGGCGAGAATCGACTCGCCTTAGTTATGATGCAACACAACGTTTGGTATTTTGCTTTTAGTTTAAGTGAGCCGTGATTTTCTTGAAGTGATCAATCTCATGGCGCTCCTTAGCTTGCTCTCTGGTCAGCATGATTATTATAATCTCGTTCAAGGTGAGTTTTTAACGGCACAAAGACGTTATGGTGCAATGATTATAGATGTGTTTATTACATAGGGCTCGTTTATTAGCATCCTCCCCGAGTAAGCCTTTCCCTGTTGCTCGAAAGTTACAACGAAATGTGTTTACCAAATGTATGAGTAGGATACAGGCTGTGATGCAGGGAATAAATGTTGCACGAATGCAGGTCAACCTGTGGAAAAGTCCACAACTTGAAGGAAGAAATAATACTACCACCGTGTCTTCGAACCTAATCTTTGCTTCGATAAATTCTCAGGTGAATTCGGACACAGACTAGTCATTTAACGTGGTTGACGAAAGTGGTGAAGTTGCGAGATTTAAAGGTGCTTGGGAGAGAGGGGGTGAGCTACTATAACACATCTATTCCATTATCGCATGCTACTACAGTATGGCCCATGCTTTAAATATAACCGTATAACCCGAAGAAGGGTAATCTATAACTGTTGAACGAGAATAACTTTATACAGCTGTGATGCCGAAGATCTATGTTCTTTCCATATCAGCGAATAAAGTTATGGAAATCCTCGACAAGCGGTACCCAGTTGTATGGATGATCCAAGGTGCTCAACGCACAGATACCATATGTCGAATACTATATAGCCCTTTTCCCGAGGTGACACATGCACTGCGCGGTCGTGCTATGTGAGTATTCGGTGTGGTAGGCTTGACCTTGGACCTTATATACTGCTAGCTGTCTTGACCACAGCAGCATCACTTGGACCGCGAAAAACCTGCACGTCCTGCCTCATACACTTAGAATATCTGTAATGGTGCGCTGCTGTTGAAAAGCCTCGCGTACAACCCGTGACTGCTCTTCGAGTTGTACCGACTCAGTGGGAGATGCTTGGCGTCGGAGATGCAGGATCCTGGTCATTGTTCAGTCTAGACTTCGGACAGGTAATTGTTATATACCGTTACTCACATCCGACATGCCTTAAAAGTAGATGCGTCAAAAACGTGAAAGTCAACTGGAGAATATGTTACTCACGAAGGCATCAGAGAGAATCAGTGCAAAAGGAAATCCATAACCATTTAGAGCCTCGTTCGGTCTGACATTCTTTGGGCTTTAGTGCACTAGTAACTAAAGTAACTCAATACTCACGCAAGATAGAAGGCTGCTGTTAAGAGGTTGATAGAACACACCAAGGCAAAATATACTACGCCTGGAGGTTACTCAGTATTTTGGAAGGATCAAGAATGAGCAGCATAACACATACTTTGATATACAAATATCCTGCCCAGTTGTCCTTGCAATGATCTTGCCTTGTAAGCGTGCTTGAAAAAATTGCATCAAGGCTTGTGTGGAAATATTCAGCGATGGTAGCTTACCCACAGTACTAGAAATATTACGCCAATATCGAGCGTGCACATGAAAAGCTTTATATTTTGTCAGTGATATTATAATGATGAAATGAGAAGGGCCATACAAATACAAGCTGCCATGAACATGAACATTAAAATGACCATGAGCTGATTCCGACAGGAAGTGCAAGCAAGACCAGAAAACTTACGCCAGTCCTAATGCTCCTTCCATGTGCCGCTACTGAGTATGGATCATCACCATAACAACCAGTATTGCCAACGAATAAGTGTGAAGCAGTTGCTAAAATTGAGAGGTATAGTATGAAGTACTGTGCGTTGGTAATATGCAACTTGCTGGAGTTTAACTCACGATCAAATCCAATGCAAATGAACCACAGTACTAGTACCATCAGGGCACCGTAGGCAATACTTAGAATGACGAGGGTAAATTTTCTTTGACCTGTAAATGCATAGGTCCTAACGAGCATGACAGCTAGACCAAAAGTAAAAAACTATATCCAAAGGAGATGAGAGACAACCAACCTTGTGCAGACACTTGCTGTATCACATTACAGCCATATCAGGCAGGGAACGTGAAAGTTGGAGAGAATTGCTGGTCAGAATAATTGAATAATGCGGGAGAAGACTGGATGACAGTCTTTTGAACACACTTACCAAAGGAAATAAGGAAATATACAAAGGACGTATTATGTGCTGACAGGTTGAGGTTGTATGATCGGCTACCCAGGCCCATAGGACAAAAGGATAATCAAGCATGGGATAGTAACGACAGACGAGGTAGGCCACTTTAACAAGCGACCACGGAGACGAATGAATCTGAGGCAAACATAAGTAAAGCACGGGGATATATGCGTTGATAGTGCTGCGATGCGTACTAGCATGACCTCGTCATCCAACCTGTTGAGACATCATTGGAAATTTTGATACACAAGAGTGTATAACGCACAGCAAGAGCCATTCGTACACAAAAAGTACAACTGGTGATGAGGTGATCAGAAATGTGCACATAAGTTACTAGTGCGAAGCTTACAAGCAGCTATTTGAAAAAAGCCAAAGAAGTCAAACTCACTGGCATATAGCCGAGTAATCATGCAACTCACCAACGGAAGAGTACCGAACTCTGATACGAAAAAAAATTAGTGCGTTAGCCAGTGTATGAAAAATTCGACTCATACGTTTCGACTGCAATGGCAGCGGTCTGTACCGTGGAAGGGTCTACAACCCAACCATGCATAGCTGCTGCAGTCCAACTCTTGTACACTCCACTGGAAGATTGCGCCAATAACTTCGATGGTCCTCACGTTGGTACTCAACTGGGCGACTCGAGTAAAGAAGGTCCACTTGGTTCAACTTATATATCACTTACATGCGATAGTCGGTATCTATTCCGTGCTAGTGACTATTAGTGACTAGTGACACTGTATGTTGTGATTGATCGCTTGCCGCCATAGTAGTAATTTCGCCTGGCTGACTCCAGGGTCAGCAAGTTGAGATCTGAGAAATGGAACATGATCAGTTTCAGGTACTATGTATTGCACCTCCAAGTCCAGACTTACTGACTCTCTGGAAGGCAGGAGCCTCCACACCATTAGGACATTCTGCAAACAAAGGCGAGGTTGGTCGCAGGCTATAATACTCCATGTGGGTAAGTGTGGTTTGAATATCTCTTGACATGATGGTCGTCAATTCAGGTTTTATATTTAGTCGAGCGCCACATAGTAGTACGTATACGTGCTTCAGCTGTAATCATTCGTAGTACCTTACGTACATTTTTTGAGGTTCCAATTGTACAAAATAAGGACTTGTACTTTTTGCTAACCTGGCTACTTGACAGAGAGAATGATCGATGATCAGCCGTCACGGTCACATTGGTTTAGCCAGCCCTCCACTCAATGAAACGAAATCTGTGTTTTCATTGACAATATGTGCGTTGTGATGAAGTACAGTATATAGTATCAGCTATGGCGAGAAAACATCCCATGAACGTTGAGAAGAATTTACTTAGTAAACCGACAGTGGTACCCTATCATCCGGCAATTGTGAGGACCGAAACCGATCTGGGTACGTTTATTATTATTGATATTACGCAAAGATCCTTCAATTAATTCAGGAGTTCTCCATTTGAATCCGCCCCGCCGGACTAAAAAAAGGGGACAGGTATTATTACAATCCTTCATACCACCAATCATAACAGTCTCGAGGCTGTCTGCACATCTTATCAAAATAATAAACTTTGGCCGGCTGAGCTGATAACGACTCGGACTCGGAAAGGCCAAGTCTTACTTTCTTTTCTACTATTTACAATTCTACATTTGACGAAGTTCCGTCTGAAAATTTGCTCTCTAGAGATGCCCAAGCCTTCTGATGCCGCACAGGTCAACATCAGCCTCAAAGCACCTTTCTTTCGCAATGAACACAAACGATGTCATAAGTTGGGTCAATAAGTACAGAAAGTAGTGCTGCGACGAGTTTATCATTAAACAGACATTGGGATAAGATGATGGGGAAGATTAAGCTGTACAGATGTGACAGATAAAAGTGTTCTGAAAGCAAAATATAGCGGGTTGGGTGAATGTGCCAGGCGAAATACAAATGCGCGATGGTATGTTAGCAGTCGATGACTGGGGTTTACGGAGCACGCCGTGAGTCAGCCCACTCAAACGACGTGCGAAGTTAGGTATCGGTTATCGAAACAAGAGGAGCATAGAATAGACACATAGGAGCAGATCATAAGGAACGACAGAGCCATGTAAGGCCAAGGAGGTTGACGGTTCGTCAATGTGAATGGCCAACATGTTTTTACATGCCATAACCATAAGAGGACCGCTGATAAGGGTCATTCAATGAATGACCAGCGATACCGACGTTGCCAAAGGCGCTCACGTTAGCAAATGCTGAAGCACTAGCGAATCCACCACCATGGGAATGGGCAGGCGACAAGCCCTGCGCATGGCCAGAGTTTCCTTGCAATACATATCCATCGATCGAGTGGGGTTGAATGTTGTGGAGTTGATGTCCCATGTGAGAGTGTCCAAACGAACCCTGTCCTTGCATACCTGGTCCACCTTGCATGTTGTAAAGACCATTTTGTGCCCCATACACTTCAGCGAGAGCGCCCGCAGGATGCATGTTCTGAGGCATATGACGACCGCCACCGGGGTGATTATGACCCATGTTCATGCCTTGACCACCGACATTCATCATGGCTTGAGGAGAATGGTATCCCCCACCACCGCCTCCATAGTGATCCATTTGTTCACGTTGAAGCTTGTTCTGAATACGTTTACCATACGGAGTGTTGCGAATCAAGGGAAGGACAGGGCGAATGCCGTCAACCAGTAAAGCACGCTGTGCCGGCTCAGCATAATCCAATGCAGTCTGAATAGGAGTCCATTCAAATAATGAGCATCAAATTGACAACGAGAATAGCCAAATCTGACCTGCACGCAGTAGTTACCATAAGAGTCACGCAACAACTTCTCTAACCGCGTACGGTTTAGTAACTCCTCAATGAGGATTTTTCTAGTGGAATGCTCTGCAACGCGGATACACTATAAAAAAGTTTAACATCGGCACACCGGTGCGAAAGAAGACAAGGCGCAGTACCTTTTCGATCACGTTCGAACTGAATTTCTGCACAGACAGCGCACAAACATTCCCTGTGAACTGACGTATGACAGCATCACTAAAACGGTTGTCATTCAGGTCCAAAATATATTGGACAACCTTGCAACAGAAGTCAGGACCAAAATGATGGAAGGAAGGAAGAGCTTACGTAGTTGCCATAGGGATCTTGGACCAATGTAAGTGCATTATAGGTGATCTCATTGACCAGTTGAACACGTTGGTGATCTGACGCATGGTCAATGCAGCGCTGCAGAACACAGCAGCCATGACGATGGGTAGCAACCTCAACGCAGTTAGCAGCAACTGCATTGTAGATAAACTGAGACAAATTTCGATCAGTGATAATCACAACAGCTGGTGAGGAAAAGCGTACCTGGTTATCCTCCGGCGCAAGCTTGTTCAGGCATTTTTGGATAACATGGTTGCCGTTCAAGTCTTTGATGAGCACGACGACGTGAAGGCTGAGAGCGACAATGATTGAGTGTATCTGAGTATTGTATCTAACATCAGTCTGCGTCCATTATCCCGTAAGTGTAGAAGATGAAGAAAAACAGAAGTTAGACTTGCCTGACGACGTGTGGACAAGAAGTCGATCATTTTCTGAACCGCACGAGTACCATGCATGTTAAGAGAAATGTTAACGAGGTCTTGAGCTACAGATTCGCAAATCACGTTGCGTTGCTCATCGGTAGAGTACTCCAACAACTTCTGGCACAAGTAGTTGCCAAACGGATCTAACGATGAATCTTAACGTGATTTAAACGACCGATGTCTGCATTAGACGTACCGGTCATGAGATCCGCGAAATGACTGAACGTCTCGCGGAAGATCATGTCACGATGTTCGGGAACACCCTCCTCAAGTTTCTTTTGAAGATACCTGCACCCATGCTGATCTTTGCAAAGACTAGGAATCTCGCCTTGAAGGTCCTCCAGCCTGGTACCAGCAAACCGATTGACTGGCTCGCCAGGGCAGTCAGAAGCAGATAAGCTCCAGTTTACATCACACTCACGGTCTATATCGCCCCGCTTATGCTTAGAACCATGTAAACCGTTCACCTTACTTTCTGCACTGCTTGTACGGCCGCCAATAGCCAAACCGTAACGAGAGCCGTTGTGATGGTAGAGCGCAGTCGATCCGCTGGTACCGTTAGCGTTAGGATTAACGCGGCCGTTGGTTTCAAATCCGAACGAGTTCAGTGGACTATTGAGACCGTACGCGGAATCCACAGTATATTGCTTGAAGTGACGTCAGAGAGATCACAGGGTCCGAGATAACGCCACATACCTCTTCGCCAAGCCCGTTCGAAACAGAAGAGAACCCATTGTCATACTGACCGGACATCCTAGATAATGAGGGTTGCAGATCGCCGTTATCGTCATTGAACTGATAACCCTGAGCGGAAAGGCGACCACTGAGACTCTGATTGTCATTATTTAACGGAGTTCCCGGGGTCTTCAACAGATGCGCCGCCGCTCCATTAGCAACACCGGTCAGAGGCGTAGCAGGTACAGAACGCGTAGTAGCGGATAACCCATCATACCCGGACGGGGAACCACGCCTGGACGAAGGAGATACACCATTCCCCAAAGACAACTGCGCATGAGCTGCAGATGCAGACATACCTCCACCCAATTTGTTGGACAGATCACCGTTAGGAGAGTTCAGCGTCACTGTGGGATTCGTAACCGTTCGCCTTTCACTACGAGATATCAACCCTTCGGGAGCACGAGGATTGCTAGCATATTGAGGCCACTCTGACGATTTGTCACCACGTCCAGAGAATGAGTTGCGAGGCGACGTTTGAGATAGGTGTGCAAGATCCAACGCTGCAGAAGAAGCAGACATCTGAGTAGATTACCGTCAGTAACATTTCCCGAAATTCTATTATCAAAGAAGTTTTCCACCTTGTTCGCAAAAGACGGATTGAATTTGTCGTCATCCGACGTAGGAAGGTTCCTCATGGCGTCTTATTGCAATGTCAGATATGCAACATAGAACTTGCACGCACAAAAACTCACTGTGCATCTCCTGGTCCAGTTGCTCATCAAGCATCATTCCAACATTGTAAGGTTTACCAATGCGGCCGCGCTCTTCGTCCCCATATCTTCTGTTGCCTCTGGAGATAGCTCCAGGACTCGGAGTTGCTCTGTTTGGCCTCTCACCAGCCAAAGACAAGCCCTGCAAATGACCGGCAAGTTCCTCGTCATGGCTGCTAGCAGACGTGCGTCGACTAGCAGGCATGCTCTTGGCACCAGCAGCACGGCCATAGCCATGTCCGTTTGCAGAGTTACCAGGAAGCAATTCAGGTGAGTGGCTCACAGGTGCATAAGTGACGGATTTTCTCTTGTCCACGGCGGACCCAACAGCTCTGGACAACACCTCAGCATCTACGGACGAATGCGACAGACTGGACCTCAGTAGTCCCTCGCCGTTCAAAACCGCGTTTACTCGAGGTGGGGTTGTAGGAGCCGACACAGCGAGGTGCTGAAGAGAGTTGCCAGCATTGGGATCGTACGGGATGCTGAGTAGCTCTTGAGCCTGCTGATGCTCGAGTTGACGCATCTGATCTTCAAACATTTTACGCTGTAAATGCCGTTGGCGCTCGTGTTCCAATCTCTTCAGCTCGACGCGCTTTAAGTATGAATTTCAAATTAGAATGAACGAGCAACAGCTTCCGAACATAGAAAAAAACATACAGCAGAAAGTTCGGGCATATTAGTTCCCAGTCTCGCAGCCTAAAAAGCAGTAAAAGAGTTTAAATCGTCTGTGAAGAGGAAGGTAAGCGCTCTTGACTGACCGAGTCTGCGAGGTCAAGAAAAGCAGGGGGACTCTGTTTTCTATCGCCTGAGGAACGATTATCGGTAGAGATATTAGAGTTTTCTGATGCGATATTCATTGTGCGTGAAAAAAAACGGAGGACAGCTTTTCTTCCGAAGTGAGGAGCGAGAGAAAACAAGTTGAACAGAGAAGAACGAGTTAGAGAACTGTAAGGCTAGTTGCACAATGGTAAATCCTGGATTTAGAGACGAGGCAGATGCGGTGGAATGGCGAGAGAGATGAATATGAGGCAAGAAAAGAGGTCGCGATTGGAAACTGACCTGTAAGCCGATTTTAAGCCCGTCTAGAAAGGACTGTTGGTACAATGCGGCTGAATGGGCTGTCATAACATTTGTGAGATAGGCTTGTCGCTGTGCAGGACGGTCTTGCCCACCTTTTTTGAGTCTCCAGTTTTCTGATGCAGAAATGCGAGGGAGGACGCTGATGTTCTGTAGTTATGAACTGGGATTTTAAGGCACTTCGGCAGGCGTGGGGAGAAGGAAAAAAGAACGGAATTACCCTCTTTTTTCAATGTCCGCCCGCATTTGCCTCTTGCGTAAAGGCCGCCCTTTTAGACTTTTGCTCTTCACATCCATAACCGTTCTCGCGCAACCACCGAAGCATTGTTGCAATACCTTTGACTAATACCACTACCTCTCATTCTACACTAGTACTAGTCTTTACATACCTACATCATACTTATATTTTGCATGGCCAGAGACGCTCCCGCTCGGTGCCGCTGAACGATAAATATCATGGGTCTGGACAATCCGAATATTAACAGGGCCATAAGTTAGCGATCGTAGTATTACCGGCCTTTGGGCTTATTCTCCGTCCTCGTTTATTACCTCGTCCCATTATTCACTTCAATGTTTGCTGGACCAGTAATCAACTTCAGCGCACGTAATTCAACGTCTTTTCTTTGGTCATGCACATGAATGCCCAATGCAAATAAAGAAGAAGCTAATTCTCTTTGTCAATTTTGCAATATGCGGTCGGCGATCCAGCACTAGCGCATGTGGACGAGAACGTAAAGGCAACAGAAGAAGCATCACACCGATCCCGGTAGTGCGGAAGTAAGGCTATTAGCTTGCCGGAAGATGCAGGCTAGACCTCACGCACTTCGCATCGAAACGTTAGCAAGGGTTGAAGTTGCATTCCGTGATCAGCAAGATAACAAGGGATATATCTCCCAAACAGTGAAATTGACATCCTATCCAACCAAATCATCTATTATCGTCAAATGTACCTTGAATGACCGAGGTCTTGCCTACTCACCACAATGGCATGAGCTTTGCACATTCGCCACCAGTTACCCACTATGAGCTACGATCGCAGGTGCTTTATGTGAACTGACACCCTCGCCCAACACTTTTTCCTGGTGAGCCTCCCCATTGGCAGTAACTCCATTTGTATACGGCGGCTCTAAGCTCTCCTTGATCGCCGGGTCAGCTTCATCAACCGCGTCGATTGACACTCCCTGAATCGTTCGATGGTCATCATCATCCGAGTTTGACCCATCACTATCGCGCTCATCTGCCACCTCATTCGTAGAGGCATTACCATTCTGATGCACCTCCGCGGAAGTTTCTGATATAGCTGGAGGAGGGTCAGAAGGCCGACTCGCAGATGGATTCCGGGACCGAAAAAAGCCTGGCAAGGGCGGAAAACCGAGAGAGATCTTAGGATAAGGATATTTAGAAAATGTGCCCGAGTCATTGGTCGTTGCTGCTGCCGCCGTTGGAGTAGCAGATCCACTCGTAATGGGCGAACTGTTTTCCTGCGGTTGTTCTACGACACTTTCGTGTGGACTCTCGCCGTCTGGGCTACTCGGGGTTAGCTTGAGAGCCGGTGGCGACTGAGCGCGTGGAGGCGTTTCCAGCCCAGACAAGATCGGTGAGTCGGGGGGTTGTGAGACTCTATTACAAGTCGTCAGATAACATGTTGCCAATTTGCAATAGCAAAACTTACGCTAAGCGTGCACCCTCTCCGTCAGTCAAGGTCAGCAGTAGGTTTTTCAAATTGGGTAGCGTGTGTCGCATATCTAGAGCACGCAGATCGCGGTCTGACATGAGCTAACGTAAAATGAAAGTTAATAGATCAGACTATGTCAGATGAAATGAAATTTACTGCACCATCTCTATATTTTTGTTCAATAAGAATACCCCGTACTCAAACCGATACGTATCCACTCCCTTTGAAAATAGGGGAAACCTACACCGAATCAGTCGTGACCTAATGAAAAAGCATTTTACGGCACTCACATCTTGGGACCCACCATTGCAGATATATTATCCTTTATCAGACTCCTACTTCCAATACACGTGACAGGATACACCAGACCCTTTCCCAAATATGCGGCCAGCAGCTGTACGACTTGCGCGGCATACCCTAGTGCAGTAGCTACCGCATCTTCTGTCACCTCCTTGTGGGATGGAAGCGTCAGTGGCGGCGCTGGATCAGTCGGAAATATGGGTATTGGTAGAGGAACAGACAAAATAGTGAAAAGCAAATCGGGTGGGGATAGAAGATCGATAGGAAATATGAAAGACAAAGTTGATATCAATGTTGTCCGAGTAGGTGAGAAACGGCTACGGAGCGAGGTTAGACGATTCCTGCTCAAATCAGAGGTTAAGTTACAGAAGATGACAGAAATGACAAGAAAAAGACGTACATTTCCTCAGTTAACTCCTCCTTCCGGCTTGAAGCACAAGAAATCTCGTCATTGTGCAGTTCTTTAGCGAGATTGAGAGTTTCCTTCCGCTGCCGTAACTTCTCCTTCCGCGCTGAAATCTCTTGCCGTACTACAACACGGAAACACGTTAACGAGGATCGAAACCCAACTGGTAGAGAAAATCGCACGATGATCTGAGCGTCTGTCTATGTCTTCTGTCTCTGCTCTCCGGTCCTGTATCCGTACTTCCCGTTCCGAAGTTTCCCTTCTCTTCCGTGACCAAGGCCAAAATAAAAGCAAATCAACTTCAAGACTCGGGAGATCGAAAACACAATTCTGGCGAACTTACCAGAGCACCTTTACTATCTTCTATCATCAGCGTATCTATCCTGGCAATGATGTCTGCAAGTGATTTGTCCGTGTCCACAATACATGCTTGGAGCGTAACAAGCCTGCCATAGTCGTCAATGATGAGATCAAGAATCGGATCTGCTAGTGTAAGTAACTCACTGTAAAAGATCCTGCCAAGATAGGGTTCTTATACTTAGCCCGCGGTGTTTACCACTATGCCGACTATGACGAGGGAGTTGACTCTGCGACTCGTGGGTATTGATGGTAGATGGAGATAGACCACTCTCTCTAGTCTGCCCAAGTTTTCGAACCTCGGTTTCAGGATCTGTGTTGTAACCAGCAGGGGAAGGTGATCGCGATCGGACTTTCGGAAGTGACGGGAGGTAATAGTATTTCTGATTCGAGGCAGAAAACGAGAAAACCAAAGTGTTCGAAGGAAGGAAAGAGAGATGAGATTCCAGCTGCACAGAAATATGTGGTGAGTGAGAGACATAGAAGAGGAACGAAACGGATAATCACTTCATTGGTTAAAGGCACCAACTCAGAGAGCGCGACATTCCACTCCTCCACCATTTTCCACTCGCAATCGTTTCGAACTGTAGCAGCCGATGCATTGTCCCTCTCTTTCTCTTTCCCTTTACCCTTGCTCGATTGCCCATTGTCGTCATCTCGTTGAGCATGCCCCTGATGTGTCCATAGCTGAATACATAGTTTATCTGCGCTCAAATCTGTCCATTCTGTGAACTCATAATTAGATTTAGCATCGATGGGAAAATACGGATTGGTCGAAGGACGGTGAATTGGTGAAAAGTAATTCGGAACAGGTGTCGTAGATTCAAGCTTCTCTGCGCTAGGGAGCAGGGAACTAGCGGAATCTGCCGATTTGGCCTGGCTTAGCGGCGGGGAAGAAGGTAGCTTCCCAGAAGGACGCCCAGCAGATGTAGACGCAGACCTCGTGTGCATAGGACTCGCTCTTACCGATGACGAAAGACGAGTGGAGGCAGATGATCCGCGTCGTGGGGGAGTCGCTCCTTTCGATGTCTCTAAGATATGAGAGGAAGATGACTTTAGCCCCTTACGCGGCGTTGCAGAGAAAGATTGATGCGTAGGCGTGCTTGGTGGCGAAACGGTAGGTCGTAGCCGCGAGCCATTTTCCTTACTAGGCGTTTCGGTCTTCTGGACAGTAGGAGAAAAATCTTGCGAAGTTGGAATAGTTATTGTGATGAATGTCTCTACCAGACGAGATTTGATGACCTTTTCCAGACTCCTTTGGGAGTGGCTCACGACAAAAGACGAGTAAGAGAATATAGATGAGGTTGAAGGTGGTAGATTATCTGCCTCTCCGGGGAAAATGCCATGAATATGAGCGCTGCCCAAGGATACCATCGAATTAGTGCGAGGTCGATTTGCTGGTCTAATTGTGGGAACGCCAGTATTTGCTGGGAGTGGATGCGAAATATCATTCGTCCCACAGCTCCGAGCCAAGCTGCCAACACTCGAAAAGCTGACTTTGGAATGCGTCCTCCGCCTCCCTCTCCCATCAGCCCCACCTTTCACGCTAGAATCCTCCACCTCATCAAAACGTGAACCTCTGAGTATGTTTACCGAGCTTGCAGATATCCGCCTGGAGCGTCTACGAGTCAGAGTGACGTCGAGGTCGTCAGATAAATTTCCCTGCGCTGTAAACTGGGAATGTTCTGCGGGTTGAGAGAGGGCAGAGGCAAATGCTGCATCACGGACGGGAAAGGGCGTCAAGTTGCGAATCTGAATTGCAGAAATATGGCGGATGCGACGTTGAAAACCGGCCTTCATATGACATTCACTGTTAATTTTATATCACTGCAACGCAATCCACGACTCAACTTGTCCGCTGCCTTGCTGTATAGGGTTGTTCCTGTCCGACTGATTATCCTGGCCATTGGCAGACATGTCGGCTATCCTACATACGCTGCACAAGTAAGTGCGTGCGTTGGCTGGTATCTAGGAAAATGCAACTTTAGCGAGACGATAACCGTTTGTTAGCCTTTCCTAAGACGACAATTATGCGTTTTGACTTGGAGAAACCAGCCTGGCTGCCAGCATGAGCCTGATTTCCTATTTGGGTGGCTTTCCTCGGGCGAAAAGAGGCGCTAGACTCCAAATTCCCGCTCAAAATACTGCTTATCAGTATTTCCCATGTCATCAAAAGTTAAAGCGCGCAAGTCATCAACGGCGTCAAAAAGTACTATTTCAATGGCTGGAACGACATCTACACCTGGACAAAACGCGAATGGCATCAACGATGCAGCCTCTATGCCACCACCCAAGGATCCCCCGCAACATTTAGCAATGCTAGAACCAGAGATGACGGCGCTTTCGGGTTGTTTGAGGGTACGAAGCAAATATCATTCTCATACTTATTTATTCTGAATTTCAGACCAGAATGCTGTCATAAAGACGGGACAGCTATACGGATTTCATGCAGATTCTCGTAGACTGTGCGTCATTCAGAGTTCACACAATATAAATGAAAGGACACTGAATATGATGTGCTGATAGCGGTATTCATAAGTATGCACCGAACCCTCCTCGAACCCTTATCACCTCCCTCGGTCGTGAGGTTGAGAAATACGACCAACTATGCGACGCAATGGAGTCTCATCTGGTACGCTCGTCTTCGTCCATATGTTTCAACCCTTTGACCAGGTGTTAGCTTCGAGCAATTTACCTCCTTCAACGAGATTTAGCCCGTGAACAGCGTAGTATAAAAGAAGCTGAAAATGCAGCCATATCAACCAGAACACGCTCAAAGTCCCTGTCCAAATCTCCAACTTCAACTCGTGTTCCGCTACCGTCCTCAGAGGGCCCATCTGAATCAACAAACGCTCCACCTCAAGGTCCATCGCAATCTCCCCCCACTTCAGCTGGCGCACCAGGGCGCCGTCAATCCGCCATCTCGCTTTCCTCCCTACACCGCCCTTCTGCTCCTCTCAAACTTGATCTCTCGGCTTCGTCTCTGCGTATCACGGCCGAAGAAGCTTCGATGTTCTCCAAGGGACTCGCGTCTCCTGTCACTCTGGCGCCGAAATCAGCTCGGCCATCTGCCAGCGCTGACATCGACCTCATGGCTGCATTTGCTTCCGCCTCGGGCCAGTCAGGGCAAGGCGTTGATATCGACTTGACGCACAGCTCGCCTGTAGATATGCACGCATCCGCTGCAATTGACGTAGCCTTGGGAAACTCTGCGGACAAGCCCATTGAACTTGACTTGGATGCCATGGATATCGAGATGTCGGATCTGTTTGGTGACTCTGAGCCCAAGTCATCCACCGACGAAAAGATGATCAAACAGGAAGGCCTCGAGATGGAATTATTCGATGCTCTTTCGGCAGTGGAAGGCAGTGGGTCTAACAGTGATCTATTTGCTTCACTGCATCATCACTCTGGGAACCAATCCAACACGGGTTCTAGTACTGGAGATTTAACAGTCCCATTGGCGCATACAAATGCCCCCTCACCGGGCACACTTTTGGCCAGCTTCGCTTCAGGCCCCCACCTAGACCAAGGTGGTTCGTCCTCTTCGGACAACCACATTGGATCCGGATTTGATCTATCAACTTTGGATCTTTCGAACCTTTCGAACCTGAGTCCCTCTTTCTTCGGCAATCACGAGTCTGATATGAATCTCATAGACATGGAGGAGTTGCTTAATGTCGACCAGGGCGGGGTGAACAAAGATAGGAAGCTGGATGGGTAATCGACGCAGTCATGGTGAATTTGAATATGGAAGCCAATGTATACTATTGACTTCGCACCCATTGCAACCAAATACAATATATAAAAAACCGGGAATCCAACATATATACAGAATAATTAAGAAGGCAGGGATTCGACAAACTTATCAAGTTTCTTTCGAAGTGGATGATCAGCGCGAACTCCTGTGGAGCGTAGAGCTACTGCAAGTCCAGTAGCGAGTGCATTTCTTTCTGGTTCGTTATCCGTGGGGTTCTCCAGCAATTCTTTAACGGCACGAGCAAGACGTCCCTTGGGTCCTACATGCTTATCACTGCTAGCTTTCGGAGGCCTCTTCTTCCCTTTTCCTTTCATCTTTGGGACTGCCAGCAAGGGTTCTACGAGTTCGGTTCTGAAGCGCCTAAGCGCGACGGACGATAATGGAACGACGCGGTCAAGAGAGCTTGCAGCCTCCGCACAGGCCTCCGCGTTCGCCAGCAGCTCTGCCGCATCTTCATCCTGGTACCCCCACTTCTTCAGTTCTTCCGTCCGCCTCTCCTTCAGCTTCTTCGATATCTTCTCACGTGTGTCACCTTCCTCTATCGACTTTGCAATCGCGTCAAAGATGTCGGTCATAGTCAGCCAGCCCCTGTCCTCGTCTATGGCACGCTTCACATAGTGACGGTTGACATAGTTGAGGAGACGGTTTACTGACTGTGCACCGGCCGAATAGCGTTTGTAGCATGGCACAAGGTAATGGATCAAGCTCGAGTCGTCCACTGGCGCACCCAAGAGCAGCTCACGCGCAACCTCTGCGAAATACTTGTCGATCTGCTCATACAGATCCGTCCCACTCGCAGGAGCCTTGTCTGGAGAGGGCGGAAGCGCGCTGGCAGCCTCGGACTGCGACGTGAAGTAATTGTAGGTAGCGGTATGTATGCCCATGTGGTAAGCGATGTCAACGGCTGGTGCTTTGTCAGGGTTGGTGCTTGGGATGCGGACGATGTGGTCGAGAGCGGGCTGGATATAACCCCACAGGGACGAGAGTGACGCTGAGGGGTTAGCGCTGCCTGCCGATGGATTGGGCAGAGGTGCCATGAGCGATGGCGGCTCGACTTGCTTGCCCTTCCCCTTCGACATTGTATCCAACGACGAGTATAAGGTCGCAGCCTAAGCTGGCGCGCCTGGCGTAAATAAAAAGAAATGTCTGTAGGACAGAGAACCGACGAACAGTAGACCAGGCGAAGCAGAACAAGGCGCGATACAAAGTTTGCGCCACGTGGCCACTATCACGCGCTTGAGAGAACGATTGGAGGACTCAACTGCCAACTCAAGTGAGGATGTATTTACATTTACATGTCAAGCAAATTACGATTGCATACGGGACATTAATGGGGCGTGGCACAAGACTACGTGAATAGAGCGTAAAAAACCTCGCAGATAAGTAGACCATAGAAAATAAAAGCTAGTGAATACAGTTAATAAAACGCGTTAAGAGCCATAAGTAGTGTCCATAGTCGACTAGATAATACCCAGCACAATGGTAGCGCGCAGACTCACTTCTCTGGGTGCAGGTCCTGCAACCTTATTCGTAGGCTGCCCGTCAGGCCCAATCTCGAGATACTCCTCGGTCCGCAGGGAACTAGACTTCCAACCCCAACTCTGGCTCACCGAGAAGACATCCGGGGAACTCGTAAATCGAGTCAGTGAAGATCCCGTAGAACTTGCACATGAGATGGTGAAGTACGCTGACACGGAAGACCTCGAATCTCGGTAAGGCTGCGGTGGTGTGACCGGTTGTCCCGTTGCAGGAATGCCATTTGCCGAGGAATATGGAGACGCGAGCGTCGAAGCAGTCGAAGGAGATGAATTAGGTGTAGTACTTCTCGAAGGCGGATGTATGGACGGCGAGTAATGAACTGATGGCGAAGATGCAGATGCAGGAATTTGGGGCGGTAACGATGGCACACGGTTGTGGGTCCTGTCCGCACGACTGGGGGATTGGAGAGGTGCTGAGGGAGCAGGAATTGGATCTATACTGGACTGACGATGGAGATATACTCCTAGCTGCACACCCTTCTTACGGACGACTTGAACGTATACATTGAAAAGACTACCCGCATACCAGATCGTCTGCGAATGCAGCCTAGATTTCTCTTTCAGAGCATCAACATCCCAAAACTCGACAGCGAACCTAAAGGGTGGATACGGCGACCAACGCGATTTACCGGTCGCATCTGCGAGTATGCATGCAGGTGCAATATATCTGTCTGCTTTCAGCCCAAAGAAGTTCGCTTCTGATGTAACCAGACGGTTTGTGGACTTTTTCTCTGGAGATGAAGGAGTTATCGCGGAAGGCTCAAAAAGTTGGTCCATCGACGCGCCCTCGATACCACCGTTGTCCCCGATGCGCAGTGAGGAGTCAATCGGAACTGGATAATATACTTTATCCTTCTCTTCATCCCCTTGCGAGTCAGTTCCTGACGCGGAAAGGCGCGAGAGGATATCCGCTGTGGTGATGGGTAGCCCAAGCTCCTTGTCACGTGAAGGCGGTGGGCTAGATGGAGGGGATGTAGGTGATGAGCTATTATTCGGCTTGGAGATGATTTGATGCCTCAAGAGAGATTGATTCCAATGAGCTGCTTGCAGGATAGGCGTCGGGACATAGGGTTTTCCAGTGGTAGGGGAAATGTCGCGTGACAGAGCAATGATATCGTCAACTCCCTATAGACACACAGTCAGCACCGCATATATATATGCGTATTTATTCGATTACCATATTAGCATAATAAATGCCTTCAGAGAACAGAGTCTCCCATTCCTTCTCTTCTTCCGCATCGATACCTGCTCTGCGTCGTAACTCGACCACCCTACGGGCAAGGTCATATCGCTCTCGTTCTCCTTTAACAAAGAATGCATCGGCAGATATGAGCACTCGTACCCATTTTGCACTAAGACCACCCCGCGCCCAAATAAGTGGAACGGTATGCGGAGAAGGGCTAGAAGAATAACCAGCAGAGGAGCCTGGTTTGGATGGCATAGTGTCTGCGCGACGCCGTGACTGGGAAGGCTGGGATGATACAGGGAGTTCATTGCCTTGTGAAAGCTTCTCCTCGTGTGGCAGCATGTCCGGTGCCCACCGTGCAAGCCAACACACAGCTGCTTCGCCAACTTTGTCAGACACAGCGCCGTAGTGGAAACACTGTTCATAAATACTGCCAACCGCTGTGTCATCCACGTCCGAGCCATTTTCTGTTGGGTCTTCCTTGATATCCATATCGCGTAACCTTTCGTTTAGGTCACGTCCTTGCTTTTGGCTGATAGTTCCGACTTCAGAAGGCGCAGCGCTCTCCGCGACACTACCTTCCTTGGTCAACTCTGCTATAGCTTCGAGTCCCACCGCAGCCTGCGGCTCTTTCTCGTCAGGAGGGCTAATCGCCTTTCCTATAGCAAAAGTCAGGTACTGCACAGCCGTGTACGGTCCAACGGTGTTCAGAATGCAGCTAAGTGCTTGAGAGGCAAGGGATGGAATGGAGAGATAAACAGATGTTGCAAGCAAAGATAGAAGGAATCGTGGGGTTGCATGATGGTGATTCGGGAGAATGTTATCTGGGGATGGGGGACCAGGGAATGCCGGTGTGAGGGGGTGAGAGGTAGAAGGAATTAAGGATGGCGATATGAACAAGGGTGGACCACCGCCATACAGGCGTGCGATACATATCCTACAAAATGTAAAGGTTAAGATAAGTGCAAAGCAGTGGTTGTCAGACATACTCGAATGCTGTGTTGTAAAGTGACGATCAGACGAGATAAACATTTAGAGATAGGGGAACTGCGCACCAGCCCGAGTAATATTTCGGTCGTCGAATTGTATATCTATTTCATCTGGCCCTCGACGGTGCGTACTGAACTTGTGTGATGATTCGAGAAACCCAGCAGTAAAGAGAGAGCTGAAGAAGCCCTGCGCAGTATTAGGGCATGATAGGATGATAGAGGGCGCCGACTCACGGATTGGATGAGCACGACACGATGGAGTCTGTATACAGCTTCCCATGTACCACGCACATGGAGAGCTATATCTGCAGTCTTTGACTCCAGTAATGAGTTGTATATGTGGTGCTGGAGGTCGACTGGGGATAGACCGGGTGAGCTCAGGTTCATGAGGCGTCTGCTGCGACGAGCTGGGGAATCCCTTGAGGACTGGGAGGCAGAGTATATGTTTGGAAGGGAAGGAGAGACGTGTAAAGCACGTTCTGCTGAGGATGTATTGAGGGCCATGACTTATAAATGATACACGCTCACAGTGGGCCTTTGGCTCACGCTGCTAAGGAACACCTTCTTGGACTCCCGGTAGCGGGTCCGGTCACGCGGCATTTCCCAGCAGGCACATATCGCACCAACCCTTTTCTCAGTTATATACCTCCATGGCATACGTCCAACCCCATCCCCGCTTTTCCGTCTTGTCTGCCTCCTCCCTCTCCTCTGCAGAGCATCTCTCCCCAACAGCCAGCTCAGCACGCTTTTCGCTGCCCTCAGCACCATCAATAAATACCACTCTCGGAACACCAAAGCCTGGCTCGCGCCCAAATGTCTACGACAGGAGTCTCAATAAAACGCGAACTTCAGAGGTTTCTGCATCTGCTTTTGCGTTCCTCTTCTCAGAGGTCGTACAATACACCCAGAAACGCGTCAGCGGCATCAATGATCTCGAACGCCGGTCAGTATTCCGCAGTCTCATCCACTCATCAATGATCTAAACGGAGATGTCAGTTTGAATACCCTTGGTTATCGCATTGGCACCCGTGTCTTCGAGCTGATGGTATGGAGAGCAGAGTCCGCTTCCAAAGCTCCAAAGCGCGAAATTCGCTTTCTGCCCGCTTTGATGTCCGTTCACACGCAAGTGTGGAGAGCCGTGTTTGGCAGACCTGCAGACGCCATAGAAAAAAGTGTCGAACATGAAGACGAATGTACGTCACTTAGAATCCTCTCACAGACCTTACTCCAATGACAAAATGGGTGATGACATAGATATGATTATTGACAATGATCCCCCGATTGAGCGCTATATCTCTGTGCCACGAGATATGAGTCAGCTAAGCTGCTCATCGTTCACAGCAGGTATTGTAGAAGCGGTACTCGATGGCCTCGGATTTGTGAGGTTTCTCATCTTGGATCTCAATATCGTATCTGACAAGTATGGTTAGCCCGCTCGGGTAACTGCACATTCTACGCCAACGCAACAGTATCCGTCCCGAACCACGATTCTGATTAAACTTGAGAAATCTGTGCTTGAACGAGAAGAACTTTTGAAGTAGACTGTCCTTCTCATGATTTCCCGATATACCTGTAAGACCCCCTCTAGTACTTGTATAATTTACCGGAATGTATCCACAGATTCAAGTTTTTATGACTTTGTAGCGCAATGCGATGATGCATTTGATAACGCTTGTACTCTGCTCAGTACATCAATATCTGGCCCCTTTTCGTACGGAGGGTTCAACGGGGTGTCAGAGGGTCCTCTTCCTCCTTATCTTATCTGCCCTTCATTGTTCCAAAGATACGATTATCATCTTTTGGATTGACGGGGCTCCGTTTTCTCTTCAGGATCATGGTTCAGCTTCGCCACCTAGACGTCTCTCCCCCGCTCATAAATTCCTCATGCGCTTGGGCATCAGACTTGGATCAGCTCCTGGGGCTATTCCAGTCGCCGTATACAGGAGCAGTGACCACCCGTACAGCAACGCTACATGGTTTCGCGGAAGATTCTTCTCACACCGTTCAGTGAACTCTGATATATGTTAGGTGTCGTTGTAAACTCAATATACAATGTCTTGTCCAGGTCGCGTTCTTGAAAGATAGTCTCTCGTCCCTGAATTCCTATGGGTACTCTCCGTATCCATTGGCTACTTATCTCGGCTGGGTCGAATCAATTATCAGTCAGGACAAAAGTTCTCACAAACCCTTCATCATCAGCATTACCTCCTATTCTCCCGCTGATTTCTCATCTATGCTCGATGCTATACAACGTCTCCGTACAAAATCGCCTCTCATGAGATCCCGAATTGGAGTCGAGCTGAACACAAGTTGTCCCAATATCAAAGGGTCTCCACCCCCATCCTACCAATTCTCAAGTCTAGTGCCTCTGCTCGATGTTCTGGCACGTCATTTCTGGGAAGATCAGACGCTTACCATTGGCCTGAAACTGCCGCCTTACGTCGCATCCTCGCAATTCGTGGAGGTAGTACAGGGTATTTCTGGTTTTACGCGCACGGATGAAGAGACTGGGAAAGCTCAGAACCCATTCGCGTTCTTCACATGCACGAACACCCTCGGATGCAGCTTGGCATTCGCAGAGCAATCTCGAGAGATTGTCGACTACGAGAGTCAGTTTGCTGTGCCGCCAGGGCTAGGGGGGCTTGCGGGGGAGGCCATCCATTCGCTCTCGCTCGGAAACGTCTTCTCGTTTTCGCGCCTGCTCGCAGAGTCGCCCGATGCTGCTATGCGCGATATCGTCATCATTGGTGTCGGAGGAGTGACGTCCCCTGAGGCAGCTGAGCGTATGCGACGAGCAGGGGCGAAGATTGTAGGCTGTGCTACTCTATTAGGCCAGCAGGGCGTCGTGGCGTTTGAGCACTTGACCGAAAAATCCTGAATGTGAGGTCCACCAATATGTGTAAACTAGTAAACAATTTTGGTGAGTTGGAATGAACCGACGCATTTCTCGTTAGAATGTCACTAAGGTTATCGTTTGATTTATTTATCTCTTTTATATATGGTTTTTTAACAAGGTCAGGTCTGAGTAACTATGGTGTAGAAGTATGCATCTACGTTGGAAAGAATTACAAAAGTTTCGAATACGAAGGTTTCAAGGCTACAAAGTTGTACGAATATGACATGATAAACACTAAGCGCGCAGATAAATGATGAGATATAAAAAAAAAAGAAAAAAGGAGAAGATGATGTCCATGCTTAGATAGTGTCCCAAATCGGAGTATAATGATAATTGAATTGAGCTGGTGCGGCCCATAAATAAGGCGTATCTGCAACAGAAATGGGCCCAGAAGTCCCATCAAAGTAGTCGAGACTTTGTCCAGATAAAAAGTGATGATTGGAAGCCACCGATAATGAAGGCTGTATTAGCGAGGGTTCCATAGCGTAGCTGTAATGCGTGTCGAAGTTGGCGTGCATAGGTAGGTCAACGTATGTTCCTTGAGGCGATTCGAAATCGGAGTGACGCGAGTCTGCACCTGTGCACATGTTGTGGACGGGTACGAAGGGATTGCCATCCAGCTGCAAAGTCCAATTGAGGGTCCGTGCTTTGTACAACGAACAGGAAGAACGTACCGTATAAAATCCATGCTGAGACGCATCGTATCGGGGTTGGGAGTGTACAGCCGGAAGCTCCGTAGGAGGGAGGATGGGACTGCGGAAAGGCGGGACGTTACACCCCCCAGGCTCAACATGCTCGGAGATCCCTTCCATAACAGAATCCCGATCATCGCCCTCGCCCGCCTCCGCCGTATCTGCAGTGGAACTGATAGTTACATCAATCTCTTTCACTGCATTTTCGAGCTCATTCCCCTGCTTTCCGGCCAACAGTAATTCCGCAACCTGTTCGCAGCGCTTCCTGTCCTGGTTTCCATTCCTCTTGACCTTCCTCTTCACAGGCTTTTTGGCGCGGCCTACAGGTGCGAAGCGGTAATTGGGGTATTTAAGAGCGTGAAGTGCTTTCTCAGTAGCAGCCTTGTCACGCCAGACTTTCTTCTCAACCTCAGGGAGGCCATTCCAGCAGTGCGCTATGATACGGGATATATGACGGTGATCGTGCTCGATATTCGTGCTAAGCTTCTGATCTGCCAGAAAGTCTGAACGAAAGAGCATGAAGGCATTTCGAGGGCGTGGCACGTGATTGGGAGAGCGGTTACGAGTCCATGTCCGAGGGGGAGGATCCGATGACTTAGGTGAGTGAGGAACGGATGAATAATGATACGTGACGTCGGGGAACGAGTACGAGGGCGAGTAAGTTGATGGGGCCGGTGGGTCTGGCATGTAAGAGGAGTACGCTGCTGCAGAACCAAAGTCGGGCCACTGAAGCTCCAAAGGCAGCATGGACTCGCTGATATCGCTTTCTACCGGTGATATTGGTCCATAGAGTAATTCTTGTTGAGCACTAGCAATGCCTATAGAACAAGAGGTTAAGTGAGGTTAACTCGCGCTATGAATGAAAATGACCATACTAGAGATGTCAAACTGAATGTCTTCCGCATGCGGGGAAAACATCGCACAGCGGTGAGGTTAACGGAGGGAAGTGGGCGTCCTAAACATATCATGGCTCCAACTTTATAAGAAATGCAAAAGTCCCCTGGTTGAACGGCTAAAGGGGAACACTCTTTCAAAAATCACGTCGTGGCAAATAAGTCCAAATCAGGAAGGAGGAAAAGAACATAACCTCGCTATAATCACATTCGAAGAAGTCGGTGATGAAATGTGATAATGGCGAGCCAGCCTGTCGGTACGCATCGTCGGGACCAGACCCTTGAGCACGAGACACGCTGCCAAAAGTAATAGCACTGGAGTTATGAAGAGGCTCGAGCCCTGATCTCGGAAGAATCTGCAAAGGCGCCCTGAACGCCGTATCACATCCCATGGGTCAACGAACAACTTGGGTCCTGAGCGGCTTTCACTCTCATAGACTTTATGGGTTCACTATCATGAGTTCATGTGGGCTGGCTGACATGGTAAGTTTTCGTCAATGATAAGTAGTTATGCACTAGTGTGATGCGTTCGCCAGGCAATGCGGAGTCAGCGCTAGTGAGCCACTGTGCCTAATTTCCGGACCGAATCGTGTTGAAGAAGCGAACTATCGTTGCAAGCTAAAACAGTGCTAAAACTTATCAGTAAGATTGAGGAACATATACTATGGTACTCCAGTGGCACCACTTACAATGACACGAACGACTATTATTTGTTGCTTGTGGGTGGACAGAATTATTTCATACGCAGCATACGCACCTTACATGCTGCTCAGGAAGCTACAGATTCGATCAGACCTGTTGTGGCTTGACGGAATGTGATTATAAGCCACTCCAAAGGAGAACAGAAATACATTACACTCAATTATTGCTATCGTAATTTCTGTTGCAGTTGATAAGTGTATTATAAACATTGAATTTGAGTGTATTTATTTCAATCCTGGTGTCCTCATCATCTCTAGTCGACACTCGTCCAAACTGTAGACACATAGTCAATGTCACATAGCCAATGACGCAGAAATTGCGAGAAGCATACATCTGTCTGATCTCTTCTGCAGCTGCCAAACCAATTTTAAATTCTTGCTCTGTCGGCTCTCTATCCGACACTCTGGCGAGCGAGATGGCAGAATCGTAGTAATGCAAGGCAGTAATTCCGCCTTCATCCTTGGGTAGCAATGGCATTATAAACCTGAAGTGGTGTAACATGCGGGAATGAGGCTTCAGCGTAGGATGGCTTGGGATGATGAGATGTGCCCGAGAATCTGGAAAAATAGTTCCACACAGGGAGGAAAAAAAGACAGGTATATGCTAACCAATATCCGATATGGTGTCCAACAAGGTGCGGCGGAACCGCATACCGCTGTACTGGGTTCCTGCAGTCGAATGTCAAGCCTATGGCAGTACATTTTTCGCGCTAGAACAAATACCTGGTCTTCCCCAACCCTCGTGAATAGCACTTACAGGCTGAGATTCATATGATACTAAACAGGCGCGCACATATTCTTGAGAGATGTATTCATGAACTGTCTGTGAGCGCACAAAGATCAGCATAGGGAATTCGCACTGGCATATGAAGTAGGCCGTAAATTGACCTTTGGAATATTCTCCTGAATTCCACTATACGCCTTGGAGATTCTCTGTAACCTCCTTCTCACAGCAATTCTGCGTTTTATACAAAAAGATAAAGACGCAACCAGCTGAAAGAGAAACCTGAGTATGTGAATCTGTTTGACTTGTATTGTCGTGCTCACCACAATGAAATAAGTTGCGCCGATGACAACCGCGGTGTAGTTATCCGTCCATGATCGAGTAGGTGAGGTCCTCACGGCTTGCGAGAGGAGAGCAACGCATGAGATGGCGAAGAACCAACCAGTGACTAGGACAAGTATAACATAGCAACCCTCAGAAACCCAAGACAACGCCCTAGACGATGGCCGTAGCATTAGGACATCACCCAAGGAGACTGCCAGTGATAGGCTTGGGCGCGGTGTCTCTTTTCGGGTCACATGTTGCACTGCCCAGCGCTTTCTCACGTCAGGGCGGGTATTTGGCTATTGTTATATGTCGGGATATCCTATTTCGGACAACACGCGCTCTTTTCGTCGCAAGCGCATACAGCCCCGCCGCGTGTTTACCATCAGGTTGACTCACACGGGGAGCGCATTTGGTCCACGACCGCATATATAAGAAGTCGTTTCTCCCAGACTACTGTTTCACTGGTATATTTCCCCTCCTGCGAGAACCGACAAGTCTGCTACCACTAAATCGACGTGGACTCTAACTTGAATATGCCTCCTAAGAAGAAAGCTACTACCGCCGCCGCCGACGCTACTGCAAGTACGGGTGTCCCAACAGCAAGGCCAGCTTCATCCCGAGCAACAAGGGCCACCACTAAGGCCACGAAGCCTTCATCAACAACCGCGAAACCTGCTTCAAAGCCTAAGTCAACCAAGTCCGCTGGTAAACGAGCGCGTGGCGAGTCCGATGAAGAAGCGGATGGTCCATCAAAGAAGACGAAAACTGATGATACTGAAGACGCGAAGGATGAGGACACACCTAAAAAATTGGTATAAACATTCAACCACTCTATGCAGGTCTTGATATGTATACTCACGCGCTGACAGGTGACTGTACTAAAGAGAGGAGCCGCACCTGTTGACCCTGCCTCAAAATATGTCGGTAAGTAATGATTGCTAGCCTTTTGGTACCGTATACTCAAATGGTATTTCAAGATACCCATCAGGTCTATTCGAACACGGCGTGTGTATGGGATGCCATGCTCAACCAGACGGAGGTCGGTTCCAATAAGAACAAGTAAGCAGTACCATCAATATATGCATCACTATTGCTTAACAGGTTTACTCTTTTGTCCAGGTTCTACGTCATCCAGCTCTTGCACCCGATTGGCAATGATTCTTTCTGTTTTCTGCATACTCGATGGGGTCGCGTAGGCGAGAATGGACAATCTCAAACTAAGGTATGGGTTACTATATCTTGTTTAGCCGTCTTATCACTAACATTTGTTACGCAGGGTCCTTGGCCTCCTGCCAATGCTTTAACAGAATTCAAGAAGGTATTTAAGTCGAAAACGGGCACAGACTGGGAGAACAGGCAGGGGATGCTACCGAAGAAGGGTACCATTGTGTCACTTTCTTGCCTTCTTTCATACTGAATGATTTTGCAGGGAAATACGTTTGGCTAGGCATGTATTCTGCAGCTGATTCGAATCATACCATCTCAAACGAGATCATTTAGAACGTTCATTCGAGGAGGACGGAGAAGAAGATAAAGCTAACACCACTGCAAAGCCAGATGACCGGCCAATTCCTAGCTCGAAACTTGACCCTGCCGTCCAGGTAAAATGGCTTTTCCTATGTAACGACTGCTTCGCTCAATTTGATAAACTTAGGCGCTCTGCAGACTGATATTCTCTATAAAGTGAGTCATCCCACTGAAGTCGTATATTTCTATCTCATTCGTTTTTTCAGACTGATTGATGCACACTTGTCGTCGATGAATTATGATGCAAACAAACTTCCTCTCGGTGAGTTGTGTCTGGTGTACATGTGATCATACATTATGACGATTTATCTAGGGAAGCTCGCGAAATCTACTATCCTAAATGGATTTGCTGCTCTAAAGGTTTAATTATTGAAACGCATCATGTTCCAAAGGTTAACGAGTAAACTAGAAACTTTCTGACGTATTGGATAAACCCAACGGGGATCTTGCGAAAGAACTTGGAGGTCTTCGCATAGCTTGTGAGCAGATTAGTGGAGAGTATTATTCGTGAGTTTTTGTAACAATGTTTCCGTTTTCTCCCTGCTGAGTAAAAATGGAAGGATCATTCCGCATGCATTTGGGAGAAACAGGCCAACCGTAATTAATGACATGATACTACTCAAAAGAGTCGGGCTTCATTTTTTCTTAACCTGAAAGAAGCTCATACATAGTCTAGGAGCTCGAGCTCGTCGATGCTTTGGGAGATATGGTGCGCCCGTGCCACAGTGCATATTGCGTGTCCCACGCTCAGTCAAATTTTACAGGAAATCGCCCAGAAACTAATCACAGCTAGTGTCATGACCGATGAAGTAGGCAATGAACTCAATCAGTTGGACGCTCATTTCCGTTCACTTGGGCTTTCCTACATGAAACTAGTTCAGTCTGGCACGAAGGAGCTCAATGCGCTTGCTTTGTATGCAAGTGAGACGCATGGTGCAACACATATGCACTACCGGGCCAATATTCTCTACGCCTTTCGTGTGGAGAGGTTTGTCTACATGCATTTTTCATTACGCACAAACTTATGTTGCTTTGAGCAGGCAATTGGAAACAGAAGCATGGGTCAAAAGCGGATATGACAAACTGGGAGAAGGGGAGAGGCTATTGCTTTGGCATGGCTCACGGACAACTAATTTTGCGGGTGATGAACCATGTTGGCATTATTTTATATGATATTTATGAATGTCCCTTTAGGTATCCTCAAGCAAGGACTGCGTATCGCACCTCCAGAAGGTAGTCTCTGTTTGCACCATTTCAATAGTTTTTCTGACATGTTTGAATATTAGCACCCGTAACAGGTGAGATTGGATTTTACCGGAAGGAATTAGCTTGTTTCTAATTCAATGCCCGGGGGATGATAGGTTATATGTTTGGAAAAGGTGTCTACTTTGCAGACGTAAGTGTACACCGCATATTTGTGAAAGTATGCTTACCGTGCAAGTTGCCTTGTACTGATAGATGATGTCGAAAGTGAGTAGCATCGTCCTTATTGCCTAGTCAACCGTTTTAAACCACAGCATCGTTTAGTCTGCCAACTATTGTTACGCCCAGTGAGTATCCAACGCGATGACATACAAATAACTGTCTGAGATCATTATGGATAGCCTTAGTGAATCTGTCGGATTGCTACTTCTTTGTGAAGTGGCGGCGAAACCCGTATTTGAACAACTGCAGAGCAACTATAATGCGGATCGCGACTGCAAAGCTAATAACAAACTGTAAGTTCGGAAGATACTTGCTCATTTGCATAATTCGTGACGTGATTCCCGCAGGGCTACATTGGGTGTCGGAAGGACGCAACCTGTTCATTGGAAAGATGCCGGTGAAGCTCTGGACAACGATGACCTGCAGGGGTGTCATATGCCCAAAGGCCCAGCAGTTAACGTTGGTAACCCAAACGTATGTTTGGAGTATAATGAGGTTTGTATATTTTATTTTACTAGGAGCTGTATGCTTGATACTGAACATTGTAATGAAAGTACATCGTCTATGATCCTTCGCAGATACGGGTGAGGTACTTACTGATGGTGCAGATGGGTTGAGGGCAGATGGACATCTTAATCAAGATCCACGAGGAACTGATGCTACTTACTGTATGCATTGGAGTGGATAGATGAGAATATGTGTAAACATTCATGTATATTTTCAGTATTTAACATTATGTCAAATATTTTGCATCTTCATGAAGTCAGTATACATAGCCAATATCGAGTACTAATAAGGAACTATCTATGTCACGGTCACTCAAGTGCGCTCTCCTTCAACGACTACTTTGAACACCACCAATTACATTTTCTCATTTTCCCAGAACACTACGCGTTAACGCATACCGTGGCCGCGATGTCGACCACAGTTCGCAGAGCAGCACCCCGTCCTGCAAGGCCAGCTGCACGATATTGGAAAGGGAAAGCACCAAAAGGCGCAGAAGAAGCTGCTTCAGATTCGGATGAAGACGAATCTCCATTACCTGAGGAGGAAGGAGACGTCCCTGTTGGCGGCGAACAAGATATTGTAGATGAAGATGAAGATGTGGACTTGCCGGTGAAAGTGGAGTCGGGGAAAGCCATGAAAGCCATGAACGTCTCATTGAAGGATGTGAACATATCCAAAGACGGAAAGGTCATCGTAGCTGGGCGAGATGAGTCTGGTAGAACAGCGCTAGAAGGTTCGTCGCCTCTAATATCAACTACTAGTTACTTGACCATTCAAATTTTAGAGTCTGAAGAGGATGAGTCAGAAGAGGATGAATTGCCCCATCGCGATAAAGACCAAGATGCAGAATTCACAGAGGTAGTATCACAAATTAATCCATTTCGTTGCGTTTATTTACTTATAGTTCCCTTTCAGTCAAGTGAATCTGACTCAGAGGAGGAGGAGCAGCCAAAGCTATTATTTAGACCAGTTTTTGTGCCTAAGTAAAATTTTCCTAGTTCACAACTTTTTGGGCTGTTGCTAATGAATATTTCAGGCGTGGTCGTGTGACAATCACGGAGAAAGAATCAATAACGCAGGATTCAGAAGAAGTGTTGAAACAGAAAGAAATAGCAGCCGAGGAAAGGCGAAAACAGAGTCACGACCTCGTGGCTGAGAGTATTAGGAGGGAGTTAGCTGAAAGTACGCGGACCAGTCAATCTGAAAACCTTCGCTGATATTTTACTCTAAGAGGAAAAGGAGGACCTAATTCCTGAAATCGATGATGCTGACGGATTGGACCCTACAGCAGAATTTGAAGCATGGAGATTGAGAGAGCTAGGAAGGATTAAAAAAGAGAAGGAGGATGAAGTTCGAATCGAGGAAGAGAGAGAGGAAGTAGAGCGTCGCAGAGCCCTCCCGGAAGAACAGCGACTGAAGGAAGATATGGAAAGGGCAAACAAACTAAGAGCAGAAAAGCCGAAGGGCCAACAGAAGTTTTTGCAGAAATACTGGCACAAGGGTGCCTTTCATCAGGTAGTCATATATTCTTCGCGCTCAGGGTTGGTATGCTGATTGTGACTGCTCTAGGACGAGGAGATCCTCAGAAAGCACGACTTCACTGAAGGGACAGAGTCGACGGTGGATATATCTCTCCTTCCTAAAGTGATGCAAGTCCGGAATTTCGGTAAACGTAGTCGGACCAAATACACACATCTAGTCGACCAAGATACAACAGCTGGTAATGGTGGTTTTGGTGGTAATGCTTCTGTAAAGGCAGGTGGCAAATCAACTGATGATGGGGGCTGTTTCCTTTGCGGTGGTCCACATCTAAAGAAAGGTTCAGTGGTACCTTTAAATGTGTTTTACTACATCTGATATCTTCCGTTTTCGTTCAGATTGCCCCCAAAACGTAGTACCTGCTGGCCGTGGACCCGTGTCAGGAGCCAACGCAGCGCCTTCTGCCCCAAGACAATGGGGCGCAGCAAGATCGTGGCGTGATGATCCTCGTGACGCAAAACCAAGGAACGATGACCGAGACGGGAAGTATACTGGCCGCCGAGATTATCCCAGTGAGAGGCATAGCAAACGGTATGATTCTTACGATGCTCGAAGTAGTCGGAGACGATCACGATCAAGGTCCGGCTCACCATATCGAGGGAAGGACAGAGACTCGTATGGAAGAAGGCCAGTGCGGGAAAATTCTCAAGAACGTGCTACTGCCTACAGGGATAAACGCCGGCGCTTAGATTAGGAGTACGTGACCATTTTACCTGAATTTCGAATTTGTAATTGTCATGAATTCAGTTAATGGCAAGACATGTAACCAGATAGCTCAATCAAATCGTCTCATCGAGCACTAAAACGGTCTCTTAGGAGTGACCAAAGATCCTTATCATTCAGAATAAAATGCTTCGTGATGGCCGCATATGTCCCATTCGCGGCACTTTCCTGAATCGCATAGGTTCTTTGCGCGCTAAGAACGTGGACACTATACACTTAAGCTTTGGTCGGGTGTGACGTTATTGTCTTACTACTAACGAATCCCCCATCCACCCTTCGCGCTCATATTATGGAGCTTTTCATGCGAAACATACAGTTCGCTGCTAGTAACGTCGACATCGAATTATCTCTGGCCTCGATTCTTCATAAACCACCATTTCCTACCGATATCCCCATTAACTTTCAAGTACACACATTTAAGACACAAAGGGGCCGCTGCGGTGTCTTGACACTTCCGACCCGAGCGTACGGAGAAACTTTTTTACGAGCTTATGGCTCCACTGGTATTAACGTGAAAGGTCGAGCCATCTTGTTTACAGAAAGCAACAAGCCTCTCAACCAAGCCCGTCTCAATGTAGTTCTTACTACCGCTTGGCGTGATCCGCAAAAGTTACAGCGGGAGAGACAACGCATAGCACAGGAATCTACACCTATACATCTCCAGGCCTTCTGTTTCGGGCGTTTCTGTAGAGATGGAGCATTTTCTATGGAAATCAGTGCTCCGGGACGACCAGAAATCACGTGCGATCTAGGGCAACGACAAATACGTCTTACACTGACTCCTTCTACCAACGATGAAGATGATGACACTTCATCGTTAATATCCAAGTTGATGCAGATGTCTTTCCTAGGACCAGTCACAATTTCTGCTTCATATAATCCCTCCAAGTTGATGGCTTTGGTCCAATCTCGTGACACAGACCTACCTCGCCTTTTCCTTCGCGCAAACGCACCCCCCGTTTTCGTTGAGGAAAGGACCGGTTCGCTTCTGTCCAACTCAGTAAACCAGCGTCGTCCTAGTTTATCGTCAACACAGGTAATGCCTCCTGGATGCCACAGTATGTGCCTCACTTTCCAGAGCACAGAAGATCTGGAAATCTTCGTGCATCGCTGTACCAGCCTCGGGCTTGAAAGGGTATACAGACCCGAGATCGTACTTCGAGAGGACGCATACTCCCCAAACAATTTATCTAAGCTAGATGAATTTTTGGGCAACCTGGAATTTGGGCTTGCATTTGCGATAAACAAGGCTGTTGCGAGCTCCATTCTGAGTCCAGCAGAAGTTCTTTCTCTGCGCACTGAAATCGACCTTCTTCAGTGCGATTTCGAGAATAAATCTTCACAAATATTTGACCGCTTTTCAACCTTTCTTCACGATGCACGTCCAAAGCGTAAGAAAGCCAAGGGAGGTAATTCAAAAAAGCAGAGTCTTCCAGTAACTTCATCGCTTCCCCAGCACTTCAAAGAAGCCATTGAAGTATTCGTATCGGAACAAAACAGGCCGCGTAATAGATTTGCTCCATCTCCCGAGAGTGCAGTGTACTATTCATACCACAAAATCCTTACGCCCTCCGCGTATATCTTGGAAGGGCCCCTCCCGGACCAGTCGAATAGCGTTCTTCGACGCTTTGGGCATCATGAATGTTTTTTACGAGTCTCTTTTCAAGATGACAACCGCTCCCCGCTTCGTCGCGAACCTGGGACTTCTCTCACAGAACTGCTAAACGAACGATTTCGTCCGGTGCTCGTCAAAGGCCTACGTGTAGCTGGTCGGCGATATGAGTTTCTTGGTTATTCCATGAGTGGGTTGAGAGACCATTCTGTGTGGTTCGTGTCTCCCTTCGTGAACGAAGAAGGCGTGAATATGAACGCAGGTCATATTCGCAGCACATTGGTGAGTCACTACTACCAATTAACATCGGTGCAGATAACTATAACTCATATCAAACATACAAAGGGCGATTTTTCTCGTCTTGCTTACCAACCTGCTCGTCTTGGAGCAAGATGGTCACAAGCATTTTCAACCACTGACCCATCTGTCACGCTTGAGAGTGAGGATATTTTCAAAATCAGCGATCGTGTCTCACCTACGGGGAACGTTATGACGGATGGATGCGGAACCATATCAGAAGCCTTAAGCAAGGAAGTATGGTCGAATCTCATCAAAGGGAAAAAACGCAGACACTTGATGAAGGTACCGTCTGCTTATCAAATTCGCCTGGGTGGTGCGAAAGGTGTTGTCGTACAAGATAGGAGGCTCACGGGGAAGGTGATATGCCTCAGATCATCCCAAACAAAATTTGATGCTCCCGACATTCGTACACTCGACATTCAGTCGACGTCGTCCCGACCGAAGGCTATGTATTTGAATCGTCCTCTTATTGTGCTTCTCGAATACCTTGGGACCGACTGTGATCGTATTATCAGCCTACAGGATGATTCCATCTCCGAGGCTCAAGCCATCCATCATTCGTTCTTAGATGCATCCAAAATGTTCCAACAGCACGGATTCGGCAACTCATTTCGTTTGTCTTCTCTATTTCACAACCTGGCCACGTTGCTCGATTTGCATATCGATGACAACTCACAAGGCTCGGTTGTGTGGAGTAACGATCTAGTGGGAAATACTTTGCATTGTGCCTCGACTCACGCGCTCCGTGAACTGAAATATCGTGCCCACATCGCTGTTCCTGGATCGTACACGTTACTTGGGGTGTCAGATGAATGGGGGTGTCTTCGAGAAGGGGAAATTTATGCCACCGTTCAGGATGAACGTACTGGCTTGTATAAACCTATTGAGGGTCCTGTGGTAATTACCCGAAGCCCCCAGGTCCATCCAGGTGACTTGCAGTTTGTGACAGCCGTTCGGCGTCCAGAGTTGAGCCATTTGACAAATGTGGTGGTATTTTCATGCGAGTGCGTTTATCATCTAGTAGCTTGGTAAAATCTTATTCATTAACCATCTTGCAGAGGAGATCGATCGTTGGCATCTTGTCTTGCAGGTGGTGACTTAGATGGCGATGATTTCAACCTCATACTTGATGTGAGTGCCATAGAAATATTCAATACTTATCATATTAACCCGGGACGTTAGGAAGCACTTTTTCCTGAAAAAGTTGCCATGCCAGGAGCCTACGATAGCTTACCCATCAAGCAGACAACATCTCCTTGTGGGATATCAGACGTAGTTGACTTTGTAATGAATTACGTGAGCTTTTCGGATTTAGCAGATATATATGCACTTATTCACAACTTATGTCAGATCGAGTCGGATCTCATAGGCTATATATCAATTTTGCATCTACGCTTTGCAGATATAAAGGACCCAGGATGCAATGAATGTTTGAAACTTGCTCAATTCGCGTCCCATGCCGTCGACTATCCAAAAACCGGAAGCCCTGTCAAAATGCAAGATCTACCACAATTGCCTGGCAAAGAGAGGCCAGACTTCTTAGCTCGTGAGGGCGCAAACCTACAGGGCGAAGACTTTTACCAAAGCCAGAAACTGTTGGGCAAACTGTATCGCCGAGTTCCCGTAAGCGAATGGATTCCTGTACCATGGAACCGTGACTACTCTCCTTCTGATGGAGGTGTCATCCGAGACACACTGATGCGCTTCAATTTTCGCCAACTAGACTTACCTTCCCTTGATACGCCATCGGACGACCTTATCGAAGAAATGGGCTACTTGCTGGAGGATTACTCTGAACAGCTCCTCGTCATAGCCAAAACGCACACGATTTCTAGGCACAAAGATATTTATGTTTCGGAGGCAGAATTGGTAAGCGGGACGATCATGGCAAACTGGTCAGATCATCGTAAAAGGAGAGAGGCTATAGGGGCAATGAATCTTCAAGTATGATTGCTTGTCCAAAATTTCTGAAGCTATAGACTGACTTGTCCTCATTAGACTCAAGTGCTTGCAAAGAATATCAGACAAGCGCTTCAGTGGAGCGATCCTGACTCCTATTATGATGACAAGGAAGGGTACGAAGAGGACTACGAAGAATACGACGAGGGTGATTATTACAGCAAAGCGGCGAGTCGAAACGAGTCGTTTAGACGTGCATGGGCTGCATGGCAAGTAGCGGAGGAAGCTTTGAATGAAGACCCAGGGATCTTTGGACCTCAGAGCTTTGGGCTGATTGCTTTGACAAGGATGTTGGACATCATAAAGGAGGCGCAGGAATATTAATGGTAATGGTAATGGCGGGAATCGCCCACACGTATTGATGCTGATCAACGACTCGATTCGGAATGTGATATATTCAAAGGCCTCACTTATATTTTGTAAAACACCTCCAGGGCCAATTAGGCTGTACCATACATGTTTGTATTCTTGTGCGACCGACATAAAAGGTGCTATATCGACTATCGTATATACGCGCGTGTTAAGTCTGCTAATGACCGACACGTCGTCACAAAGCGTGGGATCTGCTCGTCGCAGAGCCATTTTCAGTTCAGTATCATGACTCAACTGTGTCTCTTATCAAAATCATGCTGTACGGATAATTATCCTCGTGACGCAAACTATGGAACGAGTCCAGTATGGAAGATACAATGAGCGACCCAGATTTTATAGGTGAGGGATAGGACAGATAGAGACAACCCCAATACGACTTTTACCATGCTAGAAATAGTTGGAGTCGCAATCAAGGCATGGCTCGCCATCGAAGGAGACAGCTTTGGACGGCCAGTGCACCATATGTCCATTTCTCAGTATCAGGTCAGCATCTACAGGGAAAATCTCGGCGTTTAGATTAGGGAAGTGCGTTCTTCTGCAATTTCAAGTTATAGCCATGGATTCAGCTAATGCAGGTGTACAAGTACAGCTACTAATATATAAGTCGTTCGAGAGACCTCTCACCAGACGGTGTCAGGCACTTACCAGACAGTCAATATGGGGAGAACAGTTCCAATTACCCCTTATCAGTCGAACAAAACTCCTTCGTGATGGCCGTATACATCCCATGACACTGTTCTGAGCGCATTTGGGCTTCCTTTGCGCGCTAAGAATGGGGGTGTTATCATAAAACTCAGTTCAGCTAGCTTCGGGTTAGCAACCCGTCATCCTTTCTTCCAAGGTCGGTGCCCATGGAGCTTTTCATGCGAAACATTCAGTTCTCCGCCGACGATGTTGATTTAAAACTGGCTTTTGCTCCAATACTGCATAAACCTCCCTTTACCGTCGACGAACCTATCCATTTTCATGTGCGCACTTTCAAAACAAAAACATCAAGGGGTCTCTGTGGTATCTTGACGCTTCCAACTCCAGAGCTTGGAGAACTCTTCTTACGATGTCATGGCGGAACTGGCATTTCTGTGAAAGGTCGAAAAGTCATTTTCGCACGAAACAACAAACCTCTTGAACGCTCATTTCTTGATCTAAACATTTCTACGGGCACAGACCCATCGGTCACACTTGAGGTTCATGAAATTAGTCAAATCGATGATCGTATATCACCCGTGGGGAATGTTATGACGGATGGATGTGGAACCATTTCGGTTGCACTATGTAACGAGGTCTGGTCAAGTCTTAGGAACAGAAAGAAACATAAACATGTCAAGAATGTACCATCTGCTTATCAGTTCCGCATCGGTGGCGCAAAAGGTGTTCTCGTGCAAGACCCTAGGCTCGAAGGAAATGTAGTATGTCTCAGGCCGTCCCAAACAAAATTCGATGCCCCCGGTATTCGTACCCTCGATATCCAGTCGACATCGTCTCAACCGAAGGCTATGTTTTTGAACCGTCCTTTGATTGTGCTTCTTGAATATTTGGGGACCGACAGTAATCATATAATTGCTCTACAGAATAATGCCATTTCCGAGGCTCAAACCGCCCATAATTCGTTCTTGGATGCATCCAAAATGTTCCAGAAAAACAACTTTGGTGCTTCTTTTCGTTTGCCATCTCTCTTCCATAATCTAGCCACACTGCTCGATATTCATCCCGGTGACAGTTCACTAGGCTTAGTTTCCACCTCATGGAAACACGACCTTGTAGCAAAATTGCTACAATGTGTTTCAACGTACGCACTCCGTGAACTGAAATATCGTGCCCACATCGCTGTTCCTGGATCGTACACGTTACTTGGGGTGTCAGATGAATGGGGGTGTCTTTGAGAAGGGGAAATTTATGCCACCGTTCAGGATGAACGTACTGGCTTGTACAAATCTATCGAGGGCCGAGTTCTAATTACTCGAAGCGCCCAAATTCATCCAGGTGACGTGCAGGTCGTAACAGCTGTCCGTCACCCAGAGTTAAGTCATTTGACCAATGTAGTGGTATTTTCGTGCAAGTATGTCTATTCATTCAACTGTATTGATGCAGATTTATTCAATAGTAAATTTTCAGAGGAAACCGGTCGTTGGCGTCCTGTCTTGGAGGTGGTGGCTTAGCTGGCGATGATTTCAATCTGTTACTTGATGTGAGCCTCACATAACTACTTGATTAACTTTGTATTGACTTGTGGTTGAAGGAATCGCTCTTTCCTAAAAAAGTTGCGAAGCCTGGAACCTACGATAGCTTACCGATCAAGAAAACGATAAACCCTTGCTCAGCATCAGATATCGCTGGTTTGTGATCGACTATGTGAGTGTATTTAGTGTGTTGCATACAAGTATTTACATGCAGTATCAGATCGAATCAGATCTTTTAGGCTATATATCAACTTTGCATCTACGTTTTGCAGATGTGAAGGACCCAGGATGCAGTGAATGTCTTCAACTTGCTCAGTACGCTTCCCATGCCGTCGACTTCCCCAAGACCGGAAGCCCTGTCCGAATGAAAGACCTACCGCAATTGTCTGGCCTTTCGAAGCCAGACTTCTTAGCTCCCGAGGGTGCAAATATTCGAAGTGACCAATATTACTTTAGCCCCAAACTTCTTGGCGTGCTCCATCGTCGTGTTCCTTTAAGTGAATGGACTCCAACGCCTTGGAATTCGGACGACTCACCGTCGGATTGGAAAACCGTCTGGAACGCACTCCACAACTTGATAAAGATGAAAAATAAACAACTGGGTCTACTATTAATCTATCCATCAGATGATCTTCTTAAAGAAATGACATTCCTGCTGAATGATTACTCTGAACAGCTTTTTGTCATAGCCAAGGTACACACGATTTCTAGGCACAACGATGTTCATGTCTCCGAGGCGGAACTAATAAGCGGGACAATCATGGCAAACTGGTCGAATCATCGCAAAAGGAGCGAAGCCGTCGATTCCATGAATCTACAGGTAGAGTTTCTCAATCAAAATTTCCTGGCTTCACGATCAATTGATTTATTGTCGTTAGACCCAAGTGCTCGCAAAGAATGTTAGACAAGCGCTTCAGTGGAACGGTCCCGAGTCTTATTATGACGACGAAGAATGGTATGAGGAGGATGACCAGGAGGAGGAGGATGAGGGGGATGACCAAGAGGAGGAGGATGAGGGGGAGGGGGATGACCAAGAGGATGAGGATGAGGATGACATTATAACGACGGAACGAAACGAGTCATTTAGGCGTGCGTACGCTGCATGGGTTGCATCGGAGATGGCTTTGGCTCGAAATGTTAAGTCATTCGGACCTCAGAGTTTTGGGCTGATTGCTTTGGGGAGGATGTTGGACATCATAAAGGAAGCGTAGCGACGCTAATGGTCAAGTCGTAGGCACGCATCCATAAGTGTATGAGTAACAATGAATCGGGGAATGCTTCGGAACTGTGTAGTGTTTTGTTTTTAATCGCAAATGAAGGTTCTCTCTCACAAGAAAGATTTTTGCATGACAGTGAAGTCTAATCGCACCCCCCACGAAGACCCACATTTGCTCCTTTGCGATCGAGGACGTGCGCTAATCATAAAGTGAAATTGAGCTGGCAGGAATGTGTTCTACCAGATCGCGTCAAAAATTTAGCGCTTTCCACGTACTTCTTTTTCTTTTAGCCTTCCGAGTCGATGTCACTCCGAAGCTGATAATCGGTAATCTGGTTCTTTGTGCTCAAGTTGGACCTCCTGGTCCGAAGACGCATACGAGTAGGAGTCGCAGTTCCGAGTCACGAAAGTACGAAACTCGGTAGGAAAACCGATGATTCTTGACTTCAATATCCTCTGGATTAAGCAGTATAATTATTGGATATCATTATTCTCATGTTTTACTGCAGTAACCGATTCATCATGGACGCCCTCTGAAGATGGTAGACTGATAGTAGACCGCCATAATCATGCATCGTGTTTAGCTCCTCATATGCTTAGCCTTGACCGTGATTCAGACATATCATGATCATGTCAGTTGAACGTTGAACGATCGCGGTTAGCCGGGCTCTATCTTCCGTTTGTCTTGCCAGTGTCTACTCAAGAAGATAAACCAAACGTAGGTCATTCGGTCTGAAAGGTATCATATCATGATGTTACTACGACGTCGATGGATGATGGTCACATTTTCCTCAAGGATCCAACTCGATCTTATACCTGGAAGCGATTTACTCACTTTCTTCGGTTCAAATGTGGGTAAAATAGTCGACTTCTGTCTCGGTATTTACATAAAAACCTTAAAATTGCCGATCTATGACAGCCATACAATATAATAACCAAGGACCTCAAATCAACAGTTGCATGTTTTCCTTATCGACGTAACCTACAGGACGACTGTCTCCCACTATGACCCGCAAAATCAAAGTCGCTGTCGTTGGCAGTGGGCTAGCTGGACTAACCGCTGCATACTTGCTAACCCAGAAGCCATCCTCGGAATCGGAGTCGGAGCTGCCTACTGTGACAGAATTCGAAGTACATGTTTTCGAGAAGGTAGCCAAGGTTGTCGACAATATGCCACTATCTATCATACTGACGCGTTTTATTAGGCAAAAGTCTTGGGTATGGACTCATCTTCCATATCCGTACCGATCACCAAAGACAGGAAAAGTGACTGGAGGATCGACGTGCCGATGCGGTCGTTTCAAGGAGGTCTGTTACAGCGTACAGCATCCAGAAGCCCACTAATCATGTTTGCATCTATACTTGTATTTAGGCTACTACCCTCAGTTATTAGCTCTGTACAAACATCTCGGAGTCAAATTCCGACAAGCCAATTTCTCCTACTCTTTTTCCCTTCTCTCCTCATTCAACACTCTGAAAGCACCGAAGATGACGACCACCATGATATATAATGGACAATCAGGACGTGCTGGTGTCAGTATGCCATCCAGTCTCACAGTCGCAAACTCCAAATCTCTTCCAACTCAAGTAACCAATTATACCGTCAGCTACGGCTTATTCGTGATTTCCACGATCTATCTCCTCCTCAACTATCTTCGTCTTATCATGCTATCAATTCCATGTTTGCGCTCCGCGCGTGCACCTGAAATGACTTTTCGTGAATGGATAGAGTATGCTGCTCCAATAGGATTTATAGGTCAAATACTTGGATCGGAAGCTTCATGGAAGGATTTCTCTTATGACGTCTTGGTACCACTATTTTCTGCCGTGTGTACCGCTCCAGAGGAGGATGTTACAGAACATCCCGCAGAAGAATTTCTCGGTACGTTTTTTCCCCTACTGCACAATGTTGTCGGTTATTCATAGTTCGTTAGACTATGTATGGCTTACCCTGTTTACTCATCATTATGTCGTGACCAATGGTGTCAAGGACGTCGTGAAAAGGCTTTCGAAAAACGTACAACATGTTCACGTTGGCACTTCGATATCAGCTATTCGACCTCACAGTGAAGATCCACATCTCGTTTCCATACATTGCTCGATAAATGGCCGCGAAGAAGTCTATAGTGATTTCCGCCATATTGTATTCGCTACACAAGCTAATAGCGCCATCCCACTTCTAACGTCATATATGAAATCTCTTTCACCTGAATCATCTCACCGCCCAGCTATCGAGGAACAGATACGTTGTCTGAAGAAGTTTCACTATCGCCCTTCAATTGTCATCAATCATACCGACGACCAGCTGATACCTGACAATATAAATGACAGACGGGACCTAAATCTTGTGTCTGTGGCTTCAGGAAAAGTACCAGTAGACTTGGATGATTCCCCTCATTGTCTTCCAGCATCGTATACCATGGCTACCCACATTTTATCACCTCCTGAAGAATACTTGTCGCACCTACCCACAATTTATCAAACTACCAACCCCATCGTGGCTCCCCGCGAGGAGTGCATACTCTCTGAGGCGCGGCTGGAGCGAGCTGTCCTTACAATGGATGCGAAAGCGGTACTGCGTGGTTTTTGTCTTCAAGATGCCCCTCGATGGTGGCAATGTGCTGTGCAGTGCGACAGCAGGCTGGGGCCACTGCAAGGAGGAGGCGCAACGGCGGCAGGTCTGGGAGGAGGACCTGGCATATGGCTTTGTGGTTCGTATGCTTACTACGGTATACCCCTATTGGAAGGTTGTGTGGTAAGCGCAAGGAACGTGGTAGAGCAAGGCATTCTCGCGAGCGAAGGTATCCCTATAGGACATGGATTATGGTAAGACTTGGAAATGGGGTACTAGTCACATCGTAAACGGTTCAATCTTCATGGTCAGTCTTATCCGTGATCAAGATCGTGGTCTTGCTAAACATGCTATTATAGTTTAACTTTATCAAACATTGTCGCACTTAGATGACACTTACTAATTAATAGGATCAGATAGCTAACAAAGGGAGTGTAAATGTGAGGCCGTGGACTCAGATTACTAACATGGGGTTGTCAATGGACAATCTCAGAGTAGATACCTCGATGAGCGAAGGCATATACGTAGTCAAGTCACTCGATCTCGTGATCATTTAGCTGCTCTTACTTGATTTTGAGAGAGATGAATACAACAATATATGTATGATTTACAGACGCAGTCTCTTTTCCATTTCAGAATGAATATCTAAGGGTGGTCCATTGTCCATGCCTAGAAAGGTGTTAATCGAAGAACGTAAATAGTAAGAGGCAAACGCACCACCAAAGAAGTCGACGGGTTCTATACTCTCATCTCGGCCCATAAGGATGTCGAGGTGTAGATTGGACTGAGGCATGATGGGCGTGTAGGCGTTCTAAGAGAAGATAAGGATTGATGTAGGTAACTAATTGGTGAAACTGACCGATGTGACAATCTTGCGTTCCATGAGTAGTCGCACAGGTGCATGCAAACCATACAAGTTGCGTTGTACATTGAGTTTCATGTTGTCCTGAGTTTCCTCCCACTGCAAGTAAGAATGTCAATAGCTTATTCGATGGCTAGAAGCTAAGTATGATGGGCACCCTTTCCAATCTATTCTTGAGAGCGGTGTTAGATCTCGTCTCTGCTGCGATACTTCGGGGACCGTAGCGGAGGGTATCATGGAGGCCAAGACTGCCTGCTGTGCCGCTGATGGACGCAGACTTGGATGCAGCAGCTGGAACGATGCGTAAAGACGAATCCTACGTATACGTGTCAACGATATCACTGCACATGCTGCCCAGCACGATACTCACCATTTGGTGGAGAATGCTAATAACAACGAGATGGACGCGCGTGCTCTGTATGCGAGTATTTCGTCGTGTGACGGGTTTTCGTGACGGGAGTCTCCTGCGTGACAAGGTCTCGTGGATTAATGCTGCAGTGACTTAAGCGACTATATAAGTCGACGGCCAGCCCACGTCGTCCGTTGTTCCTTCTTGTCCCCGGTCCAGTCTTACCTTTTCGCATTTCTATAGCGCTCTGAGCATTCTTAGTACTGATTGTTATCAATTACGGCTACATTATCGATTATCAGCGTGGCTCTCAGGCGTCTTCTTGGGTTCTTTCTTGTTGCGAAACCTAACGTTCCTGGACAGGCGTCTCTCATCAGGACCTACAATCAATAATCATGACAAGCAGACCTTCAAGATCATCCAGTATCCCCATTCCTAGGAGTGCAGTTTCGACCTCACCCTCTAGGAACATCGAGTCTGTCATTTCAATGCCTTTCTCCACAAGTCCCACCCTATCCAGGCAACGTCTCGCAGGTCATGGATTTCCATCGAGAACCAGTGTAGGTGATGATCATAGAGGTGCAAGCATCGGCATTCGCGGGAGCAGCAGCATCGCAGCAAGCCCCCCGATCAGGCCAACAGCTCGTTCCTTCACACACTCCTCAGTCATGTCTACACGAGGCTCTCCTCGTACCTACGAACCCCGAGTTATCAGGGTAGATACTGCTCGTAGTGTGGATAATGCCTGTGTGTCCTCTTCCTCAACTTCACCCACACGCACCAGACGTCCAAGTGCTACCGGTGTTAGGGCGCCCAGTGTGCAGAGGCCACCCGTAGGCCACCCGCCTTCTTTGCCCCCTATCACTCCCACCACCTTCCCCAGGCCCGCGTATTTGGATCGCTCTGCTTTGCGACACTTACTACAAACAGAGCCTCCTCGGTTACCTGGTAGGACAGAGCCTGTTACTATACGAGTAGGCTCGCCTGGTCACTCCGCTGGAAGGTCACGTAGAAGATCGCCGTCCTCGGACAGCGATGAGGAGGATGTTAGCCCTCCTCGTGAGCTACCTCCTACCACACCATCTGTGTTGCTTTCCTCCTCTCCCATCCTCAGACTGCCAACCCGTTGGAGCGATGCATACCGTAATGACATGTTAAGTCTTTCGTATGATGGACGTGAATTGATCTACCATGGTATCTATATCGTCTTTTTGACCCTCACAAAGTTTTTATCACCATCTCATTTCTCATTTCTGTAGGTGTCTCAAGCAGTGCTGACAAGGATGCAGCCGCCGCCAGAACAATTTATCCCATACCCCCAGCATGTGGCATATACTATTACGAAGTAGAGATTACAAGTAAAGGGAACAAAGGGTGGGCGGATTGGAAATTGCTTATCGATTCAAATGCTAATCTTTCTATTGAAGAAATATCAGTATAGGGTTCGTTCGCCTTCTTATCTCCTACTTACTTCTCTGATAACTTCCCTAGATTCATGGGCCGCGATGTCAAAGTGTCTCGTTTACCAGGCTGGGAGAAAAACTCCTGGGGATACCATGGTGATGATGGCTCTTCTTTTGCCGCTGAGGGGCGTGGGACTCCCTATGGGCCGGAGTTTGGAGGTCTGTTCTCATTCTTCAGCGGTTTATCTCAATAGAAAGTTGAACCAGTCCCTAGCTGGCGACGTTATTGGCTGCGGAATCGATTTCTGTCAAAATCGAGCTTTCTACACGAAGAATGGAACGTTGATCGGTAAATATGTTGTCATACTCTTGCTGTCTTCTTTGATCTTACACAGGTATAATTTTAGGCCCTGTATTTGAGAATGTTGGTCGCGATTGCGACTTGTATCCAGCGGTTGGCCTCTGCCATTCTGGTGAATCGATCCGCGCCAATTTTGGTCACGAGCCATTCAAATATGCAATCGAAGACCACACGAGGAGACAGCAAAATCTGGCATGGGACAAAATCCAGTCCAAGCCTTTGGAATGGCCTCCTATATCCGGGATGAAGTATGAAAACGGCGCTGAAGGAAGCAAAGACGCCCCGTCGGGTTCCTCCTTGACTGCGGAGGAGCGCGTCAAAGTTCCTATCAATCAGCTTGTTCTATCGTATTTGGCTCATCATGGGTATGCTCGATCAGCCAGGGCATTTGAAGCCCAGTGCAAATCGAGAGGCGGCCTGTCGCACGTTGATAGTCTGACGCGGATTCCTCCGCCTATATCGTCTGCCTCTCGTTCAATTCATGATCACGGTATGGACATGGACGATGTAACCTCGGGAGAAGCACAAGAAGGCGATATCGAGCTCAGAACCCGTATTGTGGGGTCGGTAACTACCGGCGACATCGACACCGCGCTCATAGAGACCCAAACGCATTTCCCCAGCGTGCTTGAACGAGAGGAAGGCCTCATGCTGTTCAAGTTGCGCTGCAGGAAGTTTGTTGAACTTGTCTTAGAGGCCGCTGAATTAAAGAAGAAGATGAAGATGGAGGAATCTGAAATGACTATGGAGACTGAGTATGAAAATTCAGATGTTTTCAAGAGGGAGTGGGCCGACGGAATGGATGTTGATGATGGCGCCTCGCCTTCCTTATATGCAGGATCGATGGTGAGCAACGGTCACGGAGCAAGTAGTGCAGCAATTCCGATCAAAGCCAAACGAAAACAATCATTTGCTTCATCTCAACATAGCTGGGGGGCCGCAACTGCTTTGCAGTACGGATCTGCACTTGAGAAGGCAGTTCAATATGGTCAAATACTCCAATCGGACTACAAAGATCGACCTGAGATCCGAGCTATATTCAAGCGTACATCGGTAATTATGGCGTATGATGATCCGCTGGAGGCTGGTGGTGATGCTGCAGAGGTTGCAGGGCAGGGGGCGCGGGTTGCTCTTGCGACCGAGTTGAATCAAGCTATCTTGCGTGAGTTTAGTTTCCTCTTGCTGAGTCGATCTACATCTAAATAAATGGCATGTACTTTAGGATCACAGGGTCACCCGACGCATCCAGCGCTGGAGAAACTGTATCGCCAGACTGCTGCGTGCGTGATACATCTGGCGCTGTTAGGTGTAGGGACTGCTGCTTTTGCAGATATGCCCAGAGAGTTCTTGGATGCATGATATTTGATCATGGTACTTGTTAGTGAGGTGCGGATGCTAGAAACGAGTATGTTTTCTGCCTTATGCGAATCGTAAGTATATGTGTATCATGATAATTTTGGATGTAAAGTAATGTAGGCCTATTGACAAGAATCACGTCTCAATAAAAAATACTCGCTTGTGGATGAGTGGTCTTCCATCTATTGATACTATAATAGAACGTATATAAGTTATGGATACATGCAGCAACGTCGTGCAGTGTGGTAGGTGTACGGGTAGTGAGAAATGAAAGAGGAAATGTACAAAACTATGAACCAACAACTACCGTATCATTGGCCAACAGTAAAAGACTCTCCGCATCCGCACGCGTCCTTGATATTGGGATTCTTGAATACGAATTTGGAACTAAGGCAAGACCACATTAGCTACTTTCTTGCCATCAGCGGCTGACCGCTTACCTCAGAGAGTCCTCCTTCCAGTCCATTTCACTTCCGATTATAGAGAAGAGAGCCTTGCTGTCAATCAAGACACGAACTCCATCTTGCTGTACGACCTCATCAAACTTCTCTGGTTTATCCACATAGTCTAGATGGTATGACAGCCCTGCACAACCTTTATTCCGTACTCCAATGCGAATCAATTGCGGTGTAGGACCGTGTAGCATAGCTTGCAATCGCTGAACAGCGTTCGAAGTCTAGATGGATATAATTTTAGTTGTCATCAGAAAAGGAGAAGAGAGCACGCACTATCATTAACGCCGCCTTGGTTGAGCGAATTTTGGGTCTAGGTCTCTCCGCCTTTGGTATTGGTGGTGGGCGTGCGGCTACCTGCGGAGATGCGGCATCTGAAGACAGAGAATCTGCAGTGGGAACAACGGTTGGTGGTGAATCGGCCAAAGGAGGCGACTTCAGATGCTGCTCCGATGGTCCCCGTTCATTAGACCACGCGGACATCATCGCTCGTCGTTGTATAACATGAGCTCGTGGTATCTGGCGTAGACCGTAGAGTGCTGGACGTCGAGCGACATGGTGCAGGCGATGTAGATAAGCAGTTGAGGTCGACATGGTCAAGAGCAAGGACACAAATGACCAAGACAGAGCCTGACATACCCGGATATGGCGCCACAGTTTGTTGACGTTTGTTGGCTTGACCCGGACCAATCAAATCGCCCCAATTTCTCAAAGCCGAATTTCCGATCATTGATTTCCAGTCACGTGAGATGATAGAGCATGTCGCGTTTTCCCACAAAACTACGCTCTATCATCCACTAGTATAGTATCAAGAAGGATACAATAGCTACGTTACAGAGTATTCAATACTCGAATGTACAAGATAACATGGTTATAAATATGAAAGCAAGATGACAACAGGGCGATAGCAACAGAGGTAACAAACGAATTTCTAGCTCTACGATGATGCGTAATCTAACCGTGTTATAAATCGTCGGGGCCTTCCAAAGTCATTCTAGAGGTTATCCCCCAAGCCACATGGGAGGTTGGATCTCTTTTATATTTTTCAAATTGCTTTTGTTCCTCAGCATCTGGACCGTATACCACACGCACTGCTTCACACGCACGTTGTATCCAAGCATTGGCATGCTTACGATCAGAAGAAGCGACACATAGCTGGAAAGCATCGTAGCAGAACGAGTCTTGATAATGGACGAGCCCTTCGTCTCGAAGAAGCCGCAAAGCAAGTTTTACCTACGCAGCTCGAGTTAAAAGTGGGTAAAGCTGATAGCAAATTAATCATTACCTTTTTGACGCCCTGCGCAGGGTAATTACTGCATAGTGTTATCTCGTGATACAGACCCTTCAATCGTGCCCTCCTAGCCTCACTCTCCGCTAACTTCTCACCGACCAACGAACAAGTCTCGCAGCGACAGTGGAATTTGAACTTTGCTGCGAGCTCCTTTCTGCGCATTTCTCCGGTTTCTAGTAGACTGCCATAGCTGATACAAAGCTCCTCTCCTGAAACGATATCTTTCAGCGCACGAAACTCTACAGCTTGCTTATTTTCGTCCCAGCGGTTATTGACATTAGGCACACAGGACGAGTTGAAACGCGAACCACAAAGAAATACTCCAGCTGTGGAAGCTCTATGTCCGGAGAGTCCATCGTTGTTGCCGCACGGAAGTGCGTTTGTTTCGAATATACCCAGAAGGGGGGGAAGTCTATCCCGATGACAGTTGGAGAGCTGGAGATAGAGCCGCTTTTCCTGGGTGGATTTAGATGCGAGGCTGTCAACTACGCTCTGAAGACATCGCCCACGGGTCTGAGTGAATAACGGCGCCTCTTCCAAGATGGTCTCCCCTGCAGCAATATTTCGGACTGCAACGATACCAAGCCCCTTGCCGGTCACTGGCTGAAGTACAAACGCAGGATGGTCTGTCGGGCAGTTAGTTTCCATTAATTTTTTTTTACACGGTCGGCGACTTGAGTGCACTCACTAGACATGGATATTTCGGTCGGGGATAGGAGTGGACATTTTTTGGAGAGCGCCGCATGCCTTCAAAAAGGCCACCGTGCCGCTAGCTCATGGATTGGGAATAAAGGCCATGCTTCTTGGGCCTCCAAGAAGCTCATGGCGCCTACGTTAAGTTCACAGTCTCCGCATTTGGATCCGAAGAATCCGGGAATGGGTCGAGATATGGTCATTGTAGTACTATTCATCCGGCCAATATCTCATAGTTTGCTCACTGGACCTCGTAGGTGTTTGAACTGTGAGACCCGGGAGATCTGTGAAGCTTGGCGCTGGTAAGAAGCATGGCCCATTGTGCTCAGCGGACCGGCCGTCGAGGCATCGAGGAAATTTCGAAGTTAGAAGAAGCACGCGGTGCCAGCACAATCAGAAGGGTCCATAAATTTCTCGCCGGGCTGGTCTAGTGACCGAAATTTCAAAGCTTCGAGAGTTACCGGTGTTTCGTGCACTGGTTTGCTGAAGTCAAACATCTAAAAGCCGCGATTAGTGCAAGAAATGGAGTCGAGTTCTTCATGGAAGCAACCTAGTACAGTAGCTCCAAAATTTTAATTCCATCGGAGCCTATTCGAATGGTGCTTGAGGCGTTTTATAGCCAGTGACATGATCTTCTAAACATACGGGGTTCCGTCGGCTGTTCGAAAACTATAGAGAAAAAACAAAGGAGAAAGATGAGTTTAGTAGCTGGCTTCTCTTGGTATGTTATCTTTCTTTATGTTTATTGATTCCGCATCTGGAGAAGTGCTGGAATCAACCGCAGACGTGTCCCAGCGCCGACATTCACATCGGTGGCGACTACGACGAAGCCGATACTTGAGCCGACATTAGACAATAAAACCAAAGCTAGCGGGTTCAAGTAAGCGTACTTCGAGAATGGAGAAAAGTCCCATCGCAAGCAAGGACGATGGTCGCAGCGCAGTATGCTACCGATACACTAGAATTTGCCATTTGCCTATACCAATACACCCCTCACGTACAACTGAATATCGCCATGTATCAAACTTTCTAATCTCCACTACCTCCTAAGTACTTTCAGCGACAGCCGCAAATGTAAGAGTCTCGACTCTGCCGCGGCCCTTGCATTCCTTCTGAAGCAACTCATTTATCACACGGAATTGGCCTGGGTCAATAAGTAAGACCTAGGTGTTATGAAGGCCGGTCATTAGTGCCATGGAAAAGACGAAGAGAAATGTTTACTCACGGCTTCCCAAGATTCTCCCGTCTCATCACGCTCTACTTTCTCGGCAGTTACGAGCAGTTTTTCGCGTAATCGTTCTGCGTCCGCGGAGGGCATGAGTACACGCACACGCATTCTAGCGCGCTGAATTGGTAGCGTTGAACCACTTTGAAGGAGCTTCAACGTTTCTGATACCTATCAAAATTATAGGTTCAGCAACTATATTCCTAAGCAACACCTTCTTACTCACTTGGCTCTTCGCCGTCTTTCCTACCTTCACGCTCACCCCTGCTTCTGCCATCGCCTTCTCAATCATGCCGACGGGATAAGGACGTTGTGTAGCAGGATCGACACATTTCTCAGCGACCAAAGTCGCGATTTCCTTACGCAGAGCAGTAAGATCATGATCACGTTCCTTTTCTCCGACCTGAAGCTCCCCTTTCTTCAGTATCTGGATATTAAACGTTTAGAGGATCGATTGTTACTAAAGAAGTACCACGAACCTCTTTGACGATATCGTCTATTTGAGTCGTTCCGAAAGCTTTCTGCAGATCGTTGGACTTGGCGACCTCTCCTTTCGAAACATTGATGAAGACGTTGGAGATTTGCAAGACATCATCCAAGCTAGTCTCTCTAGATATAACCAGTCACCATCGGGGGTCTTGAATACCAAAGCAAAGCTGCTCACACTCCATTGCGGTATTCCTGCACCTTGTTTTTATAGCATGCGATCTGGCTCACATCTGCTTAAAAAGGAGGGGGATCCGACTCAAAGTTAAGGACGTACTTCAAAGCGCTTTCCGCCCTTCTTGAGTCTCACGATTGAGACATTCGTTAACCTGTACTTGGACGGGTGTCAGCTAGTAGCACTGATATCATGGCAAATTGAAAACCGACTTGATCTGGTTTGAAGGCTGATTGATAGGCATGGTTTGAATTACTCCAGAGGGGAATGACGATGGTTGAGATAATACGGGGCTGGCAAAAGAGATGATAAAAAAGCCGTTAAAGAGAAATGGCGCCTTCGAAAACGAGCTCCCAAGTGAAATAAAAGTGAAGCAAAGATGTTCTGTCTCTGGCGTTATAAATGGGCTACAAGAGTGCTACAAGTGACTAGGAAATGACAGGAAGGGGTCCGATGGGTTACATAATGCGATATGGGCTGTTGGTGGTAGCGCCACAGTGCCATCCTGCATCCGCCATCTGCACAGCCTCAGCCTGTGGTCCGCAGGAACGGTAGCGCTCTTCATCTTTGCCCTTTCACTATCCTCTCAACCCCCATCTTTCTCTTTTTCTTCTGTGTTTCGAGCCCAGCATATATATCTGGAATTAGCAGCGAATACAGAAAAATGAAGGGATTTACCAAGGCCATCAAGCGGTATGTACGATTATATGCGCTTACCCGGCGGTTATTCACAGTTGCAATATACGATTCTGCACTTTTGCAAGAGTTGTCGAGTGTATATATGCTCTGCATTATCTTTCATTTAATGGCGCGCTTCCCACCGCCTCTCATCTCTAATCAATGTGCACAAGATACTAATCTAAGTCATGTTCGATAACTCAGGACACCCCATCTTGTCACAGCGAAAGTCGGATTTGCGAAGAGTACGTCTTTACTCGAATGCGGCATGAACAATCGAGCTAAATCATCACAGAGTCCTCTGATCCCGAGTTTGATGATTATGGTCGACACTTTGCTGCACTTGAGCAGTCTACAGAAAAGTTACTCAAGGACACAAAAGCCTACAGCGAGGCCGTTGTAGGTACATCGATCAGCCACTATATGCAGTTTCATTCAGCTCAAAGAAACCCGTCGATCTACAGCTCTCGTCACATCTGCCTCTGGTTTCGCCAACCATCATAACTTTATCTACACTCCTCTCTCTTCCGAACTAAACTTGGCTGGAAAACACCCTACTTGTGCTGCCACCCTTGCCAATACCCCTGCGTACGCAGCACAGCTAGAAGAGCTACGTGCCGCCATTTCGCCCGAGCTGGAGCTCATCGAGAGCCGCATTGTCGCACCCGTCAAGGAGTTTCAAGGAGTTTTGAAAATGATCAGGAAATCTATCACGAAGAGAGAGCATAAGCTGGTGGATTACGATCGATTTAACAATTCACTCACGAAGCTTAGAGATAAGAAGGAAAAGAGTTTGAGCGATGAGAAGAACTTGTTCAAGGTGCGAATCACGCCTGTCAGCTCCTTTTATCAATTTCACCTGACGTGTTTTGAAGCTTGAGCAAGACTTTGAAATTGCAACAAACGAATATGATTATATCAACAACGCGATGAAGACCGATCTTCCACGCTTCATGCAGATGGCAACCCAATTTATTGACCCTCTTTTCCATTCATTCTTCTACATGCAGTATGTCTTCTTCCCTGCGATAATCCCACATCAAGCTAACTGGGAGGTAGACTCAACGTATACTATGTATTCCTTGAGAAAATGCACGGTTTTGCTGAAGGTCGATACGATGTCACCAACGTGCCAGGAGCACAGATCCTAGCCGACTATGAGGAGCACAGGACGGATGCTTGGAGCCAGATCGAAGACCTCAACATCACGAAGCGAATCATATCAACTTGTACGTCCTAGTCATTTTGTCGTCTTGCTCTTACGATCAATACTAACAACAAGACCTCAATAGCTAAATTTGTTCAAGCAAATCGCAGCGCAGGGCTTGGTGTAGGAGGGCCGGGAAGCTCGCTTGGGCGTTCAGCCAGCGCAGCAACGACATCTAGTGTATCCAGCACCTCGCGAAATGTACCACCACCTTCCCGTACGCCGTCATCGACGTTTAGTAAAAAGGCTCCACCTCCTCCACCAGCACCAGGAGGACAACACCAATTCTTGGCTCCCCCACCACCGTACACTCCCAGCGGCGGCAACGCAAGTTCTGCGGGGGCAGCGGCAGCTGTCAAACGGCCTGCTCCCCCTCCTCCTTTGAAGCCCAAGCCCAAACCTGAGGCTGAATACGTAACTGCTCTTTATGATTTCGACGCACAGGTATGCATATGTGCTCGTACAATAACGTTTTACGGAAATCTAATGAGACTTGTTTCAGGCCAGTGGGGACCTCTCTTTTAAGACTGGTGATCGTATTGAAATCGTGACCAAGACGGAGAGCCAGGAAGATTGGTGGACTGGCCGAGTGAATGGAGAAGAAGGGGTATTTCCGGGCAACTACGTTCAGTAAATATTGTAGTGAAACACGATGGTACAGTCTGTACATCAAGGACACGATCAGATATTACAAAGAGTCCGTCTGACAGTTGTTGTGATGATGGGCGCCTGTCTACTGACTACGTGACTTCTGTATTTCAAACACTCTACAAATTCAAGACCTGTTTGATGGTCTTCCACTGATGGCCCTCCCAAAGGGCATTCGCGCCATTAGCTTGTTCCGAATCTTTCCTTGTGACAGTATCCCATCCGGAGCTACCAGCTCCCAACTCAAACACCTTCTGCAGGTCTTCTTTCACATGCGCGGTAGGTCCTGGCAGGTCGCTGGGCAGCTTATCGACATACTCGACGATCATCTCGTCTCCATGGAGCGCTGCGATTTCAGTCATGGTCGCTCGCTGACCTTCAAGACGGAATATGGCATTGTGGAGCTGTGACGGTGGGAGTGTGGTGAGAATATGTGCAAGGAAGCCTTTTTCCATGGGGGATGCGTTAGGATGTGAATAGTATCACATACATGAACCGAGACCTTACCTGCTACGTCCTCGATGGCCGTGAAGGACACAGGTTTGTCGCCTTTTCCCAATATGAAGAACTTGCCTGTTTCAGGTATAGCAGCAACGAACGGAACGAACTCATGGAAAAGCCCATTCTATGCGCGTCACGATTAGCAAAAACCGTTTCATGAGCGGGAGCCCAAACTTACGTATAGCAAAGCGTACGGGAGTCCAAGAGATTTCAAGTACTCTTCATGAAAATCAAGATAAATAGCTGCTCATTGCTTGGAAACAGTGACTGATCTCACCTACTGTACGCGCCTTGGCCGTCAATATAGGATTGATCTCTTTAGATAATCCGTCGGGAGGCATACCGAACTCTGACGGCACGAACAGCTTGACACCCGCCTCCTTTGCAGCATCTATAAGAGGCTTCTGAGCCAAGAAACCGTCGCCCCGGACGAACGACATGGCAGAGACGAGCACGTCAACTTTGTGCTCGCGCAGGATAGATGCCACAGCTGAGACGTTGTCGTATTCGACCGGGACCAATTGAGCACCTGGAGGCAAGGTCTTCTTAGTGGAGGAGGGACGAGCGAGGACTAGGATTGGGGCGCCTCGAGCGACGAGGGCGTGGACGATGGGAAGCCCGATGTGGGGTCCTGCACCGACGATGGCAAAGGATGCGTATGTTGTTTCGGACATATAATCTCGATGGGATGCTAGGTGATGACTTCAACTTGAAGTTGTGGTGTGGACCGCAGGTCGCTTTATACGATTCGAAAAGTACATTCCGGTTAATGACGACATGATAAGCTGGGAAGATTGGTCGTGGATTAGACAAGCATGATATCCAGTATGAGGAGTAAGCTTACGGCGTAAGCAGTTCTCCGACTGTTCTCGGGACCCAAAGTTGAGTCATGGTCGAACCACTCGATCCCAGGGGTTGTCCCATACCTTCCAGATATCTTGAAGGGCCACTAAAACTTCTGCTCCAGCATGAATGACATGGCTTATCCTCAGTCCATGCAGTATCGTGGCTTAGGCAAGCAAATGTAACTTGAAAAGCTGACGAACTCCTGCGATAATGAGCAAAGGTAGCGCAAAATTCTGGACGAGTACAAGTACCGGCGCGTGTGATGCATTAGCCTCAGGTCAAAAACGGGTGTGAAAAGCGGCACTTTGCCGCGTATACACGCAAGTGTAGGAGAAACCAAAAAGGCAGGTGTAGTAGTAAGACAACTTGAAGTCCCACTTCAAACCCGTCTGAATAGTCGACTACAACTACACGGGTTCCAGCGGAGCTCCTCTCGTAGACGATGGTCGAGGATTTTGACTGTCCGGAGCAAATGCAACTCTGCCTGACTTGACCGTCTCTATTCTTGCTGCTAATTATCAGCCCTTTCAATGCCAAAACCTCTTCAACATAAGCAATGAAATAGTGGGTGCTTATGCCACGGATATGGAGACGTTGACTGATCTGGGGCTGTAAAGAGTGGTCAGAAAGTGTTGTTTCTTTGACAATCAAGGTCCTACGCCAGCGCCATCTGAACATCCCTCTCGGCTGTCATTCGATACACTCGAGATTTTATGATGCAAATCTCACCAAAGACCATCAAACAGTCCAACGATTAGCCTGAGTGCGTTCATCTTCATCAAAATCTCACCACATGAGTGATGACTCTTGATCGTACCGCCCGTAGTCTGTTAGATAACCTCGACCTTTGGTTAGAATGCACTGTGAGTAAGCACAACTAAGTGTAGGTGTGGTACGTACGTGGTATTGATATGGTATCGCCTGATCATGAAGAGACTGAGCCGTCATACAAGTATTGTCTGTGTGGGGGCAGGTTGAACCGATTACGCTGCCCTCAAATCGTAGTATTGCGCTTCCAGACCGTCGATACCTCGAGATTCACGCCATGTGTTGTAAAATTGCTCATCTGTCTGGAGCAGCAAATTCCATCGACGAGATCCATCGAGATGTGGCAGATATATGCCAGTGTGTGCTTGCCAAAGATGGTTCATCATCAATCAATTTGTTGACCTGCAAGGTTTTTAGCTTGAGTATTTGTATCCCCTTGCTGCTGCAGCAATCGCTGAAGTAACTGCAGTTAGGATTAAGCCGCCTAATTAGTGGGGGTCGTGCTACAACCCGTTTCAAGTTACTGATTAGTGACTCTTTTGGTTTCACATAGGTGACTGATCTTAGTGACATTATATAGACAATACAACACGGGATTCGATATGGCATACTTACAACGATTACCCTTGCCATTCAATATTACAATTCGCATCTCTAAAGATCCAATACTTCTTTCACGGTTTTCCACTGATGGCCTTCCCAAAGCGCATTCGAATGTCCTACAGGCACCTCGCCTTCCCGACCTAACGCGGGGTCATAGCCAACACTAACAGCACCCTTTTCGACCTTTTGCTGGAAGTAGTCCCTCACCTCTGTTGCGCCAGACGGAAAGTAGCCTCTCGCTTGTGCTCCAGGGGCTCCATCGGGCATCGTATTGACGTATTCGACAGGTGCAATGCCCTCGTAGAACTTGGCAATATGGGCTAAGCTACCTCGCTGCCCTTCGATTCGGAATGAGGTATCATGGAGCTTGGATGGTGGCAGGGTGGTCAGGATGTGTGCAAGAAAACCTGCACGGAGGAGGGATGAGAAATGAATCCGGATAACCAAGGGACTTGTGGGTGATACTCACCTGCGACGTCCTCGATGGCTGTGAACGATGCAGGTACTTTGCCACTACCGACGATCAAGAATTTACCAGTATCAGGGACACCTGTTAGCCATGGGATATATTCGTAAAAAAGGCCACACTATAAGATGACGTTTTAGAAGATATGGTAGCTCATGGCTGGGAAATCACTGACATATACTCTAGCAAACGGTAATCCGATAGATTTCAGGTAATCTGCATGGACGGTTTGGTAGTCCAAACGAACAAAGCGGTTAGAGACGATGGACTCACCAACAAACTGTGATTTTGCCAATGCGAAGCCCTCCGTACCTCCCTCGGTTGGCATTCCGAACTCTGGAGGCACGAAGAGCTTCACACCTGCCGCTTTGGCAGCTTGAGCTAGAGGCATCTGGGATAGTAAACCCTCAGAGGAGACAGCAGAGACAACCACATCAACGTGATGCTCTCGCAGGACCGAGGTGGCTGCCAACACGTCTGAATAGTCGACTGCAACGACACGGGTTCCAGCGGGGAGCTCCCTGGTAGACGAAGGTCGAACGAGGACTATGACTGAGAGATTGTGAGCGAGGAGGGCGCGTACGATGGGGAGGCCCAGGTTTGGCCCTGCTCCGGCGACGGCGACGGTTTTGTAGGTTGACTCGGACATGAACCGGGGTTTTCAATGAAGATAGATGTAGTCTGTTAGAACTGGATATTTGGATACAAAATTACATTTGTCCTTCGCATGGAATGTTATATACAGGTAATCTGGAACAACTGAAACGTTTGGTTTGGCGGCTAGGGTAAGAGTCACCCTCGACTTGCGCCGGGTCCGGCGTACGCTTGAAGTCGGTCTCGACTCCAACCAAGTCCTTATTTCGGGGCCAGAAGAGTGGTCGTGTCATGAAGCGAGCACAATGTGGTAGATATGAGAGGGATGTGCGCGGGGTGGACAGGTTTTGTAATAACAACTGACAGAGTTGCAATTAGTTCTACAATGAATTTTAAACATATACCCAGGTCACCACGCTATTGCTACAATCTATATCCCTTTATTGTGAAAGAGCTATTGAAGAAGACCCCCCGGGCCAATGAAACCCAGTCATAGTATACAAGAAAAATAAACAGCAAATCTTGTCCACAGACTAGGAAGAACTATGGGCAAGGAAGAACTGTACTTTTTTTGTCCCGCATTTGTTAAAATCCAACAGCAACTTCTCATAGAGTGTTCGAGCTGACAAGTGCCTTTGAGACGCAAGGTTGTTCTGATATTAGCTGAAAGAGTCATCGAAATTTCCTAAGGTTCCTCAAAAACTTATGAAGTCATGGTTTATTGGTAAACTCCACACACTACTGTAGCGAAAGCAGCACATTCCGTATATTACGGACGTGCTTTGATATTGCTGACAATCAAACTCTGTTGTAACATGATTCAGTAAGCTATTTGTAACAAAAGCGTTTAGTTGAGTCATACCTTGTAGCTTTGTACATCCCCCCTGAACTTCGTCACAGTTCCATCGCCGCACACCCATAACTAGGGTCATGAATGTCAGACTGCGTCAGAAGAAAGAAAAACTATATGCTATACCTCCTTCGCTACTGTCGTGATGAACCTCTCGTCGTGAGAGATGATGATGACACCTCCATTCCACGTGTTAAGAGCAGCCATTAGTGCGTCCAAGCCCTGCATTAATATGAATAGTCTGAACAACAATACATTTACTATGCACGTTACCTCGATATCCAAATGATTAGTAGGCTAGATAAATATTTCATAAGTACCACTAGTCAAAGCAGAAAACGGAACCTGATCACTCGCCTCATCCAGCAACAATATATGAGGATTTTGTAAAGAAAGTGCAGCAAAGGCCACTCGAGACTTTTGACCACCACTCAAAGTCCCGATGAGCTGCAAGCTGGAGGATTAGTCGGTTCAGCGCTGATATCATATTAGTTTCACTATTTTACACACCCGGTCATGCCACTGATTTGGAAATTTCCCAGATGACCTCTGTATTCTTGCTCGCTCTTTCCGGGAAACTTCGAAGCTAGGAATTGTACAGGTGACAATGCCGCAGGCAGAGTATCAACATGGTGCTGTGCAAAGTACCCCCTGAAGTCAAAACAATTTAGGAGTATTTCAGCGAAAGAGAAACGGAAAGACAAACACGCGCAGCCGTCCGTTACGATTCACCTGCCCAGCAAACGCTCTAAGCTCTTCTGTCAATAATTTGATTCTATTATATGTCGGCGTTAAAAGAGGTCGTTCAAGGTACTATAAAAATAATAATCTTACAGTGTCGATTTTCCGGCTCCATTTGCACCAACTACAGCGATCCTCGAGTCCAATCCAACATCGATATTGATACCTTTCAGGATCAAGTTTTGAGGCGTGTAACCAAACGTCACCTCTGACAACTGCAGCAGAGGAGGTGATATTTTTTCCGCATCAGGGAATCTGGAGCGATATTGAATAGACAAGGAAAAAGAATTGTAAAACTCCTCACTTGAATGTTTCTGTTTCTTCCGCCTCTGGTGGTTCAAGGTCGGGCAACTTCGGGAGAGTTGAGTAAAGAGGCTTTATCTTTATATTAGTGTAGATTTCATATACCTTTTCTAAGATTTTTATTCTCATCTGAGCCTGCGAGGCTACTCGACGTCTCAGATCTTCGTCATTAAATATCAGTTTGACAATGGACTCACCTCGATTGGCATTATATCTCCATTTATCAATGAAAGCTTGAAGATGTTTACGGTAATCCATCTGCGTCTCGTATTCCTTGCGCAAGTTACGATCTCGTTCTGATTTTGTCGAGTAAAACTGAGTGAAGTTGCTGAATGTATAGAAAATTAGATCAAAAATTTTTGGAGACACTAAAGGAACCAACCCTTTGTAATAGTCCAACCTTCCAGAATGCTGGTGTACTATATCAGTAGCGACAGCATCTCTAGAAAGAGCAACTGTGAGAATCGGTTGAGCTGCTACATGCTTATATAGTACTCACAAAAAGGCACGGTCATGGGACCTGGAGACAAGCATTAAGAGCGCGTAGTTTGAGTGTAGTGAAAATACACTTACACCACCAGCAATGTTCCTGCCCAGGTTTGTAGGTAGTCCTCCAACCACGCTAGGGCATTGAGGTCGACTATTGCGCGCATTGTTGGGTAAAATAGAAATTACAGGGATAGACCAAGTCACATACTGTGATTTGAAGGTTCATCGAGTAGCAATAGGGCCGGCTAGTTCACTTTAATTTACGCGCAAGAAGGGTTTATTGAAGAGACGAACCTTGACGAACAACGCTCGGGCCAGTGCAAGACGCATGCTACAAAAAAATGCTAATTAACAAATAAAAGTTGCATATCGTTCGTTTTCATACCGCCATCCACCACTAAAGGCTCTTGTTGGTCTTTGTTGATCCTGTTCATTGAAGCCTAGACCTGGTACCAGATAACTTCTGTTAGTCGTGATAAGGCGAAGTAAATAAGATTTTACCAGCAAGCAGTGCAGCTGCCCTAGAGGGTCCACTCTCTGCATCCATGTCACTCAAACGAGCGTGAATTTCTGCCAATCTGGAAGCAGCTTCCTGCCTTGCGTCTTCAAATCGTTTGTCATCGCCTTCGCGTTCTAATTCATTAAGTTTCTCATTGAGAGACTGCTCTTCTTTGAGTAGGTGGTCTCTCCAAACGTCTGCCTTTAGAACGGAATCGATAGCCGTCGTATCATCACCTACAATCTAGATAGAAAGGTCAAGATATGATAAAAACCCTTTTGCATGTACCAGCTTACCTCTTGTTCCACAAATAAAATAGTGATGTGTGCAGGTATTGGTACCTCCCTCATGGCGATGTGTCGCAAGAGGGTAGACTTCCCCACACCTGTTGATATAATGTGAATCTCGCATTGATATTCCGTATTAAACGAAAGTGAAAACTACCATTTCGACCGATAAGTCCATAGCGCCGTCCATAGGCTAAAGTGAGACTGGCACCGGATCTACGATGAAGTCAGCATGGAAAATTTCCAGAGTAAATCAAGGGATAAAACATACAGGATCCTGTTGGAGGCGAAGTTGACATCAATCGAGGGCAAGTGAATGTCCTTGCTCTTGTTTTTGGCGGCTGCATTAGCTTCAAGCGGGTTTATCTAAAGCGAGTTGTCAACAGAGACAGGAATGTAACTTCTTGATTTAGCTCACCTTCATGAACATCTCTTCGTACGTTTGCTATGTGATCAAGAGTGCTACATGAGACGGTAGTGACAGGAAAGCGTTATTACTTACTTGTTTGCGATGTTGATCAAGCAATTTGGAACCTTCGTATAGATCTCTTCGGGCCCGTTTTTCAATTTTAGCCTACATATCCACAGTGAGGAGCTCGTCAGATGAAGTGAATTTATGTGCCAACTTTGAGTTTCGCCTCCTGTTTCTCGAGTTTCTTGACGTCTACCCTGGAGGCTCTAGCAACAGCACATCATTGAGTGGACACTATCAATAATGATGAATACACTTACTTTCCTTTATTTATACTCTCCAAGTCCACTCCTTCGCCAAACGCTATTGTGTTGGATAACGATCCCACTTTACTCATGTCCATGACCTTGTCCAATTTGGTCAATTTTGGACCGGCCTTCCTCTTGATGCGAGCATCAAGCTGGTCAGATAGTAGCGTCTCCAATGTGGACATCAGTCTTTTCACGGTATCTTCTTGATCAATGCCCAAGGACTCGAGCATGTCACGGGCCACTTGAAGAACGTCTTCCTCCTCCCCTGCATCATCGACCAGATAACCTGATAGATATTGAACTATAAGTTCCTCAGTTCCTGGAAATGCAGCACGGATCTCTTCTGCGATATCTAGAGACGACATATTTCGCAAAAAAAAAAAAATTGGTTTTGGCTCCTGATAGCGATGCCTGTCTCCAGGTCTGACTCGGAGAACACTCGCAGCCACAACTACTATACACGACTTTCCATATGTCACGTGCTTTGAAAGAGTCGCGGTTGTCGCGGTTTCAACAATCCCATACAACCTCATCCACTGACAACCAGCACATCTTATTTCTCCCTCGTTCTCCTCGTGAAAATGAGCTCTTCTGAAGATGAGATCATTGCCATAAGTGATGTTTCTGGCTCTGAAAGCGAAGATTACGCGCCTGCCGTGCAAAAACGCGTGAGTGATCCTGCTCACTTCCTGGCATACTTTTAGACGCAAGTGGCATTAGGCGATAGCACCACCAAAGAAAACCATCAAAGCCAGCTCGAAGCCTACGAAACCTCCCGCGAAAGCAAAGCCAGCTGCTAAGAAGGTTCTCGCGGAGAAGGACGAGAACGCTGATGAGAGTATCATGGATGTGGACGATGTGATGATATCCGAAGATGATGAAGCTGGCCCGTCTCAGCCTAAACCCACAGTAGCGAAAAATGGGAAGAAGAAAACTGCCTCAGAGACATATACCAAAGTACCCTTGCTCATGATTCCAATACACGGGTCATTCATATAAAGATCCTATTGACAGCTATCCCAATTGGAGCACATCCTCAAGCGTCCGGATTCATACATCGGGAGTGTTGAGACAATCACTCAAGCGCTCTGGACTTACGATGCGGACACGAAGCGCATGGTACACCGAGAGCTTAAGTACGTTCCAGGCTTTTTCAAAATAGTCGATGAGATTCTTGTCAATGCCGCAGACAACAAGGTTTATTCCTCCATTTTGCTCATTTATGCTCAATACTGAACCAAAATTACAGATCAATGACAAGACAATGGATACCCTCAAGGTCACAATCGATGTCGATAATTCCACGATATCTGTCTTCAATAATGGACGTGGTATCCCGATTGAGATGCACTCGACAGAGAAGATGTACATTCCAGAACTCATATTTGGGCACCTGCTTTCTTCTTCCAACTATGACGACGACGAAAAGAAGCTAACTGGAGGACGTAACGGTTATGGTGCGAAACTCGCTAACATATACTCTCATGAGTTCACGATCGATACCGCCGACAAGAACTCTAGCCAGAAGTACAAACAAACATGGACCAATAATATGTCTAACGTTGGAAAGGCGAAAATCACCAAGAATTCCAAAAATGAAGAATACACTCGAGTAACCTTCAGACCCGATCTCAAACGCTTTGGGATGGACAGTATTGACGAAGATACTGTCTCCCTGCTCAAGAAACGTGTATATGATATGGCTGGTACTATCAGGGATGTGAAGGTCTTCCTCAATGACGAACGGCTCAAGATTAAAAACTTCAAACAATATGTCGAACTTTATCTCAATTCTGTCGCTGCCGAGGCCGCTGAAGCCTCTGGTGGTGCTGCACAGGCTAAGCCTACGGTCATCCACGAACAAGTAGGACCGCGGTGGGAGGTGGCATTTGCCGTATCCGACGGGTCCTTTCAACAAGTATCGTTTGCCAACTCTATAGCCACGACGAAAGGCGGTACACATGTCACATTGATTTCTGATCAACTTGCGAAGAATTTGATTGCGGCTATAACAAAGAAGAACAAGGCTGCCACAGTCAAACCTGCACAGATCAAGAACCATATGTGGATTTTTGTCAATGCCTTGATAGAAAATCCGACGTTTGACAGTCAAACGAAAGAGACTCTGACGCTTCCTGCTGGGAAATTTGGGACAAAGCCTGTACTCTCGGAAGAATTTATGAAAAAAGGTAAATTCCCTTTGTGTTTCGATGATGACGACTTATGATATTCTGTTATATAGTCCAAAAGTCGACAATCATTGATAATATATTGAATTGGGCAAAATTCAAGGCAGACCAACAAATCAAGAAAACCGACGGAAGCAAACGTAACCGGTAAGACGCTATCAGGACTCCCGTCCGAGTTTCTCATCATCTGGCTCGATGACTCTACAGACTGACTGGCCTGCCCAAGCTTGCTGATGCAAACAATGCTGGCACAAGAAATGCTGAAAAATGCACTCTCATTCTCACTGAAGGTGACTCTGCCAAAGTCTTGCCGTCGCTGGGCTTGGGGTCGTTGGCCGAGACAATTTCGGAGTATTCCCTTTGAGGGGAAAGTTGTTAAATGTACGAGAAGCCAAGCACGATCAGATAATGAAGAATGAAGAAATCCAGAACATTAAGAAAATCATGGGGCTTCAGCACAATAAGGTGTATAGTGGCATCGGTAGTTTGAGGTACGGACGGTTGATGATCATGACGGACCAGGTAGATTTTAGTGCCTTTTTTGGTGTGGTTCAACTATTAAACCTATGGTTCAAAGGATCACGATGGCTCTCACATTAAAGGACTCTTGATCAATTTTTTGGACCACTTTTTTCCCTCTCTTCTAAAGATACCCAACTTTTTGGTGGAGTTTGTCACTCCTATTGTCAGAGTGGGTATTGCTTCGTCCATCTTCGACCCTCCCCTGACGCTGAATGAAACATCTTTGCGGAATATAGGTTAGCAAAGGGAAGCAGCGTATTGACTTTTTCACCATTCCTGAGTACGAGCAGTGGGTGGAGGATACTCCAGATGCTCATAAGTGGGACGCCAAGTACTTCAAGGTGTGTGAAGGAACTTCTATAAGGCCTATCTCGCAATAACTAGTTCTATAGGGTCTAGGAACTAGCAGCGACTCCGATGCTCGACTTTATTTTAGTAACATGGCCAAACACATGATTCCCTTTGCTGCTACCCAGGATGGCGACAAGGAGTTAATTGAATTAGCTTTCAGCAAGAAAAAAGCAGACGAGCGAAAAGAATGGTTGCGTCAATTCAAGGTCGCCTCCGTTTGTGTACTGTCTACTTCGAGAAAGCTTAATTAGTATTTGAAAGGCTGGAACATATTTGGACCACAACATAGATGAAATTTCCTACTCGGACTTTATCAACAGGGAACTTATACTTTTCTCGATGGCGGATAATATTCGATCTATTCCTGCTCTTGCCGATGGTCTCAAACCCGGGCAGAGGAAGGTTATATGGGGCTGCTTCAAGCGCAAGCTTAAGAAAGAGATCAAGGTCAGATACTTGCATTTTCTTTGCTACATTTCTTCATTCTGTTATGATTCACAGGTGGCCCAACTCGTCGGTTATATATCTGAAGTAGCCGCTTACCATCACGGCGAAGCCAGCTTAACCATGACTATCGTCAACTTGGCGCAAGACTACGTTGGGAGCAATAATGTCAATCTACTGCTGCCGAATGGACAGTACGGCACACGAGATCAAGGGGGCAAAGACCATGCGTCTGCGAGATATATCTTTACCGAGCTGTCGCCGCTCGCTAGGACTATATACAATCCTGCTGACGATCCATTGCTGACTTATCTGAAAGAAGATAACGACTGGATTGAACCAGAATACTATTTGCCTGTCATTCCTCTTGTACTCATCAATGGTGCTGAGGGGATCGGCACTGGTAAGTTGGTCAGAATGTTAGAATGTTAATTGTTCTAATGTGAATATCAGGCTGGAGTACATCGATACCCTGTTACAATCCCGAAGATATTGTCAACAACATCCGCAGAATGATGGCTGGCGAAGAGTTGGTGCCAATGCTGCCTTGGTGGCGAGGCTTCAAAGGCACCATCAAGAAAGTAGGAGATTACAAGTATGATGTTATTGGTGTCGCAAGGAAAATCAATGATACCACGGTAGAGATCACCGAACTGCCTATCCACAAATGGACTCAAAACTACAAAGCCGAGTTGGAGGCCATGATTGGCGAGAAAGGAGAAGGGATTATCAAGGTCAGTCCTCTGGGCTCATCTTCAAGTGTTTATTGCACTCACCATCACTATCGTTGTACAGGATTACAAAGAACATCATGATAACGTTAACATTCATTTCGTCATCACGATGTCCCCGAAGGATCTCGAAAAGGCGGAAGAACAAGGCTTAACGGAATTCTTCAAACTTACCTCGAAAATCAACACAAGCAACATGATATGCTTCAACCTCGATGGGAAGATTCAGAAATACCAAACGCCTGAAGAAATCATTGAAGAGTTTTTCCCCAAGCGGCTTGCTTGTTACCAGAGTCGAAAAGTGAGTCAAGGTCCAGAATATCAATATTACATAATGTTTAGCTAACTAACTTGACATTCAATGTAGGACTACTTGGCAAATGAGCTCCAGACCCAATTTGAGAGGTTGTCTAACCAGGCACGATTCGTGAAAATGATTGTCGATAAAGAGCTTATAGTTGCAAACCGCAAAAAAGCGGATATCATCTCGGAACTGCGAAAGCTGAAATTCCGCCCATTCCCCAAAGTTGTGAAGGCTAAAGCTGCTGGAGAGGCCGAAGACGCTGAAGAAGAGGAAGACGAAACTAGTAACACATCTACCGATTACGATTATCTTTTGGGGATGGCGATATGGAGCTTGACTTCGGAAAAGGTTTATTCACACTTGCTCGAACGTTCAGAATAATCCTCTGACCTCTGGCACACAGATTGAAAAACTTTTACAACAAGCTCAGGAGAAGGAGGCGGAGTTGCTCATCCTCCTCGAGCGAACACCTGTGAAGATGTGGAATGAAGATTTAGATATGTTTATGGCCGAATGGCAGGTAATTCATAGTCTCTTGCGGTCCCACGGTAATTTTCATTTTCTGAATATTTTTCTAGAAAAACTGTGAACAATGGGAGAATAAGTCGCTGTTAGATGCAAATGGCAAACGAGTGAAGCGAAAACAGGCCACCCTAGAAACCAGGAAGTCTCTTTCTGGTCCTGGCAAGAAGAAAGCGCATGCTTCTGACGACTCTGATTACGATGTCAAACCTAAGAAGGCACCTGCCAAACCGAGGAAACCAGCCGAACCAAAGGCCACAGCGAAGAATGCGACAGCAGGCTCATCTAAAGTAAAGAAAGAAGAAGATATCGAAGTGGCACCTGTTATAGCGAAAGTGCAACAAGCATCAGCGAAACGGAAGACGTCAGTTTTTAAAGTCTTCATCTCAGTCACTTTGTTCTTATGTTGATTGTGTTGACAGTTCTGACATCGCTGAAGACGATAGTGACGACGATATGTACATTAAACCTGCAGCAAAGAAGAAGAAAGAAGCTCAAGCGTCGGTAACGGATTTCTTTGATAAGATGCCCAGTGGACCTTCCGAGACTACTAAGAAGACCACAGTACGAAAGGCATCAGGTAGCAAGTTAAATGCTCCTGCTAAAAAAACGGCACCCAAGCGACGAGTTGATGATAGTGACGATGACCTAGAAATGAGTGCTGCGTCAGGTAGCAAGCCAAAGGCTCCTGTTAAGAAAACGGCACCCAAGCGACGAGTCGAGGATAGCGATGATGACCTAGAAATCAGTGTTGCATCCGAAGGATCGGAACCCGCCGTTGCTCGGGCTGCTCCTCCTAAACGAGCTGCAAGAGTAAAGGCAAAGAAGTACATCGAGGTAGACTCGGATTCAGAAGATGGTGGGGGAGGAGATGATTCGATGTTTGAGGACTAGAACGTCGTGCCCGGTTAGGATTTCTCCTTTGAGCACTGCTTTTAAATATTTTATTTCCCAATGTTTCGTTTGCTTCGTCGTTCGTGTATCAATGTTGGTCGATACCACAAACTTGATCTGAATATTATTATGCATGAAAGCTTTGATATAGCCTGAGAGAATCAATAGACTAGTGCCACGTGCACGTGGCTGTGAGCGAGGCTAGCGAATTTATGTGTGCTTCGGTTTCTTGTGTTCTTGGTCTGTCCTTTAGCAAAGGATCCTTCGTCGACAGAAGGGTTTTGTCGAGGGACGCGCTCTGCGCATATATCCTTGAGTCTTGATATCCTTTTGCGCCCATACCACGTCTTCCTGAGTACGCGTACGATATCATCCACCTTTTTTCCTCATCATTTTTTTGACACAACACTTAGCCTCCAGTGTGTAAACCCCAGTGGTCTTCTGAAATACCCCATAATGTCTTCTCATCCTCGCCAACCACTTCCCCGCCTAAGCATTCCTCCTTCTCTCAATATGCAGCAACCTTTAGCATATGATGGCCGTCAACCTATGTATTCTCCTGCTCTTCCTACCTCTATCCAGCAGAGTTATCATCCTCCTTTCCCCATGAATGGACTTGCTCTGCAGACACCTATGCAACCATATTTTGCTCCTCAAATTCCTAATGCGCCTGGCCGACCTCCATATGGGTATCACAAAGGTCACGCAAGTATAGCACACCTCTCAGCTGGGATGCCCCAAAGCGCCGTCCCAATGACGCCTTTAGGGCAAGGTTTTCCTACGCCCATGATGCTTGGGAACAATATGCCATACGGTCAACAATTTGTTCCTAGAAATCGAAGAGCTCCTAGCATCAGTATCGGGGGCCCACCAAAAGCAGCGCTGGGAGGTCCAGGACGGAAGCATAGCCCAATGCCTCCTCAGCTGGCCAGCTCCTCAGTTGCGACTACGGGCGCCAAGGGTAGGAAGCTAACCGTGAATCTTCCTCAAGAAACGATTAATGGTCAGGACGGCGAACTTCCCTCACGTCCGACTTGGGCCCGAGATCCGATACCAGCTTGCACGCCAATGGAGCCGCATGCTGATCCTCTAGAGCTGCTGACTGCCGAAGCATATCCTTCAGACGCGTGGCGCCATACAGTTCCGGGCACTCTAGAAGTATTTTTGCCTGGAAAGGTTGTTGTTTTATTATCAACCTACTTCTTCTACTGCTGATAGTCTACTACGTTCATAGGGTGCGTGGGAAGCTATCAAGCAACGAGTAATTGAAGAGAAACTGGAGAAACTGGGCGTGGAACGCGGATCGGGCAGTAATGTTATGATTCATGCTCCTCATGCACGAGCTGCCTCGGTATGGATCAAAATTACTACTAGTATTCATGTGGCCGTTACAATATTGTTTTTAGATATCTTCTCCTGCGGACCCATCTTTACTATATTTCAAGCTCAACAAGTTGCAGCAATCTCAAAATACGTCGGCCACGAACTCATTATCGACGTCCCCTGGTCTACCTTTGAATCTGTCTCCTTCCCCTGGTCTCCAATTGCCCCCACGGTTTCAGAACAGGCATGGCCATAGTATGTCTCTCGCACAACCTTCTGCTCTTCAGTCACAGTTTTATAATCCTACTGCGTCATTCAATCCATTCGGTCCGAATGCTATACTTGGTTCAGACCAAATCATGAATGAAGAAGGCTCTCCAGAACCTCCATCGGTCGTAGATGATGGTATTCATGCCCCTCAAGGCCGTGTACCTTTGATCGTCTCGTCGCTTGCACCGAGGTCCATAAGTCGCACAGACAGTCGCCCCGATTTTATTCGTGGTTTTGGTTTGGATATCCCTGAAGAGGATGAAGAAGAGTTACAAGATAATGAATTTGTAGAGTTATCTCGAGACCATGACAACTTGGTTGCTGAAAGCGAAGATGTCGCCCAGGATGAAGTTGCAGTGGACATCTCTCAGGCAAATCAAGATGGTTTGTCTACTGCTGCGCAAAGCAGGTTGCACTCGAGACATGTGTCGCGATTGTCGCATACTTTATCTCTTCGCTCTGTAGGAGGAATTGTAGATGGTAATTCATCAGATAACGTTGGCATTATACCTGTTCGCAGTCCTGCGGGCAACCCCGACGTCGACGATTTAGACGAAGAAGCTGTAGATGAATGGACAGGATCAGAAGACCTACGTATGGGGGCTGAAAAGTCTGAAGATGAGGTAAGCTCTACCATTCTTGATTTGCCTGTCGAGATTTTCTCATAGCCAGTAGGAGAGTATCGGAGAGTGGTCAAACCCTTCAGACGAAGAGAGGGCCCGACAGGAGAGGGTTCATCGACGCATACTTCGCCATAGCCAGCATGAGTTGGAGATACCAAGGCGATTGCCCAACTTCCCTCGCCCCCCTGGTACTTTCGTCGTTTCGCTATCCAACGATGATGATGTCCTTTCTAATCCCAGTGAAGAGGAACACTTCCGTTCAGATCAGCACGTCCCTTATGCGGGACCCAATGCAAGCGATTTATTCGTTAGGCCATCGTCGACGTCAACAAACGGTAGAGTTCCGCGCCCTCTTCCTCCACTGCCTCATTCGCGGGGAACCTCCGGCCATTTCTCCGTTCATGACCCTGCTTTGGCACACTCTCGATCTACTTCCGAGCATATGAAGGGTCCACCTGAAAAGTCGCATACTGCTGCTGCGTCGTCTTCTGCAGGCGCCTTGAATCCGCATGCAAAGCCTTTCGTATTTGGCACTCATCGGTTATCAGGGTCGTGGTCAACTGAAGCTATCGTTCTACCACAAGCACCTGCGGTTGGTCATGTACGTGTCCCGTCATTAGGTAAACCTTTGAATGCGGCTGCACAAGAGTTCAAGCCTGGTGGACTGAATGGTTTCACATTCCGCCCACCTCCTGGCGTTCCCCAGTTGACGTTCCCTACTCCTCTCGAGCAACCACGTCCTTTGCCTGTGCCTCCTGTCAAACCCTCTCCCGCACGGGCTCAACAAGGCAGAGAAAAGAGACAACGTCGCGAATCACTCACTTCTTTGGACGGTGATGACGAAGACGGCAAGGAATCGATGTCCTCGTTCAGGTTCCCTCCCGCAAACGAATCTCCGCGCAGTATGCGACGATCAGCTCCCACTACTCCACGAAAACTGGAGTCTCATAGTGAAGATTCTGTCGAAGGAGCGACGCAAGCCCTGACTTTTGCCGGTTTCCCGTCCGCTATGTCGATGTCTCCGAGGGAAATCACACCTTTCACTCACGAGCAAGATGATGAGGCAAATGGTATCCCCGTTCTTCCACACAGTGACATTTATGCTTCACCGGTAGAGACGATGCCCACCATCATGCCCGCGAAGTCGAAACGTGCACCGATTCCTTTAGACTTCAAACGTCCCATTTCAAGTAACACTGTTCCTGCAGGTCTTTTCAAGGCGCTTGTCGGTGAGGAGAAAACACGTCGAACAGTTCGTTCTCGTCTAAGTTCACGCGAGATCTTTGAGCACTCCCATCGACCATCTCTTGATGATCTCACCGTTCCCACGATCTCGCGCACTATATCCAAGAGTCGGTTTGTTACAGATCCTGTGCACAGAAGGGAGTCGTCACAAGAGTCGGTCGATCTATTCACACCTGCCTTGAAAAGGAGGTCATCTTTACCTGCTTTGAACAGTTCTCACGATTCTTCTTTATCAAACGTATCTATTCCTGCATTGAACCTCACGAAGCGTCTAGAAGTTCAACAGTACGAGGAAAGACTGGAAGCCCTCTTGGACGAGAAATTCCAAATACTTCAACGAGAACTGTCTCAACATAATGGAGTCAGCGAGCGCCCTATAAACCAGTCTACTGAAGCGATGATTACCGAAGTCGTTACGTTATTCCGTGCTCAACTCCAGGAGTCCGCTGCACGAGGTTTAGAAGACAGTCAGATGGACGCTCGAGGCGAACTCGATCTTGAGTTGATCAAAGATGTCGTCCAGCAAGGCCACGCCGAGTCACGCGTGTTACTTCAGGCAGAGCTTAGAGATATTGTTCAGCGTTTGGATTCACAGATGCGGTCGGTCAACGTGGATCCCACAAATATGATACATGCGATGGAACAGATGAGCACACGCAGTCTACAAGTGCTCATGAATAATATATCTCAGTTATCCGCGAAGATCGAAACCAACAACGGTCGCTTCTTCTCTACGCAATATGAAAGGGAATCTCTGGTCAAGGAAATGATGTCTGCATTAACGCCAACTATCGCAGCCCTTCGTCCGGAACCCGTTGATTACGATTATTTGACTTCTCAGCTCAGTCAAGCAGTCAAACCTAATATTTCGCAACTGATTGACCTCGCCTCAGATAAGAGAGAAACAGCAGAGCTTATAGTGGGCAGTTTATTGCCTATCTTACCTCGCCTGGTCCCGGCTTCAAATCTGGATACCAACTCAATCGTTGCTCACATCACGACTGAAGTTCGTCGTGTGATTGCTCCGATTGATGCACACGAAATAAAAGAACAGGTTGCCGACCTCGTCGTGGAACGATTGGATTCTCGTCTGGCTGTGCGTGACAAGTTGTTCAATGTAGACAATTTGTCAGCGAAAGTGACCGAAACGGTTTCTGGTCTGCTGGAGCCGGTGAAGAGCCTTAATCCCAAGCTAGATCTCTTGTTAGAGGCACAACAAGCCTTGTCATTGCATCACGAACGTCTACCAAACATGCGCGATGATATTCTTAGCCTTCTTTCTGATCTTCCTTCTCAGCTCACAGAAGCAACTCGTGCTTTTGAAGATGCTAAGGCGCACCACTCTCAAGCAACTTCCAGCAATAGCGATGAAAAACACAAAGAAATCATGGAATATATGCAGTCTGTTGCAGGGACCTTCGCGGAAGGACAAATGTCGGCAAACCGTCAGAACGATGAAGTCGTTTCGCTTCAAAAGTCTATTCACAAAGACGTCGTTGATCGTCTAAGCGCCCTCCCAGAGGATTTGTCATCAGCTATCAATGTTTTGCAGGCTGCGCATGCCGAGTTTGCTTCTTCTCGAGAGGCTTCGAAACGCGACCTGGACGAGATTCGTAAATTGAGGGCGGCAAATAGTGATCTCCAAGTTCAGTTGGCAAAAGCTCGCGGCGCTCACGGGCAAGTACGAGTAGAGAAGGACAATTATAGCGAAAGGCTTAGAGCTGTTGAAGCTGAGCGGGATCGTCTCCGTATCCGGATGGAAGAACTTCAAGATGCTGTCAAATCAAAAGCAATAGAGTCCTCGACAATCGAATCACGGAACAGGGAATTGGAAGATGCCCTTTCTCAAAGTCTCGCTCGACTGAAAGCCTCTGACGTAGCCATCCAGGGTAATCAAGAGCGTATCAGCGAACTCGAAAACATTAACCGCGAAAGCGTGACTGAAACGCAAAGCTTAATAACTAAAGTTCGTGGTATCTTTCAATTGCCCCTTCTTTTACCTGATGTGTGATCGATCCTACAGGTGGAGTTGCTTGATAATCATATTAAACTCCTGTCAAACGAGAAAAATGCTACAAACGAGGCTCTGACAACCCTACAGAAGGAACATGAACGCCTTTCGTCGCAACAAAGCCACTGGGACGATCTCCATCGTGCATCGGAACAGATTCAAACACTTACTACTCTCATCGGACAAGCTGATAACGAAGAATTAAGTGAGTTGAGGCGAAGTCGAGACCGAAGTAAAGCCCTCGAAGTCGATCACGCAGCTCTTCAAAAGCGGTTCAGAGATCAAGAGAACAAAGCAACAAATAGCGAGCGAGCAGCCAATGCTGCGCGTCAAAGCTTAGTCCAAGCTCAACAGCGCTCCTCGGAGTGGGAAAAGCGAGCTAAAGAATATGAAGAGGAGCTAGAGGCAATGCGAAGCAAGTTGGACCATGTGGAGCAGACTCATGTACAGCTAGATGCCGACTTCTCATTGGCTAAGCTTCAGTTGGAAGAAAAAGACGCAGAAGAACGTTTAAGCAAGGTAAGCCCCCCAAGTGACCATCTCACATGTGAAGTGACTGACTTTACATTTTTATAGGATCGTGAAAATAAGCTTCGAGATCAATTGGCTGTCCTCGAGTCTCGTGTCGCACAGCTACAAGTAGAGGTGCAACACTCCAACATGATATCCGCCCAGTCTAAAGGGGAACATCGAAAGCCCGATACTACCAATGTGCAATCACCTCCACGACCCGATTCGCGCGCTAGTACTATCTTTAGTGAAGGTCGCGCTAGTACACCATTAGGCCGAATAAATGGTTCGCAATTTACACGCAGCGACACTCCACCTCAATCTTCTGTCTGGGATTCTATGCATGCACCGAAACGTTATCCTAATCTTGGGCCAGTGGCGCCACGTCCACAAAGTTATTACCGTTCTCCATTAGCTTCACCTACACCCAGCACCGTCTCAATCACACCAACGCAAGGCGATGATGGTTGGTGGTACGCGTAGCACTAATTCGTGTTTAATCTAGTACCCATTCTTGTCTTTGTTCTCGCAATTTTCCATATCTTGTTTAGTTTTCATTACATTCGTTAGTTTGCATCTATTTTCATTGGATTTCATGCTCATATATATATACCCTCATTTGTTGCTACATGTACAATCCAATGGGATCACATTAGTACGGAATAAGTGTTGCGTAATCAGAAAGTGTTGGAGTCTACTGTCCAGTAGATGGCCATATCCAATTCTGTACAGCATCTGTGGCCTCCTCTGGGTCATTAGGTATACTGGGGGAGGTCGTTTCAGGATAATGCAATGAGAGGAACAAATAATCTCACCAGAGTCGAGGCTGCCAACGACCGTCACGCACTTCAAAGAAGCGTGGCACGTACTGTTCACCACTTTCTTCTCTCTTCCGACGCAATTCACGCTGAGCATCCTCTACGGCACTCTTAGCTTCTGTTGCAGCTTCCATATCCTTCGCATTGATGGCTTGCGTGAGCTTTTGCCAGAGTCTGTGCAGAAGCCATATAAAACTTGTCGCACGGGTGCTATGAATGTAGTCCACTTACCGTCGTGACTCGTATGGTTCTTGCTCATCTTCGGGAACTACAAATTTGGGTGCAATATTTTGACCATCTTTTATCGCGTCGAAGAGCACACGTTTACTACCGTTCTAGAATCAAATAATCAAGCTCTTGAACGAATCATGTATGTCATTGTTACCTTTGCACTCTTGAATTCCATGGTATGACTCCATCTCCCTGATACCTCTCCTATATCTGCGTTACGCCTTCGAACACGGCCTGCTATAGCATTGTACGTTCCTGAGAAGAAGCCCTGTGAAGTATGCTCAGGCCAACCTGTAGAACGATTGAAAAGGAGGAACTTGGGGCATACTTTCGTCTTGAACTCAAGGTCACAGAATAGCCCATGCTTCTCATTCTTTGCGGTACAAGTGTCTCCAAGCTCAAGGACCATTTTCCCGAAAAGTATACCTCTTGCATACATATTGGGCATGGTGATCACATATTCTGAACAAGATATCAAAGCGAGTCCCTTATTTCGTTGATGGACTTATTGACGTACCGCCATCTTCGGGGCTTCCTAGTAGCATGATGCGGTTCTCGCCTTCCATCGTGGTCGAAACGCTGTTACCAAGGAACTTGGACTTGGGTCTCAGCTCTCCGATGATACATACTCGGTTTATGGGCGAAATGTATATAAATGCAGAGATTGGAGGATGATGGGATACTATGATGTTTCATCGTACCAATCTCCGCCTAATAATTTACGAGGTTTCTCACCTTGTTCAGCAACATAGAACCCCTGTGTTCCATTCGAATAGTCGTACCTACACCTGAAGAACTCGCCGAGGACCGGATTATACCTGGACGATGAAGATGTTCGTCTTGTAGTACATGTATTTCAGGTTGAGACTTACGGCTTCTTCACCCCTTTGGGCTTGATATGCCATCCAGCAAGGTAGTATTGCAGAACGCGTATGAATCTCTCCTCGGGGTCATTACACTTCTCGGAACTAACAGGTGGAAAGGCGGGGGAGTGAGTACAAAGCAAGAGGGGGTCAGTGATGATACTTGCCCGAAAACGAGATCAGGGTGAGACATGAAGTCAGTTATACGCTCGAGCATACTCCTGGGCTCAAGTACGAATGTGGGAAAGGTAACCTTGGATAGATCCATGCCAACTCTGCGATCGCAACGTCAAGACAGCAGGTGAGTAACGAGACTGTAGGGGGGAGTCCAAGAGCTGCGCACCTCAGCTGTGATATCAGCGAAGTAATAACAGAGCCTTCATCCTCGTCTCTGTATTGGGAATTAAAATCGAAGAAAGGCATTGTGAATAGTAGAAAGAAACAGACAAGACCGATGTATCGTCGGGCTCAGTGTCTTCTGGTGCTCTGTCGTCCACGGAGGTGCCTCGTGCCCGTCGGATATGGGATCCTGCCTGGCTGAAAAGGCCCATCATGGTGATATCGATATACACGCAGTCACTGGTCGACTTTTATAACCAATTGACACAGGTAAGATGGAGAGAAACACGCACGAGGTTTAGGTGATGCTGTGCGTCCACTGCCTTGGATTTCAGGGAATCTGCGTGCTGGACGATTAGACTGATTGTCGTATAGACTGGCTGAAATTATTACGAAAGTATGCTGCGGATGGTGGTTGAAAGCAAGAGGTTTGAGCGGAGGTGCAAGGCAAAGGCAAAGGGGAAGGTCCCAGTTAGTAATTGGATCAGAGTCGGACTAGCCTTGGCAGTGCGGGGCTGCCTAATAGACACGTCATATTGGTCGTCGAGGGCACGCTCATACATTACATGTCATCCATCACATCACTTATATCCGTGAAAAAAAAAGACATGCGACAGATACACTTGTGTATATATTCTCATCTACAACCTTACCACGCCTGCATTAAAATACGATCTTCGAGGGAGCAGCCGTGATATCGTCTCGGAAGAATGCACCATATGCACCATGTGTCTTTTTCTTGATAGTCATCGGGAAACTCTTCAGACCATCTGCTGCATTGTCAAAGCCACTCTCCCGAAGAACTCGTGCCAGCTCTCCTGCCAACGCCCGCTCATGATTATCCCCAGTGAAGAATGTGATAGACCTTCCAGTGCGACCGCCACGACCTGACGTAATACATGTCAATATTTTAGCCCAATGTATATATAGCGCATTCCATTTACCTGTCCGGCCAATTCGATGGATGTAGTCCTCAATTGTCAGTGGGAACGTATAGTTGATTACTGTTCCAACATTAGGTATGTCAAGACCACGCGCAGCCACGTCAGTGGCAACAAGAAGGCCGGTTTCACCAGTCTTGAATTTATCTAGCGCCTCCATCCGGGCAGATTGAGACATATCTCCGTGTAGAGCTCCAACATCATATCCGTGCCGTCGAAGTGTGCCCTCTACACGAGAAGCCTCTTTTTTATAGAGTGCAAAAATGAGGATGCGGGCTTCATCAGAACCCTTTTTGGATATCTTCTTGTGCGATAACGACCGCAGCCGTTCAAGTAGCCGTGAGCTATAGATAAAATCAGCTGAAGCACTGACCGAAGGCGATTACACACATACTCTTTATCCCGGACATCGTCAAATACTTCTACAAATTGTTCTACCCGACTGTTGGCCGTGAGGTCATCACTACCTACAGTAACCCGCACCGGGTTTCTCTGAAAGGTACTAGCCAGTCGCCGCACAGCCTCCGGCCAAGTCGCACTGACTAAACTAATATTAGCTTGTCATCCATGAAATCCGAGAGCGCAAATTACACATCATGGTCTGCCGCTCTGCTCCTTGCAAGGTCCGAGAGATAATAGCCCTTATGTCGTTCTCGAAACCCTTGTCCAACATTCGATCTGCTTCATCAAGCACCAAGTAGTTTACCCTTCTCCAAGTTTAGCGAGATAAAAAAGACACAATCAAATAAATAAGTATTCACCGACTGAGATCGCATACACCATCATTGGCGAGGTCGAGAATACGGCCGGGGGTGCCAACAATGATTCGCGTTATCTTTCCGTCCTTGTTAGCGTTGGCTAATGTTTTTACTTGAGGTGCCTTGTCAACTCCGCCGAACACAGCTACACTGGCAATACCGTATTGTGCGCCGAGGGCAAAAAGGGTATCGTGTGTTTGAATGGCGAGTTCCCGGGTTGGTGCGACAACCAAAGTCGTCACAGTTGACTTTCCTTTTTTCTCGGGCGGAGATGATAAGATTCGAGCAAGCGCCGGCAGACCAAAAGCCAGAGTTTTTCCACTACAGTGAATATTAGTTAATAAAATATATGGAAGTTCAATGACATTTTGACTTACCTCCCTGTTTCCGCTATTCCCACAACATCGCGACCTTGCAAAGCTGGCGGCCACGTGCACGCTTGTACAGGAGTGGGCTCCTTGAAGCCGGAAAATGCAGATGATAGGCCTGAGGGGATTGCAAGTTGAGAAAACGATAATATGGGCACCACAGCATCAATATCGTCGGGCGTGTGGATTGTGATAGCGTGTTTTGTCAAGAAATCGTTGACTTCCGTTGCCGAAGGGGCATCTGAAGGTGTAGGATGAGAAACTGCAGCTGAAGACTTTGATGAATCAGATATTCTAGTCGGCCCATCGGTCTCTGTGGATCCATTTTCTTCACCCTTTTTCCGCTTTTTCTTCTTGTCCTTCTTGACAGTGCCAGACTCGGTCGGTTTGTCTTCTTTTTCAGCCTCTTCTTTCTGCCTTTTCTTTTTCTCCTTCTTGACAGAGCTGAGTTCGACCGCGTTTTGTTCATCTCCAGCCTCTCTTTTCCGCTTCTTCTCCTTTTTATCGCGCCTTTCTCCATCTCCCACTAAGGAGCACATTCATTACAAGCTGGAGAAGATGGGATAACGAGAGTAAACGTACATGGATCGTCCACAACCATCTTTACGACAACTTCACAGGCATCGTTTGGAGTCTTTTTGCTCTTGCTCTTTTTCTCCTTCTTTTTTTCACCTGACTTGGAAAAAGAAAATAATGAGCTATATCAGTGATGCTATAATGGCAAGCAACGAACCTTTTGTCTCGACGTTGTCAACAGCAACCTGGTCCGTCGCCTGCTTGTGCTTTCTTGACTTTTTGTCCTTTTTTATATGGACGGTATCTGATGTCGCATCCTCCGACATGGTCACTGGAGAGATGTACACCGTGACACAAATATCAATTCTCATATTTTGTGATTAGGTAAGCTACTGGACATGAGAGATGTGGGCTGACACCACGAGCATGAAAGTGTTCCAGCCAAGCCGGGTATGATTCACACACAAACCTCGATGGCCTGACTGTGATACTTCAAATATTATAAATATATACTTTGTGATAGATTAACTAAAATTAAACCAATGTTTTGAGAAATAGCTGGGATGCTTTGTGCCCAGTTCGAGGCTGACATGCTGCTGGTTCTTTATAAACTAGGTTTGTATTGGCTGAGCTGCTTGTAAGGAATCAAATTTTCTATTGCATTCCTGCCATGTCATGGTTATCCAACCCATTCCCTGTCACTCCTCTCACCATTGGATCAGAAGTCACGGCCGGTACTCTCTTGCTTGTATCCTTCTTTTTCTTATTTTCCTTTCACGCTTGTATCCTATCATACTTACAGTGTAGGAGATTCCTCTCCCATCCTCGAGAAGATATCCCAATGGCATAACTCTGATCAATGTCAGGCAACGAATACGAAGCTATATAACAAAACACAATGCCTGGTCAAGTCCTTGCTGAAAGGCGGTGAAGCAGGGTATGAGAGTTGAAGAGTATCAATATAGGCGCAAATCCAAACTAATATTGAACTAAAGAATAATACATCGAGTATGTACTTCTTTATATAGTGAACAACAATTGTCAGACCGAGAAAGGGAAGAGTTAAGAAAGTGGTCTGACCAATTAACTAACCAATAGGAAAAGAAAGAGAAAGTGGTCCAATCTATCGTATTTACTAATCATATGAGAGAAAATATTGGTAAGAGATGTGCGATTGGCTGTATCAGTAAGCCCATGAGAAGGCGCTGACTCATAGCCTTCCTCGCTTATCAATATCTCTCTGAAGTATTCCCAGACATAGCACTGGATCATTGCTATGTCATTTGGATATCTTCTTGAGGGTCTACAACAGTTCTCCTCCGTTGTAAGTATGATAGGATGTGAGTATGAATGGAGAATAAGAAGAAAAAGGATAAAAGTAATAGAATACCAGCTGTAATTTCTAGTCCAAGAGCGAGAGGAGTGACAGGGAATGACTCGGTGTCGATGATGAGAACTGCAGTTAGAAAACCACACACAAAACAAACCAACACACAATCCTCCCAGATTCCACGGAACTTGTTTATGGGCTTTGCCTCCTAGAACAGTGGAGTGGTCTGGTTGTTTGTGGGGTGGTACGTATAAAGATCCTTCAAAGTAAAACCCAGAGGTGTATGAGTGTGGGTTTTGAGGAGGAGGGATAGTTGAATTTATAGAAGGATAGGGGCTTTGTGACGAGTATAGACGAGCACTACCTTGCTAATCGTAGCACAAGGTAGGTTTGAGGATGACGAGGATGACAAGGTGACGAGGTTCCCAGTGATAGCAGGCTCCTGACGCACAAACTGTAGTGCTCAGAAGGACTCTAATCAAAAGGGATGACAATCACTTTCAAAAAGTGACGAGTGACGATGACAGCAGTTAACAGTGGTAGAAGTGGGAAGTGTTGTGACCACACTGGATCACAAGTAGCAGAGTAGTGAACTTGAGAGTAGAGAAGAAGTCTGGATTGGATTTCTTGTTCTTTTTTTTACAAGGTAAAATACAGGGGTTTATATAGTAAAAGAAAAGTAGGCTATGCACAGTATAGCTGTGCAAAAAGAATGAGAAAGAATATGAAGGAAGGAATGTACGCTGACGAATCCTGCGTAGGTAGTACAGGATAAGATTGTCAAAAAAAGGAAAAGAAAGGGATAGAACAATAAATGCTGTGAGTAATGTCACAGGTTTGTACAGCCATAAAGTAAAGTCCAATAGCAAAAAGAGAGCAGGAAAATCATGATGTCATGGGAAGATGCAGTAAAAAAAGGGCAAGGCAAAACACTATCAGTATCAACACAGTTCCTTTATTGTCAGTCAGGCATTCTAAAAAAATATGTGTCCATAAAAATGATTCAAAAATCAAAAATAATCGCACTGTAAATGAATGTTCTGCTGAAGAAAAAGAAATTGGAGCCACCAGTCCACCACCTAGTCCAAATCCGACAGTTCCATGGCCTTACCAATGGACTGGTTGTGTTGGACCACCTGATCAAACGAGGGAGGGAGAGGAGTAGTTCCAATTTGGAACAAGTGAGTCCCAGGCAGCGTGTGGTAGCTGTAGCTGTAGCGAAGACGATGGACAAAAGATAAGTGTACCCAAGTGAATGGGACAGCAATGAACATGGGCGACGCAAGGGGATGAACCTTCTCCAGCTCAAAAACTACCCACCCACACTCCAACCAGGCAAGACGAGTGACCGATGTTTTGATAGTATATGATGGCAGATCGACGTCATGAAGATGGACCTGTTGCCCTATTTGGACCGGCCGCCGGGGCTTTGCTGATATCAGCAGTGGCACGTGGTAGTCAATGGATCGGCAACGGAAGCGGATAGGAAGTGGTGACATCAGAAATGGTGGGGGTGCAAATAAGATGAGGAGGAGGAGGGTGGAGGTGACAAACAAGTGGATTAGAATGGGGATCCAGAAATGACCGTCAGGTGAGAATAAAAAGGAGAGGAAGGGGCCCATGGTGGGGCTAGGCAAAGGAAGGGGAGTAAGGGAAACAACAAAAGCGAGGGCGCAATGCAATGTGTAGCCAGTGGCGACGCGAAAATTTGCCGAAATGCCGAAATGCCGAAAGTACCGAATGGAAAAGCAAAGGTGAGCGTGACTGGATTGCCTAATAGAGGTGGTGCTGATCAGCCACAAGTTCAAAAAGGGCAATATTAATTACTATTCCACGTGGTATTGTGCCTGTGTGGCGCAAAGGCGAGTCTTTTTGAATATTCGCTTCGTTATTGACACCTGTCCATGCTACCAATCAACTTTGGTGCATGACATCGGATAACCACAACATGATGGGAATGTGATAAGAAAAATTGATTCCTCACAATCAAGAGTTGTGCTCAGGAACACTTCAGTGGGGCATCAATCAGCAATACAGACTGTGACTCAGCACCTTCCCATGAGTCACTGATCCAGCTAATTGTACATCCCTTACTCTCTTTTTACTATTGGATAGTCATTTGGTCAGAACACTTTCTTATTCTTCCTCTTTTCAATCTGATCCTCACTATTTGCTATATAAGGAGTAGACACTCAATGTATTATTCCTTAGTTCAATATTAGTTTGGATTTGCATTTATACCGATACTCTTCAACATCAATACTCTGATCCACCGCCTTCTACAAGGACTTGGCCAGACATTTGTCGTTGTTACTGTATATAGCTTTGTGTTCATTGCCTGACACTGCTGACTTTTCAAAGAACCAGCAGTGTGTCAGCTATTTCTCAAAACATTGGGGTAAAATTTTAGTTAATCTATCTGGAAGTCCACTATGTTGGTGGACAATATTAAGGAAAAGATGGAGAATTGGAATTGAGATATGATAAGAAGGGGAGAAAGTAGTCTACTGTACAAGGTGTCAAATGACAGGTTATACAGTATAGTAAGGTATAGAATTCCAATGTGTTTTTGGTGATGCAATGAACTGGTATAATGTCATGTAATCATGAGTTGTGAGCTACACGTATGCCCTGTCCAGCCCTGAATTTTTTGTTTTTGTTTTTATGTCATTCCTCCAGCCAATCATCAAGCACCTGAAAGTCCTCAAGAGCTGAACATTTCAGCCACTTGTTGTGTTTTGGGGGGAATTCAGCCAGCACACAGGGTATTGAGTATTACACCCTATCTTTTATTTGCCAATTATGTGGTCAATAAAGGCTTCTTGCTGGCCATCAGTGGTGAGGACAGGTCCCGGACGAACAAAGGTGTGGGAAGGAAGTTGGAGTAATCAGATTTTTGGACCTTTAAATTTCATTCTCCACTTTAACTTTCTTTCGTAGTTTTCACACACTGTGCCATGCGGCACTCTCCACTTCTGTTCAAACTCCACTTTCTCACGCTGCACTGCTTTTCTTTATTCTTAGCTATAAGTCTCTCATGCAGTGGGGCTGGTCACACGGGCTGCACTCTATGACATCATCAGCCACTGCCTTCATCAACTGTATAGTACATATGTACAAATAGTCTGTAGTAGTATAAATACCCCAATAGATCAAGGAGACTCCTCAGCAAGTCCTCCTGTTATTTACCCATAACAAACTTGGTCCTACCCTAAGGGAGATTACTCTCTCCTTCACTCACCCCTCTTTTCCTGTCTTCACTGTGCGCCAGAGTATACAAACTTTGGTTGTTACAACTATTGGATTTAGCCATGTGACCTCACATAGCCACCTGACCACAGGGAGTGCATAAAGGCAAAGTGGACCAGCCAGGGATTGATTCCAGGACCTCTGCCTATGTATGGCGGCACTCTAACCAACTGAGCTACCAGCCCTTGTACTAATGTCAACTCATGATGTATGTTGTGTTACGATAACACATTTTCGGACCTTTCCTTTTTCATTCTCCACTTTAACCTTTACTGTAGTTTTCACACTCCGTGCCATGCGGCACTTTCCCTTTTGTTCAAACTCCTCTTTCTCGCGCGGCACTGCCTTTATTCTTAGTTTAGCTACAAGTCTCTCACACAGTGGAACTGGTCACACAGGCTGTGCCCTCTGACACCATCAGCCACTGCCTTATCAACTGTATAGTACAACATGTACAAACAACCTATAGTAGTATATATACCTTAATAGATCCAGGAGACTCCTCAGCGAGTCCTCCTGTTGTTTACCCACAACTAACTCGGTCCTATCCTAAGGGTAACCACTCCCCTCACTACCTTTATAGTTAGTTCTAGTTGTGCGCCAGAGTATACAAACTCTAGGTTGTTATTTTATGTTGTCTAACAAGGCTAACAGGCTTTGACCTTGACTATTCTAACGGCCACACTGATAGTATGTCTATCATTTGAACCATCCAGAAATAGCACTTTTATTCTCTCTTCTGAAGTGCAGCAAGATGGTGCAACAAAAAGTTGCCCATTTGAAAACACTGGAACACGTACATCTGTAAGGACCATTTTATTATTTCCTTATCGTCTCTGTCTTGGTTCTCAAACACTTTTCCCATTACACCTCTGGCTCTAGGGCTAGAGGTATCATTTGCTATTTTACTTCTCATAGCCCTCACAGGCTTTCTCAACCATTGCTACCACTTTATATCACAGATCAGAGACTGGGTATCACTCCCAGCTAGCCAGCACAATGGGTAGAGACTGGTAGTAGGCATCTCGCCAACCAGCTCCAAGCCCCATCAGTGCCTGGATATACTAATAGACACTTTAGTCAGGATTGTACCTCATCATGAGGATACAGTTCCTGAACATGCGTGACAACACCTATTATTAGTATAACTCTCTCACCTGCTGATTAATCATTCAAAGTTGTACGATAGTTATTCCTTTTTCTTATTGGTCGATTTATTCCTCAGACCACTTTTCGTTTATTCCCCTTTCAGTCTGAGGGACGGACAGTTAGCTATATAAGCCCTACACATCTCATGTATAGTTCTTTAGCTTTCTATTACTTGAATTATCCGCTTTACCTCTCATCAGAAACCTCTGAGTCTACTCCTATATCCTCTACTTGCTATATTCACTACCATCTGTCGATCACAAGACTCATTGAAACTCTTACTCCCTGCAAGTGCAGTGGGAGACAGGTTTTGTTTTTGTTATAGTTTAATGTTGCCTCACAACATCCAGCCCAACCTGTGTCACTGATTGCCCTTGAGATTTGTGAATGGTCATTGTTACAATACACAATTTTTGGATTTCTAACTTTCAAATCTCCTCTTCAACTTTCTTTCTCTTTTTTGTGCCATGCAGCACTTTCCTTTTATATCAAATACCATTTATCCTTTTACTTTCTCATGCAGTGCCGCCTCCTTTTATTTATACTCACATGGTAAAGCTGGCTACACCCTATGACATCATCAGCCACCACAATTAGCAATTGTATAGTATATATGTACAAACACCTTATAGTGGTATATAAACACAATAGATCCAGGAGACTTCTCAGCAAGTCCTGATTACCCTCAACTAACTTGGTCCTATCCTAAGGGAGTTTATCCACTCTCTCACTCACTCCTCTTTGCTTGTTCTCTCAATAGTGGGAAGAGGAAGTGTACAACCTATCAAAGGAGGGAGGTTCTCTTCACTAATGTTGGTAGACACTAAGAGAGAATTCGCTGAGTCCTTCCCATGTATTGCTCAGGTATATATACTACAATACATGAGGTACTGTACAGTTGTAAATACAGTTTGAAGTCCAATGTCTAGCATGTGACCAGTCACATGTTGAGTCTAGACACTGGTCAGGTGATGCATCATGTGACTGGTCATGTAACTATGAAAAGTCCAAAAAGTAAAGTAAAATAAATGGTCATGTGATCAGTCACATGATTTGGAAAATGAAGAGTAAAAGTACAGAAAAGTAAAGTGTAAAATGGGTGCTGGTATATCAATTGTAACATCCATGCTACCGATCAACTTTGGTGCATGATATCAGTTGCCTTGTACCACACATGATCAGTGTTGGACTTCTCAAACTGTATGCGCAATAATTGCACTGTGTCAGAACCATGACCTGCAGAGTGTTCAGAGTTACAGAGTACAGAGATGGGGTAGGGGGTAACAGAGTACAAGATGGGGAATTGGCTTAGCTCATGCGCTAGGCCCTTCCATGAACCTTGGTCCCTAACGCGACGGAAATGGACAGAGGAGAATAGAGGATGAAAAGGGAGCAGAGTAAAGACCCTTCAGAGAAGGATTGGAAAACTTAGAAAGGGACTTGTAAAAGAAGAGGGAATCTAGTTGATATTTGAACTGTAGGAATGGAGTACAGGAGCTACAACTTTGTACTGTCGGAGGAGTAGGGGCTTGTAAGGAGTAACTTATAATGCAGGTATGGAGTTCCATGCGGACAACTATCTAGCAAGAGAGAAATATATATGCAAGGAGTGTATTATAAGGTCTAAATTACAGAGTCCATGAGGAGTATGGGAACGGGAGTCTGGAGTACTATGTGGGGGTGGGGCATGAGGCTATGCCAACTGGCAGGCCATGAGAAGTGTAATCTTGAGAATACCAAAGATTTGGGAGGTTTGGATTTTGGGAAATATCTCCTTTGGAGATGCCGGAGTCCTGTTCTCTGACACACCACACCTTTGTACTCCCTTACTATTAGGTTTTCCTTTTCTTTGGCACAACGGGCCTGGGATTGTTATAGATCACAAACTGTGCACTGTAATTCCCAAAAACACCACAATCAACTTACAGTATTATCCTCGTCTACTGTACTTGAAATGTCTCCACCACATTGTGTTACAATTGACATACCAGCACCTACTTACACTTCACTTTTTGTACTTTTACTTTTCATTTTTCAAGTCACATGACTGATCATGTGACCATTGTCAGAACTGTGGCCTCTTCGGAGTAACGGGGCTGTGGAGTACAGAGGGCGGAGTAACGGAGTATGGAGGACGAGATGGGGAATCGGCTTAGCTCATGCGCTAGACCCTTCCATGGACCTTGGTCCCTAGCTTATTGGAAGTGGATGGAGGAGAAGTAGAGGATGAAAAGGAGCAGAGTAAAGATCCTTCGGAGAAGGATCAGAAAGGACTTTAGAAAAGGACTGGTAAGAAAGCGAGGGAATCTAGTTGATAATCAAACTGCAGGAACAGAGTACAGGAGTTACAACTTATATACTGTCGGGGGAGCAGGAGCTTGTAAGGAGTAACTTGTAATGTAGGTATGGAGTTCCATGCGGAAAATTATCTAGCGAGAGGAGAAAGTATGTGTGAGTAGTGTATCATAAAGTCTAACTACAGAGTCCACGAGGAATACTAGAACGTGCGAGGAGAAATGTATGGCGGACTAGAAGTCCGGTGCAGGAATATTGGAGTGGACAACCAGAGTACCATGTGGGAATGGAGTGTAGAGTTATGCCGAATGGCAGACCACGAGGAACATAATCCCAAGTATACCAATGGTTCGGGGGTTTCGGGCTCGGAGAACAACTCCTTCGGAGATGCTGGAGTTCTGTCTTCCGGTACGGATATGACAGAGCCACGGGTTAGTCTGCCTTGCTTACCTAATTCAATATACGATGACAGTCGATCATATCTTGCAGCCACGGGTTGGAACTCGTACCTTGGCTGGAACCCTTTCATGCCTGTGGTGCTGAGTATTTGCGATGACTGAGCTCACGTGCTTTCTTCTGTAGCCGAGACGCGGTGTCGCCACTATTGTACGCGCTATTATGCTTGCTGCGACATCTCACACATCTTACACTGACATTTCTTTCTTTTCACACCTGAGCGCCCCGATGTCTGGCGCGTCAATGACCACGGTATCTGTAACCACGCGTAAAGCGTGGAAAGCGCAGATGCAGGAAACGCAGCACCAGTCTGAACACATACTCCAAGACGCCACCGTGCCCGTCCCACCCACTACAGAATCCACAAACACATACAGGGAGCACCATGAGACAGATATTGACACTGATAATGTCGTTAAACCGGTAAAGAAACCTCGCATCTCACCCCCTCTAAAGACTGTCAGATCAACCACGAAGAGAAAGAAAACAAGGCCTCATTCTGGATCTTCAAGTTCCTCACGGGCGTCAAGTCGGCAGCGTACGCTGCTCCCTGAACCTGAGTCCATCTACAGATGTAGTCGGTCGCGCTCTACTTCTTCGTTTCCCTCTGCTACAGAAAACCATGTGCATCGCCAGTGTTGGACAGAAGAAGGTGGCACTCCAGGCCCCGATTTCGTGAGCTCTGAGGTCGTGGTTAGAGATCTCATGCGGACATATAAAGGCTGTAAGTGTTCAAGGGCATGTTGTCCTCTCGAAGTGCCTAACTCATCCTTATCTCAGATTTCAAAAATTTAGATGATCCTGAGGATACTTCTTTTGAGCCCCATCCGACCAATTACCCAGTTACCAAACTTGAGTACCCAAATAACGATGCTTGTGAAAGGTAGATGTGTGCCATCTTTTTTCCCCCTTGGATACATCTTCTTATATCCTATTACCTTCATCTTTTAGCTTCATTCTACTTACTCCCAAGGATAAAAATCATTATGACCCCATCATGTGCCTAGAACTCTCATTACACGCTATCATCAAATGTAAGGATTCATTTTTTGAAAGAATCTTTTCTGACCTCGTATCAGCTTATTTGACACCCGCACAACAGTCCCTCTTTGGAACATTCCCAGATGCCATGTTCTCGGATACCTCGTCACCCACCCCTTCCCCTCCCTCATCTTCCATAGATCTCCCACAGGATGCGAGCACTGAAAACTCTACTCTTCCAGTCCCTCCAGTCACTGACTCTGATAGACCCGATCACCTGAAATTATTTCAGCGTGCACTTCGTCGACGCGACGGCCTTCTTTTCCAGAAAACTATGACTGATATCAATCACCTCTTGAGAACGCTCAAATATCCTCCTCTTCCAACCGACCCTTTCGCCTCTAGCCCAAATAATATATTTCGAGAAACTGTCAAAACTTGGACATCTGGTATTCCCTATGATGTTCTCACACGAATAATTGATGAAACGTATCAGCGATCCGTTGGTCCCCATGTCCATACATTGAATCGATACTCAGCATTCTCCTCAGAAGTATATGGCGAACTCATGCCATCGCTTACATCCGAAATCATCTCTCTTACTGGAATAAATACGAATTCTCTACTTATTGACCTTGGCTCCGGCGTTGGCAACGTCGTTATGCAAGCGAGTTTGCAAAGTGGCTGCCGAAGTTTTGGCATTGAGCTCATGCAGGCACCTGCTAAGATAGCCAAAGAACAGCTACAGCAGTTTAAAACGCGTTGTCGAATGTGGGGAGTTTCCATGGGCGAAGTTGAGTTAGAGGAAGGCGACATGTTAACTAGTGCAAGAGTGACAGAGCTTCTGCCCCAAGCTGACGTTGTTTTGGTCAATAACAAGGTTTTTTTGCAATCTTGTGCGTATTGCTGTGTTTTTGGGAGTATGTCTGACCTGAGTTTGTATCTCAGTGAACGAGGCTCTTCGTCCGAGGTTTCTCGACCTCAAAGAGGGAGCTATTGTCGTTTCGTTAAAACCCTTCGTGTCATCACTAAATGCACGCGTCACTGAACGGAATGTAGGTCATCGAAACCTTACCAGAGTTGACTATCTAACCAGGTCGTACGTGCTTAGGTGGATGATATCAGTGCGATTTTCGAGGTGGTTGAGCGTCAATATCGGTCTGGCGGTGTCTCGTGGGGAAGCAATAGTGGATGCTACTATCTACATCGGGTGGACCGTGCAGGTTATGCTGGAATCAGACAGCGCTTTGAAGAATCGCGAGCTAGAAGCAGTCGCTCAAGACGCTAGTATGGTTAGGGATTGCTTGGAGGGCTAGGTTGGCCCACACTGGGAGACAGTAAGGGTTCCTGTTCAAATCCCATTTTCACTTATCTTTACTCTATTACCAAATACCACAAGCTCAGCACTGTTCATGTACACAACTTTGAGGATCATCCACAGTAGTATTTTGTATGCATATTAAATGATTACCTGACCATAGTTTTTGGGTGTTACGGTTACTTATCCACTTCCATTACTATACTGTTATTGTTGTTGTTGTTGTTGTTGTTGTTTTGCTTTGCGCCACGGTTCTATACGAATCTTGAATCAGATGTATGTCATTCTATGCTCTCGTGGCAATCACCACACTACAGGTAGTGGTATATACATATTGGCGCTTTAGTCGCATGAAGCTATTCAGTCTTGCATTGTCTACGCCATGACGGACAACCACAGGACCACCTACATCCCTGCGAACCTGCTGCCAGTTGTGGTCCCCCCAGACTCCTACGACGACTTTCGGTCCAAAAGTACTCCTCTTATCATTGACAACGGGTCGACCAACATACGCTTTGGTTTCTCCACCGCCTCTTCCCCTCACTCAAACCTGAATGTCGTCGCCAAATACAAAGAACGAAAATATAATAAGCCTCTACTCTTGTTCGGTGATGCCATCGACGCGGAAAGCGGAGCCAAAGGACAGGCAAGAACTCCATGGGAGGGGGATGTGCTACTCAATTTCGATGCACTAGTGCGTTCTACTCTACACTCTTTCTACGGGTTTGAACAGTTTTCGTGGGTACACATAGGAGAATGCATTGGACTATGTTTTCATACGTCTTGGCATAGACACTTCATCGGTGGAACATCCGATATTGATGACTGAGAGGCTAAGTTCCTCATTGCACTCTCGAGCTTGTGTGTGAAATCTCTCGTCTGGCACCAGCTTTCGCTGACAGTGTTGTATATGTTATAGTGACCTCAGAACTCATGTTCGAGCAGTATTCGGTACCCTCTGTGACATACTGCGTGGACTCCCTCATGTCCTTCTACCAGAACAACAAGCCAGGCTCTTCTGAACGTTTCACATCGGATGGTTTAGTCGTCTCATTCAACACGGCGTCAACTTCAGTCGTGCCGGTTGTGGAAGGTAGAGGTATTATGAGCCACGCTAAGCGGTCAGCGATATTCGTCTGCCGTCAATTCTCGCCTTCCTCACCTTTCTTCTGCATTCAGAATACCATGGGGCACGCAACAGTCAACCGACTATCTGCTAAAGCTCATACAACTAAAGTATCCAAGTTTCCCAACGCGGGTGACCTCAACACAAACCAATGTACTCACGTTTCTGATACCCGTTCGGATTGTATATTCACTGACGCGTTCTATAGTGGATGCTTCGCAACTTATGTGAATTCGCAACAGACTACCCTGCCCTGCTGCGCTCTATGAAGAATCCGCTGCATTTACGCGAATCGGAATATATAGTTCAATTTCCATTTGCCATACCTATTGTGGAAGAAAAAACAGAGGAGGAGCTGACGCGGATAGCGGAGAAAAGGAAAGAGCAAGGCAAGAAGCTGCAGGAAATAGCGGCTAAGAATAGGATGGAGAAGGTAGTGTCCTCTTCTTCACTTTGAAACAGTTCTCATCACGCACTTCATAGTTAGTTCAAAAGGAAAATGACCTGCAATATCTCAACAACTTGAAGGAAGGCCGTTCAGATAACAAGAGAGAGTGGATAGTAAGCTCTCAAGGCTACATATCCTGCTGCCCAAATTGACTGAGAGCCAATTAGAATACTCTTCAGTCCGAGGGTTTCGAAGACGAAGGAGCTCTGGATGATATTATAAAGAAATTGGAGCTCGATCTCAAACGAGCCCGAAAGAAAGAAGCGGATGGAGACGACAGTGTTGTGAGTAAATCCACATAATGGCCCCACTCTAGATTATAACCTTGAACCAGGAAGAACCATCATTTTCTCTCATTGAGGTTCCTGATGTTGAGGTAGGTTGTCATTACTCAGACCTATAACCAACTTGACGTGCTTTCTAGTTGGATGAAGAAGGTCTGAAGGAGAAGAAAAAGCAAAAGTTAATGAAGGCTGGGTTCGAGGCACGTGCCAGGGCTAGACGAGAGAAAGAGAAGGAAAGAGAAGAAAAAGAAGCTGATGAAAAGCGCGATGAAGAAGAACGGGAGAGAGACATTGGGAAATGGTCAGGTAAACTACGACAAGAACAAGAGGTGAGACCAGATATTTCTGCTACCATCATGCTGCTGATGAATTTTATCAGGCAATCATGAATAGGATTAAGGATAGAAATCGACGAAAAGCTGCGTTAAGTGACAGAAAAAGCGCAGCGGCTCAGGCGAGGATGAAGAGCATTGCAACGTTAGCTGCTGATGACCGAGTTCCGAAAAAGAAGCGGAAAACTGGAGCAGGTATGTACTCTCACTTTCATATTTGTCTGTTGTATTTATTTTGCTTTTCATAGAGGATATGTTTGGGGCAGATGATGAGGACTGGGCGATCTACCGCAAGATTGTATGTTGTTGTCTATTCACAAATTAAGGCATACTCATCGACCTGTGATAGAATACGGCGGCGGCATCGTCAGACGAGGAAGATGACATAAATCAGTTACAGACAATCGAGCTTAAGCTCTTGGCTCATGATCCAACTTTCACCACTGAACACACACATGCTTCGATAGCCTCACAGCGATCCGCCCTCATTTCAGCGTTTAGGCCTCGATATGAAGAAGGTGATATTGAAGGTGTGTTCTGCAAGCATCGTTGTGTTTGATTAAGATTTGACCATAATGAAAATAACAGGTAATACCCGAATACATCTCAACACTGAGAGATGGCGGGTATGCGAAGCGTACTTCTCACCTGGAATGGCTGGTGTCGACTCTGCAGGTGTGGGAGAAGTGATCCAGAATGTATTAGCACGATTTTCAAACAGCGATAAAGCACGCTTAGTGAAGGTTAGTATAGCTCTCTTGCCTTACAAACTCAACATATCCATAATGCCTCCGACCTTAGAACGTTTTCGTGACCGGATCTCCTTCAAAGCTCCCCGGCCTAATACCCAAATTACATGCCACTCTACGGCCCATCTTGCCACCAGAAATGCCGTTGGAGATTATAAGAGCAGTTGATCCAGAGATTGACGCTTGGAAAGGTATGGCAGCCTTCGCTAACACCGAGGAGTTCGAGCGTGTTGGAGTCACAAAGGCAGAATATGAGGAATGGGGCGGAGAAACGATCAGGAGATGGTGGGGAGGGAACTGGAATTCATCCATGTAGTCTTGCCAATGCACGTACAGGACAATAGTACAATATGGCTGCAGGTGAGTAGCAGAAAGCAGAAAAAATATCAAAACAGCCAAGTGGCGTTCGTCTACATGACATGTACAGAACGCGAGGTACCATCTACGAACAGCAACCTGTCGTCGTCTGCGTCGACGGTTGATTCACTTTCACAGACCCGTCGGCACTGGGTGAACCTCCGGCCGCAGCTGCAGTATCAGCCTGTGTGTCAATGAGTCGAGTTTTGATATCCCTGCAAGCAAGCAAAATAATTAAGAAAACACGAGAAAGGCCAAATATATATCTCACCTGGCAAGAGTAAAGAAAGCTTCTTCCACGCCGTCGTTTACCTTCGCTGACGTCTCCATAAACCTGATGCCAAGTTCCTCGGCCAATTCCCGACCTTGTTCCTCAGTGACGGCTCGTTTGTCTGTCCAGTCAGACTTGTTACCGATAAGGATCTTGTTGACGCCTTCCGAGGCATGTTGCTCTATATTTGCGTGCCAGGTACGAATATCTTTTGGAGACGGGCTGTTACGGAAACTATTGAAGTAGTGCAGGTCGACTTACTGTTGAATGATCGTTCGTCGGTAACATCATATACAAGCAAGATACCCATGGCGCCACGGTAGTAAGCGGTGGTGATTGTTCTAAACCGTTCCTGACCTGCAGTATCCCACTAGGGAAATAGAGCATATGACATGTGGGATTGCATTTAAGAAAGCAGTTATCAGGCGTACGATTTGCAGCTTTATGCGCTTTCCATCAAGCTCGATTGTCCGAATCTTGAAGTCGATGCCGATGGTGGTGATGAAGGAAGGCGTCCAGGCGTCGTCACAGAAGCGCAGCAAGAGACATGACTTTCCGACACCTGGCCCAAGTATTGGTCTCAATCACTTGTGAATCTCAACAAGAGCAATAAAGTCACCTGAATCGCCGATTAAGAGAAGCTGGAGCGAATGTAAGATGCGGTGCGACTGCGAATTGCCAGAGAATGCTTACCTTGATGAGAAAATCATAGTGGGGAGGAGGCATGCTGAGAACTGGAAAGAGGTAAGATGGAATAAAGAAATCAAGGATAAGGACATTGGAGTCTTACAGGAGTATACTGGATTATCTGCACGATGGTGAGTAGCGTGCTGTCCTCGAATACCATCCCGCACCAGAACAGCCCATTAACACTTCCAACTCCGCAGTCATTACGTAACCTTATTATGCTTAGCGCTTAGCTCCCAGAAAAATACATTACAAGACTTCACTTTTAATGCTATACATATTCTAAAGACACCAACATACAATATAGCGACCTTGTCATAGAAAGGCTTTTGCTTGCAGATTCCATATCTTTGCATAGTGACCTCCCTTCTTCAAAAGCTCGTCATGTGTGCCTTCTTCTTCTATCACAGAGTCGTTCATATACCTAACAAAATTGGGTAAGGCCATTATTGGTCAAGGAACGGTGTCAGGTATCTTACAATATCAGATCAGCGTGGCGCGTCAAATTTCCAAAACGATGTGACGAGAACACCATCGTTTTATTACCACGTAATGCTCTCAGTCTTTCAAATAGATCTTGAATATGGATCAGAAACAGCATGTACACGAAAGCTATACAAACGGACTCACCGTGTTCAGCCGTGGGATCTAGAGATGCACTGGGCTCGTCAAAAAGTAAGAGACCCACTGAAGGCTCGGAACCAGAAATTAGTGATCGCATGAATGTGCGAGACCTGTGGATGTTTGTTAGCTGGATGATCAAGGCCGGTCAGAGCATTGAAAACCTTACACAGCTAGTCGTTGCATCTGGCCACCACTCAGTGTTGCTGAACTGGTAGACTGCATTCTCCCTGCACCGCGTACATGGCTGTAATCGACCGGTCTGCCAAACAGTGACGTGGTCCCTTCGGGAAGACTCGAGTAATAATCATGGACCGGTCGATCAAGGTATGTATCAAAACCGTCCGGAAGACGATTGACAAATTCTTCTGCTCCTCCTAACCTTGCGGCTTCACGTATCTTGTCATCGTCGAGTGCATGAGTGGGATCACCAAGGCCGATGTTCTCTTTTATCTGATAGAAACAGACATAAGCATACGAAGAGAGTAAGATGGGAAAAAAACATACGGATAGTGGAAAGTGCGTGTAATCCTGGAAAAGCATAGACATCGCACGGCGTAGATCCACAAGCTTCAAAGTGCGTATATCTCTACCGTCCAGAAGGATCTCTCCTTCGAGAGGATCGTATATGCGCGCGATCAGTTTTAGTATTGTGCTCTTTCCAGAGCCGTTCACACCCACGATAACCTGGATGGACTGTAAGGAGAGGTATACGAGCGCTTAGTGAAAAAAGCTCACACAGAGTTGTCCTGGGTTCAATTTGAACGACACATTGTGGAGAGCATATTTTTCAGCGTCAGTGTACTTAAAGGAAACGTTTCTGTACATGTTTTGTTAAGCACCGATGTAGGATGGTAGATGAATTGATATCGTACCTAAATTCGATTAAAATACCAGAGTCTAAGGTTCTTGAATTTTCTGGGAATGGCTCTTTGCCATCCAAAATCCGATTTGGTATATGGGCAATTTCGTAGAGTTTGCGGACACTTGAGTACTGCTCGGCAAGAGAGAATGATTCACCAAAAAACTGGAATAAGCTCGAGCTGAATGAGCTCGATGCCTGGTTTATGAGAGTCAACGAGGCGAGGGAAAGAGGTATGGAGGCAGGATATTGAACAGCCCGCAGAGTGAACACGATCTATATCTAAACTTTAGAACTTTGATTCCGCCAGGCCCTATTGAAACGGCTCACCTGAGGCAATTCTCGTAGAGGCTCTTTGAGGATTGATGCAAACGTCAGTCTATCCCGTACAGCATACAGTCTGCGCATTTCATGGAAGTCGCCTGCATCATCACCCACACGACTGGTGGAGTCCCGAAATTCTAAATAAAAGTTCACGTATCGGTAGAGTATCAAGACGAGTGTACCCACGAGAGGTCATATATTCTGACATATTCCCAGCGACGACTTCTTTGCGATGAGAAGCGTCATTAATAACTTGCTTTAAGCCTTGCATTCTAACGTAATCGGTGTTCTTCGTCGTTGCTGCCCAGACTGAGAGAAATGGGCATTACACAAAGCATGGAGCATGAGCAGAAGACTTAGATACCTGAAGTATTGAAGACAGAGCGTTTCATACTATACCACTGGAATACAGATTGCGAGAAACTCAGTACAGCCAGCAGAGGACCATCTCGCTGATCACGTAGAACAGCAAATAATACTGACAGTTGCGATATCAGGCGAAGTGCAATGGTGAAAACTGTAGAGGTCATTTGAATTGTTTCCCATGCGACGCTAGAGTTCCAGGAAGTGGACCAAGCTGCTTCAAGCTGTCTCTGAACAGCGGGATCTTCATAAGTAGGCACATCTAGACGGGCCATAGAGTGGTAGATGTGAGTAGAATAATATTGTTTGATGCGCATGTTAAGAGGGAGCGCCAAACGGCCCCGTGCATACTGTAGCAAACGTGATGCTATTGTGCAAGCAATCCTTCCTGCAGCGACGTGCAAAAGCAGCTGTTTATCAACATCTCGCTTCTCGACGGCAATTTCTACCTGAAATTATATTACGGTAAGAGTATGAACCATGCGATATTGTGGAATGACGCACCAATTGAAGGAGTTGACCGGAATACCTTGAGCATAAATTTAGCACTGGTATGGAAGACAATTAGGATGACATTACCACAGGGAGATTGCGGGAATCAGAGCGGCTACGATTTCTGCTATCATATAAAAAGACAAGAAAATCCAACAGCGAGGAATGCTGGTGATGTCTTTGATCATTTGCCAGACATATGGTATACTATGGGACATCTGCAAGACTGTTTCCAGCCTGGACGAGCCCGGAATGCGTGCCAGTTCTGGGTGTTTTTCTTCATAAAGGTCCCAGACGCCAATGCGAGTGTGTTTGACGTTGCGGACGTCCTCCGGGTCGAATCTTCCTGGAGCTGTACTACGGCCTCCGCGTTTTCGTTTTGCCATGTCAGGAATATCAGTCGTACCAGTGCAATATGCGTGTCAGGTCGTGAAATAGGTTCGTAAGTGGATGGTGGAAAGATAGCAAGGAAGTTGAATAGAGCCTCTATACCTGGACTGCAACCGTGACTGTGCCGCGGTCACGTCGTGTAAAAGGTAAGAGAGCTGGATGCCAGATTAGGACACCGCAGGGCGCGTTGAACCTAAGGCTTTTCTTTTGTCGCGCCACAGACGTTTGCAGCAAACATGGCCTCAGACCTGTCCTCGCTGCTGAACTCATCCAGAGCCTTGAATTCGCATTTGACAAGGCCAGATCTCCCCTCAGTAAACCTTTCCCTTGACCAGATCGAAGCTCAGTCTCGTCGTCTCGTTTCTCGACAGCCAGGAGCTTCAAATGACACCGATCGCGCGTATGTCCATGGCGTACACTCATTTCAGCATTTCACTAATAATGATAATACAGGAATTATTTGTTGGCACAGGCCCATGTCGATGCTTCAGCTCTAGCAAGTTCAATCGCCCATTTGAACACCTCGACTACCTTCTCTCCTCTCCAACCACTCCAAGACACCGATGTAGCAGGTTACCTTCGCCACGCACATGAGCAAAACCTCATATCGACTATAGAGGAGGGAAGGAAGGAGACACAGGAAGATTTCTACCGTCTGCTCGAAGAACGTAGTAGACGCGACTGGGAGGCCAAGAAGAGAAGAGTCTTTGAGGAACTGGGTGGACGTGTATACAATGACAACAAACTGTCTGCAGAAATGAAGAAGAGCTTCTATAGCAAAGGTAACTTGTCGGCGAGTATACTCCTTTTACACTCCAAGTGCTGCAGTCATTTGAATTGGGTCATGGGACATAGGCAACAAGCACTACACCAAGTTTGACTTTGCAAATGCAGAGCAAGATGATGGCTTACGATCGTGTCATCGGCGAACTCAACTCTGCACGGTTAAACGGAGTATCCTATCCTGTTGTTCACTCGCTCATGCAAGCTGCTTCCTCCCTGAACGTGGATGTAAGTCGGTGTCCTTCCCAGAATGACTCAAAACTCATCTTCAACAGGCGTCTTCCGCACAAATGGTGCAAAATTTCCACATTCTCTCCAAAATCACTGCAGAGCCTCCAGCTCTCCCCCCTGTAGAACATGCCGGTGCTCATATACTTAATGCTCCCCTATTTGAGCGCAAGTACGCGAAGGTTTACCTTGGGGATCCCGAGTCTCGTGAAGCCATATCTCTCCGAAACCAAATCACCAAAGGTGCTAGGGAAGCACTTGAAGACCAATATTGGGACATTGTGGAACGCACGGTTACGGCACGCCCACTGGAAGCTCGACTGGGCGGTGATCCAAGTGTTGCTAACAAAGTTCGAGCTTTCCTCCTGGTACGTTACTACAAGAATGGCCAATGGGAAGATCGTATAGAGGTGACCATCTTTCTTCCTCGTGACGAAATAGTATGATACTGATATTTCGGCAAAAGTTGGTAGCTGGTCAGCCTCTTTGGGCTAGGCTTTTCTGTCTTGTGCGGTCGGGTCACGCACAAGAAGCGTTAGATGAAGCACTTCGCTATCAACAGGCTATTGAGCATCGTGAAGCTAGCTTTGTCAACCATTTCCAGTCTTGGATCGGATCACCAGATAGGCGGTAAGGATCATTTTCTTTGAAGGTTGAAGCATGGTTACTAACTCACTTTTACGCAGACTACCAAAACCACATCGAGATCATCTTCAATCTGTGTACAATGCACACATGCTCCATTCGGCCACCGCTGATCCGTTTAAGCTCGCGCTTTATAAATTAATGGGTAGACTGGAGCCTTCACGACGAAGTGTCCCTAATGTTACAACCACTACCGAAGATTGGTTGTGGTTCCAGCTTTCTATGGTAAGCTCACATTTTTGTCGAAAAATAATATCATCATTCGCGACCTATAGGTCGATGAAAATGAGGAAGGTGGGCTACGCGGCCTTGCTGAGGTTTTGTTGAGCTATGGCGAACGACACTTTAATGGGTCTGCTAACCAAAAAGGATCTAAGAAGGGTGTCTGGGCTGGTGTACTTCTGATCTGTGGCCAGTTTGAAAGGGTAATTGTCTAAATGCGTCGATGATTGACCCGGTTAACGTATTTGCAGGCCGTTGCTTCTCTATGGGAACATCAAGAAACAGAGATTGAAGCTGTACATCTTGCCATCGGCCTTGCTTATCACGGGCTACTGCGTGTACCATCTCGTGCTGAGACGTCTGATATGAATCCTCGTGCGTCCACTTCCTGTGCATGTTCCTAATGAGGGAGGGTCTCACAAATGTGCTACAGTGACATTATCACCAATTAATCCTCCAGCACTCAGTCTTTCTACGCTAATATGGCGTTATGTGCGCCAGTTTGTGAAGATGGATGCCAAGGAAGCTCTGCAATATGTCTACTGCGTATGTCTGACGGCAGACCAAAGTGGTGGTGTAGGTAAAGAAAACCTGGAGAGTGCCTGGGAGCTCGTAAGACGGATTCTTGTATTAGCACATTCTGGTCCAGTTTGGGAGGACCTTGTGGGTGGGTTCAGACCAGATGGCACGAGATTTGTGAGTATTGACTCAGTATGCATGCTCCCGTGGTGCTCAGGGCTATCCTTTATTTATTTCCAATAACAGAGTGGCGTCGTCGAACAGGGAGCCGCTCTCCTGCACCTGCAGAACAATGCACAGTACAGAGAACATATCTTGATTCGTACTGCCAAAAACTCTGAAGAAAATGACCGTATCCCGGAGGCTATTAAATTGTATAATCTTGCTGGTGACTACTCGACTGTCACTGCATGCCTCGCACAAGCTCTAGGAAATACACTTGCTGCGCTAAGCGGGGAAGGTGAAAAGAGCAGAGAGATAGAGCGGACTGCGATGGAAATTTTGAAGCACTATGAACGAAACAACCGAGCGGTAGGCAAAGATAGAGATGCAGCTATTCGTCTTCTTCGGGTGAGGGAAGCCATGGATGCTAAGAGCGCAGGGCGTGCCGACGTCGCACTGGAGGTATGTTCTTTCTTGGGATTGTCAAGTTTCACAGCACGTTTAATCAATGAACACACATAGGTCATGGAGTCAACAGGGCTTATTCCTCTGGAAGGCGATGTTGCCAAGATCACGAGAAAAGCAGAAGAGTTCAAGGATCTCCATGATGCCTTGCAGCGTAATCTACAAACATATCTACCGCTGACGATGGATGCGCTCGCCGCTTTGCATCAAGCAATCAAAAGTTCTGCTGTCTCAGATGTTACTCGAGATATGGTAAGTCGTCGCCTGATGCTTTCCATATTTCTACTAATCATGTAACCAATAACCAGACACTAACATCCTTGAGGAAGAAGTCGAGATCTCTGATAATATTTGCTGGCATCCTCAAGTATCGCATGTCGCCAGACATTTATTCATATTTGGCAAGATTGGATGTCGAGATTGCTCTGTAATTTTTTTCTTCATAGTATAATACCTACTGCTGCATACAGAGCTATCCTCGTCTAGCAATTCGAATCGACCTAAAACTGTCCATCTGTATCATTTGCCTCACACACTCTCGACATAAGTAGCTATAGAGCAGCGTGATGCGGTTATTACCGTTGCGTTGACGCAAAATTAACATCATCCTCTATACAGCCTTCACAACAATGAACGAACTTGATCAATTGAATCAGAGTAAGGCAGGTGCACTCGGATTTTCCGACTATTACTAGCTATACTAGGACTCGTATTTCAAGTTTACGCGGCCAGTCACGGTGCTCTTGCAATTGGTCCTCCTGCTGTTATTGCGGTTTGTTGCACCACAGCTTCCTCAACTGTACTTCTTCCTGTTTCTCGGTGGGGAGTTGTTCTAGATACCTGGCAAATAACGTATCGACAACGTCCAGGTATGGGTTTGTGGACTCGGCCTATCTATCTATCTATAACGAAGGGGACGGTGGTCCTAAAAGTCGCGTGCGGCATACGTGGGAGCACGTTTTTTCGCTTAGTTTCGCTCGCGTGGTTTTCGGTTAGCAGTAGAGGGAAGGTAGTGCAGTAGTAACGAGTGTAGTGAAAATTGCAGCCACATTGAAAATTCTCACGTTTATAAGGACAGACAGCACAAGTTCACTGACTTCTGACTAAATAAAATTTGATCACTTTACTGTATTACTCTAAAGATAGTATGGAGTAGCTCAGTCAAGAGCAACGGAATGCTTTTGATACCATCATACAGTCAATCTATCATAATTGGGGAATAACTTGCTTTATTCACAGTGCTGAAGGTAAGGGTAAGGGAAAAACATAACTCTGTAATACAATTGCCGCTGCTGCTTGAGCAAGAGATAATCATAATGTTGCTCTATGTGTAGCATCCTCTGAGATTGAATCCCTATTCCTGTACATAAAACATCCACATGCAGGATTCCAAAAAACTCTGACCTCCATAAGGTATTGAGACATACCGGAGTTATTGTCTGGGATGAAGCGCCAATGCAACACTGTCATGGGATTAAAGCATTAGATCATACATTGCAGGACATTTTGGATAATCAACTTCCATTTGGAGGCATTATAATGGTCTTTGGAGGGGACTTCCGCCAAACAACACCTGTTGTTCCAAGAGGGTCAAGGCAATGCATTATTTCTGCCTTTCTTAGTGTGAGGAATCAATTTTTCTTATCACATTCCCATCATGTCATGGTTAAAAGACTCAATCCCTGTCACTCCTCTTGCCCTTGGACTAGAGATCACAGCAGGTGTCTTATTACTTTTATCCTTTTTCTTCTTATTCTCTATTCACACTCACGTCCTATCGTACTTACAATGAAGGAGACTTGTTGTAGACCCTCGAGAAGATATCCAAATGACATAGCAATGATCCAGTGCTATGTCTGGGAATACTTTGGAGGGATATTGATAAGCAAAGAAGGTTGTGAGTCAGCACCTTCTCATGGGCTTACTGATACAGCCAATTGCACACTCCTTACCAATACATTTTCTCATGCGATTAGTAAATACGATAGATCGGACCACCTTCTCCTTCTTTTCTTATTGGTTAGCTAGCTGGTCAGACCATTTTCTTAAGTCCTTCCATTTCTCAGTCTGACCATTGCCGTTCACTATATAAAGAAGTACATACTCGATGTATTATTCTCTAGTTCAATATTAGTTTGGGTTTGCGCCTATACTGATACTCTTCAAAACTCATACCCTGATTCACCGCCTTCCAGCAAGGAATTGACCAGGCATTGTATTTTGTTATATAGCTTCGTATTTGTTGCCTGACAGAATATTGAACTCACCTACTTCGAATCCTTTTCCAGAGCCACACTTTGGAAAACCGTTTCTCTACACCCTGAAAAAGACTGTCGTTGCCACTGCACCGGTCTAAACCTTCATCATCACCTTCTCCACACCTCTATCATCCCTATCCCTCTTCTCACTATCGTCATCAACCTCTTACTATCCACACCACTACACCTATTGTCGTTCAGTCCTCTCAAACTGGACGTCTTATCTACCATCATCGCTCTCGCCTAGTTCTTTGCATTTTTTGCCATCATCAGATACCTTCAAACCGGACTCGTCAGCGACGTCGTATACCTCCACCGTGTCTACATCCCAACAGCACTCAGAAGAGTGGGTATCAGATGCAGGCTGCAGACACCAGAGAGATTTCCTCGCAGCCCTCAATAAACCGCTCCCGGTCCTCCCCACCCCTACCAAAGTCCGTACTCCAGACGCGGAAGAAACGGTCGAACGGATCACTGAGTTGTATCAGGACTCCTCTGCTTCATCTTCTCCAATTGATCCGATCAAGGAAATCATCCTCGACATAAACGACGCCCTCGCCCTCACCCAGTCCATTTTTTATCATTCCGCCATTTGTAGGAGAAATTCTCGGAGCCTTGAGGAGGTACTCCAACGTCTCCGACAAAGCACGGAGAGAACTTTTAATCTTCATATTCCTGCAGCACGGACAAATTCCGTTGATCGACTACTTCGAGAGTCTAGTACGCCCGAGCTACAAGAATACTCAGAGGGTTAATCTTTTGAAGGGAGTAGCCAACGTACAGGAACAAAACCTGCATATTATTTCACAGGACTATATTCCATCCCTCCTTGAACTTTATTGAATCCACCCTCTTTCCTTCCCGGACATACCCAGCCGCCTCCTCCCCTACGACTTTGAACACACCTTGCTTTGCGGCATCGTTCTAAGGAAGAGGCCTCACGAAGAACCCACCTACAATATCCTATCTTCGTTTTTTACAACAGACTACTAATATCTGACACCACTTTGCCAAACTCTCTACCTCCCCGAAGTCGAAGATCTTGACGCATTCAGACCACGGTTTGGTCTTCAACACAGTACTTCCATTGTAATCGTCACGCCCTCTACCAAAGATCATATTTGACGAGTTGTTGCTGCATTAGCACAATTTGATCAGCTCATCGCAACCGCTCAGAGGAAATTCCGTGACGGAGAAGACTACACGACCAAAATCAACAATATCCGATATGTTTCAGAATACGTCGAGCAATATTATTGGATCTTAGAAATCCTCACACCAGTCATTGTCAATCAGCAATCTGATCATCCCAAATGTTTCATTGTTACAGTGATCCAAAGCGACTTCTGGGCCGTTGTTAATCATAGCCCACGAACTCGTATCTATTCGCAATACTCATACACCTACCAAGGTCGCAGAGGGGAAGCATCACTCATTCCGTCGGTCGAGCAGCTTTTCGCACCTTGCGCAGAAAGGATTGAACAAGAAACAGGAAGTTCATTACAAGATATAGTTGGAGGAGAATCGGACGAAGGAACCGAGTCGGAAAGCGAAAGGTCTACTGAAAACATAGAGTACTGGAGGCCTCAGGAAGCAGAAGGAGGAGATTTCCCTAGTAACTTTGTATTTGACCCGGACTTTGATTAAAAGACTCGTTATCTAAAAAACTCGTTATCTAACTCATTAAAAAGCTGGAGCCTTATCGAGAACCCTGCCCTCTTGTCACTCCCGAAACACCACCCCCACAATCTCTAGGAGCAGCCGCGGAAGCCCTAGAACCAGACGATCTCTATCAATCCGCAGGACCAGGAGACTTTCCTCCCCCACCTCAGAATCCATCACCCGAAGACCAATCTAACAACTGGTCCGACCAAGAGTCTTTAGACATTGAACCTGACCTAGCAGCAGAAATGACCGATGAAACAAATCAAGGCAGCAAGGCTGTCCTTGCCTCTCCTCCGTTCAAATTCATTGGCAAAAAAGAAATATACGTTGACTGGAAGAACGCATTAGCGAACTACTTTTTCGCTTATCCCAAAAGTTTCCAAACCGACTCCTCTAAAATCCTCTTCGCATTATCCTGCATCTCATCCGATAAAGCCAATGACGCCTGTCACACATAGAAGGCGAATTTCAACAACAAAACCGCAGTGCTAGGAGACCTATTTGCACCACGAAATTGGGGAACTATCTCAGAATTTATCAAGGAATTAGATAGCAAATTCCTGGATCCCCATCTCAAGCTGAAAGCAGAAATTGCCCTTCATAGCTACGAGCAGTGAGAAATGACGGTAGACGCATACTTTGGAGGACTCGAATCCAAACTTGTGGAAGCAGGGTTACCACCAGATGCATATGAAAGTTATCCGTTCATTCACAGTATCCTTCGCCGCAATCTCTCTCAATTCCTTTGTGATCGTATCTTGCAACAGGAAAACCTACCCACCACGTACTTAGAGTGGAAGGCAGCAGCTAGGAAATGGGAGCAGTGAAACGAAGAACTCAATCTGGAAAGGAGGAGGGATAAACCCCCACAACAGAGGCTGCCACCTCAGTACCAAAGATATCAACCATGTTATCAACAGAGCCAAAACTACCCGCCACCACAGCATCGACAGACAGTACCACGTACAGAGATGCAGAGACCACGGTATATCTAACAACGACCGTATTATACTCCATCACAGAGGCGGCCGCCCCAGAATGCAGTCCATCCAAACACAGCAGGAACATTTGGAGGATCAGGTGTACCTATGGAGATTGGGAGTTCCAACACTCAGAGACAACATTGGCCCAACCCGAACATTATTTGTTACAATTGTGGCGAGCAAGGCCACATTGCTAGAAATTGCCCACATGGAAAGATGGCAATACATTATATGGAAACGGAGGAAACCAGAGACACTCACACTACATCGTCATTAAAAGAAATTGAAGCACCTCCAAAGGATTTTCAGAAAGGTCAGGAGTAAGCACGGACTCTCTGACCCGTAATGTTGTACCTAACCCTCATATGATACCAACGACTGCAATAAAATGAGTTGATCAACATCTGCGTGCTGTAACCAAAAACTACGCGAAGCCACATTCACCGGAATGGTTGGCCAGACGAATCAGAGATCAGAAACCGGAGAGAGCAAGAGCTCTGCTACAAAACTGGGCACATAAAGATCACTATGAGCATATCACCCTGCAAGCAATACAGATGCTAAAGAATCACGACAAAGAGAATATTGTGGAACACATCCATGCTTATACCTCGCCATACAACCCCATGCCAAAACGAAGCCTCCATGTCATTTCTCAAATTACTACCACAGACAACAGACAGACATTCACTGTACCAACCCTTATCGACTCCGGTTGCACCAACTCAGTTATTGATCAGAGCCTGATTGACAAGTACACCCTCAACACCACGCCACTGCCCGTCCCTCTTGATGCTGCAGGAGATGATGGTCAATCCCAGAAAGTAACGCGCTATGTCACCCTTCACATCGATGTGAAAGGGAAAGAACACTTGATGGATGTCATTGTAGCATCACTACTTTTGCCGTGCATACTGCTTGGATACGACTGGTTGATACTTACCAATCCTTCAATTGATTGGCGGGCCAACAAGATTACCTTCCCTGCCGATGATCCAGAGTATCATCCTGAAGAAGGGGATAAAATCCTAGCCGTTGATCTTGAAACACGAATCATGGAGATAACACAGTTGGAATTGAATGCTTTTGCCACTAAAAGTCAACAAATAGCTGAATCCTCCGAAAAAGCAAAGTCAAAACTCACCTTCCGAGACATCGTCCCCCCAATCTACCATGAGTTTGAACCCGTTTTTACCAAAGAATCATTCAACAAACCTCCCCCAAAATGTCCTTGGGACCACGCAATTGAGTTAGTACCTGAGGCTAATGGTCTTGACTGCAAAATGTACCCTCTTAGCCGAGACGAACAACACCATTTAGATGAATTCCTTAACAAAAACCTGACAAGTGGATGGATTCGAGTGTCTAAGTCACCCTACGCATCCCCATTCTTCTTTATCAAAAAGAAAGATGGTTCACTACGCTCTGTCCAAGACTATTGCAAGCTGAATGAGCTTACCATAAAGAATCACTACACCCTCCCCCTCATATCCAAACTCATCAATAAACTCAAAGGTGCCAACTACAATGGGGATACAACAATGTCAGAATCCAAGAAGGAGACGAGCACAAGGCCGCTTTCAGGACCAATTGCGGCCTATTTGAACCCCTTGTTATGTTTTTTGGACTTACCAACTCACCAGCGACCTTCCAGACGATGATGGACCACCTCCTAAGAGAACTGATCACGGAAGAAAAAGTTATTGTATATTTAGACGATATCATCATCTTCACAGAAACACTCGAGGAACATCGCCAAATAGTCACCAAAGTCCTCCGTATCCTGCAACAAAACCAGTTGTATCTTAAACCGGAAAAATGCGAATTCGAGAAACAGGAAGTCGAGTACTTAGGCATGATCATTTCCAAAGACACTATTCGTATGGATCCGTTAAAAGTCACAGTGGTCGCTGACTGGCCTGCACCAAAGAACAAAAGAGAACTCCAATTGTTCCTAGGATTCTCCAACTTCTATTGATAATTTGTCAAAGACTACGGACAAATTGCGAAACCACTCACTGTGCTCACCGGAAAAGTCGACTGGACCTGGAAAGACAAACAAGAGACATCTTTTGAAACATTGAAGAAAACACTTACTACTGCTCCCACCCTCGCTATACCAAACAATGATGACCCATTTAAACTAGAAACCGACGCCTCTGACTTCGCTGTAGGAGCCGTCCTATCCCAAAAACAAAACGATAAATTCAGACCCATAGCATTTCTCTCGAAAGCTCTTACCCCCGCAGAACAAAATTATGAAATTTACGATAAAGAGATGCTTGCAGTCATGACGGCGCTAGACGAATGGCGACATCACCTTGTAGGATCGAAACACCCCTTCACTATCTTCACAGATCACCAAAACCTCCTTTACTTCCATCAACCTCAGAAATACAACCAACATCAAGCTCGATGGTCGTCTCAGCTTGCAGATTATAATTTCAAAATGGAACATGTCAAAGGAAATCAAAATACGAAGGCTGACCTGTTAAGCAGACGAATTGATCATCCTAGAGGCACAAACGATAACGAGAATCAAACACTTCTCCCAGACGTACATTTTGAAGTACTTAACACCAACGAAGGATACCTACCAGATATACGTCGAAGCTTCCAGAAACAGGACAACATAGTAAAAAGGAACTTGAAAGAGAAGTCGGATACCTGGAAGGTGAAGGATAGGATCATCTGGATCAAGAGAGAATCTGCGACAAGTTCCTACCCGATCCCATTAGCTGACCACGTATACGTTCCTCAAAACCACAAATTACGGGTGCGGATATTGAAGGATCACCATGACGAAGCTCTGGCTGGACACCCAGGAGAGAGAACAATGTTTGAACGAGTAAACCGAGAGCTCTGGTGGCCGAGTCTTCGTACAGATATCAGACAATATGTACAAGGGTGCGAGAGTTGTCAATGCACCAAGGCACGTCAGACAAAGCCTAACACCCCTCTACACCCGAACCCAATACCAGATCGGCCTTGGCAGATTATCACCACCGATCTCATAGGCGCATTACCAGAGTCCAAGGGCTACACCGCCGTTCAGGTCTTTGTAGACCGATTTAGCAAGATGGCCCATTTTATCCCCACTTTTATCACCCTCGACTCTGCTGGTTACGCACGTCAAATCTGAGACAATGTAATACGACTCCATGGAATCCCTGAAAAGATCATCTCGGATCGAGGTCCTCAATTCATGTCTCGATTTACTAAAGACTTTTACAATTTGATGGGGATAACACCGGGCCTCTCTACAGGCTATCACCCTCAAACAGACGGACAGTCCGAACGGATCAACCAGGATCTAGAGCACTACCTCCGCGTTTTTGTAAATCATCAACAGAATGACTGGGCAGATTGGCTTTCCATCACGGAGTTTACATACAACAATCATCTCCACACTGCAACGAATCAAACACCTTTCTTCCTGAACTATGGACTACACCCACGAACAAATACCACCACTACATCATCCCCTCGATCCGCATTGGCGACAGAGTTTGGCGAACAGATGAAAAAACTCCACAACATCACGAAATCCTCCCTCCTTTTAGCAAACAATAATCTGAGAAGATATTACGACCGTAAGAAATCCCCATCCCGGGAATATCAAATTGGCGATAAAGTCTGGTTAGAAGGACATAACATCACGACAGATAGACCAATGAAGAAATTGGACGACAAACGTTTCGGGCCTTTTAAAATCACCCAAAAAGTTGGACCCTCCGCTTACCAACTCAACATCCCAAAAAGCTGGAAGTCTATTCATCCAGTATTCAACGAAACCATCCTCTCACCGTACCACACTCCCGAATTCTCCAATCAACCAATTTCCTCACGACCGCCGCCCGAAATCGTTGAAGGAGTAGACGAATACGAAGTAGAGAGTATAATTGCCTCCAGACTAACCAAACTGAAAGGTAGTAAACTCGACTACCTGGTTCACTGGCATGGTTATCCAGTCTCCGAACGCACTTGGGAACCCAACACCAATCTTACACATGTCTCTAATTTGCTTGCCGCCTTTCACAAAACAAATCCCGCTGCCCCTTGCATCATCACCGCCTCTCTTCATTTCCGTCCTTATGAAAACTACACCGTGGCTTCTAAATCTCCAATGCTTTTTGATTGGATTACCAACAAGTTCCAGAGTGCCGCATCTGGACTCATGAGGACACGAGTCTTATAAAAGGGGAGCTAATGTGAGGAATCAATTTTTCTTATCGCATTCCCATCATGTCGTGGTTAACAGACTCGATCCCTGTCCTGTCACTCCTCTTGCCCTTGGACTAGAGATCACAGCAGGTGTCTTATTACTTTTATCCTTTTTCTTCTTATTCTCTATTCACACTCACGTCCTATCGTACTTACAATGAAGGAGACTTGTTGTAGATCCTCGAGAAGATATCCAAATGACATAGCAATGATCCAGTGCTATGTCTGGGAATACTTTGGAGGGATATTGATAAGCAAAGAAGGTTGTGAGTCAGCGCCTTCCCATGGGCTTACTGATACAGCCAATTGCACACTCCTTACCAATACATTTTCTCATGCGATTAGTAAATACGATAGATCGGACCACCTTCTCTTTCTTTTCTTATTGGTTAACTAGCTGGTCAGACCACTTTCTTAAGTCCTTCCCTTTCTCGGTCTGACCATTGCCGTTCACTATATAAAGAAGTACATACTCGATGTATTATTCTCTAGTTCAATATTAGTTTGGATTTGCGCCTATACCGATACTCTTCAAAACTCATACCCTGATTCACCGCCTTCCAGCAAGGACTTGACCAGGCATTGTATTTTGTTATATAGCTTCATATTCGTAGCCTGACACTTAGAAGGTCACAACTGTGGACAAATATCCATATCTGCTATCTCACACAGAACATGTGCCTGGACCGTACTCCAGAAAGTGAAGCCTTTGCTAGCTGGATGTTGGTGGTGGTCGTGGATTTACAGGAGATGGAACTATTGAGCTTCCCACCAACATTCTTATGCCAGAAAACACCATAGACTCGTTAGTCAACACTACCTATCCTGGAATTGCAAATGGAGACCAAGATGACTATTATTTCCTCCACTGCACCATCCTCTCCACAAAAAATGATGTCGTTAGCAACCTTAATTCAGCAATGCTCACAAAATTCCCTGGAGAAGAGTTAGTAGCTCTGTCAATTGATAAAGTGGTTGGAGAGGGGCATGAAAGTTATCCTGTGGAATTCTTGAACTCCTTGCAAGTATCTGGCCTTCCTGAAGTGCACCTCAAACTTAAAGCTGGATGTCCACTTATGTACCTCCGCGATATTGATCCCCTAAATGGACTCTGTAATGGAACATGCATAATTTTGATAGAGATAAAGAGAAGAGTATTGAAGTGCCATGTCTTGGGAGGAAAACATGCAGGAAAGGTAGCTTTTATTCCACGCCTCACATTGGAACCTTCATTGGAAGAATAATTTGCCCATCAAGCTATCACATTGTCAATTCCCTGTCCATGCTGCCTTTGCCATGACCATCAACAAGTCTCAAGGGCAATCGGTGACATAGGTTGGGCTGGATTTACCTGTTCCAGGGTTTTTGCATGGGAAACTTTACATTGCATTGTCTTGCTGCACTTCAGCAGAGAGAATAAAAGTGCTATTTCCACATGGTTCAAATGACAGACGTACCGTCAATGTGGTGTATCCCAAAATTCTGACTTGCTTTATCCTTGACTAGCAAGTAGATTTTTCCCCAATTCTCACCCTTTTTACTAAAGTGTTTTATTCTCAGATCATATTTTCATCCTTCACCATTTCTGGAGTCTCTTTTTTTATTTCTCATCAATTTATCAATGTAATACCATAGACTTTTTACATTACAATATATGTATAAGGACATTGAACAATGGAACAGCAAGTCAAACATGCGTCATAGGATTCAAAGACTTAACATACATTACAGACAGCATAAGTTCACTTAACATTTTGATCACTTAACAGTGATATTATTGTTATTATTATTTATCATATCACAAAAACATCGCACCAGTGGCAGAGCCACGGGCTGGACCTTGTTCCATGTATAGGCAGGTTATGGAGAGGAAAAGCTGTCAGGTGGTGTGATGGAAGGTGGAAAGCAAATGGTAGCTGGTCTTGATACAGAGAGGCTGTCAAAGAATGGGAAATTTGCGATGAGGTAACAAGGTCCGCTTGACGGAACAGCGGCCTTTGTTGATATCAAGATGCCATGGGTGTTGCGAGAGCTGGCATACCAGTATGTGGTGGGTGAAGTGGGGTGTGGGGAGGATCCATCTGTTGGCACAGAGAGGCTGTTGAGGAATGGGATTGTGAAACATGCAAAACGGTACTAGGGGGGTCCGCTTGGCGGAACAATGGCATTTGTGCATATTGAGAGAGCAGGGGCATTGCAAGAGTTGGCATGCCAGTATGTGATGGATGAAGTGGGATGTGGGGAGGATGCATCCAACTGCTGGAAGCTTGAACCTGTGGATGCACAATGAATGGCTTGTATCTTCGGGTGGTGATCACATGACTGTTTTGCAGCCCCAGCCGTCCTAATGGATATGTGTTGAACTGATAGTTTTGGGAAGCAGGTGGCATAGATTGGTGCATAGGGAAAGGTGGGATCCTTGATGGAATTACTGGTGTCGGTGTTTGTGAGTTTTGTAGTTGTTGTCCCATGTGCTTGTTCATTGATGTTGGAAACAGATGAGCAGGTACACTGTCATGCACCAAAGTTGATTGGTAGCATGGACAGGTGTCAAAAATGAAGTGAATATTCAAAAAGACTCACCTTTGCGCCACACAGGCACAGTGCCACGTGGAATAGTAATTAATATTGTCTTTTTCAAATTTGTGGCTGATCAGCACCACCTCTATTAGGCAATCCAGTTGTGTTCACCTTTGCTTTTCCATTCAGTACTTTCCGCGTTTTGGCATTTTGGCAAATTTTTGCATTGCCACTGGCTACACATTGCACCCTTGCTTTTGTTACCCTCCCTTACCTTTTTTTTCTTTACTCAGTCCCACCATGAGACCCTTACTCTCTTTTTTATTCTCACCCAATGGTTGCTTCTGGATCCCTATTCTGGTTCACCTCCTTGTCACCTCCACCTTCCTCCTCCTCATCTTCTTTGCTCCCCCACCATATCTGATGTCACCACTTTCTATCTGTTTCCATCGCCAATCTGTCGACCACCACCTACCACTGCTGATATCAGCAAAGCCCCGGCGGCCGGTCCAAATTGGGCAAAAGGTCCATCTTCATGATGTCGATCTTCCATCATATACCATCAAAACATTGGTTGCTTGTCTCGCCTGGTTGGAGCATGGGTGGGTAATTTTTGAGCTGGAGAAGGTTCATCCCCTTGTGTTGCCCATGTTCATCGCTGTCACATTCACTTGGGTACACTTATCTTTTGTCCACCATCTTCGCTACAGCTACAGCTACCACACGCTGCCTGGGACTCACTTGTTCCAAATTGGAACTACTCCCCTCCCTCCCTCGTTTGACCAGGTGGTCCAGTACAACCAGTCCATTGGTAAGACCATAGAACCATCGGATATGGACTAGGTGGTGGACCGGTGGCTGCAGTTTTTTTCCAGCAGAACATTCATTTATAGTGCGATTATTTTTGATTTTTGAATCATTTTTATGGACACATATTTTTTTAGAATGCCTGACTGACAATAAAGGAACTGTGTTGATACTGATATTGTTTTTCTTTATCCTCTTTTTACTGCATCTTCCCATGACTTTATGATTTTCTTGCTTTTTTTCTGTTTTTGGACTTTATTTTATGGCTGTACAAACCTGTGGCATTACTTACACAGCATTTATTGTTCTATCTCTTTCTTTTCCTTATTTTGACAATCTTATCCTGTACTACCTACGCAGGATTTGTCAGCATACATTCTTTCCTTCATGTTCTTTCTCATTCTTTTTGCACAGCTATACTGTGCATAGCCTCCCTTTCTTTTACTATATAAACCCCTGTATTTTACCTTGTAAAAAAACAAAACAAGAAATCCAATCCAGACTTCTTCTCTAAATCTCAAGTTCACTACTCTGCTACTTGTGATCCAGTGTGGTCACAACACTTCCCACTGTTACTACTGTTAACTACTGTCATTGTCACTCGTCACTTATGAAAGTGATTGTCATCCCTTTCGATTAGAGTCCTTCTGAGCACTACAGTTTGTTAGAATATACTCTGACATACCAATACCCCATAGGATAATACCTCTGATTTGCAAGCCAATCCAGTATGCAGCAGCTATACTGTGTAAGATGTCCGTGGTTGCATGTCATGTTTAAGATCCTACATTGTATAACCTTGACCATATAGCTCAATTGGTAGAGCAACTGGCATGTATCCAGAAGGTTCCAGGTTCAATCCCTGGCCTGGTTATTATCCAATTTTATCACAGTTTGTGCGTCAGGAGCCTGCTATCACTGGAAACCTCGTTATCTTGTCATTCTCAAACCTACCTTGTGCTAAGATTAGCAAGGTAGTGCTCATCCTATATTCATCTCAAAAAGCCCCTATCTTCTATAGTTCAACTATCTGAGTCAGGCGGTTACATTGACAATTACTTGGTGATGTAAAGTTGAAAGGATCAGCATGTTTGACTCGCCTGAAAGCCGCTAGTGAGCATAACTGCTTCCCACATGCTGTACATGGAACATGCCTCTTAGCTACAGGTGCACAGAGACAGCACTACAGTGTTCTGTCCTCTTGAGGTGTGTCTATGAGATATAGCAGTATTATGGCTGCAGGAATAGAACAGGATCCTGGAAGCGGAGGTGCTGATGCTGATGAGAGAAGCAATCAAGAGAAAGAGAGCTTACATGATGGAGGCAACGAAGCAAACATACCCCCAATTGAGGGGTTAGATGCCAAAGTTGATCAAAACAATGTGGACTGGGAAGACAAGTCTGGCTCTGGCACAAAGAAGTGCCCACCAGTGTTAGAATATACTCTGACATACCAATACCCCATAGGATAATACCTCTGATTTGTAAGCCAGCCCAGTATACCATATTAAAAACAAAGCTTGAAGGAAGTGTCTAGCCACTTGCTGAGAGCAATCAGGGACTGGAACTAGAGTCCAATGTGAGTAACTAGAGAATAGGAAGCATTGGACTCTGCAATACTGTCCGAAGTTTTGTAAACAAAGGTAAACAAAGCAGCCACAAAGGCGAAATAATAGAGAACACAATCAATAGTGAATGATAGAAGAATAGATAGAGAAAGGAATAAAAATATATAGGTAGCACAAAGGTGCAGAATCACCAAAACTAACAACCAGGCCTGTCGACAAACTGCTTGTAGAGTTGCAAAGTCAAGGTTGACAAAACTGTTACAATTAACATACCAGCACCTACTTACGCTTCACTTTTGTACTTCTACTTTTATTTTCCAAGTCACATGACCAGTCATGTGACCATTTACTTTACTTTACATTTTCGACTTTTCATAGTCACATGACCAGTTATGTGACACATCACCTGACCAGTGTCTAGACTTATCATGTGACCAGTCACATGCTAGACATCGGACTTTGAACTTTATTTACAACTGTACAGTACCTCATGTATTTTAGTATATATACAAGAGCAATACATGGAGAAGGACTCAGTGAGTCCTCCTGTTGTCTAGCACAACTAACTCACTGCAGCCTAAGGGGTAACCACTCCCCATCATCTTCTTTATAGTGTGTTCCTGTGTGCGCCAGAGTAAATAACTCTTGGTTGTTACAAAAACCGGATAAACCCGGTCTCTGCTAAAGCAGCCATTGTTCTCCTAGGAGCACAATTGTACTCCTAGGAGTTATTATACTGTAGCGAGTAGCACCTCCAACTATAAGTAGTAGGGGGTTTAGTATAAAAATACCTCAGTTGTTTCTATAGCCTCTCGGGCAGCGGCTGAGGTATGTTACATTACATTTATTAGAGATCACCTTAAGCTAACATCTATTGTAGTTTCACTTAGGTAAATAATAAAGTCATTTCTATAGCCTCTTGGGCAGCAGCTGAGTTTCACTTAGTTTTGTTATGTCTCTCTTTGAAGTGCCTTATAAGTGTCTTAACAGTCCTTTAATGGATTTCCAAGTCATCTTAAGGCCTTGTCAAGATGGCCATAAGCTCAAATCCAGAGCAGCAACCTCCTTGATTGACCTTGACGGAGGGCTTTGTGCTTGAAAAATATTTTGTCTTAAGTCGTCTTAAATGGCAATTAAGCTCGATTAAGATCAAAAAAATAAGTTCGACTTTTACTGATGACTGGGGCATAGCAGCTACGAAGCAAATATCTATTATCCTTCAACCATTGATAATGACTGCACTGCCACAATTCGCTATTGTAACGGCCAGCACTGGCAGTATCCAATGGAGGGCCAAAGAGTAAAAGTGCACTCTGCTCTAACTGTGCCCATCGTTGTGCAATCCTCGTTTTCTCTTCGGCTCGACGCTAACGACAACGAGAGCATTAAAGAAGCAAACAGGCTATTAGGGAATATACATCAAATAGAGATAAATATGGACCCATATATGATAATCCTGATAAATGCTCTTTGATCTCCGAATTTAGCACTTAACCTCCCCTTCGCTTCAGCCTGACGTAATGCTGGAAAGAACACCTGATGCCGCTTGACTATTGCAATTGTGACACGGGAAAAATGGATTGCAATGTCTAACAGGTGACATGTTATTTCCATTTTTCTGCGTTCTTCATATAATATTCAATATTCAAGTTTCAACAAAATACATCCGATATCTACAGATTTACCGTGCTAGCCGAGGACTTATAGTATCCCTCGTGTCGACATTGCCTTAAAGCTTCCCACAAGTTGACGAATCGTGTTTCCGAAATACCCCCCTCATAGACTTCAGCGCTTCAGCTTCAGGATGGCGAACTCTCGATTTTTCGACCCAGAGGAACATCAAGCTAGCTTGGATAGACTTTCATCCCTCCTAGAACTATCCATTAGCATTTCAAGACGCCCGAAAATGCGGAAAGGCATGATTTATCATCAAATGTCCATGAATCTGGTCCTCGAGTGTCAGCGGATTTTCCTAGCAACTTCTAGCCGGGAAGATCCGCTACTGGACAGCTCAGTCATGGAGGAACTCGAAAGAATCAGGGGTAGACTCAGCGTGTAACCATTCGTCCCGAGTGTCTTTAATTCGATAACCTCATGCCAGCCCATAATCTAGCATGTCTCGGTCTATGCACCTCCTTGAAGAAGGGAGGATTTCATGGAATCCCAGGAAAATCATAAAATCATACTTTTTACGTCGACGGCATGTTCGGAACTGTCTTGTGAATTTGAAGTTGGCTTCAGTGAGCCACTAGTAAAAATGGGCTTTAGAAGGATACTCATAGCCATGTAGGGTACTTCAAATAACATCCTGAGGAAGCTACTCACAGCAGATCGTGAGTAATGCAATCACATCATTTCCTGCGGCAGCTATTCGATCACTCATGCTGACCAAAACCCTTTTGTCCTCCCAATCACTGCGGCTGAATACACGACTCACAAAAGTGCGTTTCTCAAATTTCCGGACATACTCAGCTTGACTTTCGTTTGTCCTGCCCGTCTATTATTCATACAGAAGTGGAACCTGGAGATGACCACTCGAATGATCGTAGAAATGCCACTGAGCAGTCTCAAGCAGGAAAAACCCCGCCCCAGCCTCCTCCTTACCAGAGCGAAGATCCAAATTTGGAGCAAGTAGAAACCGCTTTTGAGGGCACCCGAGATGTGCCCTCCGCTCCTCAAACCTTACAAAGCCGCATCAACTTGAATATCTTCTACAAGAGCGTCATATATATGGGCTCTGGACCCAGTCATGATTCCTTGGTTGCGAGCAGGTCTAATCGTGCGGGCGGGAGTATGCTATATCTTTTGTATTTGAAATGAAAAGGCTGATAAATAACACTTCCTCGCAGACCGTCAACTTGCGACTCCCTCATCCCCATCTACATGAAATACATATCGGTAACTGCGATTATCGCCGAGGGATGATAGTCTGGAAACTTGTAGCAGGGCTCTTGATTCATAGCTAAGGAGCGAAAACGCCAAACGCAGGGACTTAGGTTCAACATATACGTGACTTTGGACCATCACACGAAATTTAGTGCAGGATGTCTGTGCCCTATCTATATGTCTGTTGCTAGTAAACGACTCGACTCGAGTTCTTTCAACTTCATTACCTTGAGATTTTGTGAAATGTTAACTAACAGGTTTGTGTGTGAGGCCATTTTCAAAATGATAAAATTGGATCGGGTGTTTGGGGATACCGCACTGGGCTTGGCCGGATAACTACAAAAGCAGGCTCCGTTAAGCAAGGGAGACCTATCGACGGAAGAAACTGCAAAAGCTACTTCAAAGCTAAGGTATAATCCTGATTCGTACTTCAGCTAGTATCATACATGCGACAAGTATGGAAAACAATGACAGCATACAAAATGCCCACAGCCGTCAGAATATTATTTCAATAAATATTCAACGACATCATTCCATTGCAGATTCTACAACTTAGCGCGTTTGAGTACGTAGGCTGACGACCTTTTGGATTTCACCTTGTAGACGTCGGCGCGAGTGATTGGTCGACATTCGTGTGCGTGATTATATCCCAGTCTGTCATCACATGAGCCTCTGAGAATATGGTCTGTACAAACACTATACCTGATTCGTCCATCTTCACCGCCAGGCTTATAGAACTCGGGACGGCGGAGAAGGCTAATGACCACAGCTCCTCCGATACCAATGTTATGGATGAGGCCATACTTTCCACGTTTATCTGCGCCTTCGAATAATGCTGGCGCCTGCATCGGACCAGCCCCTGTTATAGTTGATAGTTCTGACATCAGTAAGTAAGAAATCTCGACACGAACTTACAGCCTCGTAGCTGCACTAAAGGCAGGACGATTCAAAACAAATTCGTGAATGGAGATTAAATCGACATACTGGTGATAAAGAAATGCATGCCTAACCCAGTTGCTCCGAGGGGGTGACCCTTGGCTTCAAGGCCGCCGCTCGGATTCACCACATACTTACCGCCATACTGCGGCGAACTGCTCAGCGCATTACATAGTACCAAAGAGAAATCGATCTCTTACCGTGTTATCACCCCTTTCTACTAGTTTATGGGCTTCATCGGGCATGCAAAGTCCCAAAGCGGCATATGTAATGAGCTTTTGGTGGTTAGTCCAACAAAATAGGTTGACATTATCGGTGCTCACCTCGTTGGAGGCAAAACAGTCGTGGAGTTCGATTACGCCCACTTGGTCTCTTCCCTCACCTTCGTGGAATCCAGCCTGTTGAAAGACCTTGTCTGCACACCTCTCCGACATCCCATATCCAACCACTTCCATGGCACTGCGCCCTTCAAATGCTAGTGGTTGGTCGGTTTCCAATGCTTGAGCTACAATCTCGATTGCTTGATTCTCGAGCCTATGAGCATGTACGAAATCTTCAGATGCTACAATGCAACAAGCTGCCCCATCCTTGCACACCATATATAAAGATAATATGGGAAAAAAGAAAAGTTAGGACTTACAGAAGTTGGGCTACACATGAACTTCGTAAGCTGATTGTTTATTTTGGGAGCCTGGAGAACTTGTTCCTTGGTCCACCCATTTCGGAATTGAGAGTAAGGGTTATTCACGGAGTGTTTGTGATTCTTCGATGCTAAGGATATAACACGGTCAACAAAAAGAATCTGATTGAAAAGTATTTTACTGACCTATCGAGGCGAGATGCTCTATGCTTCCCCCGTACTTTTCAAAGTACTCTTGCCCAGCGTTCGCGAACATCCTCGGAGCTTCTGGTCCAAAGTTTGTCCCAGCCGTCATTAAGGCCTCGAGTTCTTTCGTCCTCTCACTAAAAAGCCCTACAGGGGAGGGCCTATCTGGAAAATTGGTGCCAACTTGAATACTCCCAGGTGACATGCGTTCAAATCCTAGAGCCAAAGCACAGTCTACCAGACCAGATTTCACAAGGTTATTAGCCTGGTATAATGCCGTACTTCCGGTGGAGCAATTATTGTTCACGTTGATTATTGGGATACCTGTCATACCAAGATTGTAAAGTGCCCTCTGGGTCAAATCAGAGGTCGGCTTGTTCCATGAGTAGAAGAAAGCAAACCTGGCCACTTGTTGAATCTCCGTAGCAATACCCGACGAATGCAGTCTCAATATCATCGTATGTGAGGCCTAACAGGTTCAAGTGTATGACCTTCAGATCAAAGCAAGCCATATCATGCCTGGTACTCACCAGCATCAAGAAGTGCCTTTGTTCCCGCTTCGAGGCCCATCTTCACCCGTATTTCATTAGATGCCCTTATATCTATCGGGGTGGACTTACATCTTCTGTAGTTCTCAGTCCTCTAGGCTGTAAATTGAGAATCATCATGCCGCTCATTTGTAATGAGTTATAAATGATTCTTACCTTAATGAAAGCAGTAGAACTGCACCCAATGATAAAAGATCTCTGTCCTTTTACCTTCATGTTGACTTGAATGACTGATCCTTACGAGGAGTATCGTTGATGTGAATAGTAGACGAGCGTTATGCAGCTGGAACAAGCTCCTTGAAGTCCATTCCGTTGCACCTTAAGCAGGGCTTTTAAGCCTTTTGGAGGGCTTATCGGTTGATTTCGCAGGTTATGCAGGTAATGTAAAGGCCTTAAAGGATATTCTTTTCGTTGATAAAAATAGGGCCAAGGCCCCCCTCTCGTGCGACAGTCAGACTTACAACTTACATTGCATTGCCATTATGGATATTAATCTCCCGAACATATCCATCCATACTTATCTCCGAGTGACACGCATCTCTTCATCCCTCTTATAGAGCTTGACACGACCATGGATGGTGATGATCTTCTTGATCCATTGCCACACCGTGTAGGCGACTTTCGCAAAATGCTGAAACTCGAGAAATAAGATAGACTTAAAGAGAAGACAGGAAATTATCAGCTACTTATACCCACTTGCAATGTGGCAGAGCTCGACGTTTGATTGACTATCATCGATGTTGGACTAGTAAGGGAGACTAAATTTTGTTGGGCCTCGCCATCGACATTGCCATGATGATTGAACGAAATCCACTGGCAAAATTTGGTCATGTTCTGGTATACCATAGTCATAGTGTAAATATCACGTATCCCATTTTCTAACCCATCTGTCGTTAAATCCTACAAACATACCACCAGTACATCATTTCCCTGTTACTCATAATTCACCGCACTCCTCCTTCCACATCCCTCACCGTACGGCCTTCTTCGTACTCCTCGTATGCATAACACCGACATCATCGTGAGAATACAAGCTGGAGGCATCGTCCGCATGGTATCCGGCTGTAGACATTGAACTTCCACCTTGCTCGCGTGGAGCGTCGACGTCGAAGTAGCTGGATATTATGGAGGAGGGCGAGAGGGGCGAGTGAGGCGAGCGTGGTCGTTGAGAGGAGAGAGTACGAGGGGAGGCCTCTAAATGCGAGGAAGAACGTGAAGACGAGTGTGAGTACGAAGATTCAACCGGGTGCGACGGAGGAGACACGGGTGATGACGACCGTGATTCATGCGTAGACATCGGGGAGAGCGGGATCGTGTCCATCTCCTCCTCATCAGGCATGTTCGCTATTCTCCACTTAACACTCGCTTTGGGATTCTGAATAGTGCTCGTGCTCGAGGGCGTACGAGTATTCGTACGTGCCACTGCTTGGTGAGAGTGTGAGTGGTGCTCAGCGAAAGCCTCGCGCGTCGTGGGTCTCCTCACCACTATCGGTGGTACGTAAGCGATCCCTCCGCCTTGACCCCGTCCTCCACCCCGGCTCAGGCTATCGCAGAAAAATACAACATCATCAACGCTCCCCCACCTTACAGAACCCATCTTCCCATCACGCGGTTTTTCATCCTCACTTAAGCCTAGCCCCGCTTCGACCTCCCGCACTTTCGTCTTTGCGATAGTGCGTCGTTGATATGCTATGATAGCGGTGGCAACGACGAGGGCAACGCCTACGAGAGTGAGCGGGACGGCGTACGCTGCGGTCGGAGGTGGAATGACTGTAGCGGAAAGGTTTGGAATCGGGGAGGAGGGCGCTGAGGGGCGAGAACTTGAGTGGGGGAGTGCAGATGAGGATGAAAGTGGTGATCTCGGAGGGGAGGTAGTTTCGTACCCGTTCGGTTCAGACGTTGTGTCCGTATCTGCGGTTGACTGAGAGTGTGAAACATCGGTGCGTGTCAACGTCGGTGAACCTTGTTCATCCCCTGAAGCTTGCTGAGAATCCGATGAAGGTGGCGATGAAGGAGAAGCCGCGGAGAAGGGATTTGTGCCTGCGTCTGCTATTGGCCGAAAGGGTGGGGCGTGCTCCACTGATGGGTCAGCCCCAGCCTCTGGAATTGGTGGGGAATTCGATGGGGGTTGGTAAGAAGGTGAAAAGTTTGTCATTGGAGGGTCTTGTGCGGCCGCAGGTGGTGAACCAGAGGTCGGCAAGGAGGAAGGTGGAGCAGACTGGGGACCTCCTTCATCCTGGTTTTGAATGCTGGCGGGAGGTGAAGCTATACATGGGCACGGAGTAAGTTAGTTCAGATGTAGAATCGTCGGACCAGGGTAAGCTCGAAAGGCGAACTTACAATGGACGGAGGACCAAGGAGAGGTAACTATTTGACCCGTATCACCCTCCATCTGGATGTACACGTCAGCTTTTGGGGCGATACTAGACAAAAGCAAGGAAAGTCAGCCCCTACTGCAAAATCACAAAAGTACGAAATCATGGTATTAAAACGATCAAATGTAAATTGGGAGGAGCAACAGAGAGAAAAAGTTATAGATATGACGTAAGTGAGTATAAGCTTACAGAGTAGTTGTGTACGGCCCCGAAGTCTGGTGCACATCAGGCCAGGAAGCATCTCCGCAACTTGTTTGTGGTGTAGCGTCTGCCTTTCCCGTATCCACATTACTATTAGACTCTCCTCCTTCATTACCACTGTCGTCTCCGTTGTCAGAATGGTCATGAGACCTTATACCAGGGCCACCGCTGGTAGAGAGGTCGGGACATAATCTGAATGAGGGAGTAGCTTCAGGTGAGCTCCATTCCGCAACGAGCCTGTTTCTTGGGCTGAAAGCGGATCCTGAGGTGGGACTTGTCCAAATGATGTCACTGGGAATGGTTGTAGTGGAAGTGGAGGGGGAGGCACTGGTTTCGTCGTATAGGGAAAATAAAAGGAGAAGATAGATTGGAAGAGAACGTAGTGACGTATGGTCTCCCATGACGATAAGAACAGCAAAAAGAGCGACAGATAGCAGAAGAAAAGACTGGAGATAATATAAAGAGTGGAATGGACCGTTCTCAGGACCAGCTTGAGACGGGTTGAATATTAGAGACGGGCTAGAATTTCACGCCGGCGTGCCTCGTGATGGATGAGAATGAAGAAAAGCAAATGAATAGGACTCTTGGAGAGACATTGAAGGTCGGAACATTGCAATGCTGGCGGGTGGTCTGGGACATGTCTCTTGCCTTTGCGGTCGTTTTGGTATGTGGTAGATAATATTCTTTTTTTTTTCCATTTTTGGCTAGAGTTTTAGGGAGCATAAGGCGTCGATGCCGTTGAGTCGATCTCCATTTTGGCGCTAACACCTTGAGCGGGGGAGGTGAGGGCGCGGGAAGCGAACTCAACCAGTTGTTGCCTGGTAATGAATGGGCTCAGCTTATACTTTCGGGACACGCCAATTTCAGAATGAGTATATAGGTAGAATTAGACATGTATACATGTGTGATCCAGGTATACAGAATAGGGTAGGGAGCAAATGATGAAGTAGGACGAACCTCTTGTGTTCTCTGATTCGCTCCAACACCTCGATCACATCGTCTTGCTCATCCACGAGCATCTCTCCACCAGGTAACACATTGGCAAGTTCCTTAGCCTGGTTAAGCGTACTCTTGAAGTCATTTGTCTGCGAGATAAGTCGTCAGAGTGGTGCAACCATCTAATAATCACTTTGGGTTATACGAACGGCGTGCAGGAGGGCTTGTTTGGCTTGTGGTGTGGCAGTACCTTCTGTTTTTTGAGTGAGCTCAAGTATGGTGGCTAGTTTTGGGAGGAGGGACTCGAAAAGCGCGGTCGGTAATGTGTTTGAAGTCATGTTTGCCAGTGGTGGCGAAGACAGCCACAGAACCGGTTCAGGGAGAGTTAATGTTTTAATCACCGCGAATATGTATATTTGATCACTTTCTCCATGAACAATTTGAAGACCACTACTACCAATGCAAAATGTGCCTTGCTTATGGAGTTATGTTTTGATAATGTTTCTAATCACCACTACCTCACCTCAAGGCCTCAAACTCAAGAGCGCTTCCCAAGGGTATTCTTCACTTTGAATCCTACTTCGTCGATTTTCCCTACCAAGCATTTCCAAGACCTCTTGATATTTAATTTGGTTTCTGGCGGTTCAAGTTGTACTGCTCTTCCAACGCTATAGTCAGAACGCAGAAAATGAAGCAGTCTTTCTTCTTTGTGAGATCCAGAACATAGTCGGATATCTGATAGGTGTTCAAACTGCACAAAACTGACACGGGCTGCAACGGGTTTGGCGGTGCCCGTGCCGCGTGGCGTGGCTCTAATATCCCTTCCATCACAAAAAACCTCACTCTTTCTTTGTTTACCAGGAACCCCAGGACAACAGGATTCTGCTCACCCAATGCCACCTGATGATAGATGCAAGCTGCACTTGCCATTGCAGCCCGATTTCCCGCCGGATCTCCGCTTCCAGGCAGTGGAATATCAGTTACTTCTCCGGTCCCGATCACCACACACCATATGGGAGGCTCCCTTCCAGTGGATACCCTAGCATTCTCGTCCGTAACACGATGCTTTATGCACCAAGAAAAATCCGGCTTCTGGTTCAAGGTTTCAAGTTCTTGTGGAAGGGTGCTCCCCTTTTTACTATACGCCCCATTGATGGTTTTCAGCTCGCACTCTCTTCAGAAAATAAGTATAAGTAGTCTGTAAATGTTTAAACTAATTATAACGATATCAATAATGCACTTACGTCCAACTCGCGTCAACATCAGGGCTATAACTTAGCCTCCGTAAGATTGGATCCCACACCATAGCTTTCCATACTTCATGGGATATTTCTATTTCTTCCGTATTTTTCAGACATTGGGCCTTTTTTCGCGATTCCAGCAGCCTATCTATGTCCATAATGCGCATACTATGCTCTGGAGGTGTTTTAGGTAAATATTTGTTGAAAGGTCCTTTGGTCCTTGCTTTGGCTACCACCCTAGAAACCCATGGCAACTTGTCCTTCACCTGGTCCATGAGCGAAACCTAGAGGACCGGAGTTAAAGGAACAGGCGACTGGCAAGACCACTGAAAAAAGCAAACCGAATCTCGTAGAAGCTTTTCAGCGATTTCTTCCGTACGCTCTAGCAGAAACTTGATACTAATGTGGGCCTCATTCAACGTCCTCGGGGGCCTTGCCTGAAATCCTACGTGCTCTGCCCAATCATCAAAGGCACCCATATCCGGTGCACTTCTAACGCGAACATGAATGCTTTGTGTAGAACTTTGAGCTTATTTGCTCCTTACCTGTAGGTTCTCTCATGATCATTTGGTGACAAGACTGGTAGTTGTTGCGTGGCCCAGGACTTCCAAAAGCTGGTTTACTACGTGTAAGCAAGGTAGCGTGTCGTGAGCAGCCTGAGTAATATGGTGTCTTACTTGCCTGCCATCGTCATTGGCGTTTTGCGATCGCATGCCTTGATACAATTCAAAAATTGATTGGGATACCTCGACTCCTTTGCTATGAATTTGTCACCGGCGTCGCAGCGTTTTATGTTCACTGAATCCCACAATTCGACCTTCTAATTGTTGATGTCACAGTTGGTCAAGCAGTTGGTACAAGAAGTGAAGTCGATGGCTTCGACAACATTAAATATTTAAACACCGCGTCGAATTCAACTTCTCCGCGTAATCCATACAATGAGCTCGAGTAACTCGGAACACATTGAGCTCGGCTTCAAATTATGGGTTATATGGGAGACCTCGAAATATAGTAATTTTTCAAGACACTTGAATGTTTGTTTGGTAAAATAAAATAACATTGAGAGTTGAATTTTCCATAGGAGTGATAAGGTCCGAGTCCACTCCTGCACTTCGTTGTCACGGTCGTGTGTAAGAGTAGACCTGAGGGATCATCCAAACGTATACCACGAACGGCTAGCGTGAAGACATTGGCAAGGAGCTTATCTATCGACTTACTAGCAATATCCCATCAATCCTGTTCTGACAGTGCACCAAAGGAACCGCCTGATGTTGCTGCTCGCCACTCAGAGCGTGTTGGGTGTACTTATAAGTGACCTAGCATTGACAGGAACATAGAAGCACCTGGAGTATAGCTATTTTCTGAAAAAGGTCTCCCGTATTATACCTTTCTGGAGAGCGAGGTGGATTGTTGAATGGTGGCGTGTCTGGACGTTAGCTCCGAGTCAAGGACACAACTTTTTACCTGTAAGGATTTGATTGTGATCAAGGTTTTGCTATCCCGCGACTCGTTGACAATGGTATACGTATTTGTTTCATTACATTCAAGTTTGTTACATCGGAACAACAATAATACAGTATCAACAAGTACATCCAGAGGCACCGCACTTCAAGCCAGACAAGTGCATAACACTGCTTTCAGAAACAACTGTATCAAATATGGGACACCAGAACACAGCGAGAGGATGCAACAAGATACTGAGAAGAAGAAGTGCAAATGTAGGGTCGGTTTTATTCCCCGGATACGTGATACCAGATCGTTAAATGAGAAGCCGGAGGCCAGAAGAAGACACCATGCGAAGTGTAGAATCTTTGTCATTCATTTTGCCTTCAGAAGATGTTTTAAGTTGTGGCGTCCCGGGCGTTGTAAGGCCAGAAGAGTCTTCTGATGTAGGAGAATGGATGGGGTAGCTCTTGATGGGCGCTGAAACATCGGCAGGCGATACTCCAAGACTCCATGAGCTTCCGTGAATTTCTCGCATGATATCCATGATCTCTGGCTCGTCAACACTTTCATGAGCCAAACCGACTGAAGATTTCGATTTCCTGATAGAACACATGGAAAATTTACGACGCAGAGCAGGGAAGCCGCCTAGAAACAAGCTGTGGCAACTACTAAACGTTGTGCTGCAGATAGACTGCCTGGAGGGACTGGCAGGAATGTCGTTATGGCTGTACTCGATGCCTTGCCCATTTTGACCTAATCCACTGGGAAGCTCGCGTAAGGATGTACGAGCATTCTTCAGACTCGGGGTACTTGCAGGGCGCATCTTCTTGCGTAACTTGCTTTTCGGTCGCGTCGAGTGACCAGCGGTGGAAACGGTAAGCGTGGACATCGCACGCTCGCGGTGCAGGGACGATGGTCTCTTGCGAAGCTTTCGTGGTTGATGAGGGGTTATAGATGAAACTGCATCCAAAAAATCCAGGGATTGCCTTGAAGAGCCTGTATTCTTATATAAATCGTGACTTTCCCACAAGGAAATAGGACCTGGAGGCGTCGGTCCACTCTCAAAGCCGTCTCTACTTTCAGATTGAAGTTTTCGGACTCTGTCAACCGTGAACGTATGATCGGGTGTTGCGTCTTCTTCTGATGCCTCGAGGACCATTTCCAGCCGCGGAGGGTTTCTGTCGTTGATCTGACAAGAGGTGCGTTTTTGAGTCCTTACGTTCGTATAGTCTTGTTGATGCTTCAAGTCCGAAATTTTGCTCTTAATAATACGACGAGGAAGAGGGGTGAACAAATCACAGTTTATAGTCTTGCTATCAGAAACAGTCGTTTCTGCGCGAAGAAGTGACTGCTGTTTCTCAGGACCTCGTAGACCAAACATTGTGGGATAATCGCTGGCTATTCCCTGTACATTGTGCGATGTAAGTGTAAATGGAACTGTGGTGATGACATAAGAGGACGTGATTGAATTTACTGATTTAAGGAACAAACCTGTCACATTCTTTGCAGACACACGGTCCCAGTTTCTGTAGGCCGCTTAGTAAGTTTTGTGACTTGACTGAACCACACTTACACGGTGCAAAAGTAATTGTGTGATTTGATGTCACTTGTTTTAAGCCGGATTGCGGGGTTGCGCTCCAGACACTGTGAAAAGTTTTGTCACGGTGACCACAAATCATTCAATGATCGAGTCCAAACCTTTGTGATTAAATCGCGTGCGACCCAACCAATGTGGGCATTCTTCAAGACGGGAAACGAAAGGGAACAGTGGACAACCTTGGTTTGCAATAGAGCATTATTGTGGTAGTCGTTCTCAGCTACGAACGGGTGCTAGAGGGAGGGTAAAAAAGTCCAATATACAAAAAGAAAAACGCCACCTACGCTAGCGTATAGCATCGTATAGAGAATTGCACCAAAAGACCAGCAGTCGACACTAAAATCATGCATCCAACCAAGGAATAATTCGGGAGCCTGATAACCTCTTGCACCAAATTCTGGAATGTCTCCACTGCATGGAGCGCCACATGGTGTAGGCATCATGGCGCAACTAAATCCCGTTATGACTATGTGCCCATAGATATCAATCATTATGTTTTCGGGCTTTAGATCTCGGTGGATTATCCCGGCACCATGAAGGGCGGCCATACCTGCGACCTGAAGCTAGTCATTAGCAGCTCCGAATATCACAACACCCGCCGGGCGACTACTTACCAACTCGCAAGCATAAAAGTGGGCACGATCGCAGTCAAAAGGACCATCCTGTGTGAGTTTCTCATAGAGGTTTCCTCCGGAGTAGAAGTCCTGCGCCTGGTTGAGTGCATGAACATGGAGGAAAAACAGAGTAAAAACGGACCGTGACGAAGTATACGGATACTTCATCCTGAAAATTCCAGTACAACGGGGGGAGAAAAGGATGTTCAAGTTCTTCTATCTTCTTCAGTATATTCTGTTCGTAGCAAATGTTTTTGGACCGGCCAGACACAGATATTCGGTTTTTGTTGATAATTTTGATAGCATATAGCTTCAAACCGTCACGTTCTCGACAGAGGTGCAAGGTCGATTCTCTGCTACTGGAAAGGACATGCAGTATTTCGAAAGCGCCCACCTCTATTATCTGCAACTTTCCTCAGTTTGGTCAAAGAAGGTTGATCAATTAAACATACCTTCGCTTCAGGGATATGTTCATTTACTTTAGTGCCACAGGGCCTAATTTTGGGCGAGATGACCATTATTTCCTGATGAAAATGACTAAGTATCTCGGCGAACTTTTCGCAAGAGTAGCATACATCTATTTCGCTAAAACTCTCTCCAGAAATAAAGTCTTTTGTATCCTTTATCTGTTTAAGCAGGATTAATAGTCAACGTAACAAGTACATATAAATAATCGTATACCTCCACATCGTAACTGATCTCTGACTGTTGAGGGCTTGGTTCTGCACTTGAGCCACCACCCGACTGTCCTGCGGTATGGGAGGGGTTTTCCTCGTCCTCCATAAATTCACTAAATGATTCCTTCGATTATGTTACTCTACTTTTGAGAGCTTCGACATAACATAGATGAACTTACTGAGAACGGAGACAAATCTAGCGGACTAACTTCAAGACGCGGAACTGATTGCTGGGCAGGAGATAATGCTGCATCCTAAATGTCACACCGGGTGGAAGAAACGAAGCATTATGCCAGTTAGCTTTATGACAAAGACGTAACCCTCATGAATAGAATATAAACGCACGTTGGGACTCTGCTGCACTGGCCAATCGTCATTATGATACAGGGCAAGCATCCTCGTTACCCAGCGTCACCGTTCAACGTTCGACAGTGGGCTGGCAAGTGTCAGAGAAAAGGCCAGCGACCTTGATGGTTTAGCGTAAGGAGCGTAGAACCAGTATGTTGAACCAAAGTAAATGCGCGGCAACTAGGGATTCATAACTTGGAGTACTGTATGGAATCCATGTCCAAGTCAACAACTTTGCGCCGAGTTACTGGAATCGTGAGAACGCAAATTGGAACAATTCAGCGCGCTCACTTGACTCAGACATAAAACATACAAATCCACTACTCAATACCCTTATAGCTAGCGACCTCGTATTATGAATAATATATTTGCATGAAATGTCTGCGGAAATTGCGGGGTGACGCGAACACAAAGAAATCAATCACGTGAAATGCGCGTGTACCTCCCACGTTCTTTCCCGTACTACTCAACTGTGTGCAAAGCTTTCTACTGTTCGTCTTATCGAGGTGAACAAGGTAGCTCCATCGCACCAAATCACCAAGAAATGCCACTTACAGACAGCGAGGACGAGTTCGATGCCATCCCGGATGCATTCGAAGGCGTGGATTTTAGCTCCATACCAGCTCTCGCTGAGCCTGCTGCTTGGCCACAGAACACGGGCTCTATACAACGTCCAAGCACATCATCGGCGCAGAGAACCTGGGACTCTTCTTCAAGTGATTACGATGATGATATTGACGACTTGCTCTTGGCCGAAGTGGATGCCATCGAGGCACGCGCAATGAACGAGTCTGCGAGAGGTGTGTCGAGCACCTTGCCTTAATAGTGATGTCTGTCATAATGCCGCTGTAACCTCAGCCGGACCTTCGAACCCAAGAAATTCAAATTCGATACGTGGCGTCGTCTCTGGTGAGTGGGTTGTATTGGCTCGCACCACATGTTCTATATTTAATGACCATGAAAAGATTATGGTACGCATAGCGACTGTATGTGTCTCGCACTCGCACCTGTTTAGTTCTCTGCTTGAGCTAGTCATTATATAGCGTTCAACTCGAACATATCTTCAAATGCTCCTCGCGGATCTCGCTCGTTTGCTGGTAAGTAATACTTTTTTTTCTTGGATCCTCGTCTCGTTCAACGGTTGGCATGCTATATTAGGTCCAATTGCACCACCTGGGGGTCAAAAAAAGCGTTTGTGGCCTCTCGATTTTCACTATTAGTGGTGCAGCTCAATCTCTCTTTCTCTTCCCCCAGCAATATCATCCAACTCTTCCGTGGCCCCCAAGGATAATATATCCACCCAAAGCCTTCAGAAACGAGTTTGTCCGTCAATGCCTTCTATTTCGCCTGTCAAGAAAGGTAAAATGAAGACGGGGCCTGATGAATTGTCCCAGCAAATGCTGGTAGCGCTCGAAGAAGAGGTTACATGTCCCATGTAAGTCTCAGGACAGAACGCCATCATGAAACGCTAATGACACTTCTTTGTTGCTTAGTTGTTGTGATATACTGTAAGTACAGCATTCCTTCTCTCACTAGCCCATTTTTGTTGTCTCATTCATCATTCATGTAAACTTAGCGTTGCAGTGCACATAGGCAACCCATGCGGTCATAGTTATTGTGCTGAATGTGGATACGAATGGATATCTAAAAATGTAAGACTACATTCAGGCTCAAGCCAACTGTACTAATTGAAAACCTTTGTAGAAACGTTCTCCGACATGTGCTGTATGCCGTGCAAAGTTATCGATGCACAAGCCTCTATTTTCCAATGTCATGGGAGACTCAATAGTTCGCAGGTATATAGAACTCTTAGCCAACAATGGCGATATCTCTTGGCAGCATGGTGGTTCCAAAATCACTGAGTGGGATTTGAGAAAAGTGTACGTAGTGCTCACTTTAGTGCAGTGGAGTTCCTCTGGCTAACATTATATGAATAATAGAAAATGGAAGAAAAAAGAGATGACGATCAAGAACACTCAAGCATCAGAGGCCACTCGTAGAAGGCGGCTCTCTCACCCTCCTCACCCTGCCCCACCACCGCCACCTCCACACTTAGATATGCGAATGTACGACGACTATATGCAACAGCTTCAATCATTGATATTGCCTGACGACTTGGATGAGGATCCCACGTATGAAGAAGATGAGGATGTGTATGATCCAGAAGTGAGGACTGCGAACTCTGCATACCGGCGTCGGTCAACGCGAAGGTCTCGAATGGAAACCATTGTGCGCTCTAGACATTTTGTTTCATGAATGTGACTTGTGCCGATGTGAGCACACTTGTGATTGAAGTCCCAGGGTAGAAGAAAAAAGTAGAATGTTTTGTGGTCGAGCTTCATCTGCAAAATGACTTGACAGCGGTTAAGTCGGCGCTTCTGAAATTCTAGCGCCAACTCATGCGATTGGTGGAAAGTTGCGCCGGTTTCCTTATTTGGATGAGAGATATCCTGATACCATATCTACTGTAATTGTAGACTGATAATGTTTATCTTACAACAATAATCCATATCTCAGCGATTAGATTCCATTATGCTGTAAGAAACAAAAACCATTGAATCATTGATCAAAGATAAGCAAAGATAACGAAAAGACAATGAAAGCGACATAATTCTACTAGTAGTACAGGAGTGATGCCCTCAAAGCAAGTAAGCAATACCATAGTCCATAGTCGTCCGAATCAACTAGAATCATCAGTCCTCATCTACTAACATTGAGCAATAAACCTCCTTGTCTGAGTAGCAGTTCAAAAAAAAACAAGTCGGCAACTCCAGTGAATTACTTGCATTGATGGCTGGATCCTTTGTGGCGCCATACAACGGGATGAGCTCCACAGCTTGAGCAACGGCTGTCAGCAGCACTATCCTCCCAACACGCTGATGTCGGCGCTGTGGATCTACGTGGAATGATCGTTCAACAATGAACATGTCAACCTCAGGGCGGCTGGAAGGATGAGCAATCACTTGGAAATACTGGATGTAGATAAGTGTCTGCGAAAGATGTTGGGGTAACAAGGCACTGTGACTGGCAAGCGGCACCAAAACCGCTCGAATCTGGACAACACAAGGCTCTGGAACATGATTTATAAGTCTCATTATTCAATCAATAGAAATGTAACTCACCTTGACCCGTACCTCCCAATAATACAGTATCACAGTTATCCCAAGGAAATTGCTGGTTCCGAGGGTATGCTTACACAAGCTGACTAGGCATGATAATCTTGTTGTCAAATACCGAGTGTAGCTGTATTTGGAATTTGAACCACACTTGTACATTTTGAAATGGGAGAGAGCCTGAGAATCCGGGATATTGAGATGAATATTGGAGGAAGGTGCTTGCAAGATCCGGCAGTCCATACAGATTACTAGCGTCCTGGAGTGACATACTTTTTATGTTGGGCGCAACAGTGATATGGAAAGCTGTGGACGCGTCATCAGAAAGGATGCCCTTGATAAAATGATTGCGGACAGGACGAGAGCCAGTGAAACAAGTTTCTTGGGGCAATATGGATGATATCCACACAAAGTGAGGATCAGTGTCCACAACTTTGTGGTCCGCTAGCGATAGTGCACATTCATAATCCTCTGAAGCAATGGCTTGGTTTATGAAACCCTTGCCACTTGACCGGAGGAGAGTATACAGGTCGAACATTCGACACTTCTCCACGTGGTCCAGAATCTTCACAACCTGAGTAAGGAAGTTTTTCCCATGGTTAGTCTGCTGGAATGTATGCTTGCAATTCGTGATAAGTAGGCATTCTACGACATCTCTAGTATATTGAGGGATAGTACCGTTGTTCTCGATCAACCAGGCAAAGTGCTGCATGAGCTCGAGCTTGGGGATCCTGAAATTGTCTATTGTGCCGTTTTTACCTCTCCTAGCTTCCGCCTCTAATATAGCACCCTTATGCCGATGAAACTGTTCAAGGGATTGGACCATTTTCTTGATAGAACTGGGGGTTTGGACAGGATGTTGTGCAGCATAGATGAAGTCAATCATTGATCGAATAGCAAAGACAAAGTTAGGAGCAACCGCGCCCGCAATTGTGGGGACAATAGCACGCTGGATATCTCGATGTTTGCGTCCGGTCATCTGCTTGACACTTGTAACGCCCTTGTCAAAGTGGTGGAATCCAACTCGCTTGTGGTGACTCTTGACAAAACCGGATAAACCCGGTCTCTGCCGAAGCAGCCATTGTTCTCCATAGAGCATAGCCACCACTCCATGGAGTAACCATTGTTCTCCTAGGAGCACAATTGTACTCCTAGGAGTCATTACACTGTAGCGAGTAGCACCTCCAACTATAAGTAGTAGGGGGTTTAGTATAGGAATACCTCAGTCGTTTCTATAGCCTCTCGGGCAGCGGCTGAGGTATGTTACATTACATTTATTAGAGATCACCTTAAGCTAACATCTATTGTAGTTTCACTTAGGTAAATAATAAAGTTGTTTCTATAGCCTCTCGGGCAGCGGCTGAGTTTCACTTAGTTTTATTAACTCTTATAGCGATTATCTAGCTCCTGATGCCCTAAAACGTCCTTGCACCAGACGAGGACATGGTCAAAGAAGAATTTATGACATGTATGCAAGAGTTCGGGCGTCAGAAATACGGACAGGTCAGCGAGGTGCCAATTTCTCCAAAATGGCTGATGTACGCCATTGATGCTGACTTCCTTTGCCGCTATCTGAAACTCATTTAATTTCCAGGGGTCAATCTTCTGCAAGACCTTGAAGATCTGTTCTAAGGTATGTCTTGCTGTACGGGGAGGGTACACCTTCGCATCACCAAACTGAGACTGAGTAGCGAGAGATACCGGGGATGAATTTTTGGCGACACGAGCTATAACTTGAGCTTTGGGTATATCAGCTTGATATGCAACGAGAGGTGTGTACACGTATCTAATGGTGCCAAAAGGGTCAGGTATGAATGTGCCAACCTTGGCAGCAATCTTCAAGTTCACGGTGACCCCATCCATGCATTTGTGCCAAACACGGGCCTGAAGAATACCCTGATAGTCCAAATGGGCTTCAAACTTGGGTGTTGGGATGAAAGCAACACAACTCCAAGCGTGAGTAGTGGCTTTCATTCGCACATCAGATCTGATGTTACCGATTGTTAGAAAGGTGGAATGCATTTCAATATTGCCCGTCCCTCTCTTGACAGCCATTTTATCTGATCCGAGGATGATGGGGACTATTGTTGCGCCTACAGGTAGCTCATCCTGGTGAAATTGATCATAAGTTAACACATGTAATAGCAGGATGACTCACCTGAATTCTGAATGCCTCCCAACCAGTAAAAAATTCACCATATTGTCTTTCCCCAAAAGCTTCTACTTCCTTGGGATAAAATGTCATATTGTTGAGCAAAAACCGGATTTGCCAACGTGTGCTGGGCTACCTCCAAAGTGTCTCAATATATCAGATGGATTGGAGTTGAGTCGTAACCTTCCAGTTCAATCTCCTCCACTTTCCACCAAGGCCCTGTAGGTAACCATTCCATCCAAGACATGAGTTGACTCTTGCTCTTGAAAGAAGGCACATATCAAGTTTTGAGCTAGTTTTACAATTATGTCAGTATAAATCAGTTGTGATGGAGAAGAACTTACCCATTTCAAGTGCATGAAACGGTCAATCTGTGTCTGGGTCAAACACTCGCAGAGAAACTTTGCTAATTCCCATTCTGCCCTATCCTGAAATGGATAATAGATGTGGTTGCGGTGCCGATAAGCAAATTGGTCAGTGTCCATTTCCTCCATTATATTCAACCCTTGGCTGAAAACATATCCAGATGAAGGATGGTAGCGAAACTGTGTACATGGTATATCTTCCTCTGGTTCGTGTTGTTGCACCTCAGGATCTGGTCTAACACGACCTATGGGACGTCCATCACAAGCCCAGCAACTGGTACTGTCATTCAGATGCTGTACAATGGCCGCTGAGTTGCTGTATAGATTGTGACAATTGGGACATGGAATCTGTGCTGGCATTTTGAGCCAATTTTGATGGATAAGCAAAAAGAAACGCAAAAAACGCACAAGTCCTTAAAACTCCGACTATCCAAAATCTCTACTTGTTTCTCTCACCAGGTAGTACCCCTCCTTGCAAATTTCTCTGCCTGCAATGTCCTCACCAACCATTTATATCCCTTCCTCTGATTTCTCAGGAAGTGACACACAATCCACACAATCTAGCCACAAGTCCAACCATCAATCCAGCACCACTAGCTTTTCACCTAAGCAACCCAAGGTCAACTTATCCAGCTCTCCTCCTCCCAGAGCCTTGTATGCACCACGTGCTTATAACAGAAAGAAGTACCAGGTTGTGCTGTTATGCACCAAAGTTGATTGGTAGCATGGGCATGTGTCAATAACGAAGCGAATATTCAAAAAGACTCGCCTTTGCGCCACACAGGCACAGTGCCACATGGAATAGTAATTAATATTGCCCTTTTTGAACTTGTGGCTGATCAGCACCACCTCTATTAGGCAATCCAGTCACGCTCACCTTTGCTTTTCCATCCGGTACTTTCCGCATTTCGGCATTTCGGCAAATTTTCGCGTCGCCACTGGCTACACATTGCATTGCGCCCTCGCTTTTGTCGTTTCCCTTACTCCCCTTCCTTTGCCTAGCCCCACCATGGGCCCCTTCCTCTCCTTTTTATTCTCACCTGACGGTCGTTTCTGGGTCCCCATTCTAATCCACTTGTTTGTCACCTCCACCCTCCTCCTCCTCATCTTATTTGCACCCCCACCATTTCTGATGTCACCACTTCCTATCCGCTTCCGTCGCCGATCCGTTGACTACCACGTGCCACTGCTGATATCAGCAAAGCCCCGGCGGCCGGTCCAAATAGGGCAACAGGTCCATCTTCATGACGTCAATCTACCATCATATACTATCAAAACATCGGTCGCTCGTCTTGCCTGGTTGGAGCGTGGGTGGGTAATTTTTGAGCTGGAGAAGGTTCATCCCCTTGCGTTGCCCATGTTCATCGCTGTCCCATTCACTTGGGTACACTTATCTTTTGTCCACCGTCTTCGCTACAGCTACACCTACCACACGCTGCCTGGGACTCACTTGTTCCAAATTGGAACTACTCCTCTCCCTCCCTCGTTTGATCAGGTGGTCCAACACAACCAGTCCATTGGTAAGGCCATGGAACTGTCGGATTTGGACTAGGTGGTGGACCGGTGGCTCCAGTTTCTTTTTCTTCAGCAGAACATTCATTTACAGTGCGATTATTTTTGATTTTTGAATCATTTTTATGGACACATATTTTTTTAGAATGCCTGACTGACAATAAAGGAACTGTGTTGATACTGATAGTGTTTTGCCTTGCCCTTTTTTTTACTGCATCTTCCCATGACATCATGATTTTCCTGCTCTCTTTTTGCTATTGGACTTTACTTTATGGCTGTACAAACCTGTGACATTACTCACAGCATTTATTGTTCTATCCCTTTCTTTTCCTTTTTTTGACAATCTTATCCTGTACTACCTACGCAGGATTCGTCAGCGTACATTCCTTCCTTCATATTCTTTCTCATTCTTTTTGCACAGCTATACTGTGCATAGCCTACTTTTCTTTTACTATATAAACCCCTGTATTTTACCTTGTAAAAAAAAGAACAAGAAATCCAATCCAGACTTCTTCTCTACTCTCAAGTTCACTACTCTGCTACTTGTGATCCAGTGTGGTCACAACATTTCCCACTTCTACCACTGTCAACTGCTGTCATCGTCACTTCCCACTTTTGAAGTCATTGTCATCCCTTTTGATTAGAGTCCTTCTGAGCACTACAGTTTTGTGCGTCAGGAGCCTGCTATCACTGGGAACCTCGTCACCTCGTCATCCTCGTCGTTCTCAAACCTACCTTGTGCTACCATTAGCAAGGTAGTGCTCGTCTATACTCGCCACAAAGCACCTATCTTCCTATAAATTCAACTATCCCTCCTCCTCAAAACCCACACTCATACACCTCTGGGTTTTACTTTGAAGGATCTTTATACGTACCACCCCACGAACAACCAGACCACTCCACTGTTCTAGGAGGCAAAGCCCATAAACAAGTTCCGTGGAATCTGGGAGGATTGTGTGTTAGTTTGTTTTGTGTGTGGTTTTCTAACAACAGTACTCAACATCGACACCGACCCCCCTGCGCATCCTCCATACCAACTGCCCGCATTGTCTGGTTTTGTTGGCAATGCCCTGCCTTTAGAAGGCCGTCATCTTCAGCCAATCCACTGGTCCACATCGTCCCCTTTATCCCAGCAATGTTACCAGCCGTATCCTCAGGTTTCCCGTGCTGGAAACTTGGTACGTTCCAACCAGCAGCAGCAAGCTGAAGCCCCTCATGTGCAAGATATTGATTCCCAATCCCTGAGAAGAGTCAGCTCACGACATTTCTGAGACATGAATACCTTGGCCAATTCTGCTAGCGGCTCTCAGAGAATCACGTTGGAGCGATATGGTAGAGGTCTAGCTCCTCCTGGGATGCGGGTTGTATTAGTACATGTACCTCGTTGTCCACATGAAATGATTGAGGGTGAATGGACCCATGGGGTAGTCAGAGTAAGTGTGAATAAATTTTGATTGATTATATTCACTGACATATTATCTCACTACACCAGAGGGTCGGAGAAACCAGAGATGCCGCAACAGAAAGAACCAGTAAATGCACGGTAAACGATCTGCCGCCTACACCACCAGCTTCGAATGCTCTTGTGCTGGGATCGAACGCTCCTCAACCTGGTCAGAGCCGGGTCTCTTCCCAGCCTAACCCCCCTCAACTCGACACTTATTTGGACCTGTCAGCGCCACAAAATTTGGCCCAACAGACTGTTGTGCCGCCGCCGCCTCCTCCTCACCAAAGCAAAGCCGGAAATACCAAGCTCAACAAGGCGGGCATGGATGCGGCCAAGATGGAGATTTTAAAGAAGGTGTTTAACCAAGCCGGAATGCCCACCCGGGATGTGCAAGGTTTGATCGTCACAGCATGTCTTGACGCTGACGCTAGCGCACGCGCACGCTCGATCCGGGGTGAGTATTCATGGTCCCTAGCGAGGAAGAGGACTGTTTTCAACCATCTCGCGCTCTTGCGCAATGTGGCCAAGTCGCTATCAAAAGGAGCTTCAGAGATTGGGTATGGCCTACACATTGACATTTGGTCTAACAAATCGGAGAAAGACCATTGCACTCGGGTTTCTTCTCACCTGCTGAAGAAGCCAGAGTATCTCTTCATGTATTGCGTAGAACTGGTAAATCTTTTTCACAGTTCAAATCCCAGTTTCACTGACTCGTCTATTTACTAGAATTCAACGGGTCAGTCGTCGGTCATTTTACACTTCGAGTCGGAGGTCTTCATTTCTGTGGTTCTTCATTTTGTGTGGCGCGGTGGTTATGCTCATCTCCTGGAATCCGCCACATCCCTCAAGTTTGCGTTTGGAACTGTTGGGGCTTCTCTGGCTTGCTGTTTAGAAGAGTCTGTGGGTGGAGAATACCACCATGAGGGATTTGCTATGGCAAAATTTGGTGAATTTTATGATTATATTCTACACATAGTTGATGATGTTATCTTGAACAATGTTCTTATGTGCGCTCGATATGAAGCTCTGTTGAATCATCTTGTCGCTCGGGGTAACACTATATTTCACAAGGCCTCACATACAAACTTTCAGCGTGTTTTCTTGTACCATTCAATCTTATTTTCTGTAGACAGTCAATACTAGTACAGTGTCTGACTACGCTGATTACGCTTGATAGTAGTTATCCAAAGGCTTATCGTTATCTAAAACCGAAAGATTTTGTACTATGAATCCGAACGATCTTATCACTCGAAAATATATCTAGCCCTGAAGATGGCGTAAGGCAATAATACTACAATTGGCTGTGACACAATGGATCGAGACTGGGACGCGCTGAATCGAGCCTATTGCCAAATGGCTCTGCTTTAAAGTCGCTTGAGAGCTTTCAAGTCGCTTATAAAACTTAGATGCTCCATTATAAGAAACCTTCCAGTAAACGCTCTACCCGCAAGCATTCAAAGTTCTGGTTACAGGATGGAGGTCTCGTGATCATCGTGATCGGGAAGACGCGTTTTCGCGTCCGCCGTGCTACGTTGGCCTCAAAGTCTGACTATTTCGCAAAACTCTTTGAAAAGAATACCCTATTTCGAAAAATTCATTGAACGGAATAACGATGAGGAAGACGAAGAAGACGAAGAAGGGCCGGGATATGAGGACAAAGATGTAGACATGGACAGCGAAGAAGACTCATATTCGGATTCAAGTTTGGACGACGACGACAACGTGTATCGGGTGTCTAACCGTAAGAGCACGGCGAGTGATTTTTCTGCACTGCTGACAGTAGAAGAGGAGGGAATGTATGTTTCTCTTGAACATAATCTAAAATAAGAGCATCCACCGACTATTTCATGATACTGTTCTATAGCAAGTGCGTCCTCTCGCCACCGCCTTTCCCAGAGGTTGCCGCTATTTTGCGCGCTGCGACAAGGTTCTCGTTCCCCCACCATCGTTCTTGGGCTATCCAAGTGCTGGAGGAATATTGGCCAAGCGAACTATATTACCTGGACCGGACAAAGTTTCCCCACGCACTTGAAACCGTTGTCCTAGGAAGAGCATACGACGTCCCTGGAATACTTAAGCGTGCTTTCTACGAGTTGTTACGCTCGCGCACATTCTTGATGGATGAGGCAGGCGACGAAGCTGAGGGTGGAAATACCACACCTCAGCTTGAAATGAATGATATAAAGAGGCTGATAAGCACGAGGGAGAATTTGACCACTGCTTGGGTTGTCCGCAATTGCACGAATTAGCCCTTCCTTCGTCTGTCCACTGGAGAAGAGTCACAAAAGAAAGAATCCTTTGAATTCTGAGGAATGCATAAGGAGCACGGATAAAGTGGAGGATTGGGTCAAATTTGTGCATGGTTCTGGTCTCTTTCAAGGGTATCTATACGATCCGATATGTGGGCTCGAAGAGCTATTCAAGATAAAAGTGGAGAGAGAAAGGGTACTGTGCGGCATGTGTAAAGACGAGGAGGAATGCATGGGGGAAGTTGAGGGAGAGGTTGTGGTCAGATCTGGATGCGTGGCTGGAGTTACCAGCTGTGGAACGCTCCTGGTGAAAAGCCCTTGCCCGCAACTTGAACTATCTCCGAGCTGCTTTTTTTTATATTACCCTCAGCCCTCAATAATTGCATGTTATGCTACGTACCTAATTTTTACATGTTCCAAGGAGAAGCCTAACTCGATGTCTAGAAGATATGCATGTGCAATGCAATTTACATACTATCTCGAAGGCGTAACGCCGCAGCGCAAAGGTGCAAAGGGACACTTTCTCGAACGCCATCTTAAGGCCTCATTTTCCGACATGCTTTCGCATTCTACGTGTGATGCAATTAGACCTTTGGTAATGAAGCACGATAAGTTGTGGCTTCCCGACGGAGGTCTTGTGGTCGAGATCGAGAACAAACTTTTCTTTGTAGACCGCTCAAAGTTGGACAGTCGAAGCTATTTGGGGATGACGGAGATGAAGATGCAGATATATAAAACGAAGATGATTTAGATGATGATCACGAGCTGGATGATAACTGAATGAATATCCATTGTACCCTATTGTACCACGTACCCAGAATTACGGCGAACGACTTCGCAGCGTTGCTGGCGCCTGAAACTAAGTTGATGTGCGTGTTTTCCCCATTAACCCTTGCTCATCACCTGATCGATACCTCCATTTTCTATAGCAACTTCGCAATCTTGTCACCGCTCAGTCACTCCCCTCATATTGCAACTGGGCAGTCCACTCACTGCAAGAACGATGGCCGAAGAAGCAAGACCCCTTGTGTAGTGGAAATCGCAGCGCTCGGAAGACCTTGGATGTCCTCGGGGCACTAAAGGGGGCCTTCAACATTGAGGTCGGATGGGTTCTTGATAGAACATACGGACGCCGAAGAGAGCGGAAAGGCCTGAATTCAACTTGGTATGAATTGATGCAGAGAGGTTGGTTGACGTTAAAAAACACCTGGATACTGCGTGGATATCAGCAACTCTTCTCGTTGACCTCACATCTGTGTGTCCGTACGAAACAGAACATGACGTAGACGAAAGAAGAAACGTCTCCTTCCATTCATTTGAAGACACCACTGATAGTGAACATTCTTCAGTGATATATGCGACCTTCGAGAATAAAAAGGAGGGCCTCGTGTAATGTTTCTGGTCTGTTTGAAGATGATCCGATCTGGGGGTCCGAAGGTTGATGGAGATCGAATGGAGCCATAAGGGATACTGTGCAGCGTGCTGGAGATGAGAAGAGGCATACACGAGGGAGGATGGGGGAGACAAATCCAAAAGTGTGGTTGGAATTGCCTGGAGAGATTAGCAAAGATCCGTAGCACCTCATGTGCGCATCTCGATCACACTAAAAACTAAAATGAATTTAATCGTTGATGGACGGAACTCTTACACGCCAGGGCTACGATAAATGTCCGTGGGGATTTGCTCTCTTGAACTCGCGTAGACGCTAGTACTACGATGCAGCATCTCATGACAAGTCTGCAGCCGTGATAAAATGAAAAAGGATGGAAGGCAAGCACCCTTCCCTCGGCGCCAACTTTTGCAGCGAGTAACGTATATCGGGTACATACTAGAAAAGTATATCATCTTGTTTACAGTGGGTTCATGACGAACACACCCTTCTCTTTCAGTAATCGGACGGCACTTGATACGTCCTCTTGTAAATCATGGTGCCATACAGGTTCCCACAGATTGACCAACGCTTCATGCATCTGCTGAGAAGGCAGTCCACACTCGTAGATTTTCCCTGCTCGAATGCTTCCCCGCACGACCATATTGGCGCGTTCAAGTCGAACTTCGTTGTAAGCTTGGAGCACATCCTACAGTAATCTGTTAGCACAACTCATTGAAGTCATGGTGACACAAGGACACACCCGAAGATTCGAAAGTTTTGTGTGAGGGTGAGAAAGAAGACGAGTAAGGACAAAGGAATCCTCGATCCCTTGGCCAGCACCTGCTCCCAAATGCGGACACATAGCGTGTGCAGCGTCTCCAACCAAGGCAATGTTCTCCCTTACGAAAGTATCCAAGGGTGGGTCCACGGTGTGAATTGACCATTTGCGTGGGCTTTCCATCAAAGACAATAAAGTTGTGACATCTGGTCCACAATCCTTGTATGCATCCAATATCTCTTGGTTCGAAGCTAGTATGACCCACTGATGTGAGGGTACTTGCACTGAACCCATTGGAATAGAAGGATTCGAACTAAAGACAACAACATTGATCTACGGCTGAGAGTCGGTATGCAAGCATTATGTAGGTGAGTTAACACACCGTATTCATATTGTGAATCGGGAACGTTATGATATGCTAGCACATATCCATGTCAGTAAACAGGACAATGATTTAGACCTCCGTCATACCTTATGCAAACTAGTCCAGCAAATTGGGCGCGCAGAAAGATCAGTTTTCACACCAGCACGTTTGACGTCATCAAGTGGTATCAAAGCACGGTAAGCAACAGTATTGGCAAAGCTTAAGCGCTGCACTTCAGGGCCGGGGATGCCTAAGACAACACTACGAATGGTGCTCCTTATCCCGTCAGCACCAAGTACAAGGTCGGTCGCAAACGTGGTCCCATCAGTAAAATGCAAGATAGAGTGTGGGGTGCCAGCGTTGGAGGATGATGCGACATTCGTACAACGTTTATTGAAGTGAGTCGTATTCGGATCCACAAAGGGAATCAGGGCATCGAGAAAATCTGCCCTGAAAACATGATTCTTTAGCATGGCGCATCCCGAATCTCGCACGGAACTACCTGTGAATACCTAGACCATTATCCTCCGGCAAATAGGGGTACTGTTTATGGCATTGTCAGCCATTGCTACCAGAAAGGAAAATAAAACAAGTCCCATACGTCAAGAATGTGTTCGTGGCCAGGAGAACAGGACATAAAACGGAAAGCCCTCATATCCGAAATTTCCTGGTCCGACTTCGCCAGAACAGCTTTCAAAAGGCCCATTGCATCTAGCGCACGAACAGCATTAGGACCTGCGAGAGAAGGCTCAGCCCTATCTCCTTGATTGAGAAAACTCGACGCACCCAGCCCAATGCCAGCGCCAACTTCTCCAAACTTCGACTATTAGACAGTGAAAGTGTCAACATCACACACGCAGTAGGATAGTTGGTACTTACCGCAGATTCAAACAGATCAACCTGAATGCCTGCCTGTGTTAAAACAGCTGCGCATACGAGTCCTATCATTCCACCGCCCACAATGGCTACTTGAAAATCTTTCGTATTCGCCATGCAAGTCAAGACGAAGATTACAATTGCAAGGTAACTTGAGAAAGTAAGCCCCTTCTATAAAAGTAATTTGGTCTGACTGGGGAGATTAAGCCCCTTTTAAGCTCGGCATGCCACGTTTGATTCGGTCATTTCGATGGTGATTCGGGAAATCCATTATCCTAACACAGACAACGGAAAGTGACCTTTTGATGCGGTTAAGCCTGGCCAAAATAACTGGTTAAAAACTCAGAGTATACTTCCAGAAGGATGATATCAGTATTGACCTGTGTCCAGCCAGTACTCAGTCGTCAAGATAGGCTCAACATGTTGACTTTGTCCCAATGTAACTCACGAATTTAAGCAATAGACTACTCATGCGTAAATATGAATCTAAAAGGGCATCGCTAGTCTTTGAGTATTCAGCGATGGTAAAATAACCCGCATCCATGGTAATAATCAACCCAACTGTGCCACACATAAGCAGAGTTGTACATGCAACGATACTCTCATCGAGGACTAAAACATGGACAATAACAGTCAGCACCTTTCACAATGACAGTAATGAAAGATAGAATATATACGCACGACGGGGAACCGAGAAGTAAACTTCCTGTTACGTATTTGGTAATACATCCACGATTGAGCAATGCCGCGTGCAAAGACGCAAATCGGGCATCTTTGATGATGATTTCCCAATCTCCATGGAATGCGACATAACGAAGAGCAGGTAGTGAAGGTCCCGCCAGGAAAGCTAGGTGTTCAGCCAGGAAGTCCCACCCATCATGAAGCAGGATAAGGTTGGGATGAGCATGTAGCCTTACACAAGAGATGGAGGAGTGAACAAAAGTAGAGCGAACAGGCGAAGTAAAAAACACGTAATAGTTCAGCTCTTTTAACCTCGGACAGCCCTGTAGAACGAGTGTGACTTGATCACTCACACAAAATGCGACACTTTGGCCAAGTTCGACAGTGCGAAGGCGATCACCAAAGGTCTCCCAAAAGCCCTCCAATGCTCTATTCCACGTTTCAGGTACATCGACGATGACATGCTCGAGAGATGGCAAGTCCCAACGGCATAATTGGCGAATAAATAGATGGTTCATTTTCCGTAGACGAAGTGTTGATAATGCTGTCAGACACAAAGGGGCCACGGAGATGAATCTCGGTAACACTGATCCACCGACGGCGAGGTATTGTAAGTTGGGAGCATTCTTTAGGACATCGTAGAGCGAATTGATTCCACCTGAGCGGGTAGCTCCATTATGATGCCACCATTCCAAGCGTTTCAATGACGTCAAAACGACGTGTCCTGCGCTGAATTCAAACCGCATATTATCTGCTGATTCTGAAGGGAAAGGCCTGGTTAAGACTTCCAGACTTGGACAGTGTTTGAGGATATTAAGAGCGGTGACAGAGCTATCGCTGGTAGCGGTGTTTGTGTGCGCATACGGTAACTCGAGTCGTCGAACCCATCGTCCGTTCCCCTCTGCCAAATATTCATCGCCCCTAAGAGCACTGACAAGTGCCTGCATACCATGCCTAACCCTCACATCTTCATATAGCAAATCCATCGCAAGTGCTCGCCAAAGCCAACAGACGCGCACGATGGCATACCTCACTTGCAGGGTGGCTTTGAGAACATCCTCTGAGCCTATCTGAAATGGCTCATATGTGAGAGCGAAAGACCCAGAAGTCAGTGGAGATGTTGCCCAACGAAAGATATGTAGCCATATTTCTGGAGGTAAATGCGCAGCCTGCATTGTCGTTGGACGTGTTTGATCAATTGCAGCCGTTTGCAAAACGATAGACCTTTTTCGCCGAGGTGAAAAGGTGGCTCCTTTGACAGACCTAGCTAGATAAAATGCCTTTGAGCCTTATCAATTTCTTGCAACCGTGGGAGAGCATGAGGGGCGCCAGACAGATTTGTTAGGCTGGTCCATAAGTAGTAACGACCTTTGGCAGGAGCCCCCCATTCGGTAATAATAAATAGTGATCCAAAACTCGGCATGCAACGGCACTGCAGGGGGACGGTCAAAGTTTTCGGTATTGCACCCAAGGATTGAACTTCTCCAAATGCAGGTGCTTTCGTGGAGGAACCATTCATGAGAAATACACCCATCTGCTTATGCCACCATGATCTCCGAATGGCAGAATGTTATCTCTGCCAAACCTTGTATCACCCTATGTTTCGTTTTGTATCTGGAAAGTTAGATACGACAAAAACGCTCATAGTAAAAGATCCTCAATAATTTTATGTTATGCCACGTACCTATTTTCCACCTGTTCCAAGGAGAAGCCAGACCAAATGTCCAGAAGATACAGATCTGTAAAGCGAAAGACTGTCTCGAAGACGATACGCTGCTGCGCCAAGGTGCAAAGGGACGCTTTCTCGAATGTCATTGTCCGGTGTGCTTGCGTGTTCAATGCGTAAACCACTGGTAAGGAAGCACGATAAATTCGGGCCTCCCGACGGAAACATTGTGGTCATCGAGATCGAGAATAAATTTTTCTTTGTAGACCGCTCAAAGTTGGCTGCACAGTCTATCTACTTTGCAAATTTACAAAGCTATTTGGGGACGGCGGAGATGAAGATGCAGATATAGAAAACAAAGATGATTCAGAGGATGATCACGAGCTGGATGATGACTGATTGAAATACCCATTGTACCGCGTACCCGGCATTACGGCGAACGACTTCGCAGCGTTGCTGGCGCCTGAAACTGAGTTGATGTGCGTGTTTTCCCCATTGACTCTTCCTCATCACTTGACCAATATCTCTATTCTTTACAGCAACTTCGCAATCTTGTCACCGCTCAGTCATTCCCCTCATATTGCAACTGGGCAGTCCACTCACTGCAAGAACGATGGCCGAAGAAGCAAGACCCCTTGTGTAGTAGAAATCGCAGCGCTTGGAAGACCTTGGATGTCCTCGGGGCACTCGAGGGGGCCTTCAACATTGAGGTCGGATGGGTTCTTGATGGAACATACGGACGCCGAGGAGAGCGGAAAGGCCTGAGTTCAACTTGTTATGAAATGATGCGGAGAGGTTGGTTGGCGTTAAAAAACACCTGTATACTGTGTGGATATCAGCAGCTCTTCTCGTCGACTCCACATCTGTGTAAGTACGAGAACGAACATGACGTAGACGAAAGAAGAAACGCCTCCTTCCATTCCTTTAATGACACCACTGATAGTGAACATTCATCAGTGAAATGTGCAACCTTCGAGAATAAAAAGGAGGCCCTCGTGTAATGTTTCTGGTCTGTTTGAAGATGATCCGATTTGGGGGTCCAAAGGTTGATGGAGATCGAATGGAGCCATGAGGGATACTGTGTAGCGTGCGTGGAGACGAGAAGAGGCACATGAGGGAGAGGTTGTGGTCAAACCTACAAGTGTGGTTGGAATTGCCTGCAGAGATTAGCTCAAGATCCATAGCACCCCATAGGCGCACCTCGATCACGGTTCAATGAATTTAAGTGTTAATGGACGGAGCGTTCAGTACCGCGCTCACACTTGACTGAAAATCGAATTTTCCGTCACCTTTCTGTAGAGTCATAGCGACCCTCAAAATCACTTCAAAAATGGACTGTTTAACAATGCAAATTCATATAGTGGGAGAGCTTCATTTCTGCATGACATAGTGGCATACAAAAGGACAGCTGGCGTGTATTGATAATCGAAGATAATGGAATGACAAAGGGAAGCAGGTGCACGATGGACGCTCGTATGCGGCATGCTTCACCGGTTCTGCATTAATTTCAAACACGATGCAATGAGATACGACACATAGAGACTACTGATCGTTAGACACACCTTAACGAAACCGATGGCAGCCGACTTTTCACGGAAACATTGACGACAAAGGTCAAGACCGTATTTGCGGATGAGACCGGCCTGGTGGGCGCAGAGCCGGCTGAAATAACAAAAATACGCGTTTAGCTCGATACCTCGCGACCAATCCCTTTGACATGATATATGTCTGAGAGCCTGAACTGTGAACTTACCACTGACGGCTACCTTTGCCGTACTTTCTGGGGCGAGAGAACCAAACTGCGTCGTGGGTCATTTTTAATTTTTTCTTGAGGCTGAAAGGACGTTTAATACGGTCAACAAATGTGCCTCTAGCTGCAACAAGAGCGGTTTACCTGCCCGGGGCTGTCGATTACGATGAGTTACACAGGGAGAATCGACCTGAATGTGCCGCGGTTTGGATAACTGTACAGTGGCTGGAATAAGGTTCAGTGCCACAATGAAACTGCGGACAATGCCGTCTTTTGCTCTTCTTTGGGAGATTTTGTAGTCAGCGAATGCTGTCTATAGCCTGGATCTTTTTGCATGCATTTGCAGTCTAATGGCAGCGTTTTACTGTACACTCAGACAGTGACAGCGGAAGCGCACAGCACTGTTAGTACTAACTCTATAAGGATAGGCGTTCGCACGGACGATCGATAATAATTCGTTACATAATAAGTTATCTGGCATTCGCACCAACTACATCCAGGACAAACGAGATGGCGCAGACGCAATCCACAGAAAAGTCAGGCCCTCGAGCCTTTATCCTAGCCTCTCGAGCCTCTAAACTGGCTCAGATTCAGACCAATCTCGTCCGCGATGCTCTGGAGACAACATTTCCTTCGTTATCTTTCGACACCTCTTTCATGACTACCGAGGGGGACAAGAACCAATCACAAGCCCTGTATTTGATCGGAGGCAAGGCATTGTGGACGAAGGAGCTCGAAGTCGCGCTGAAGGACAATGCTGTGGACATGCTGGTTCACAGTCTCAAAGATGTTCCTACCATATTACCAGAAGGGTGTGAGATTGGCGCAATCCTAGAAAGAGAGAACCCGGTGGATAGTTTGGTGGTGAGGCAAGGTATACCCTATAAATCACTGGGGGAATTGCCAGACGGAAGCGTAGTGGGCACGAGCAGCGTCAGACGAGTTGCACAGCTTAGAAGGTCATTCCCAAAACTCATTTTCCAGGACGTGGTGCGTACGTCTCAGATTAGTCCTACATTTACCATGATAACCAGTGCTTTTGTAGCGAGGAAATCTGTACGTGGATAACATTTATTAATTCCCACCGGATAAAAAATCTGACTCACTTTAGTAATACTCGTCTTGCAAAGCTTGATGCACCAGATGGTCCCTACGTTGCCATCATTCTCGCGAAGGCGGGTCTCGTGCGCCTCGGAATGGGAGATCGGGTCACCGCCGACATCACAGCACCTACTCTCTACCATGCAGTATCTCAAGGAGCGCTTGCGATAGAAATCCGCTCGAACGATCGCCAGGCGCAAGAGCTGTGCAAGGCGATCATACACCCTGAAACTCAGCTGAAGTGCATGGCTGAACGGGCTCTCTTACGTGAATTGGAAGGGGGCTGCAGTGTACCTGTGGGCGTCGGGAGCTCTGTGACTGATGTTGAAAAAGACGAGGGGGTTGTAAAGAGGGCAGTTTTGAGATTGACGGGTTGTGTCACTTCCATCGACGGTTTGACCCACGTAGAAAATTCGGTTACAGAACTGGTGACGAGCACTCTACAGGCAGAGGCCGCTGGAGTGAAACTTGCGAAGATACTGATCAACACAGGTGCCAAAGCAATCCTGGACGACATTACTCTGGACAGAGCGAAAAGAATCGACGAATCCAAAGCCTCGGAAGAAGTGCAAAAAATCGAAACAGCGATGGCAGGATCTTCGTAGCAGATATCATACCATGAATAAGGCAATAGATATGTATTATATTAGCAAATACAATGTACACGACACACCCAATACAGTTGGGGCGTATAGATGTCTCTTGTCGTTTCAAGATGCGATGTTGTCGAAAACCAAACTACGCGAATGCGAGACATACAAGAGTGATATTCTGCCTCCCCACGAGCGCCTACATTTCCCTAGGATGGTTGTGGGACAGTAGGTGACTCTATGGCGGGGAGAAATGACATTAAGGAAAATGTCTTGTCAGGCGCGCGTTTATATATCCTTTTTTGTGTTTGTCGCTATTTGTCAAAGGCAGGATTGAGGACCTGTGCCGTCAAGGGTCATTGGGGATTTGTGGCGGTCTGACCTTGCAGCAAACTTGTACTTGTACTGGCATGGCTTCAATCTCATCCCGGCGTCTACGCAAGGAATTGACAGAAATCACGACACAAGGATGTCCTGTCGGTGCGTGCTGACCTAAAAATCACCATGTAGCAGGATTCAATCGTTAGATCTTAGGTATCAAACTCCTCAATGCAGATAACTTCGAAACTTGGCTCTTTTCCATAGAGGTTTTGGGTGAAACTTTATACCAGGTACGGGGCCATCCAGTCGGTTTCAACCCATATAATGACGCGATATACCTCGCGCTAGGGAGAGGTGTTCAAGCTTATGTTCCGGTTCGACTCTCAGTATCCCATCTCCTCTCCTGCCGTGCAGTTTGTCGTAGACAACGAGTTTCAAGCCCCAATCCACCCAGTATGTTCCGTCCTTTTACTTCCTGTCCTGATTACAAACTTCAAGCGATTTGACTTTTGCAGCATGTTTACTCTAATGGTCATGTGAGTGGCATCTAATTCCCATACGCACTATTTGTGACACATTGTAGATTTGTGCCTCGATCCTTGGGAACGAGTGGTCCCCTGTTTTGAGTGTATCTGCGGTGTGTGTTACATTGCAGAGTATGCTGGCCTCGTGCAAGGTCAGCCAGACGCTCTCTCCGATCCTCCTATTCTCCGCACTCACCGTCAAGTGAATTTAGGTAAAGGAACGGTAAATTATCTTGCAATCAACACATTGCGGACTAGTGGAATATTGACTCACGTGGGCGTTACAGGCCACAGGGCAACGATCAATATGTCCGTTATGCACCAGATAATCCAAAGAAGGTACAATTCAGATATTCTTCTTCAGTATATGTCGTGTTAACAACTGTCATTCTTAGACACGCTTTCACTATGATGGTAAACATCTTTCCCTCTTATCCTCGGACTGAACTCATTATTTTTGTCACGGATACTGTTTAGATGACACGTACGTGTTCTTTCGTCGCCGATCCATCCCCTGAACTCATATATAACTTTTCACAGGGTCTAACGAAAACAAGGGGCTTGGCTGTAACTTCACGGTTTCTTCCTACATGTACAACCCATCACGCATGTTGTAATACGTTTGTACCTTGGAGCATGCCCTCGAGGAATGAAGAACGCGAATGAGAAGGAAAGCATTTGTACACAAACTGTACTCGGTTAGAAAGAATTTGAATTCCCCTGTCTTTGCCTCTGTATGATTACTAGATAGAGCAATATGCATCGTTGACACGAACTGGACATCATTTAAAATATAGGGTCAGAAATACACCAAATTTAGCATGCAGCAAACGAATGAATTGAACTCATCGTCCGCGTCTCAGCACCTTCGGCATGTAAGCAGTGGAAATCTCCGCCCTTGCATTTGCATGCCTGTCTTTATATCTCTCTTTGGTGAACTAACCGTTCTATATCCGTGAATATCAAAATTTCCGTCCCATATGGCTTAGGTTCTCCATTGTGGTCTAATGACCACTTCTGAGCATATTTGGCCAATGAGCTCCAAATTTCAGCCCCGTTTATCTGATTGTGTGCGCTGAACTGTAGATTCGGTATCTCCGAGTACGGAGATCGAGTTGATCAGCGTCAGGTGTCCATAGCGCTCCCCGATATCACAGGAGCTGGGGAGGCATCCTCATGTAGTAACGGCAATTAGAATATCTCATCATTCAAACCCACGCGAGAAGAATGAGAATAATATGTCTAATTCCTATCAGCAAGATAAAGGTCTTCCTCTTTCGGGAAATCGACTCCACCATGTACGGGGAAGGTGAACGCAATGTGGGTTTCCATTACTTTAGCATCGGATCTTGTACAGTTCTGCCTGTGACTGATGAAAATGTCAGGGTAACGGAACGGCGCAAGGGCATCCGAGGATTAGGACTGACCTTGTGCTCCTTTTTCTAGCCATCTCACTTTATCGTGTCCAAAACGTACACAAGGCGCCCTTCGCTTCTTTATATTGTTTCGGAAGCATATGCCAGTCATTCGAGAAGAATGGAGCATCCTTTAAAGGGCGTCACTATGATACAGCATACGACAGTGTGAGACGAAATGCTATTTACCAGGGTACGTCTATGTGCAATAGGAAGCACGCGTTATCGCATAATCCTGGGAGTAAGGGCATGAGATAAGTACTTTCTAGATGAGTTGGACAAAGGAAAGCACCCACGGGAAACTCCAGAAAGAATAGAACCTGTGAAATGAACTTTCGTCGGGGATAGTATAGGTTCAAGATCTCAGATGTGATAGAACAAGGTTCCCTATTCCTCGGACCAGTATCTGGTAGTTCTGAGAGGGTACGTAACGCAATCTGACCAGGATAGAAAATCATCTGTCGATTCAAGACATCCCTAAAGGTAGCTTCAATCTTCCCAAGAATCTTCTCCATTGCCGCTAAGGTACCGATAGGTGGGTATGCCTGGTGTCCGATCAAAGGAGGTTGTTCTCCGGTGCTTGATAAGTACTAGGACTGAAAACGTGCTGAGAACACGAAATGACTTTAATACACGCTTTACGCTAGCAAATGGGGGCTTTGACGTACCATGGTGTACAAAAAGATCGCCCTGAACGCCAGCGCAAGGCCCCTAAATATAGTGATAGTGAAGAACAATCATGACTTCAGATCAAGCGCGCATACAGCCACTTAGTTCATAAACGTGAGGGTATTCTCACCCGTCTCAGTTCGATAGCATCGACAGTGATCTTATCTGAACTGACAAAAATGGACGAACTCACAATTGCCATTGCCAATTCATATTGCAATATAAAGTATATACAAGCTTTGTCGCCTGCATAAGTAAGGTAATCAGGCCGCACTCCAGAAATATCGGTTCAGCACTATATCATCCCTGATCATTCCGGCTGTGGTTCATATGGCTCGACCAACATCTTGCTGAACTCTTTCAGCTTCGCTGGTCCACGCACTTCTTCCGTCAGCAGAGGTAGTCGGATGATGTGGAAGAACTCATCGTAGAGTTCATGAGCTTCAGCAAGGTACTTCTGTTGCATTTTCTGTCTGACTTGACAGTGCTCACATTTTGAAGCTATTCAACGCAAAGTAAGAGAAGGGTAGGGAAAGTGACGCGATAAGCATACGCACATTTCTTGGGGAAGAGTAGTTGGTTCACGACGATGTTGTGGGTATCGATTTCATATGCAGTAAGCTCTTGTACGAGACGCTCTGTTTCGTACAAGGACAAAAATTCTGAGATGCAAACACAGACAAAGGTTGTTTTTTCCTAAGAGATCGGTATGAAAGGATGTCAAGTTGCGAGATCTGGGTGATAACGAAGTACATACAGGGTCTTTGAACTGAGTGTTGACCTCAGTGATGACGGCACGCATTGATTCCAGCTTAGCAAACATGTCTTCCTGAGAATCTTGCTGACCTCCCATCATACTTGACATCTGAAAGATAGTTTATTACCTGGTGACGCAAATCAATAAATAGGACCTATTACGTACCTGACGAATCATTGGCCCAAATTGTCCGCTGAGGGCACTAAGCTTGCCCAAAGCCTTCTCTAAAACAGTCGGGAATGACAAGAACCGCAAGGTGTGGCCTGTTGGTGCAGTGTCGAACACTATCACCGAGTACTCCATTGACTTGACGTGTCTGTAAATCCTCAAGTTATAAATCCAGGATATTTCGATTTCAAGTTGACGAACTTCATAATCTCAGCGAAACTCATTGCCTCGTCAACACCTGGTATAGCAAACGCCAGATCCTGCATCATCGAGCCCATCATGCCATTAGAATCCGCTGGTGGGGCAGAGTTAGAATCCTCAAGCCATTGAGGGCAAGATCTCACATTGCTCGACCATCTCCTGTATTGCACTCGTAGGATCTATCTCCATGGCAGACAGATTGTCAAAGCCATTGACCTTTGTCGCGTCTTTCGAGAACTTCTGACCAAAGGCATCAGAGAGATTGTGCGCTGGATCGGTGGACTGGAAAGTAAACATGTCAGGTACACGTCAACTCTAACCCTGGATCAAGACATACAATGAGTAACACAGACTCCCTGCATTGGGCAAGCTGAATTGCCAACGAGCATGAAGTAGTGGTTTTCCCTATTGATATATGATAATAAGGATACTCGTAGTTGATGCTATTGATATGGTATAACTACTGACCCACACCACCCTTACCACCTGTCCACGAATACTGTGAGCGACTTTAAAGTGCGAATAATTAACTGAAAGACTTGCCACAAAAGATCCATTTCAGCGACGTCTGGTCCAAGATGTTCTGCAGCGTTGGTGGTAGTGTTTCGGCCATTGAAGCAAGATAGTGGTGGAAGGAAAGTGAAATGCAATTGCCAACTTAAAGTAGTCTTTAGCCCTGCGACGCGATCTGGCTAGGCACACGTAGCTGTACTGCCACCAAAGCGTTCTACGGCGTACTTCACCTTTCTACGACATACCACATTCCGTAGAACACGCCATACAAACCTGCAAACACAGGAGTGCAAAGAAATGGCAATAAAAAATACGATTACGTTCCGAGGTATGTACTAGCTAGCCAATGTCACATGCATCTCAATAAAAAATGGCGGAAAAGCACTACAGCTCGCAAATGAACAGCGAAACGCATATGGTTTGAGATATAATGATTTCGAGCGTTATAGGTATGCCTTTATTAGATTGCAGTGATAACCCATGGTCTGATATTGTTTTGCAGGAAGCATTGCGCTAATAGGACCCATCGTCTCCGGTCTTCGCTCAAAATGACCCATGGAAAGGGCCGCGAATTCAAAAAGTTACCTCCACTGACCACCGATAACATCGAGGATGGACAGTGAGTTGTCTTTTAAACTTCCGCATTATATAATCTAACTTCTTTTCAACAGTTTACAGCTCCTGCTATACGAGGCAGAACGGGCCTGGGCATACTCTCAAGAGCTTACGGCCCAAGCCTCGTTACCCTCTACCAAGGACCACTCAGGGACCCTCCGACACAGCGCGACAGGCCGTTTTCGCCGTGCTGTCAACTGGTCCACACAACTCTTATCACACTGCCAGGCATTATACTCAGCCTCACGCATATCCACCGAAGGTCTTTTGCAAATCACGATCTACACATTAATCTTAAACGGCAGGTTCCTGCGCTATCGTTACGACTTTGAGGACGCATTGATCCAGCTCAGCGTAGCTAGGAGTCTTCTGGATGAGCTTGCAGATCGGGCGGCGACGAGCAGGGATCAGGCTTTGGCAACGCTCTATGCCGATGATATTGGCCCCGAAATTAGGTACTGCGCTCATGAACTGGGACGAGAAAAGGCATACGATGTGGACGGTCTTGTGGCGGAGCTGTCGTCGAAGCATAAAGAAGAGATGGTAGATGGATGCGGAGCGTTGATCGATAAGTTCAGGCAAGACGGCGCAGCGTCTGATAAGGTGGAGGCAAGGAAGAAGCTGGCAGCATTAGACTGGGAAGGTCAACCAGTACCTGTGCGCAATCCTGAGCTGGTCGACGTGCTGTTCAAAGTGCAGGAAGCCGAGTCGAAATTAGATGCACCTCGCGAACATGAGAATAAGGGGGAGACTAGCACTTTGGAAGAAGGAAAGAAGAAAGTTAGGCAAGGGAAAGGGCAAGGATCGAAGAGGGGCGTGGCTGCCTACGATGCCATTCTTCTTGCTCTAAGTGACGCGGAAGACGTCGCAAGAAAGCTGGTGGAGGCCCAACAGGTACGCGTTTTATACCGTATTTTATCATCATCGAATTTAGCAAGCTAACCTGAACTTAGCTGAGTGGCGGCTCTTCATCAACCTCAGCTGCTGGCACCCGCGACATTCATTTCGTCCACGCTTATATCGTCTACCAGCTACTTTCGAGACGAATCCAGCGCGATCTGCTCTTGATCTCAACCCTCCTCAGCTCCCACCACTCTCAGGCTGCATCAGGCACTACCACTTCCGGGAAAACCAAAATCAAGCCCGGTAAAGAACACGTCGACGCTCGGCTATATCCTGCCATAGTCAAGATCCTAGACACCATCATGCAAAGTCTGACACAAATGCGTGATCTAAGTATCGTGGACGAAACTCCGGATCTCGCGTCTGCAGTTGATGCCCGGTTGACGTTTACCAAAGCAAGGAGGTCGGTCTGGTTTTTTCGTACTTACTTTGGATGTATCTCATGTTTGTTACAGATGCTTGTATCTATCGCATTGCTATGTGGCAGTGAAAAAATATGGCGAAGCATTGACTTTGATACAGCACGCCAATATCCACCTACGAGAAACTCGTTCAACGCTATCGATATCCGACTCTGATCCCATCACAGCCGGAAATCCAGCATACTACCCTCTTTCTGATACTGAAATGGACGAGTCTGACCATATCCTAGCGCAAGACGGGCATGCCTTCAAGAACGAGTGGTTTGCATACAACGGTGGCACCGTGGCGGGAGATAGCAAGACATACAAAAAACCACTGTTCTTCGATATCGCGCTCAACTATGTTCAGCTGGATATGGATCAGTTACAACGTAGGGCAGGCAAAGCACCTGCGCCCGCTGCGGTTACAGCTCCTGCCCCAGTGCAGGTTGAGCTGGAGAAGAAACAGCCTGTGAAATCCAGGTTGGAAGAGGTAGAGCGTGCTCCTACGCCTGAACCTCAAGCCCCTGCACGTGGCGGTCTGGGCAGCCTCTTAGGCGGATGGTGGGGCAGGAAGTAAATGAAATGTCACGTAAATAACGGTGTTATCTGGCGAGCATAATACAAAAAATCAAACAGGATTAGGGCGTATTATCATCATGCAAGAAAAATTTGAGATGTACTACATAGATTATATGATCGAAAAGCAAGAAACAACAAACATATTTTCACTGGATGAACTGGGTAATGTTGGCATCAATTGACTGAACAATGGGAGAGAACATGGCGTGAACTTACTTCCGTCGCCGCAGTATCTGATACTGTCGATATACCTCCTAGTTTATTGGCCTCCGACGTGCTGATCAGACTAATATCTCGACCTAGTTTCTGCACTTGCGTCCAAAATTCCTGATTGCCAGGATACGATATACAAGACTTTTTCAAATCTTGCAAAAATCTAGAAATAACGTAAGATAGAGTCAATTGATCACCAGTGCAACTTACTCATTCCAAGCATCGATCTCATCCTCCTGCAAGGAGTAAACAACCGGTTCAAACGAGCCCAGTAAGACTTACCTTTAACGATATTTCTCTGAGAGTTTTCAAACAATCCAAAAGCTCGTCATGTCTTCTCGACGAAAACGGTTTCATCACAATATCTTTGATAACAACACCCATATCCTCCACGGCTTTGCTTACAAGATCGCCCTGGGCGATATTTTTCTTGAAGTCCTGGAGCGGATATGTAGTCCCGATGATACGTCCAGGGGCACGGCCAAATTCTACGGGAGGTGAAAGGGATCTGGAAGGAGTGGGAAGGGCGTGCCCTTTATAATCGGGCTTTTTATCAAGAAGTAACTCCTCCTCATCCTCGTCTTCTGTCTCTGTATCACTATCGGGAGGCGGTTTCGTAGGTTTCGATGGTGAGGCCTCACCAGGCGCAGAATTAAGAATCTGAGACGCTGCTTGAGACGCCATACGTTTGGGCATCTTGATATCAAGAAGGAGCATATCTTCATCTTCGTCTCGTGCACGTACGTGGCCATCCTTCCGTGCTCTCGCAACTTTCTTTGGGACTAGGAGAAAATGAGTAAGGGATGTGCATGGGCACTATATGGAAGGACGTTTACCTTCCTTAACCTTGAATGCTTGTTTGCAATCCTCTATAGCATCTCGTGCCCGCTTGAGTACCTTTTTCGGTGGCTCGAAGTATTTAAGTAATTCCGGATGCGGAGGAGGGATGGGGTTAGTGATAAGGTCATTCACGACAGCGCTATGGAAAAGAGCTTGCTTCGTCCGATGGACGGCAGGATTGTAGGAAAGACGTGTATCGAACCACGGATACCGGTTTCTGGTGAGGCCGAAGGGCAGCATGATCTGTACGTCGTCCATACAAGATCATACGAAAGAACTTACCCTTCTTCGTCTTTGTCCCCAGCATCCATTAGGTCCATAGCGTCGACAAAATTCTCCATGGCAGAAAGTTGGTCGTCTGTAGGGATGTATGGGTGCTTCATGATGCGCTCGCCTTTCTTCGACATCAGATAGTCAAGCGACGCGAAGTTATACTTTCGTACGTCGTCTGCAAAGGGCATCTATGATATTGGCAGTAGAACATCGAGTAATCAAAAATAAAGAATGAGGGCATACCTGAACCCACAGTAAGCAGTCGATCTTGTCAAACACGCTAGGGGCGAGAACGCCCATTTTAGGATCCATACCATCCTTGGTCACCCATCGAGCGATAGCAAGTACGTCCTTCTCATACATGGCCTGTACTATTGAGGATAAGGCGACTTGCTGCTGGGCGGACGAGGGGTCTGCCCAGATATACTGGACTTCTCCCATTGCAAGTTCTCGGCGGAACTATAGAGTAAAGGTCATATAGAATACGAGTCATATATTGCTAGAAAACCAACTCACATTCCTAGCTTGAAAGAATCCACAGATGTCCATGCCTTTCTGTGTGGGAAGTCTAGGGAATTGGCCATCGGGACAGGGAGCGTAGGTCGTTCCATATTTAAAACCTCTTATCAGTTGCTCCTTCTCGACTTTCTCTGAGTTCTCGTCTTTTCCCGTTGGTGACTTGTCGCCATCCTCACTTTCATCGTCCTCATCCTCATGCTCACCGTGGTCTATGTAATATTCTGTCCGCATTTTCAGTTGCGCAAATGAAACTGTCCTGTCTTCATCTTCTTCACCCCCTTCGTACTCATCATCGCCCGCTTGTCGAGATGCAAATTTTTTCCATCCTTTAGGTCGCGTCAGGGCAGTGCACTTACTTGCTTTGACCAATACCTCAATAGCTTCGTCTGGACGACCATCTACATCGCCAAGGCGAATTACAGTGCCCATGAGCGTGGATTTCACTTGTTTGATTTCAGGTCGACTGATCTCTTGCAGTGCAAGTGCACATGTTCCCATCACTCCAGATTGAAGAGAGGTTGTGAGCTTCTTGTAAAACAACTCATTCTCAGCCTGTTAATACGACTGTCAGAAGGATATCTACTCTCATTGTATCGTGGCAACAGAACTTTGATTGTAGACTTATTTTCTTCTTCGAAAGGGAGTTCCTCGTCATCAAAATCAACCCCTCTGATGAAAATCAAGCGTTAGCTGAGCTAAGCCACCTCACTGGAGTGGATCCACTTACACGACTGTCAGAGCGATACTCAATGAATCCATCTTTTGCACAGTGGCTTCCCAGTCTTCAATTTCAATAGGATTTTCTCCATCTGTAAGCAGAACAATTTTACGAGTCCAAGTTCTTTTGCTCGAGAGATACTGATCCTGTGTCTCGATGCCAACTATGAGGGCATCCACGGCTGCAAGAGTAATGGGTACCTAGCATAGATGAGCGAAATAATGAAACGTACGATCTCCTGTAACTTCAGACGGCGACAAAGCATCGAGCTTAGTCAATGTTCCTGCGTTGGGTTGTGCGACGGGGATGTATTCAGAGACGTGCTCATAGCCACCGCTTTTGTCGTTGATAACATTGTCCGTGTCTACAATATACATATAAGCAGCGAGTTGACGCACATATGGTGTGGGGTGTACCTTCTGATCCAAAGACTATCACGCCGCATTGGTCTGTCTTTCTGCCATTAAATATCTGGGTTTCAAAGGGTCAGAATAAAGCGGCTGCAAGTGTAGTGAAGAGACGGACCATTTCCTGTATCTTGAGTTTCACGAATTGCATGGACCACTCCAGGTTCGTCATTTCCACCGTCCCCTGTTCTCCCTTGGGTCCTGGGGGAAGATCTACTGTCCGCATTGCCCCCATGGACGGGGATATGTCCACGAGGAAGATTGTCACGGTGTACTACAGCATATATGAGACCTCTGTTAGCAATAGCGAACTGCGACGTACTCCTGCTCGTTCTGCGGACATGGCGATGAGAGAGTCGGCGAGTGGCGCGACACGGTAATGGGACGCGTCGGAGAGGCACACGTGACAGTCGGGGAGTGAAAAGTGCCGAAAGGGGACATATGTTATTCCCACGGGGGAGAGCAGTTTCTCTTGCCCTCCCACACGCGACGGGTCTTGTTTTCGAGGCGGGCCATCGACGCGACTGATTTCTGTGTATTTCTGCTCCGCCACAGCGCCAATTCCAGCTCTACAGACGGCCCAAATGGCCGTCCCAAACATTGCAGTTCAGAACATGCCCCTCGCCATAAACCAGCAAATGGGCCAGCCTCAGCCCCATCAGAATGGCGCCAGGCCAGTACAGCCCCAAGGCTTCACCAAAGACAGATTTCAGGCCTTGATACAGGTCTCTTCTCTTTTCTGTTCATCATCCCTGTCCCTCCTTTACTTATACATCTTATCTCAAACAGCGTGTCAATTTTCTTAGGAGCAGCGGACACACCCCAGAAACATCACAAGAGCTCGACAGACTCATCAAATTTGTACAAACCGTCCAGCAAAACGCCCAGGCTCAAAGTATGTCTTCTCTTATCTTCGTACACTCGTCCGCCTTTGACTCCTTTCTCTTTTTCTATCAGACAGAGCCCATCCTCCTCAACAACACTCCCAAGACCCCCCAAACGCTCCCAACGGCCATCCTCCACCTGTACCTGCCGTAGATTCACATCCAAACGGCAACGCAGCAAGCGGACAGAGCTTTACCTCTGGCCCCGTCCCTTCGCAGCCATTCCCCGCCCCTTCAACTACCCCAGTCTCATTCTCCCAAGATCAGATCAATGCTCTTCGGGCTCAAATAGCCGCCTTCAAATACATCTCGCGCGGCATTGCAGTCCCAGACCACATCCAGCAAGCCATCCGTGTCTCAAATACCGCTGCACCAGATCTTCAAAAACTTCTACAAGGACAAGACGTCAATGCTAGGATCGTCGACAGCGCCGTGAAGGTTCAGAAGGGTGTAGTAAGCGGCCCTCCTCCCCAAAACGGACCCGAAGCGCCAAGCGCCGATGTCCCAAAGGACGAGGAGCAAGATTCTGCTACGCTAGAAGCTGAAGATGTTCCAAAGGGACCGTTTATAGAGGACGACGTCGACTCTGGCATTTACCCATATAACACTTTTCGACATCCATTTACCTACCTCAAACGCACCGCAGATAGCGATCCTTCGTTATTCTCTACAAGACTACAACGTTTGCTCATCCCTTCCATCACCCCAGCAGGACTAGATGTTCACCAGATCATTAACGAACGTGACCGGTTCATCGAAGCTCGTGTGCAACAGCGCATACGAGAACTAGAAGCCTTGCCTGCCACGATGGGTGACGGGGGAATGGAATCCGTTCTGGACGACGTACTAGGGAAAGAAGCTAATATTGACGCCGTCGATACCATAGTCCATCCCAGCCCATCAGCTCACGGAAAGCTTCGCGCTGTCATCGAACTGAAATCTCTACGAGTCCTCGATAAGCAACGCGCCCTTCGTGCACTCGTCGCCGAACGCCTTATCCAGGGCTCCCTACTCCCCCTCAATCGTGCCGACTTCCGTCGAACTCGCAAACCAACGCTTCGGGATGCTCGCATGACCGAGCAGCTGGAGCGGAGACAGCGGGTGGACCGTGAGCGCCGTGCGAAGCACAAACATGTCGAGCAGTTGGGTGTCATATGCACTCATGGGAAGGAGGTTATCGCTGTCAACAGAGCGGCCCAGGAGCGTGTACTGAGACTTGGTCGTGCAGTCCAAGCATTCCACGCTGTGACTGAGAAGGAAGAGCAAAAGCGCATCGAGCGCATTTCGAAAGAGCGTCTCAAGGCCCTTAAAGCTGATGATGAAGAAGCTTACATGAAATTAATCGACACTGCCAAGGACACGCGTATCACACACCTCCTCCGGCAGACCGACACTTACCTCGACTCTCTCGCTCAAGCCGTCGTTGCACAGCAGAATGAAGGTGTCCGAGAAGAAGTATACTTTGAGCAGGAGGACGGTCCTGCCAATGAAGCGACATTCGGTGCCCAGGTCACGACAGATGCACAGGACGAGAAGGCAAGGGTTGATTACTACGCCGTTGCACATAAGATCTCGGAGAAGATTACGAGGCAACCTGCATTATTGGTTGGAGGGACTCTGAAAGAATACCAATTGAAGGGTTTACAGTGGATGGTCAGTCTATATAACAATAAATTGGATGGTATTCTAGCAGACGAGATGGTATGGTTCTTTATTGTTATCTTCATATCGAGATACTGAAGGGGCACATTTTATAAAGGGTCTCGGAAAAACTATTCAAACGATATCGCTCGTTACGTTCTTAATAGAGGTAAAGAAGCAACGTGGACCCTATCTCGTCATCGTTCCGCTTTCGACCTTGACCAATTGGTCTGGAGAGTTTGCAAAATGGGCGCCGGCAGTGAAAGTAATATCCTACAAAGGCAACCCTGCGCAGCGTCGACTACTTCAAGGAGACCTTCGCACGGGCCAATTCCAGGTGTTGCTCACCACTTACGAGTACATCATCAAGGACAGACCAGTCCTCAGTAAAATCAAATGGGTACACATGATCATTGGTAAGTTATCCAACGATATGTATCCATTCTTGAATTCAAACCCTCGCTACTAGATGAGGGTCATCGTATGAAAAACACCCAGAGTAAACTCGCCCAGACCCTAACGCAATACTACCACTCCCGCTTCCGCCTCATCCTCACCGGTACCCCCCTTCAAAACAACCTTCCCGAACTCTGGGCTCTCCTCAACTTCGTCCTTCCAAAGGTCTTCAACTCTGTCAAATCTTTTGAAGAATGGTTCAACACCCCCTTTGCCAACTCTGGCACAGGCGACAAGATCGAGTTGAACGAAGAAGAGGCGCTGCTCATCATTCGTCGGCTGCATAAGGTGCTTCGACCGTTCTTGCTGCGTCGGTTGAAGAAAGATGTCGAGAGTGAGTTACCAGACAAGGTCGAGAAGGTTATCAAGGTCCGCATGAGCGCTTTGCAGTTGCAACTGTACAAGCAAATGAAGAAACACAAGATGATCGCTGATGGAAAGGATGCGAAAGGGTAAGTAACATCTTGGTGCACACCCACATTTAACTTACCACGTCGAAACCCATCTACAGAAAGTCGGGTGGAGTCAAGGGTCTCAGTAATGAGCTCATGCAGCTCCGAAAGATTTGCCAGCATCCGTTCCTATTTGAGAGCGTCGAAGATAAAGTCAACCCGAGCGGCCTCATCGACGACAAACTGGTTCGCTCTTCAGGCAAGATTGAGCTTCTGTCGCGCATTCTTCCCAAATTCTTCTCCACCGGACACAGAGTACAACCCTTTTTACTATTGATCTCTCCAACATACTCATAGGTCTCTTTCAGGTGCTTATTTTCTTCCAAATGACAAAGGTCATGGATATCATGGAAGACTTTTTGAAGATGATGAACTGGAAGTACCTCCGACTCGATGGTGGTACAAAGACAGACGAGCGTGCGATTCATGTACAGCATTTCAACGCCAAGGACTCGGAAATCAAGGTTTTCATTCTCTCTACGAGAGCTGGTGGATTGGGTCTGAACTTGCAGACCGCTGACACCGTCATCATGTACGTATTCGGTGTTGTTCACCACCGTCTCGCCGCTCACCTTTCATTGATCGTACAGCTTCGACAGTGACTGGTAACATCACTTTTTACTATCCTCAAGTCTGGCTACTAACTCTATACCAACTTAGGAATCCCCACGCTGATCTTCAAGCTCAGGATCGTGCACATCGTATCGGTCAAACGAAAGCCGTCCGGATCCTACGTTTCATAACTGAGAAGAGCGTCGAAGAAGCCATGTACGCACGCGCGAGGTACAAACTCGACATCGACGACAAAGTCATCCAAGCCGGTCGCTTCGATAACAAGTCAACGCAAGAGGAGCAGGAAGAATTCCTGGTAACTTTTTGCGAGATGCCATGAATCATGACTGCTTACCATGATATTTTTCCTCCCCAGCGATCGATTCTCGAAGCTGACCAGGAGGAAGAGAATGAAGAGGCTGGGGACATGAACGACGACGAGCTTAACGAGATGCTGGCCAGAAACGATCAGGAGGTGATCATCTTCCGTGAGATGGACCTCAAACGAGAACGCGACGCACTGGAAGCTTGGCGTGCAGCAGGCAACCGAGGAAGACCACCAGCAGGGCTGATCCAGCTCGAAGAACTGCCAGATTGCTACCAAAACGACGAGCCGTTCGAGGTCAAGGAAATCGACGACAGTGCAGAAGGACGTGGCCAGCGTCGGCGGAATGTCGTCAATTATAACGATGGGCTTAGCGACGAGCAATGGGCAATGGTGAGTGACCCACCCCCCTCCCTCTCCCTCTTCTGTTTTCTGACTGCGTTGCTCTGCAGGCCGTGGAAGAAGGTGAAGACCTCCAGGAGCTCGCCGAACGCACACGTGACAGGAAGGACAGACGAACAGTGGTTAGAGTCAAGGAGACCGATACGCCCGTGCGAGGTACGCCAGCTTCTGAAAACGAAGGTCGCAGTAGCCGCAAAGCCAAGAAGGGAAAGTCCAAAATGGCCGCCCCCGAGTATGACCCCCCCGCAGCGAGCAATAAGCGGAAACGAGGCGGCGCAAAGTCGATGTCGGTTACGCCTTCCATGAACGACGAAGATGAGGACGAGCGCGGTGATTCAGTGAGTGTTCCCTCCCTCCCCTCTGCCGTCAAAATTGAATGGCTAACGATACACTAAATCATAGAAACGGCGCAAGACGAAAGCTCCAGATATCACGCCTGCGGTGAAGGAGAGGATGAAAAAGGCGTTCAATGAATGCTACAAGGCTGTACTTGCTTGCGAAGATGAGACAGGTCGGAAACGATGTGATCTCTTCCGAGAGCCTCCTGATAAACGGGGTAAGCCCCCCGTTCCCCTCCCCAAACCCCCCCCCCTTTTAACCCCCCCCCCCCCCCCCCCCCAAGGACTACCCCGACTACTACCAACTCATCACCCAACCGATCGCCCTCTCCCACCTCCGCAAACGCGCCAACGCCGGCTACTACAAGTCCATCACGCAATACAAAGACGACTGGAAGCTCATGTTCGACAACGCCCGGACGTACAACCAAGAAGGCTCCTGGGTCTACATCGACGCCGAGGAGATGGAGAAGGTCTTTTACGCCGCGCTGCAGCGCGTCACCGCCGGGTCGGGTCTGCCGGGTGCGCCGCCGGCGCCGGGGAGCGCGTCGGGGGCGTCGTTTGCGGATTCGGCGCTGACGCCGATGGAGGAGGATGAGCGGCCGCAGCCGAGGGCGAGGAGTGCGGGCAGGGTGAATAGGCTGGTGATTAGTGATGATGAGTATTTGACGCCGAGTGATGAAGAGTAGGTTTCGAGCCCTGGGCCCCCCCCTCTCCATTGCCTACACTGTGTTACTTTTGTTTCTTGTGTACTCTCATTACTATCCTCTCCTATTTTGTATTCTATTTTTTCTTGGGCTCTCTATTTAGCTATTTTCGCGAAATTCTATCCATTTTTTTTTCAAACGAAAAAACGGAGGGAGGATAGCGTTAGGGGTGAGATGATATGAATTGAGCTTTGTAAGATACGAGTATTTGAGGCTACGAGAACGAAAGACAGAGACAGACAGAGTGAAGAAAAGAGCTATATGTGAACCAAGACCTAGATCACGTACGTACGAGCCTTCATACATGCGATACATACGATACGATACGATACGATACGGGCATCCGACGACGGGCGAATAATATAAACATGGTAGGAGCGTGTCAACGACGACGGAGACTCCTCGAGCACCTCGACCTTTATCGGTACGCCCCAAGTCCCCCTTCCCCCCCATCTGCCTTCCCCTCCAAATCCAAACTCGTTCTCGCAACCCATTCCTCGTTCCCCTCGCAGCAGCGCCTCGCCCCCCTCCTCACTCACTCTGCGGGGCGATCCCCGCCTTTTCGCCCACGCTCCAACCAGAATCTCCAGAATCTCCAGAGATGACCCCATGGACGGCCCCATTTCGACTGGAAAGAGGCATGAGGTATGGTGTGTAGCAGCAGGAAAATCAGGTCCAGGTGCAGAGGCGATATGGGACCGACGACACATCGACGAAAAAAAAGCCCAGGGCCGCGGCGAGTACCGAGGATGAGTAGTAGCACCGGCACCGGCAGCACCAGCACGAGTACTAGCACTACATATTACCAGCACGCACGCACGCACGCACAAAACCCGAGCGTACCAAGTCAAACCAAGGAGGGAAGGAGCCGGGGAGGAGGATACAAACTTGACTTTGAACACCAGGGAACACCGACTCTCGTCATACAAACAAAAAAAGAAAAAAAAAAGCTTTTCTACGCAAGCCATGCTTAGAGTAACTCTAGATCTCAGAATCGATTTAAAGCGAAAAGAAAAGAGAGAAAAAGAAAAGGTAAAGGTTGAAGTTGAAAGTGGAAGTTGAAAGTGAAAGTGAGAGTTGAAAAACCAATACGGCGGGGGGATCTTCTTAATAATGATACTGATACACAACGCGCAAAAACGAGCGCAAAACAAAAATAAAGAGAAGGACGAAAGACAGACGGATCAAAATCGTTCAACCGAGGGGACCTCCAGAACATTGAATTTTTTCAGGGTTAACTACGACTGTCGTGGCTGCTTCGAGAGCAAAGACTCCATGATATGATGCACACCTTGGGGCTCCAACACGACCTTCGTGCCGTCACATTTAGCCTTGTTCGTAAACTCTGAACATAGATGATTGATATCAACGTCCTGAAAAGAGCGATCGTCATCGTCAGCTTTCGGTATGGTGATAAAGGAAAACAATGGTGAGACGAAAGCAAAAGGGAAATGGAAACGCACCTTGTACTGCGGATCCGACGTAATCCGTCTCCACGCACTCAACACCTCAATATTATGGTCATTCTCCTCCGTCATCGGGAAATTGGCACCCTTACACGCAATCATATTCCCCTGGAACGAATCGCTCGCTTTCCGGAGCGCCGGCGGAGGAGCCGCATTCGTAAACGGCGAGTCTCCCTCCGCCTCGATCTGTTTCGCCAAATCAGCCTTGGAGATCGTACATGGAGGATTGGAATGCGGGTGGGAGTGTAGGTGGGAATGTGAGTGTGAACGGCTAGAGTCGGAGACTGCCCCGTTGGCGTTGCCATTGGCATTTGAATGCGAATACGGACGGTCAGAATCAGAGCTGGGCGCAGATGGAGGGGTCTCGTCGGCCCTCGAGGACATCGTCCAGCTAAATGGACTGTGGCCGTTGTTAGTCAAAGAGGGCGAAGACATCGTGATCTGGGACATGGGTGAGTGGCCATTGCCGTTGCTGTTCCCGTTGACACCATGCGATATGGGGCTCAGCCCCGACGGACTCTTCAACAGCGCGTTGAAATCAAGCGGGCCCTGATTGCCCAAATAGTTCCCGCCAAATAGTTCATCCAGGCTGTGCTCATGTGAAGGCGCTTCTCGCTGCGATTGGGGCGACCAGGGGTTATTTGATTGGAAACTAAAGTTGAATGGATTGTTGTTGTTGTTGGGGTTGGTATCGTTATTAGGCCCGTCGACATCCGCAAACGACATGAATAGGGGGTTGGTCGCCAGCGTCTTGTAGTGGGTTGGAGGCGGAAGTGAGTACTGGCCCGACAAGTCCATCTGCATTGCGTCTGTCGCAGTTTGTTGAGAATTGTCGTCGAGGAGGTTAAGCATGGAGGGATCAAAGGTGGTGAGTGAATTCCAGTCGACATCGCCAAAGGACATGGGCTTTGGTGAAGAAGTCTGCTGCGGAGGTATTGCGGGTGGAGAAGCGGAGGATGCGTTTGAGCTGAAAAGGTTGTTGAAAGGAGATTGGGATATTCCTGATGAAGAACCGGGTGAGGACGACTGCGGATTTGAGCTCTCGCCAGGTTTTGGTACTGAGAATGTGAAAGCAGCATTTTTGAGAGCGAGATTTTCATTCTGCAATCTCGAAAGCAAATCCTTGAGATTCTCGTTTTCCGATTGGGCCTGTTCGTTCTTTGCTTCGAGGGCTGCGACCTTGTCTTCGAGCTGAGGGGTACAAGGCAGATGAAGGAGGGCAGAGTAGAAAGTAGAGGTGGACGTACGTCTTTGACATGTTTTTCTTTACGCTCGCGGAAAGCCCGTTGTGCGGCACGGTTCTGCTCCTTGCGTTTGAGCAAGCGGGACTCGTCCTGATGCACACAATGGGGCTGAGAGCCTGATTAGGGGGAGGTAAGGTGGGAGGGTACGTACTTGAGAGTTGCCCGTTGACTTGCGCCTTGCTGGGCCAATGGACCCCTTTTTGGAGGCAGTCATATTGTCTGGGATGGGGAGAGAGGTGAGGAGGGGAGGGAGGAGGGGAAGAAAGGGAGATACCGATATGCTGATTCTTGGAGCTAGGGCCCTCACCCATGTCGTCATCATCGCTGGCCTTGCGTTTGAGACGGGCGTCGTCGTTGTCGTTTGCACGAAAGTGGGCAGACTGCCTTCTTGATAGGGAACCGTTGTTGATGCTGGATGGACTGGGGCTGCTGTCTTCCGAGGGGGGAGTGAGGTTTGGGAGGGGGAGCTGCTGGATGGACTGTGGGTCTACGCCTGTGTCGAGGGGTGCGTTTGGGTCGTTTACGGAGGATGCGAACTGCTTTTGGAGGAGGGCGAGGAAGTCGTCGTCGGGTAACTGGGAGAAAGCTGAGGCCTGCGAGAGATCCCAGAGGGAGTTGAGGCCATGGAATGTCGCCATATGTGCTATGTGGGAGAGTGACAAAAGTGGATACGGCTGACAGACGTGGTCGGTGCGTACGGTGTCGAGTGGAGAGCAACAGTAATAATACTCGCAATGTCCTACGGTGATCCTCTCTCCCTCGATAATCGTCGATTACAAATACATCATTATTTACTTTCTGCTAACCTATCCCTCCATTTCTGCAATTCGCCACGTCAACCCTCTGCCGTCGGCACCCAACCGCTAACACATAGGGTTAGGTCTTCCAAGGCCTTATCGCTGACAAATACCCCCGTCAAGCCCGCAACCGCGCTCGAAAGTGACTCGGATATTGCGCCCCAGATCGATGCACGGAATGGAGTGGGTCACTGTATCATCTCTTTTGATTCGCGTCCATGACTCCATCATCAACGGCGGGACCGATGTCAACAATATCACGAGTCGAACCCAGATGTTGAATCAGTGAGTATGGTGTCATCAGAACAGAAGCCTGACAGCCCATGCCAGCATCGCAAAGAGTATTGGCCAAGCAAAGAGCCTAGCAGCTGACTTGCCACGCTCGTCTGCCTCTGCAACATATACGACCATCGCCTCTTCTCTCTCACCCTGACCTTATCTCTTCCCTCCGCCCACTTCTTCTATCTCCAAGGCCTGTCTCACTTTATTGTCCCTCCGTCGCGACATCGGGTCTCATACTACCAAGTTCCATCCGGCCATCGAACGTGCACCAGACCCCATCACCCGCATGCTTTCCAAATTCAGGGTGATTCGCAAAAACAAAAAAAGCCTCAACTTCGGCTTTAGCGCCCTAGCACTGCCACTCCCAGGATCGACACAATCTGTATACACCACGACACTCGTTGGTAACCGTTGCTGCACTCATCACTTTTGTCAAATTCTCAAAACATCTTGCTTTTTCGCGGGTGACAAAAGGTTCACCTAGCAGCGCATGGAATCGGGGTGGTTTGGTTCAACCTCGATTTTCGTCTACGTACTCAAGTATGGACTCGTGTATTATCGATATCATTCCAATTTCAGCTTATCAAAAATTTAACTGCTTCCCATCGCACATACTATCTGAACATGAGTTTTACATTCCAGGGGTACAAAATACAGGGTTTGAAATCATACGACAAGTCTTCCCCGGACTTTTCACATGTCAGAGTTTACAAATGAAGCTATCAAACAAGGTCCTCAAGCCGAATCCCTGGAAGACAAAAAGAAAACCGACACAGAAGTGTGTTCAAATCGACATCCGCACGCACACATTTCAATAGCACTCACCGACATCCACTGACAATCCGCATACGCCCACTCCCAACACCACGAACTCGCATCCGCCTACCCGTCGCCACCCCCTCACATGCCTCCCTCACACTATCAGACAGCCGCATACCACGGTGTTCGGGCTTGTCATAGTTCGTATACAAACGCAACATCTGCATGTGCTCTCCCCTGTCGTAGCATATGGTCAGGTTGAATCCTGAGAAGGGTTTGAGGGAGACGTCCATGTCGCGCTGCAATAGGGCATTGATGTGGTCTTGGACGTGCGCGTCAGCCAGGAGAGATCTATCTCCGTGGCCTTCATCCCTTACCTCCTCCTCCTCCTCCTCCTCATCCTTTGAATCGACATAGGGACCGTTCGAAGAACCTTGACGATCAGAGCACCAACCCTCCAAGTCTGATCCCTCAGAATCACAGTACAAATCTTCCGAACCATCCTCAGGTCCAAAATACGCCGCTATCAGCACAGACTCCCGCCGTTCCTCCCCCTCCTCCTCGCTCGATGGGCCCGGGCCCTCGAATTCGAATCCGGTATCTACCGCATACCTCATGACCATCTCCAAGCTCGTCGGACAGCCCCAGACGAGGATGGGAGGGAGAGAACGAGAACGAGAACGAGAGCGAGAAAAAAGACTTGCTGGGCCTCGTCCCGTATCTGAATCGCCTCCGCATCCGAGTCCAACATGGTGTGTGTGTCCATGTCACACGCACGCTTATGCCAGTGACGTTTGGCGAGATTATTCTGCGATAGATCCAGACTTTCGATAAAGCAACGACAATAACAATCATGGCGACCGTAATCATTCTCGATAGCCCATCTGTTGCTCCGACAGGATCGAGAGCTGAGAACTGTTGAATTGAATCGTAACACACCCGGGCCCTGTACTAGTACTCCCTCCGCGTTCAAGCTTCAAGTTTGTACCGGAGCGCAGCAGCAGCAGCAGCAGCGTGCGCGAGGACCATCGTCATCCCCCAAAAGAAAGCTAAAAGCAAAGCAGGAAGAAAAATATGCTGGACAAGACTCATATAATGACATCGCTGAGTGTGCAGCGGAACAAATTTAAAATAAGTTTAACGACTGTCCGTGTCGTCCAAGCTCGTCCGAGTCAGATAGCCCCTAATAGTCTAGCCAAAGGAACGGGATTTCAGATTCAGGTGGCAGGGAGGCGTCGATGACACGGTTTCCGTTCGCAACCCCGGGGCTTGCTCATATGATTCAAATTGCTGTGTCAATGTCATCGAAAAACCCCCTCAGTGAGCTTCCAAGTTCCAAAGACCTGAACCGAGGGGGACCTGCAAAAATAAACCTTAAAGCGACTCAGCATCCCAGTAGCGCTTTCCAGTTTAGCACCGCATTCACAGACGCATTGATCATGATCATGAACAGAATCGAGAGAAAATTTAAAATTTAAAAATCTATATATATTTAATGTCACCACTACCACTCCACTCCTTCTTCTCAAGTATATGACACCTTCTGATCTCCCGCCATTCAGTTCTGATCGTTATAGGTAGGTCAGCAAGGGAGAGACCATCATCTGATCGCTATCACAAACATTGACACCCACCCACGATCTTTATTGCAAACTGGGTAACCGAACTTCCAAGTCACTGCACCCGCTCACGATCACAGCAGCTTTTGAATGCCGGATAAACGTTAACACAGGTATACACACCATGCATGACCTCTCATGATCGCATCGATCGCACCCCCCCTCTCTGCCTTGACAACCGCCGTCAACCGTCTCATCTTTTGACGCGTCAACTTTCAAGCTTTCAAGTCGAGGCGATCAACATATGGCCACTCCCGCAAGGTGAGCCACACTGCTCACCGCCCTTGGGGGCTCGGTATCAGTGGCTGAAATCCCCTGTCGCGGGGCGTATTTCACGAGATTTCATTGACATATCCAGGTCAAAACGTATATCGCTCGCGTTTGCACCACAGTCTTGGAGTCCAGTCTGAGTCCAGAGGGGGCTCAAATGTGAATTCGGACGAGATTGAGACGAGGAAGACTTGGAGGTGTGTGGGTGTGAGCGAATCATGATGGTGATCGGCCATTGGCGAGCTCAGTAATAACAGGAGCTTGAAACTTGCAAGTCTGGTGAGATGACCTGCAAGACCTCTCTGAAGCCGACATTGTATCATTTTGGCAGTAGCATTGCCATTGGGGACGAAGTTAGGACAGCCGTTGCCATTTGTAGGGAACCTGGCGGGGGAGCTGGGGCGGTCGAGAGGAAACTGCAGTCAAGTCTGGATGGGATAAGTCATGTGAATCACGGGCCAGTCCGAGCGCAAACACTTGATGAGAAATCCAGTTTGAATCGCCCAACCAATGCTAGCTACGAAGTTAGCCTCCCGCTCATAGAATCCAGCCACAAGCCCAAGCCCAAGCCCAAGCCCAAGCTCCTTCCACACCTGGGGTTCCCGCCCCAGACGGCCAGGAACAACTCTGCCTCGAGATATGGCACGACCCATCACCTTATCCTTGCGCAGTTGACGGACATACCCGCGGATCGTCCATAGAGTGTAGACACGCCGTCATAGACTTAAAGAGGGCCAACAGTCTGTGAGGGTCTTTCCAGGGACGAAATCCATGACAAACGCGCTCTCTTTCCCCTGTATTTGAAGACCCTGAAGGAGACTGTAGGGGTTCGTGTTTGATTTGGATGGACTTGACGCATCTACACTGTGAATACGTACAGATGCTTGCAGATGCTGGAGCAGGGCTATCGTGCCCGTCAGGTGCTGTGGAGTCCATGAAGACGCGATCCCGCGCAAGCGTACCGAGATGCACAGGTTCAAAAAGTAAACATTGGTCGGTCAGCAGTCGCGTGATCGAACCGTCCGACTTTACCTTTTTGGGTGAATCCCCTCTGCTGTCACCACACCTACTACCTACGTGTAATGCAGACAGGTGCGGTTGAGGCATGGACTTTGCTATGTTACAGCGGCGTCAAAGGGTCATTTGGGGCAGACATGGCTTGATAGGGCGTGGATGGCGTTGACTCGTGAGATGGCGATATGGAGCAATACAATCTCGCAGACAATGGTGAGATTCAGAAAGACTCCAAAGGGTAGAACAGCATTAATTTCTATTTTAACCTCGACAGCTCAACGTCGCTTAATCCTGTATATATAGCACCTTGACTGAAATGAATCCGTAAAGACGTTGTCCCCTTCTCAACCCAGGCTGTCTACCACCGTGACAGGCAGCAACGTGCGGCGTTGATCTTTTTTATGAGACCGCAACATGTCTTCACTCGATCAACCCTGTGATATTCCCCCCCTTTTTTTCTGTGCGTTTGACACTGAGACCCTCGCTTGCTTTGGACGGCTTGTGAGTCTGACATTTGACAAATATTGACAGCTCGGGGATAACTCCCGTTTAATCCATTAACATCCGCCCCACGTTGTCCAAACCCCTGGCACACTCGACTTTGACGGGTCTGCGGCAACGATCGCAATCCTACGAACGCCACTGCAATGCGTCCAAACCGACGTTAAACGCGCCAGCATGGTCTGACAAAGGTCGTCCCGCTCGGCGATGCCATGACGATTCACATGATCGCAAACTCACCCCGATCTATCTATCTGCTACATTCCCCAACGCGATCATCACCGCATCACCGCGACGAATTTCACAACAACACATACGAAACTTTTGCCCATTTTGCTATTTTACTATGTTTCCAACACACATCCCTGGTGTCCGATGATCGATGACCCCGATTTCCATTTTGTGCCTTCAATGTCGTCACCAGTCGGTGGACCATTCGCCACATCGTGTAGAGTGGGGCGGGATGATTGTTGTGCGTTGCGAGTGATGAGCACTGAGCTGCAGATCTATCCCACTGAACGGGTAAGGTACAGTGGCTCCTCCTCATATATAGGTGGCGGTCCATGCCAGGGATCCGGCCAGACTCGACTTCAACTATACCCCACCAAGATCTCACAACTCCAGCTCTAACATGAGGTGGGGGGGAACCTTACTTCCCTAAATCAGCTCCCAGCTCAACGCCATACCGATATTAGGAGCCGCATCAGCAGTTTTAGAACACTATCATTATCAGCACTATCCTAACCAAGCTCGTAAAAGACTCGGAGCCGATAAACACCCTTCTAGCCCTTCCAGAACTCGATACTTGGCACGAACCTAACGCCTAACAAAGACAGGCGCAAAACTCAGTCTAAGTAACTCAAAGATCACTCCACTTGACTTGGAGCCCATCACGACGGACCAAGTACCAAGCCATGCCAAAAAAAGGAAACGACACGAGGCGAGAACGGAAAGGGAAATGGAGGGGAAAAGGGCTAGGAAAAGAGCATAATTACAAAAAAAGGAAATCTGCGGAGGAAAATAAAAACTAGAAACTAGATGCGGTAGTGACGGTATAAACCAATAAGATAGTATTTGCGAAAATAAAAATGAGCGTTTTCCCAAGAGACCAAGAGATGATATAAGCACGAATGACGAATTATCTGCCAACCCTCCTCCTCCTCTTCACTGAGCATGCAGTCACCAATGACTCACGAATGATGAACATCACTGGGAGATGGGGAGATTAGTTCAGTTCTCGGAAAGACTTTGGTCATCCGATAGCGACCAAGTCGGGACTTACATAGTACTCGATTTCCAGCTAAGAAAAGGCACATTAAAAGAAAGTTCCGAAAAACGAAACGAATGAGAAGAATGCCACACGCTGATCCAATCCAAAAAACAAAAAAAAACAAAAAAGACTCACAAATAGAAACGCTACTCTCCTCGGCCAAAGGATGTTCAACCCAACCGGATTATAAATACTCGCGTTGAGGTCATCGATCGCGCGCTGTAATCGCTTCATTTCCTATTATCAATTACGAAAAGTTTCCCAAAATTCAATTTCAGCGTCAGTTTCTTATATATGCTGTTTCAGAGCCTCGCAAGAAAACAAAACAAGAAGCAAGAAGCAAAAATAGAAAGCCTTGGACACATCCAACTTTCGGTTGCTAACACTCAGCGGCCAAGAGAAAGAGAGAGGCGGGAGGAGTGGGGGCTAGCACACACAGACTCATCAACGTACCTTATCATAGTGCGAATCCATCACCACCCTCCATATCTGCAGCGTCAACACCGCCAACGTGTTATATACGATCGAGTGTCGGATACTATGTGCAGAGATGAGGATCTCGTTGATGGTGTTGATCGTCTCGAGAAACTGCGTTGGCGTTATCTGCTCAGAAAGTGGACAAGTTCTTTTGTGAGCGTTCGTACTCGTGTGATGCATAGATATAGAGGAGGAGGGGAGGGGAAGAGAGGGGGGGAGGTAAAACGTAAAACGTAAATAAACATAAAATGCACACGTACCCTTCCTTCAAGCTCGAGAGGGTACGTAGGGGCGAACTGAATGAGCTCGCCCCCGCTGTAGTCTCGCTCTATCCGCACTATCTCTCTCGGGTGATGAACGCCTATTTGGCCTATTGGAGGGGTGCCGTAGGCGGAATCTATAGCTGGTGGACCAAAGTAGTATGATGACTTTGGTATCAGCGGTCGCGCACGTCTGGTCAATCACCAAAATAAACCAAGATCAGCGTGAATGCTTCCACAAAGCCAAAATACACAGAGGGAGGGAGAGGGAGATAAATGAAGGAGGGACTCACGCCTTCTTCTGCATACTCGCAAAATTACTCGTACCCAGCGTCGAATAGTAATCCGTACCCAGATGCCCATTATTGCTCGACGGAGGCTCGACAGACTCCCATGGCTGCGGCGACGGAGGAGCAGCCTTGAACTCGAGATGCAAATCACTCCCTCCCCCCTCCTTCCCCCCCATGCCCGCCCTCTCACCACCATCCTCAACCACATACCCACCCTCATCCACCATCGTCGGCTCGTCCCCAACCCCGTGCTGCGCCTGCATCTCCTCCAGACGCCGCACCTCGTCGCGGAAAGGGGAGGACGAGCGCTTCGAAAGGGGATGCCAGCCCTCCCCGATATCGATCTCCTCTACCTCCCGTCCCTCTTCCCCCCCTCCTCCTTCCGCCCCCGTCCCCCCGCCCCCGCTCTCATCTGTCCCCACGCGAGTGAGAGGCGGGCTAGGCGGGAGCTCGTCTGCCCTCAGACCTTTATGATTCTGGATACGAACGACCCCTCCTCCCCCTCCCTCTCCCGATGTATGACCCAGCCCGTCTTCAGCGCGGGGTAGACGAGACAGATGGGACGACGTCGAAGCAGCGTGCGCCGCTCGCGAGTCGCATGTCGACGGCGGGTCATAGGGCGGCATCGGCGTAGGCGTGGGTGTGGATGTGGATGTGGAAGTGGGTGTGGGCGTGTGTGGAGATAGAGACGGTGCGTGTGCTGATGGTGATAGCGGCGAGGTAGTCGTCGCAGTTTGCCCGCCTTCCAATTCAGTGTGAGACTGTCCCCGTCCGTGTTCCTGCCCTCCTCCTTCCTCTTTTATCTCCCACTCTTCTTCAGCGTGCGTACTCAGCGTGCCCATTCCCGCCCCTCTAACCGCCTCGCCCGACACCACCCCGTCATCCATCCCCGTCCCAGTCACAAGCACCCCAGAGGGCAACGATGCCGGCAAAACAGCATGCATGTCAATGTCTATAGTAGTATGACCAGGAGACGTCATGACGGATACATCGAGGCGCGCAACCAAAGCACAGCAAAGCAAAGCACAGCCAACGGGCTACACTGGCAGAATCGAGAGAGTATAAAAAAGTGGATCAGAAGGGTGTGAGTTTTTGGACTGGATAAGCCTAATTATTATGTGTCTCGCGGGCAACGGCGCGTGTTGGATTGGACTGGAAGGAGTCAAGGTGAAGGAGTAAAACAAAAAGAAACTCGAACCAACTTTTCTTGATCGGTTCAAAGACACGACCGGAAATGAGCGTTTACTTGCTTTGTTGTTTTACTTATGGTGAGAACTCACTTTTGAAAAAACAACCAACGCAAGACACGCCACTCATAACACAACCACCCATCTCAGCTCATCACCACAGTTTCGTCACGCAAGAGCTTTCAAACGACAACACCGAAAAATAAATGCATTTTAACTTTTACAAATGGTTGAATATGATTATGTAGTTCTAGGCTCTGATATATAAAACATGTCTTCATCATCAGTCATAATACGGCAATCAACGCCAGAACACGGTGCATGCAAAATAGACATATAGCAACATGTGCTCCCATCGAGGGTAGAGCACCGCAATAACATAGGGCATAGCAAATAATAGGATGAAAGAACGATCACACCCCCTCAGGACATGGTATCCCCCTTGTCCTGCGAACGTGCAGATGAAGGCGACGTGTGCTTAGACCCTGGTGATCCAGAACCATGAATGATCCCAGCCATCTTGCCACGCCCAGGCGGTGAGATCGAACGGCGTGAATCAACTTGCATACGTTCATCAGATGGAGAAGGCGCGGTTGAAGTAGGAGAAAGTGTAGTAATAGGTGGCAGAGCAATATGCCCCGAAGCATTCGACGCATTGTTGGCGTGCGACGAATGTCCGATCGGGCGAGGATGTGGGGGCAAAAGTACAGGTAACGTGGGACTTGGCGGGAACGGTCCATGCGACTCTATTTGCTGTCGCGATTCAGGTGAATGGGAAGCCGGCTGCGTACGAAAGGGAATAGGAGAAGGACGTGATGAGGGAACTGGTGTGTGTCTTCCTCCTGATGGAGAAGACGCACTTCGTTGTTTTATTACATCAACTCTACTGCGCTTGTTGTCCATCTCGTCTGCCCCGGGACTCAGGGGCCGCTTGAGAGTAGCCGCGTTTGAAGGCGGCGATGGACGGCTTCTCGTTGAGGAGATTGACCCGCGATGAGAGACGACTGGCCGAGGCGACGTCATTGTATATCGGCTCCCACTAGAAGCAGTAGGTGAGTGAGTAGGCACACTATGCGCATCTACAGCAGATGCTGACATCTCTGGTGCTCGTGACTGCGATAAAACCACCAAAGCGTCAGCAACACCCTCATCATAGTCCTCATCCATAACCCGCGAAGGCGGTTGAGGCGTCGCGCTCGTAGGCGAAGGCTGAATGGACCTCGACGCCCCAGACCCATTGGAGCTTGACTCCTGCCCTTCTTTCGATGCATACTGGCCTACCTTGAACGACGCAGGCAAGTTTGCTGGCATTCGCTCGTTCGTTTTCGGTGCTTCCATGGCAGCGTCATCCTTCGTTCGCTTCACACGTTTCTTCCTCTCCTTCTTAGCAGGCGCATCTTGAACGATCGATCCGACCGACTGTACATCGGTGTCCTTGTCCTTAGCAGCGCGACTCCGCCTTGCTTTCGGTTCAGGAGCAGGTGTGGGACGAGGACTTTCAGAACTTCGGGCGTTGTTGCTTGCGACAATATGGGGAGGAGCATTGCGTATCCCACCCCGCGCGCTCTCGGGCGAATGTGCGTAAGCCCTAGACTCGTGCCTGTGCTCCATAGGTGCATCAGTCCTTTCATATTCTCGAGGATCCCTAGCGTCTCTGGCATCGTATCGTGCAGGATCGTAGCGCCAATGACCATTTTCGTGCTGCGATGGACCAGGCGGCGGAGGCGGGGGTGGCGAACGTGGTCCAGGTGGACCACTAGGTGGCTTGGAATCCCAAAAGGTGCGAGATGGGTGAGCAGAAGGATGAGAAGAACGCGGCGATGGGTCAGGAGGACTGTGCGCAGGATGAGAAGCGGGCGAGCGCGGAGTGTAGTATGGCTGCTGCGAAGGGTGAGCCGAATACTCACCACTATGTCTCCCACGCCTATCCCAGTCACCACGATGGTGTTCAGAAGGGGGCGGTCGACGATCCCAAGCGCCTTCCTGCTCATTTCGTATAATGTCGTGGGAGTACGGGCGAGGAGAACGCTGAGAGGAAACTGTACTAGGCTGCGCGGGACCAACAGGCTGACGGCCAGAAGGTGGGTAGTTTGGATAAGCAGAGACTGGAGATCGTGCACGAGAGGTATGGGGAGGAGGCGAGGCAGAGGTAGATGCCACTCGTAATGGACGAGCAAAGTGTGGCTCTTGGTATTGCCCAGGACCATGCGAGGCCGAATTGCGAAGCTCCTCTGTAGGAAGCTGCTGTTGAGGGACGGGGTGATGAAGCAACAAATGTTGGCCTGAAGGGCCTCGAGAAGACGTCTCACGACCACTTGCAGAGTACTCTCGCGAGTGATGAGGAGGTGGACGATCGACGACGTCCATGGGTGCAAGCGGCGTGTGCGACAACACATGTCGACTCTCATCGAGAACGACAGGTGGCGGCGGACCTCCTCTGAAAGGCCCAGGAGAAGAGCGACCAGCGTTGGGTGGTGGAGGCAATGGAAGATGATTTTCATTCGATGGTCCTCTGGAATCTGTCCTGAACAGAGGACGAGTATTCGGCGCAGACTGTAGCAACAAAGGAGGACCCGAAAGCCCAGGCGGTGGAACGACGGCGCTCGCGTAGGCCGTTGGATGTACGTCTTGTGGACCAGGGGCAGCAGGCAGCTGACCACCTGTCGCCTGAGCGGTCTTGAGTAACTGCAATCGTTGCGATATCACGGGATTACCAGGATCGAGCTCACTGGCCCGAGCATACGCGTCGATGGCGTCGGAAATCTGGTTGTTACAGCTTTCATAGAGACTACCAAGGTCGAACCATACTTCTGAGATGTATGGGTTGATGCGAATGGCACGGGAGTAGGCATCGAGGGCATCGCGGAATTGGTTGATTTGAAAATATAAAACGCCAATGGAGCACCAGAACGTTGGATTACGGCCATCGCGATAAACAGCCTGTTGGTAAGCTTCGTATGCTTTATTATACTTCTGGCCAGCCATGTATGCACGACCCAGAAGGTACCAGCTCTGGGCGTCGGAGGGATCTGAGGCCGATGAATTGGTACGTAATTAAGACAAGGTTGATCCAAAAAGGACATACCAGCCTCGAGACTCTTTGTCAGATATTGAATAGCTAGTTCTTGATTTTGAAACGAGGAGCCATCCTGGTGGTAAAGCCACCCTAATTGTTGAAGGACTTTGGCGTGTCCAGGGTTATCGGCTACGACACGCTCGTATGCGTCTTTAGCGCGGACATGCTAAGGGTTGATGATGATCATTTGTAGAATAGTGGTGACCATAAGCGCACTACTTACGTCTTTCTGTTGTTCGTATACATGCCCGATTTGGAACCAGATGTCGGCATGGGCGAGGGGACTGGGGGGATTGCGCAGTATGCGGTCGAAACAGCCAAGAGAATCCTCGTACTTGCTTTGCTGTTTATAGATGATACCTAGGCGGAAAAGTATTTCGTTTGCCTTATCAAAGTCTAAATCTTCTCGATGAATATATACCGTTGTTCTCAAGCGAGAGGCGACGAGACTTACCTTTGTCCATCTTGAGGACTGATGCAAACGCTTCTTCTGCGTGGTCCAAAGAGCCGTATCTATCATATAGTATGCCGATGCCGTACCAAAGCTTGGGATCCTCCTTTGATGCAGATGAGCGAAGAACAAACGAATGAAGGGACAGCTTACCTTTGGGTTTGGCAAGAGGTAGAGGGCCTGCTGGTAAGCGGAGTACGCCTTCTGGAGGTCGTCCTGCATGAGATAGCAGTGGCCTGTGCAGGACATGAGTGACGTCGAGGAGGAGATAACGTGACGTACCAAGGGCACTCCATACTTCGCCATTGTCTTCCTGCAACTGGAGAACACGCTGGAAGTACTCGACTGCCTAATTGGGAGAGATGAGATCAGCAGATGATCTGAGATTTGGAAAAATCAAAAGTAAAAAGATGACGGCGGCCAGATGAGCGGATATCCTCGGAGGTAATCGGGTTGGAGTAAGATTGGCATAAAGACTGATTACCCACCTTTGGGTAGTTCTCTTTGATCCGAGCGATGCCCGCAACTTGAGTAAGCCCTGACAGGGACATCGGGTTATGCCGCAGTGCATTTTCGTATGCTGTGATGGCATGTTCAAGATCCCCCATTTGTTCCGCGACGCGGCCTGAGAAGACAAGAGCGTTAAGCGACGGATTCTTTGTTAAAAATGAAGAGTAAGCCAACCTATGAGAAGCCAAGTCTGCTCATTTGCGACGGCAAGCTTGTGAATCATGCTGGTTGGTGGGGGCGCAACGCCGTTTGGTGGCGGAACATTGGGCACGACGACGGGGGAGACGATCTGGTTTTGGGGCGGGTGTGCGTGGTTTGAAGCGTTGGACATGGCACCAGGGGTGGTGGGAAGGGCGGCCACGCTGCCGTTGAGGTGGGGTGGAGCAGGATGGGGCGGGTGGGTGATGAGGGGGTGTGGGTGGGGGTGTACGGCTGAGGGTGGATCGTGCATGCGGATGTCCCCGTCTGGACGGCGAGGCATTTGCCTGTGGGACATGGTGGGAGGAGGGACGAGAGATGGGGCAGAGGCGAAGAGGGGGGAGAAAAGTCATCAGAGGTCAAGGCAGGGTGATATATATATGAAAAGCTGCGGGAGAGGGGAGATCAGGGCGTTGCACCCCAGTCGCACGATCTCAGACGATCAAGTACTCAGATTGGAACTAGACAGGGAGATTGCATCTCGCGTTGTAGGCAACTGATTTGAATTTGCACCGATACCTAAATTCTCGTCTCCAAAGAGCCGCGTGCCTACGAAGCTGCCATTTCAGGATTGTTGCCGCTCTTCATCGGCTACTATTGACATATCAAGATCCAGCGCCGAACGCCGTGCACATGTGGAGTTCGAGAGTTGGGACGACGCAGAAGCCTGTCCGAGTTCGGTAACAGCGTGAGTTAAAGAGCTTAACGGACATGTCCCATTAGCATCAGTGCACTAAGCGCGACACAAGGGTCATTGAGAATCGCTGCGAGAAGCTTCAATGCCAGACTAATGGATGCCACCGCCATCATTCTCTGCTGAAACGTGCTTGTCGAGGTTAGAAGGCCGTGTGTTATGTATTCGGCGCTCGATAAGTGAGACCGTGGAGAGAGCGAGCGAGCTATTGAGCAGAGGCTTAGGGTTGGCTTCTTGTCGCTGATCCGCAGATTACCGAGCTCGCGTTGGACACGTCGATTCCTCGGCTCTCTTTACGGCACCCTCCAGATCTCGGACGCGATCCCTCTGTCCGCCTGCCTGGGCACCCCTTCCCTGATCGGGCGTCGCCCATCTAGACCGCTTCTTCTGCGATCGCTGACACGTGTTCTCCTGTTGATGCTGGGCCAGCTTATCCCGCTCTGGGACGTGATGGCACTGATCATGATGTTAAGTTTCCTATTGATCAGGCACAGCTTCTTATCAATCTCTCCAGGCCACCTCCTTATTAGCCGGCCCTCTCCTATATATACTTATCCGCCCTCTATCGCGATCTCTATTCAAATCCCACATCTCGTCACCTCCTTCTCGCCTCTTACGAAATCATCTTTTTTTCCACCCTTCTCTCGCCTTCTCTTCGCCTTCATGCTCACGGCAGTCATCTGCTCTGACCATTAGCGCGGACTGCCCTCGCGTGGCCCTGTCCACACCCTCCACCTGCCGTGGATAAGCTATTTGATCAGAATGAACTATATCACAGTTGGGTGTGATAGCACAGGATCACCCAAGCGCTACACCTCGGCTGTTCTCTCGTATCAAGAACGCCGACCACGGATCCTTCGGGCCAGGTACCAAATCCGCACGGAAGCACCGTCATGGACTGACTAAGCTCAATACGGCACGACACCCTGAGCCATGATATTCGTCCTTATTGGTCTGACAACCGGTTACGGTCCCTCCTTCCATTCTCCCCTGAGAAGTACTCTTACTTCACAGCGCCCTACGCCTTCTCCTGTCATAAAACACGTCGTCCCTCCGCTCATCTCGTCCCTTCTTCACCTTCCTCTTGCCTGAGACAGCTCTTCTCATCCTCACACCCAACCCCCTTCCGACTGCCTCGGTCTCGCCACGCACGGCTGCGATGGCCAATTGATCGGATGTTCTGGGAGGAACTGATCAAAGTCATCTCGCTTTGTCGTCCTCTATTATCACCTATCATATCCCTAGCGATCGATAATTTTATGGTTTCGTATCAATTTTGACACCGGAAAATTTGATTCAACTTTCTCCAAATACATTAGGGTGATCGGCCCGGTGCCACGAGTCTTTAACTCTCCAATGACTAGCCAAATTCTCTGAAGGAACGCACTGAGCCGAGGTCGGGGACATACAGTGGCCGTAACCCACAGCCTCTCAATGGGCTCCACGGAACCCTTGCTCAATCCCAACTCGAGTATGTGAATGGAAAGACCCTGACAGTTCAAAAAGACCGTCCGTTTTGGAAACACTGCACAGCATCGACCGTCGGCGTGCTGTTCTTGATTGCACAGCGGCGATACAACGCTTGAACAAGTCGCCTACTAGTACACCCGCAAACATCTGTGATATCGTGATGAGTCTTTGCCCCCCAACTCCGCGGAAGGTATCACTCCCATCGCCCATCTTGCGCGACATACCGTGATATCCTAGGATATCCTGTACCCACGCTTACACTGACAGCGTTTGTTTTTGCATGTGCATCTTCACAGGTCGGCCATGTTTCTGGGTCGGGTGTCGTTAAAAAGATGGCAAAGCACCTCAATTATAGATCCTGCCCGTACCGACACAGTGGAGTATGGGGTTGTTATTATTTGTACAATTTCTCATCGTACAACTTGCTTTTCGAGAAACTCGAGACGCGGGGCGGCTCTCCTTCATTGTTTTTCCCAGAGACATGCTGTGGCGTATTGTCGCCGTCAACGAACCTGATCGTTTTCATGAAATAGGATGACGAAAGGGATAAAATACAAAACCAGTTTCCATGACCCGTATCGATGTCATTCATGATCAAACTGAGCGAGCCCAATATCGAACATTGTTTGAGCCCGGTGCTGCGCAACGAGATTGGGACACACGTTAATTTGGAAGCTGGTTGGCTAACGGCTGGAATTCCGAAGAGAAAGGGCCAACATCTTTGTGCCTATGCCAGATTGGAGTGATGCCAAGCAGCGAGGGGATTGCAAAAAAAGAACAGGATTCATATCAGTTGACTGGTCCAAATGAAATTCGAGAACGCGTTGCATATATTGTTCCAATGGTGTATCACCGAGCACCAAATATAGACCACAAAGGCTCCGCAGGGCACCAAGAAAGAGAGAACCCCGCAAAGAGAAGAGGAAGTCGAGCTTAGTTTGCAACAAGGCAGGAAAGATCCGATACAGGTGTCAGCATATGAACAGGATCATGAGATTGCGAAATATATATAACAGTGCCGCTCCAGCAAAGCGCGGAAAATGGGAGATCGATACGAGAGCTTTGATGAAATCGTGACGTTGGCACTTGGTGACAGTTGACGTGACAGCAGGCTGACATAACGTGACTGCGGCGTGACGCAACGTGCTCTTGTTTGGCGGTGCTTGCGTGCGTCTTGTTGACAGGTGCAGTCCTGTGGCTGGGCCCATATCAAAAGCGCAACAGTGAACACTTGTTTGATAGAACACCAAAGCTGCGATGACTCGTGAGTATATGCGCCCTCACTACCCGCCCTCCCTTACAATCCCAGTTCTGTGCCAATCCACTCAAGTTTCATGATCTACAGGGGGTAATCAACGGGACCAGGACCGCCTCAAGGCCCAGAAAAAAGCAGCAGCTGGTAAATCAAAGCCAAAGGAAAGTGCTGCAAATCTGCAGAAACGCAAGGAGGCGTGAGTCACATCCATCTTCTCCTATATCTCAGTCGTTCTCATTTCTGTTTTCATCAGCGATGCCGAGATCTTGAGGGCTAAGCAGAAGGCATGCCATTTTATTTCCATATCAACAACATCATACATCTAAAACATCTACTTTCATTCAGAAAAAGGAAGAAGAGAAGGCTGCGGCGGACGCTGCTGCTGCTAAAGCGGGGGGAGGGAAGTAGTCTTGGAGGGGAAGTCATCTTGTTTATAGAGTGTGTCAGTATGTGATGCAACCTTTGTGTGCCACTAATCTGCTTGGAGTAGTCAGTTGCATACGATTGGCTGTGCACTTTGTTTTCGTATCAGGGATCTCTGTTGCCATTCTTTTCAGCCATAAATCTGTTACATGGGCGCTCAACTTGTTAGAGGTCATAGTGCGCATGATGTGACTAATCAACACTTTGGTAAGCAACTGTCTATACATAAGTACGGTATCCTGTTGATATTCTAAAGAGAATCCCCGTCAAATGGAGCAAGCACCGCACTGCAACATTCCTCAGTGTCGTAACTGTCATACTCTTCGCGGAAAATGTGTAATGCTCCCTTAGCGAAAGGTTTTATTACTCTATATATACACTCCGTTGACTTTCATCAGAAATGAGTTCAACGCAAGCTAGCGTAAGCCTTGATCCGGAGGCGCTTCCTACCGCACTTTCGGCTCCTGTCCTCAAGAAAAAGAACTAAAGAGCCTATCTGATCATCAGACGGGGGGGCTGCTACAGGCGATTCCAGCAATTCCCTCCCTCGCGCATGGCCCCGGACTTTGCGGACCACGGCGACTTTTCTCACTCAAAAGAAAAGGAAAAAAAAAAAAGGTGTGTGTGTGTGTGTGTGCGTGCGTGCGGAAAATAGCGGGGAGGGGCATGGGTCACTTGGCGTTGATCAATCAATACGGAGGATAGGGACAACTCGAGGCCCGTGATTGGCAGACAAGGACGATGTTTTGTCGGATTTAAGTTTCAGAGAGCCCGTGTACTCGGTGTCCACGACTTTGGAAGGGGCGCCTTTGAATGCAAATATAGGCATTGGAGGCATGGGACGGCTGACACATCGCGCTACCCGGCGGGCGACTGGAAAGTCCAAAGGCCAAGAGATTCAGACGTTCTCTCGTGCCTTGCGCCAACTTTTCTCATCTCGACGGGAAATAGACAGCAAATGTCTTGAGTTCTAGAACTCCCATATAATTCGCGTTCTCATTAGTGGAAACCACATATGGACGTTGAAAGGACACGAGTACGCACCCTAATTAAGGAGCTCCTGAAAAAGTCTAAATGGACTAGATCATTTCAGTCACAGACCCTGACTGATCTAATAGAGCGTTAAATAGAGCTTCGCAACTACACCTTGGCTTGGCCTAGCCAGTAGGCACTCGTCTAAATACCCATTCGCCATCTAATCGGAAACTCACCTGTCCACTCCCTCGTTTAGGTTTCGATACTACCGCTGAAGGCTGTCCTTCGGACATTTGACAGTGTTAGAGCACCGTCGAACAGATGCCATCGGCTTTGTGGTCAACTGCCTTGTTCTACGGAGCAAAAGAGTCGGAAACGAAACGAGGCTGGTGACGTGATGACAGCCCTGTGAGCCTGTATCCGGATGCTGATGGTAACAACCTATAAGTACTGTAATGCGTCTCATGCGTGGGGAAGGCCACTCTGGATAAACTTCTGAAGCTGTTGAATAGCAAGGTACGGCATTTATTGTACCAAATCTGTCAAAAAGGGCCTGGAAGCATTGCACATGCACTGCGATGACACATGCGGTTGTGATTGAATTTGGCCTGGGGTATACTGAAGCAAGGTATCCACAAGACACAATAAACCGACATAGTACAAAGCGAGTTATAGTTTATCCTATTATCAACCATGAGTAGAAAATAGCAACGAGCGAAATGGAACTCACTACATCATAACGTATATATTTATATCTCAATAACCATCTATGTCCGCTTACTATCTGTTGCCCGTAAAGCTATAAATTCAAGCTCGTCATCCGCTTGGCCCTTTAGAGTGATTGATTTTAGATCATAATGTCATGTCTGCATTCGTTAAAATTGAGTTTAATTTTTCTTTATCCATTGAATCTTTTATCCATTTCAACATTCATCTTTGAATCATCATGACTTGATTTTAGCCGCTTGCCCCCCTTCTAGACGCCTCCTACGGGGAGCTTCTTCTGCATTCCTGTCATCATTCCCGTGCCGTACTCGATTCCACTGCGCAGGACCCGAAGGTCGATATCCCTCAATTTGTTGGGGGAAAGGGGCCACGGGATACGGCGGATGAGGATGGGAAGCAGCTTGATGTCGTGAACGATAGAGTGATAGGAGTGTGTTGACAAAGACGGTTAGGAACGACAAAGACGTTAGCGTAAACGCCTGACACGCATAAAGGGTTAGTCAACTGGCATCCCATACGTCTAGTAATACGGACCAGTGTTTTCCAACTGATTGGTTCTACAAAGCCGTTCACCACCTCGGCGATCAACTCGGCCCCAACTCTGGCTCGTCCGACGACAGTGGGATCGCGGTTCATACATGTCCCCCACGTAGCGCATTGTTTCAGCATGGCAGGGACAGGGTTGGAAGCACATAAATTGTCTTTGTATTGCGAAGCGCACATGGCAATTTCTTGCACGATGTCTAAGGGTACTAAGAGTTAATACAGATTTGATCTGTAAAAAGGAGTACTATACCCATAGAATACTCAGAGATCCGCTGTTCAACATCCCGTTGCACCGTGAGAATGAATTGAAGCACCAGATATAGGAAGACGAGGACCAAAGACAGATTGAAGAAGAATTGAAGGTAGCTGAATGGCTAGGTTTAGTCTTCAAAAGCATACAAGGTGCAAGTATACATACCCCAGTAATATGTACGGCGTATCCGAGTGGGGAAGCGGAACCGAGGGCATGTTAAGCGTATAATGATTTGACGTACTCTGAGTGGAGACAGCAGCGCGACTACCATGTTCCTCGCTGTCACTTTCTTCACTATCTCTTGGGTCATTGTTTGAATGCCGTATTACAGCCAGATGACCTTTGTCACGAGCCTTCTGCCGCGACTTGAATACCCTTCTTAGCGCTCCGGTAGCCACTGCCCTCCCTCCTTCTCCCTCCTTCTCCTCGGCCTTGTCGGGACTTAGCTCGGACATATCAATATCTTTCAGCTCCTCCTGTGCGGGAAAGGCCTTCTGAGGCGAAAAGTCTGACGGTGGTTCCCAGGGATGTGCGGCTGGTGGCTGGGGCGCAGGTGTCTGGAAAATGAAAGGGACGTTTCGATTTTCACCAAAGATAGGGGTGTTCGGAGGTGCTGGAAATGATGGTGTTGATGGATTTAGGTCACCAAAAGGGCCTGACAAACATGAGTCTTTCGAGCTTTCGGATGATAGACCATTACATACGTTTGCGAGGCGTGTTGGGATCAGCGTCAGACGTGGCCCATACGGGCCTTACAGTGCTACTAGGGCGGGATGTGAACTGAAAGTCCATGGGCGCCTCTGTGGACCTTTGATTTTGTAAACGACGATTCATATTGCCGTTGAAGGTACGTTGGGTTGCGAAAACCTTTCGCGAGGCCGGGAATGAAAACCTGGTTGCAGAACGAAGCAGAAGAGCTCACCAGCTTTGCAGGACGACTATGCAATAATGTACGATTCTAAAGCACAAAAGACGCGTAAGCGCAACGAGCCCCGAGTGTTTACGACAAGGCAAATAAGATATGCAATGTGGAACAGCCAGCAGCGACCTTGAGCGGTTCGACTTCAGAAAAACGCGACACGTGTGACACGCGTGACCGCATGCTTTTCGGTGAGACTGGAACCGGCGTTGACCTTGCTCTGTACCAATACCTGCACTATGTTCCGTGCAGTCTTTTCTTCAGCATCAAGGAATGCTGCAAAGCATTGCAGAGTACCATCACGTCAATATCACCCGCTCGCAACCACATGGGGATCTTCACCAACAGCGAATCTGGTACCTATAGTCATCGAACAAACCGTGCGTACAATTACACTCTATAATATATGTCACGAGTATTCATTTTCGTGTTTTGCCTAGGGAAGAGGTGAACGATCATATGATATATTCTCGCGCCTCTTACGCGAACGTGTGATCATGTTGTATGGCCCGGTATGTCTCTGGCCAAAATGGTGGCCTTCCTGCCTTAATGCTTCATTCTGCAGATACGGGACACGGACTCAGCCCTGACTGTGGCTCAGCTTCTCTTCCTCGAAGCAGAGGAGTCATCTAAACCGATCCATTTATATATAAACTCACCTGGTGGGAGTGTCACCGCTGGCCTAGCAATCTACGATACAGTGAGTGAAATCATATTCGCCCGTTTGTTATTTCCGATATAATAACTTCAACAGATGCAGGTTCGGAAATAGTGTCCGAATTACTGCTTCATGAAATTGTCTGATCATTTGAGTCTGTAGTACGTATCATCACCCATACATACTTACTGCGTAGGCCAGGCATGTTCTATGGGATCTCTGCTACTTGCAGCAGGTTTGTCCCTGCACATTCTAGCGCAAGAACAACCCTCATTTTGCTTTCAGGGGCTAAAGGAAAGCGTCATTGCTTGCCAAATGCTAGTATAATGATACACCGTACGTATCGGGGTTAGCGATAATGCCGCAAGATATATAACTCCTACACTCCCCTTTCTCACAGAACCTTCTGGCGGAGCCTCCGGTCAAGCTTCTGACATAGCGATACATGCGAAGGAGATATTGCGCGTTCGACAGCTGCTGACAGGTATATATCAACGGCACTGTGCAAAGGAGGGGGAAACGGAAGCAGCAGGACTGGAGCGTTTCGGTATGAATATATTATTCTCCTATTTCCCAGGGTTAACGTCGTTGTTCTCATACAACCATCTTTCTGAAAATAGAGAGAGCACTGGAACGAGATTATTTCATGACGGGTTCGTCACATTAGTCCGGATTATCATTTCTTGCTAACCGCTTCGGAACAGCACGGGAAGCTTTAGAATTTGGTATTGTAGATGGTATTCTAGAGAGAAGGCCTCCTTCTGAAAGTGAAAGTCCGCCTCCATGAATAACCTATCATCGACAACATATAGGATCACTGGGCCTGAAAGCGTCAATATAGGAGTTATTCTTTTTGCATTGTCCTTCTTTTGAAGTATGTGCCCATTATGAAAATGCTTTGCGTGCCTCACCAAATATGGTGAATCGTACCCGAAGCATTTCTTGTGAGTTTTCATCTTCGCCAACCGTATCAAGGAAAATACCCGAAGCTGCTATTATGTGTCCATTTGGTAGATCGATCCTCCGAACGATCACCCATTGGCTCGACCTAAAAACTTCGTCGTAATCCCAGTCTCAGGATCATATATGATTTTCCTCTTCATTCGATTTCCATGCCGGATTTGACTCAGACCATTACTTCTCGCTGTTTAATAACAGAGCATGCGTCCATTGTCATTGCAAATGGTGACGAAAGGGATTGTCCCTGTCTGAGGTCCGAGGTGACTATATATCGTAAAAGCTGGCAATGCGTGTGTCGCATGCATCTGACCTTGTGGCGCGCACCTTCTTCTTAGAGCTGCCTTTGCGATTGCAAGACGGTCCGCGAATGATCACGTCTTAAATCATTTCTCCGTAGCAAATGACGCTCTTCCCGGCAGGTGGGGTTTGACACGCTATATTGAGCCCGCGAGTGTCATTCGCGGGAACATCTCGGGTTTCTAATCAGACAACGAACTTTGCGGAAAGTAATTACAGTGTGGCTCTCTCACAGAGGTGATTCTTGATTTCAAAACAGAAATTTGACTGATATTTTGGTGTTATCGCATTTAGAATGCTCTCTTGTTAACATATGGTTGAAGTTCAAAACTAGCTTCTGTATTTCCGTCCACGATGGATTCAAAGCTTCGATTCGGACCTTTTACATACCCCTTACTTGGAAGGCCCCGCAACTTACAGAAGGTGGCTGTCTGATGTGAGCGGGTTAGGCCATATGGAAACAGAACGCCCCTTTATACATATCAAGCAAGGTTGATGATCGATAACAAATGGCTGGTATAGATCAGAGCGTAGCCTCGAGGTTTGCAATGTGCGTCAGGTGTGTTCAAAAGCCTGACTCGAGCTGTTCACGATTGGGTCTAGATCGTGGTGTTCATTCCCTTTCCCCTGCCTCAAGTGGGCCTCGAGGGATTCACTCGTGGCAGAGAGATTGCAGCGATAACGTCATGAAATGGAAGCCAACAGTGATATCTGTTTCGCTACTTAGCCCCAGATCTTCCATCACGGAAGGGGAGACTACAGCGGTTACAATGTATTCAACGGCTAACTGAGCATGACATCGTGGTCGACACACAGGACATATGCATGTTATATTATGAGATCTAGATTTCAGGCCAATCGTCAAATCAAAATATCGCATGGCAATCTAGTCACTGTGTTGAATTTCATCTCCGAGCTTGTGGTGCTTGAAGATGGCGGCAGGGAAGAGGAGCGGTGGCGGCGGAGGATTTGATACGAATCTGTGTGATTCTGGCGGTGCTAGTATCGGTGGTTCTTGTGGCGGCATTGGTGAAGTTGACGGGGGGAAACGCTGGCGAATCGCGAGGAGTCATGTTGGTGATTCAGATGAATGAAGGTCCCCATCAGGTTGACATAGGGGCATCCTCATTCAGGATTAGGAGGGCCCGACTTGTCACGGTGAGATTCATCTGCGGTCAATTCTGTTGCATTCTAGTGACCTCAGATAAGGCGGAAACAGAAGCAATGAATATGCATTGGGCTGCGGCCAATAGGCAGAATGTTCGCAAGACCGGGGAATCGTGGGGATGATGAGGCTATCAGGTAGAGTTTCCGCTAAGGCTTTCCCGGAAGTCCGCGCCTGCCTTTGTAGGATCACCGTTATTTTGGAATCAAGCTTTCCTCTGTCGGACCGTCTATGGACTATTCACATTTCAACAGGCTTGCAACTGAAAACCCTATAGCTACTCGCCGAGAGAGGGTTTGGGCTTTACACTGGCACTGCCTTGATACGATATTGAAATGGCGGCCGTGAACTCATATGCGAGTACAGTTTGATCAACAAACTTCCAGTAGCATTTCTTCCCTTTGAGCCTTCTATCGCTCAGGGGACGCAGACCATACGATGTAGCACGCAGCACCGAAATTAATGCGGCTGGGAATATCGTAGAATGTGATGATGATTGTGTTGCTGAGCACTACTGTATCATAGCGAGTTACTGTGCTTTCGTTTAATTTCGCATGTACTGCTTAGACTTGGACACTCAGCCTAGCGAGTTGCACCAAGATCACGCGGTGTGAAGGAACCCAAACTCGATTCAACTCTAGTTCTAGCTAGAACTACCAGGATAAAGAAATGAAGCCCTGGGCTACGAATGATAAAGGGTATGGAAAGGTAAGGAAACTATGACTACATATGCGCAAGTGCGGGGAATGATGCTAGCTCAGCATTATGAAAAATTATCAATACAGAGGCGAAAAATCAAACCGACCAAAGCGGCATGTGAAGAACGTAACTATTAATGCAGATTCATGCGGGAGAGGAAGAAGTGACGACGGCTATTGTTTTCATCCCTTTTGCCTCCAGCTTGCCCTTTACCTGCACCATTCCCGCCCTTGGCACCGCCGCTGCCGCCATTTCCGCCACCATTTCCACCATTACTGGCGCCACTTGTGCTTCCACCACCATTGTTTCCATTACCGCTCTGCGTCCCTCCGTTCCCGGCTCCACCAGTTGCAGTTGACGTAGTACCGGCTGCGCTGGATGCCGCGGAAGTAGCACCTCCTGCACCATTACCACCTTGCCCATTGCCTGCGCCATTGTTGTTGCCGCCAGCGTTCCCATTACCGTTCTGGTTGCCTCCATTGCCGGCCCCACCACCAGTCGTAGTTGAAGAGGCTCCGGCTGCACTGGACGCCACAGATGTAGCGCCTCCTGCACCATTACCGCCTTGTCCGTTACCCGCACCATTGTTGTTGCCGGCAGCGTTCCCGCTACCATTGCTGCCATTACCACCTTGCCCGTTTCCTGCACCGTTGTTGTTGCCGCCGGCATTTCCATTACCGTTGCCGGAATTTCCGGTTCCACCACCAGTCGCAGTCGAAGTGGATCCGGCTGCGCTCGATACTACGGATGAAGAACCTCCTGTAGAACCACTACCACCTGTTGACGTTGATCCACCAGTGGAGCCAGTAGAGCCAGTTCCCGTGTTTCCGGTACCGGTATTGCCAGCGTTACCAACAGTGAACTATCAATATATCGGTCAGACATGGGAACACGATAATGATAGAATAATGAAAAACGTACGTAAACAGCGTCATCAAGTGAACCATGCTGTGCAACAGCGACCAGGACAGGTTGATGATTTGCAGCACTGTTAATGGTCGAAATCTTGTAAGATCCATCAGGTAAACCGCTCGTTACGTCAGCGGTAAGGACGCCATTTACTGCAGCATCATTCAAACCCTTGAAGAATGCGAACTTGGAAGGATCGGTTGGGGTAGTTTGCGTAATCGAATCCAGCTGCTCGATGACGATATGAGAGTGACCTTGTATCTGTCCCTGAGAGTTCAACTGTTGTGGAGCAGAGAAATAATCCTCATCTGCATTGACGAAAAAGCCGGTCTGCATGCCCTGAATAGCGAGCGAAACCGTGAAAGCTTGATTTGCAGGGATGTTGTCCATATTTTTCGGGTTGGTGAATTTTGCAGAAGGCATGTTAGCACTCGAAGGGATGAGACCCATAGGAGCAGGATTACACGATCCACCAGTGATTTGCTGACCATTCGTAAGAGGCGTATTTGGGGAAGTAGCACAAAAGTTAATGAAGTTGTTGGAAGAAGTGAGCGAGGCGACCTGGCCAGCCGCTGGCTCATCTTGACCATTGTCTTCGAAGCCCTTTGCGATCACGGAAGGATCGAGCGCTAAACCGGCTTGCTTAGTATGAATACCATATAACAACATAGAGTTGCATACTCAGCGAAGATTGGAGGTCACCTCCAGAGCCAGAGCTACCACTGGATGAAGTAGAGCTAGTCGCCGAGCCTGAGGCAGTAGACACTGCAGACGATGTCGAGGATGATGCACCACCGCCATTGTTGCCGCCATTTCCACCACTGTTGCCACCATTTCCACCACTGTTGCCGCCATTTCCACCATTGTTGCCGCCATTTCCGTTATTACCGTTATTACCACCATTGCCGTTTTGACCCCTGTTGTTGTTGCCTCGAATGTTGAACCTCCGAACGCCAAGAACACCAGGTTCTGGGACGGCAAGCGCAGCAGCTTGAGAGATGAGAACAGGAAGGATAACAAGAAGCGTCGACGCAGAGAACTTCATCCTTGAAAAAAAGGGAGAAAAAGCTTCACAGAAGTTGAAAGAACGAGTGAGGGAAGGATCCAACTAGTGGAAGGACTAGAATGGAATGCAGTCACTTTAGCTTCATTCAAATGCAGGTGTAGAGGATGACTTACGAAAGAAAGCAGCACCGCTGCAATGAGAGTCAAAATGTGAAAGCGGTTTTGGGGGGTGAAAGACAAACAAGAAGCACCCATCTCTTTTATACGGCTCAAACAAGGTCATCGGAGGCACAAGACCATGAAAACTTGCTGTTTGTTTCCAGGGAAACTTTCGACAAAACGAAATAAGACATTTGGTGGGGGTGAATCTGCTAGTAAAGGAAAATATACGGCATCGAAGTGGACAACTGGCAGAGCGGAACGAGCCAAAGGAACGAAACGGGTGTGGAGAACCGGGGTCAAGGATCGTGAATTACCAAATCGAGGATTTAGACATCGCAACGAGCGCTTAGCAACAAAAAAAAAGTATAGCAACATGCTTACGTAACGGTCCCGATCAGATAAGATATTACAACGGTGGTAACAGAATCTGATAAAGGAAAAAAAAACCCAAAAAAAAACCTGCTGGTATCTGAGCAACGAAAGTCTCAAGTCAGTGAAACTCAACAGGCACACGAGACACATACCGCATCCGAACTTTTTTTCTCTTATTCGCATTTGGTTTTCACCATAAACGACGCAAGCGTATCAATCTCGTTTACGATATGGTCCCGGAAATGCCTCTCTGCCAGGCCTGCCAATACCGCATGAACTTCGTCCACATCTGCCAGAATGGGTGCACGAGACGTGATATCATCCTCCAGCAACCTTGAACTACGACGGCGGCTCTGTTCCTTTGGATCTCGTTTTGGTCTGTTGGCCGGAGTTATGATTGTGAATGGGCTGGGTCCTCGTGATCCATGCCGCGAGGGATCTTGTAAAGAAGACGGAGGTGGTGGATCCTCGGCGGTTAATGGCGATGGATATACCATGGGAATAATGTCAAAATGGGTGAGATACCGGTACAGTGCAGCAGAGGACAAGCTCGTGAAATCGATCTACGAAGAATGGTAAGGACGGTGCGTTGGATACTAATAGAATATAGAATGCTACGCTACCCCCGAGAAGACAAGGAGCGAACAAAAGCAATGAGACGCATGGAATACCCACCAGAGACGACTTCGAATCTGTATCTGCGCCCTTGTCTCCTTTTCTTGCCCCCGCGGATGAACCTCCCGCTGTATTACTCGTGTCAACTCTTTTTCTTTTCACCCGTGGCTCTCCATCTACTCTGTCGGGTGCCTGCCTCTTAGAACTTGCGCTCACGGGAGGGGCAAAGTATGGTGCATCGTCGTGCTGCTTTTTCCTTGCCTGGGGACGCGACCTGGAGCCAGAGGCAGAGGGGCCATTGGGAACGGGAGTGCTGGACATTGTTGTAGATGCTGGTGGTGGAGGCATGAACTTGAAAGGCTATACCGAGATATTCTCACGGCTACCATTTCTCAAAATTGCAAGCTGAAGCACATATCAGACTGAGCGCAGACTGTAAGCCTTATGGATCAAGTTATTTGCACTGTAAAGCCATACAACGAGGCTCTGTATCCCATTTGTGCAAAGTAGCACAGTTTGGCTTGTATATAGCCTTGACGAGACCCGAGTTGCTCGGGGCGCTGGTATGATCTAGCATCGGTGACTCGGAAAATAATAGTTATAAAGAGCCATCAGGCTTTCATTAAGGCTTCATTTTCTCATCCGGCCATTTCTTGTCCTTTTACTCTGTAACTTGCCCTGGTAGGAAAAATCCAGAAATGTCCACATACGGATCCCTTTTTCGTGTCACTACCTACGGCGAAAGTCACTGTGCTTCAGTCGGGGCTATCATAGATGGATGTCCCCCAGTACGTCCTATCAAACTTTCTCATGGACAGATTACTGATATTCGACAATATTCTTCTCGTAGGGACTCGTGTTGTCGCCCCAGGATATCCAAGTGCAACTTAGTCGAAGAAGACCTGGCCAAAGCAATCTGACAACTCCTGTGAGCACTTCTCATTACTATCGCCGCGGTAAGTGCTGATTGTTGCTACGTGATCTTTCTGGCTGGATCTGTCAGAGGGACGAAAAGGACCTTGTGCATGTTCAATCAGGTATTGAGCATGGTGTCACTCTAGGAACACCTATCGGTCTCCTTGTGAAAAACGAGGACCAACGCCCCAAAGATTACACAGAGACAGATCTTTACCCGCGTCCCAGTCACGCCGACTACACGTACTTGGAAAAGTACGGCGTCAAAGCCAGCAGTGGGGGTGGACGTAGTAGTGCGCGGGAAACCATAGGTAACTCTATCAGTTTATATTTAGTATCTCGGATCTTACTGGTCTCTCTAATACCATTCACACTCAGGTCGAGTAGCTGCTGGCGCTATCGCAGAAAAGTACCTCAAGTTGGTTTATGGCATAGAAATCGTTGCATTCGTGTCCTCTGTGGGAAAAATCCATTTACCTGCCGCTGTTGCCCCGCCGTCTCTCATTCCAACAGAGGGGAATGAGGATGATGATGAGGCACAGGACGCCCTTTCCCCGGAGTTTAGACAGTTGCTGGCTACGATCACTAGGGAAGAAGTTGATAAACATCCTACGAGATGCCCCCACCCTGATACTGCAGAACGCATGACGAAGGTGAGCCATGTGCTCCCATGTCGTCTCAAAGTTTGATGACTTAATATTTATTCTTTATTTAGCGTATCATTCGTGCTAAGGATGCGATGGATTCCATTGGTGGAACAGTTACCTGTGTCATTCGCAATGTGCCCTCTGGATTGGGTGAACCTGTTTTCGACAAGTTCGAGGCCAAGTTGGCACACGCCATGTTATCCATCCCTGCCACGAAAGCCTTCGAAGTCGGTTCTGGCTTTAGAGGCACAGAGGTCCCTGGAAGTAAGCACAATGATGCATTCGTCGAAAAGGATGGCAAGCTTGGAACGAAGACCAACTGGAGTGGTGGTATCCAAGGAGGTATCACCAATGGAGAAGACATCTACTTCAGGTGAGACCGTTTCACGACTTTGTTGATTATCATTTCTGTTAATACCGATACTTGGGAACCAGAATTGGCTTCAAATCACCTGCCACAATCTCCCAGTCGCAGGAAACCGCGCAGTACGATGGAACACCCGGTGCATTGGCTGCTAGGGGACGACATGATCCTTGCGTTGTTCCGAGAGCCGTGCCTATCGTCGAAACTATGGCTGCCATTGTCGTGATGGACCAATTATTGATTCAAAACTCACGTCGAACTGCTGCCTCCTTGCTGCCTCCCATCACCACTCTTCCTCCCACCATGGTGATGCCGTCAAAAGCACAGTAAGCAAACATAGAGACGCGCAACTTTGTCTTGGTTATCATGAGGGATGTAGAATATATATATAGATAACTCTATGTTGATATAAGACCCAGGCAATGTAACTGATTGTAACAGATACATAGAATAAACCAACCTGTGTAAAAATACAGCCGTAAAGTCCAACATCTATAATCCGTGCTAATCCTCCGAATCTGAGTAGTCGATGCAATGACAGCAAACGACGGGCTCCAGCTGCCACCACCACCACTGAAAGCATGCACTTCAGCAGAAAACAGCTCCAAGTCTACACATCGACTTACACGGTGGTTGAACAGCCTTCCAGGCCACAAACCAAACGCCTCGTCAATGGCCTCGGCACGTATGGTCGCACTTTCATCCTCAGCAAACGCGTCCTCATCTTCATGGGCACTGCCCTCTGATTCTGTATATCTAGGATGTGACGTAGAGGCCAAGAGTGATGTACCTTCGTCTGAGGGCTGTATTCGATTATGCAAGCGGCTACGCCGCCGTCTTTCTTTGGTGCCCTGACTCGGAGATGGCTCGGGGTCACGATTCTGCCATGCGAAGAAGCTCACTCGTTGACCGAGTGGGCCCCACCCTTTTGAACTGCCACTGTTATACGAGCGCAAGGGTGCTGAGATGGAAGAAGACGGCGAGCCTGAGACGGAGGAGGATGTGGAGGGGAGCGTGTCAGCCTGACGGTGACGACGCATTCCAGACGTGATGCGCACTCGTGAACGAAAGCGGACTTTAGGGATGGGTCGCGCTTTTGACTGAGGCTCAAGTTGCTCGGTGGATTGGTCGCATTTATCGCTGCCGAACGGGTCGCTGCTGCTATCTTTCGGATGCTCAGAGCCTTCACTGGCAGAGCCCCCAGCGCCAAAGACCGGAGCCTCGAGGGCACCGTCACTTTGTCGACGATCGTCTTCCCTTGATTTAGGGGACCGTGGAGGTCGATCCGGGGAACCTTGAGCATAGAATAACATGAGAGGTCAGCAACAAAAAGCGAACACTTGTCAAAGCGACAAACCGTCGGGGATGTGCTTGGGATAGCTCGTGCCAGGGTTGTCATCCTCATACTCGAAATCTCTCACCTCTGTCATGGTATTCCCGACGTTTGTGGTCGTCCCTGGATGCTCTATAGGGGACGATGGATCCTCATTGTCAAGCATGAAACTCCCTCGTATCCTTGCAGTCTGAAACCGCGACTAGACTGGTTTTGGCGTGGACGAGTGTAATGGTTGTATACGTTGGAGGCTAGCCATCAATTGCGATCCAGCCTTTGCAACGGTCATAGCCGTAGCGCTCCAAGGCCATGATCAATGTCACTACTGTAATTATAAGCCGTAATTTATTTAATAATAGCCGAAAATATGACGTTATTCAGGGAACAATGAACAGCTCTGCCGTTATCTGACTCGAGTCACAGAATAGATATAAGTACAGATAAACCTTGCGACTAGTATTGATACAACAAAACTGGAAAACAGAACTCGTTATCAACTACAATTGCAGAATGACAACCCACATTCAACGTCCATAAAAGCCAGGCGCAAGCAAAAAAGAAAAAAATCTGCTAGCCAATGTCTATATTCAATACGAACAGAAAGCTCAGCCCCCTCTCTGCGAATTTGGGCGAGAGTTATGGTGCTGCAAGATTGGTGAAAGTTCCGGTGACGGTGACGGTACTCTAATAGTCAACTGTGGCGGGTTCAATATATTCCTGTCACCTTGGAAAAGGGCATGGTACGACTCAGACGAGGAGGGCCACTCCGCCTTAGCGAAACTCGGTGGACTGACGACTACCTCGTTCGAACTGTAAAAACTCCCGACGGAGGAACTAGAAGGAAATGCAGACAGGTAGATCGGCTCTGGTCTTTTGGTCCTGTCAGCCAGAAAAGCAGGTTTGCGACGGACGACCCGACGTTTGGGTCTAAGAAAAAGCTTTGAGAAAGAGATTTCTGCTACATGACTTCAGGAGAATGCACAAAATTTTTGGTGAATATGTCTGGCTCTGGCACCTTTGTACAACGTCGAAAAACAAAGCGGAAAGCCAGGCGATAATTCTTCTTTGCCTCGGTAGTAAATCCAAAGAGCGTGAAAAAAATGATGGCATAAACCACATAGCACCATCGTTCCCACTCGTAGAGGGCCACGGAATTCCCGAATTGCCACATCTCATTTGTAAATTGTGCGATTTCAGAGTTTGAGGCATGTACAACCTTCCACCCTGGCCATGGCTGGGCCGGTCCCAACAGTATGTCCTCAACCAGATACCAGAGGCTTGTGGGAAATGAGCAAATGAAGACTGCTATGACAACGCCGGTGAGGCGCCAGCACTGATGAGAACCAATGCGCCAGTCACGTTGCATAAATTCATTGAGGCGCATTTTCCTCTGGATTATGGCGCGGAAAATAAGGCCTATGGTCAAATGTCAAGATGTGCAATAAACATAGTTGTTCTACGTGACATCATACCTGCGTATACAGCCGTTATGAGCCCAATCACTACAGGCCATATCCCGTATAAAGGGAAAGCGGGTATTGTGTTGTATAACGAATAGTGGCAGCCCAGTTCTTCAAAGATGATGAAACGTTGATACTGAATTACGTATGCTATCAGAAGCGTCAGCTCTTTGAAAGGGCACTGAGTGAGCACGGCGCACCTAAGACCATAGATAATACAGGTATACCCAACACAATAAACAGATCCATCCAGAAGATGAACCGTTTCTGAGAAATACTAAGTACTGCAGTGTACCAAATTACGATAGGCATCGTGCTGCATACCTTGTTTTTCCGTCGACGGGTACTATTTACTCTTGGTCTTAAGCGTAGTAAAGAGTGTAGGCGGCATGTTATGCACAGTGACGTTGCTGGTATCGCAACTCGACCACCTATCGCAAGTCGACTAGCTATTGGTTGTATTCAGATATTTTCAAGGGAAAGATTCAATTCCACGAACAAATATCACACCACACCGGTGCCCAGTTGACAACATTATCGTTCCACACAACCGAATTCACGAATCCATTGAGACAAAGCAGGCCTGTCCATACAATGAATGCGCATGTACCAATACTCTTTGCTGCTCGTAGTGATCCACACCACCCTTTATCAGCACAAGGACGTTTAATGAGTTAAATGAACAAGCTCACCTCGTAGATGAAATGGTAGTAATATACTCACGAGCGCGAACCCGATGAACGAAAATACAGAGAAAATGTGATTTCGGGTACCCATTTGCGTTGGATGCTTTAATATATCAAGATAGAGGGACCAGCCGACTCGTCTTGTCAAAAAAGGTTGAATAGAGCCAGCTACAGTTGCTGCGTATCCTGCTGAGATACTTATATATCTGGTCAACGGGTTGCTAGGAACTGCTCGGGGTAACTCCATTGCCAAGGTTTGGTGAGAGCCAGGCCCAGATTGGTCATTAAATGGCTATAATCTTACGTGCATGGGACTCACTTTTGCATGGGCGGGCTTGCCAACATGACAAATTCGTGAATGTCGACATATTGTCACTCGTGTAGAGGATATCATCGCAGCAACCTTGCACCATCAAGTCAATAACTGCCGATTAAATTGAGATGTGCCCCGATTCACTTAACAAAACAATGCGAGAGATATGTCATGTCTCGTACTTGTGCGCCGACAATGCGATACTGATTGGAAGTTTTGTCGATAGCGCGGTCTAGTCTGACGATTAGTATACCTCTTTCGCTCATTCAATGATAACGACTTCTCACCAAGGCGAAGACAAGAGCTCGATAACCAAGCCAACCGAAAAGCCACGGGTTGCTACATGGGTGAAGTCCATGTAATAAGGGGATAGGAAGAAGCTATGAGAAAAACGGAGTTCTCAACTAGAATTTTCATCTCATGCCATTGTTGTATCCTGTGAAGACGAGTGATAATATAGTAGTCGTACTGCTCCAGGCGTGCGCTGTGGTGGTAAGGGACACGATATACTACTTCCGGCGGCTATGCACTAGCTATAGCCAGTTGCACGGAGTTTCACAGGGCTGACTATACTTGGACTATACATAACACTTCAATTTGCATACTAGTAACTTCACTCACTGATACGCCGTACCCAAAGCATACCACCACGACGTATAAGTTACTCGATATTCGTACAAATGATAGAGGCACAGTCAACTGGACCATCACGTCGCTCCTGCATTGCTATCCAAAGCCTACGATGCAATTTATCACGTTTACGCCTGCCTTCAGTTTATAAAAACATACCGAACCGCCTTATGTCTAGTCCTCAATGGTCCAGGAGCCCGATTTTCTTCCAATCTGCTGAAGTTGATGGGTAACGCTCAGCGTAAAGTCTCACTCGCACTTCTGCCACCCTGAGAAGCTCAACAGGCAGCCACGCTTTTGATCTTGGCCCAAACCACATTTTCGCATCCACATCCACCACGATTTTAAGCAGTTCTTTGATATCATCCACATCCACCCATTGCTTTAATTGAAAGTCCGACCTTCGCGATATTGCATGGTCCCTCCAAGCCTGCAACTTCAATGGGAGTAATGCAACGAGCGGCATCACGGGAAGGTCTGTGCCGTTTGGATACTTTATCCCTTTACGAGGGATGAAAGGGATGTTAAGATTGGGTCCGGGTATGAGGATATCGACTTTACACTCCCGTTTTGTCTGACCGGCATAGCTTCCTAGTACGCTACTGCATGGGGGGAGTTTGTACCAAAGTACGCGGTAAGTTGCCCGAGGATTAGTCGATTTGACAAGGAAAAAATTGGAGTCTTGCGCTACAAGCATATTTTTGACGATTTCCGATGACAATGAACGTGTCAAGACTACCATGTCTATGTCCTGTAGCCCAAAGCATGCTCTATGAATGGATCGATCAAGTGTAAAGAACTTACGTTAGGTACTCTAGAAGCACCGAACAACGAGCAAGCGGTGCCTCCTGTGAGGCAGCATTCCAGCCCGCAATCGCTTAGTGCTTTGACAGTAGCGTGAGCCACATCCAGAATCTCCTGAAGTGTAAGTGAGCCCCCCGGTCGATAACTAAACATTACAGTTCTAATCTGATGTAGATGTAGGGCGATTGTTATCGATAAAGAATAGATAAAGGTATGGCGTTCTTGGGTCATCACCTTTTTAAGGATACCTGAATTTATTTCTTGTTCTCAGGAAGAAGATTGGCTTTACCGTTACAGTATCGTCATGGACGTTTTCAATGTGTTTCTGAATGTCTCTTAACGATAAAAGACTCTTTCGTAAGGTAAACATGGTTGCAGCCTCTTGCTGCACTAGACCCATTGAAATACCACACGGGGCTATTCTAGTGCTGATCTTAATGAATATCCTGCATCAAGTTCGCGGGGATGGATCTTTTGGAGTCTGATTTTAACATGCAATATGTTGGTAAGGCTAAACCTTCCAGGCTTATACGATACTACAAGTACGTTTCCTTAAACGGATCAGGAGAAGTTGGTAAATACTCATCTAGAGTATTTCCGGAGTACAGAAGAGCCAACAAAAACAAACAGAAAGACCAATTATTGTCCAGTTTGTTCGACGTCTAGCCGAGGTGAGTGCTAGTATAGTGAACAAAAATTGATCATTATCAGCCTTGCGTTAATATATATATTGATATGCACCTCTTAGTTAGATGTTTCCGGTCAAACAAATACCATCAAACGAGCCCTATGGCTTTCCAGTCAAAGCCGGCATAAGGGAGCTCCCGAACGAACCGTTGCACTCGTTGCTTTGCTTCCTGAACAAACCAAAGAGCTAGCCATGTCTCCTTTTCGCGATTTATCCATACCCCTTCGTTCACTGCGATCTGCACGAGTTCCTCCAAGTCTGCGATATCGTTCCATCGTTTCTTACGCTGGTACCATTCGTCACAATCGCAGTGGTCAGTCCAACCCCGCAGCTTCAACGGCACCAACGCAGCTAGTGGCGCCAGCGGGATGCCGTCATTGTACGGTGCCTCCCAATACGGGATGAAAGGAATAGTAATATTTCCATTTATACCTCGGACGAGGATATCAACCTTGCACTTCCGCTTGGGCTTTCCTGGATGGAGCCTGTACCAAAGTACGCGGTACGTTTCCCCCTCCTTGCGAGAGTCCACCAGGTAGAAATTGGAGTCCTGTTCCACAATCTTTTTTTTGACTTCTTCTGCCGAGAAATCCTTTGTCAGGACAATCATATCGACATCCTATAGTCAAGGTTGTGTTGAACAAAGTCATTACAACGATGATACAAACCAGAAAATATGAGGGAAGGACACCAGGATATGTGCAGGTTAGTACATCTCGAATCCGAATGACGTATATGAAGTTGATATGGACGCACTTGTGGTACTCTAGAGGTGCCATATGCTGCACAGGCAGCACTACCAAAAAGACAACATTTAAGTCCACATTTTTTTAATACTTCAACCGTGTGTTTAGCCACGTCGAATACTTCCTGCCGCGTAGGCGGACTGCCTCGGTAGGGTCGAGGCATTATTTGTGTGTTGGGGTTGATGTTTTTACTGGGGAAAAAGAGGTTGGAAGTGAGTCTGCTGTCGCAAACGAAGATTATAAACAGCAAGTTGGGGGCACCACGTTCTCTTTCTCAGAGAGCCTCGTGTTTGGCTTACAAAGAACTAGCTCAGTCATTGTAATCTACAGATATATGAAACCCCTATTGCAGTATGGAGAGGAAAGGGTCCAGCCCCAAACGTTTTGAGTCAGCCTCGAGGAGCTCGAAAGGTACTTATGTTCCTGCTGTGTCTGAGAACTCGATATGGTTGGCTACTAAATAAAAAACACGATTTACTGTACAGGACCTATTTGTGACTATTGTTACAATTTGCCCCTTTCCATGAGAAATCAGGCTTCAATTCTGATCATTCCCACACATTGTTCTGCCACGGACTTACTTCTCCGCACGCAAAGCATTGAACCGTTTCAAAAACACAGACTTGACATATTCCTGGACAATGAACACCAATCAGACTGAATCAAGAACAAGTTAATAATAAGAACGGACCTCATCAAAAGTAGCCTTGAAGCTATCCCTCTGGAACAACGATTCGACGTAGTTGAAGAATCTGGCGTATTTGGGAGTTTTAAGCTCTTTAATGAGCTTGGCACCCTCTCCCGGTGCAAATACACCAATCTCGTTTTCCACCGAAAGGCGCAATCGCGCCGCGAAAGGTGCAATGGCAGCATCTGCAATGGTGTATTGACCAGCAACCGCGAACTTCGGGCTCTCTTCATTAGGTAAAAGGCTTTGAATAGCCTCAAAGGCCTTGAGAACGGTCTCGTATGACTCTCCGCGGACAACGAAGCCAACGTAAGCTGGTGCGAATTTGGTAGACACCGCATCGATAAAGAAGCGTGTCTGGGCGCGGGCGACGGGGTCTGTCGGGAGGAGATGCGCAGAAGGATAGAGATCAGCTATGAATTCGAGAAGGACCAGAGACTCGGCGATTTTGATTGAGTCAGGAGAAGGGGTGTCTGGTGATACATTAGGACCTCCGTATGCAATTGCAGGAACCTGGTCGTGGATCAAAGTGAGAAATACGAACGGGGGTTGATTAGTGCTGTATCTAAATACTTACTTTGCTCGCGGGATTCACTTGAGGTGCATACCATTCCGGTTTGTTTTGAAGATCAATCTGGTACGACTTGAAATCGGCTTTCGCTTCTGCGAGAGCCAGCTCAACCTGACAGATGTGAAATACAGTTAATGAAGTAATGTAAGAGTGTTATCGATAGCAACCTACTCTCTGAGCATATGGGCAGACCTTAGGAATAGAGCATTAGCTAATGTTCTGATGTTCCAAATCCACATTAATTGATAGATTGACCAAATACTCACCTTTGCGGTATAAAGTGTGATTTGTTCAGGCATAATGATGTATAGCAGTGAAAGTAGAAACAGCTATGTCGTGAGTGTCTTCAAATTTGTTCCGTGATCAAGCCCACTTATATCTGGCAGAAGAGGATGTGTAATCACGTCTGCGTCGCAGATATCACACGATATGGCGTAAGATGGTTCTTTGCTGACCCCCTTAGTCAGACCAAATTCCGATGACAGTCGATATCAGAGAACAACCCCCAGCTTATCAATAACAGTAAGATGATAGAAGGTCCCTAGGCGACTATCACCCATCCATATGGTGCGCCTAGACACCTAGTACATTTCTCCCACTGTCAAAACCCAATGTCCAGGCTTATAGGCAAAGAAAGGAAAGAAACACAACAGCACATTGCGAGTTATACGATGGAAGATGACATCCCTGGTTCAAATCTTGTAACACGAGTGTTACATACTGATAGGTTCCATTAAATCCCCAACACGGCCGTATACGACATCAACAGGATCTCGTAACACCGTCAATTGTCAGAGATACTGATCACGCACAAGAATCAAAAGAGGCCCCCACAGCCAACCCTTACTGAATGATCCGATCCAGAGCCTGTTTGACAGTGGCCGCGTTATATTGTGGGGGGCTACCCGAATCGCTGCCGTCAGTCCGGTCATTTACTAAAATGCACTTGACGCCCAACGCCTAAGGTGAATTAATAAACAGGTCAGAGGTAGTTGCCAAGCTGATAGACTCACCGTGATGGCTTGCTCATCAACGACTACTCGGGTCCCTTTGAGATAGACGAGATGGGTAATGAATGCGGATATGGGGTAGATGGTGTATGCGTTTCCAAGACCATATCGTTTTACGTGATAATGCGAGTTCAATGTGGAAGCGATTGCGCTATTGGTGGGATTAGAACAACGTTCATGGAACGCTCTCGAAAGACCTACCGGACGTAATCGACAGCGGTATATCCGTCTGTCTCTCTATCGTTATTGGAGTTTACTGCATCTGTATCAATATAATACTTTCGTGAGGACCAAACAGCACTTACGCAACAAAACTTTAGCACGTAAATTTGACCGAGCAATCGCTGAAGCTACATCACGTAGTGCTAAACAAGGTATAATACTTACCACCGGGATATTAGCGTAGATTCCAATCTATACGTAGCATTACGGACCTTGTCCACAATGACCCACATGAATAGACCAGAACATCGGATGAATATATATTTTTAATATATTCTGGGTTTGGCGATGGATGTACTTCATGTCCGTATGCATTGATGTAATATAGCCCTGTGAGCCAATGAACAATGGTGTTATCACGACAAGTAAAGGTCGATATGGGCGCTGATACTGACTGCTTATGCGTGATGATAGTGCCTCATAAGTACGGCTTTTATCCTGTGGATTGAAAGCGGCGTTCTGTGGTCGAGATATGATCTCACCCATCCCATCGATCGAAGAATACCGCTCAGGCTCGAATGCAGTGTTATCAAGCGCTGAACTTGAAACTACCGGGTGTGATATTTCACACTGGCCTACAAGTTTGGAGCCATCCTCCTTCATCATAAAGAGCAAAATCAATAACATTTTCATGTGGGTATGCGATTGATTGACTGACCAGCTCAGCGGCAATGGTAACTGTGTGATTGGTAACTACGACGGGAAGTATGTTGGCCTTGAGCAATATCAGCCTCTGCACAGGGAAAAGCTCGTGCCATTCACCTGACTGTTCGTGATCGATGAAAAGAGAAAAATGGCTGAAGGGAGGGACCGGAAGAATCCTTGAGCACCTGCGAGGAAATAATTTCCTATACTACAAAACGTTTGATCTGTTTTGCGAAAATGGCATTGCTAAAGACAGCAACGAACCTCCCATTAAGAAATGAAAAGTTTTTGTGAGCACGCTTGAGGACTTCATTCTCAAAATAGACAAGGAAGCCTAGTGACAAAAATAAGAGTGTTTCTTTCTAATAAGTATAGATGAAATTACCTCGAATAGTTTCCTTCCGGTCATTTGGTATTCCATGCCAGAGGGAACTGCGCCCCTCTACTATATCTCTCCATTCTGCCCGAGCCTCGCGCTCAGGGATATCATTAGGAAGCCGATATGAAAGTAAAGCACGAATGGCGTCCAAAGTGGTCGAAGGTGGCGATGAGGGGATAAGTCTGACCAGCCTTGACCGGACATCACCTGCCACCCACGTCTTCAGATTCGATTAGAACTGAACTAAGGTGATGGTGCACCTATGGAAGGTCCCCCTAGTACTCTAATGATCTCGCTCGAAGAGCCACCATCGTCTGACACAGGAAGAACATAGCACGCCTGTCCAAACGAATTGCATATCGAATTACCGCCGGTACCGCCAGAAATGACCAAGAAAGAAGGGCTTTTCTGATTCACGCCGTTGTCCAGGACGATTGTATGCGTCTCGAATGGTGCATTGGAGTGTGTTGCCTCTACACCTGATTGGAATTGGTCTCTGGTGGGGTTGCTGGACGCCTGGACAGGAAGGTCAAAGACAGCAGAGGCGGGACTTCCGAACCCTGAACGTTGGATGTTAGGTGACAAAAAGTTGAATTCAGAATCAGCGTATGGTTGTGTGTCTCGAGCCATGGTAATCATAAACTTCGACCACAAGGACTATAAATACTGTAGGCTGCGTTCAAGACTCTTTCAAGTTCAAATTGCTAAACACCGAATGCGGCAGCATTGCTGCAATTACACAGAAGCTCACGTGGTCCCCGAAAATAGCCAGTCGCGTAACCTCCCAGGGTCTGAACGAGAATTACCATATCAATTCACGTTGTGATCCAACCAGCTAACCAGCAACAGAGTGCTGCCCAGTGTAATCGATATCAATGTCAGATTTCCCAGCTTTGACTGGTTTCTACCAGCTTCTGTTTCTATATTTCGAGCCTAGTATGTGCTGTTTAGCCACCTGCTTGCTTTTTCTGACCAGAAACATATGACTACCGCAGTATCAACAGCGTTTCCAGCGCTCCTTACGTGGACAAACGCTTCATGGTTCCACCATGAACTCATACCCTCTTCCACCCCTGCATCGACTCTGGAAGCTAGGACCACAATGGCCATCTGGCAATTGGGAAACTGTAAGCCAAATTCCATCATCGCACGAGACACGCATTAACGTGGATGGGCGCGCAGGTTATCTGTTGCTGGGATTAATATCATCTCTTGTGTTTAGAGCTGTTAGAGACGCTTTGCCTTCTAATCCAGTCGCGCAAGAGCGAATCGTTGGAGCGAGTCTTACCGCTTTAGCTATCGCAGATGTAAGCAAATCCTAAAATAATAATAATTTTGTTAATGCTTATAGATCGAAATCTACAGGTCACCCAGTATGTCTAGCCATGTTTGCTAACCACGCAGCAATGCTTATGGAGATTGATCCCAACAGCATCATCGCCTCTCTGATCGGCCTTCCGGATGACCTGAGGTGGTCACCAGCGGACTGGAACCCAATGACACATGGTAATATCACATTCGTGATCTTCTTACTCTCCGTCCGGTCGGTTTCATTCAGTTTGTGACTATTTTTGTTAAATCCTCATGATGTGTTGGGTTTCAGACTAGCCTGGTTCGCCGGTATTGGTCGAACAACATATTATTATGGGAAGAAAGCCCTTGTAGCCAAGAAGAGTTCCTGATGACAGAGAACAGCGCCATACGCCGTAACGTCTCGTTGCTCGCTCACAAAAATCATAAAATATATGTACATGCTTATCAACACAGATTCTGGAAGTATTTGTCTTTTCTACAAGAGCGTAAACTCGTTCGACGGAAATTTGGTATGATGCGGACAATGTCATGATATCCAACCAGAATATTAGTATTCTAGGAAAAGCAATGCTAGTGCACCGCTGAATATATACAGATGGCAAGGAGTGACCGCCCCTATCGCCACTAATATCCATTATCATCAGCGCCCCAACCTGCCCTATCTCGAATTCCTGAGCTACCCAGTTTAGTCTTGCCCCTCGACTTCCGACCGCCTAGCTCCTTGTACATCTCTCTCATCTCAACCTTATTTGGCTTGCTCTGTCCTTCTGCCTCCAACCGCCACTTTTCCTCATTGAGTTCTTTGGGTGTGTGGTAACCCGAAACAGAGGAAGATGAAGGCTTCGAACTAGGGGAGTATAGAGGCCCTGATGGTGGTGTCCGATTGGAATTTGATTGAAGATAGATAAGCCGCTGTTGGGGGCGTTAATATGAGTCATCCAAAGCGACTATTGAGAACATACCCAGTTCTGTTTAGATTCTCTCTTTGACCACTTCCCTGGAGGTAGACTTTCATCGTGGAAGTTCTCTCGACGATAATGCTGGAACCAGACTGAAAGGGTGGTATAAAGATAAGCAACTTTATCTGGTGGACTATCGGTTGATACACACCATAGTTTATAGTCTGACTCCGATTCCACTTCTTGGAAACCCTGGCACAGGTAGCTAGATCGACGATGTTCAGATGACGAAAAATTCTCTGGGAGACTTCGGTGGTGAATGTTCTAAGCGGATCACTCGATGACTTTTTCGTCAGATGGAGAGGCCGTGGAACAGGCCGTGCATACGCCCCTCGAGTTGGAGACGACGCCCGCGATGTAGGTCGAGATGATGGTCTGGATGGCGCCCGAGAGCGCGCAGGTGTTCCTGGCGTCGAAGTCTTGAAGGTATGTAAGCACAGAATACACAAGAGATGAGAATTACTCACGACATTGATAAGCTCGTCATCAGAATCATCGTTCGCCGGGGCTTGCTGGTTAATTCTGATATTGGAGAAATTCCGCTCAAGAGAATCAACTTTTTGGGATCTAAGGACGCCTTGCAGCAAGCTCATGATGGTAAAGCAGAAGAGAGGAGTGGATAGCAAAAAAAATCGGACTGCGAGTCATATACCGATCCACCCATGATCTGGCTGACAAAGAATGACATCATTCCCACCTTGGTCTACTACCGCCGGCAACTGAGACATTTTCAAACGTGCTCTCGATCAAACGTGGTATCATTGCATTCGAGACTTGCGCTTATACACTCGTGAACAACGACCAGACTCCCTTCCCATAACCCACTATCTCGTCTGCACCAAGCTTGCTTTCTCCAAATATACGGTCCACAAAGGTAATCGGCACCTCCCCAACCGTGTATCCCAGCGCGCGTGCACGTACCATCATTTCCATCTGGAATACGTACCCCCGCGACTGAGTCAAGGTGATAATATGGCGAAGGACGGGTAGTCGGTACAACCTGAAAATATATGCACATATTCAGTAAAGGCATAAAAGATTACACATCACAAACGCACCTAAAGCTCCCTGTCAAGTCGCTGACCCCAGGATTCAAGACGGTGGCTGCCAGGAAGTTCGCACCTCGCGATACCAGCTTTCGTTTCAGGTCCCATCCATGTACACCACCAGGTCGAGCCTCAGACAAGAAGGGCGTTGATGTTGAGCGATAACGAGTGCCAGTCACTATATCCAGATTATGTGACTGCTGTAGTCTTCAGAGTAATACGTGAGCTAGACAGTTATACTGGCATTAGTATCACACGAACCGGATGAATTGAGGTATAAATTTAGGCTGAGGTATTTTGATATTATGTTAGTATCCAATGGTGATGGCACACATCCCGTTTACTCACATGATGAGAAAAGTCTGCATCCATGATAATTACAAAGTCTCCACTGCAGAAGTTGAGACCATGGATATATGCTGTCCTATCCACATGGCACGTGAGTTTAGAATATTCATAGTGGCCTATACGCGTACTGACCCCAGGCCAAGTTTCCCTGAGCGAGGTTTCAATATCTACACCTCGGGTTAGCTACGTGTCATCGCAATAGACGAGAGCGAGAGACATACAATTTTATCTTCTCCATAGGTTTTGGCAAGCTGCATTGCGACCTCTTGCGTACCATCCGGGCTAGCATCATCGACAACAATGATCTCCCATGCAAGTTGACTAAACCCTTTCGGCAGCATAGCTCAGGCCAACTGGAACGAACACCGAATCTTGACAAACACGCACTTTTCGCTGAATGTTTTGGCCAGCAACCATATTATAATTGGTAAATTTTTGCGTTCATTGTAAGTTGGGAGAATAACGGAGTACTTGTGGGTGTTTGAGGAGGTGAACTGGCCCTGCATGTTCATCGAAATGGTACTCTCGAAAGGGTTCATGGGAGAGTTATACCGAGGTGTGACCGCGTCACAGACAGTCACGCATGCATGTCTTCATCTCCTCCACCAACGGAACCGCCGTCCGTATCTGAACTGCGCAAGCTTTTGAAAGAAACGCTGCGAATAAGATCCCAGGATGGACGTATATTTGTCGGGACTTTCATGGGAACAGATCAGCTATTAAACATCCTCCTCCTCAACACAGAGGAATATCGCATTGGCACGGAAGAGTACCCCAACGGCAGATTTGTGGGACAAGTCATGATCCCGTGGAAGCTGGTGATCAGCGCAGAAAAGGCAGGGAATGGAGAGAAAACAGGGAATCACCATAATGAAGCCAGCCTTTATATGTGATTGTCAAGGTAGCATGGTCAATCCTGGCTCTGCTTTCGCCAGCTGCAATTTAGCTCATGTTTTACTTCTTGTGTATATCCTAGATGGCTCCACATATTATCCATTACGCGAATTGAGAAATGAGGGGTTATATCTATCCCACAGGCCTCTAGCACTCTAGTGCTAAGCCTATTTAATTGTCCAAGATAAAGCGGGGAAATAGCGAACGTGGTATCACGGGGTGTAGTAGGGTAGTTAAAAGCATATGAATCAATTCTTGTACTTGTCCTTGTAAATCCATGCCAATCCAACATCACTGGCTCCTTGCGCAACCTATGATTTGAAATCAGCGTTGAAAACGTATAATCGCACATAATCACTCACAGCTGCACGGTACCACATTGCTGCCTCCTTCTTATCCTTCTTGCAGCCTTTTCCATTTGCTAGGCAGAACGCAAGATCTTGTTGAGCATCAGCATCCCCAAGGTTTGCTGCCACCTTGTAATAGCTCTGCCATTCAGAAATAGCCACCTAAATTAGATGTGAGAGAGGCAACCATCGAAGAACACTTACCACAGCCATCTTCTTGTCTTTATCCACCCCCCACCCCTGAAAGAAACATTGGCCAACCTCGTAGATGGCGATGACAAGCTCTGTCTAGGTTAATTATGAGAATGTGAGCAGAACACTACAACCTTGCAGACGATCCTCACCTTGACTGCATCTGCACCAAGTCCACCCTTCGCTCTTTCTAGATCCTCAACTGCGCTCTCAGCAGCCTTTGTCAACCACTTGAATCCATGCTTCTCGTTCTTCTCGCATCCCCAGCCATGTCTCAGTGTCAGACCCCACATTAACATGCCAACACCACAACCACCTTGTTCTTTGGCGCTTTTTTCAAAACACACGGCAGAGTCCTGCAATCGATTTGATTCATGGTGTTGAATGCCTAGTTGCAAATAATCCTGCGGAGTCCTCGGTTCAGCAGACGAGGAAGCGGGCGATGGGGAGCGCTTGCTCTCGGTAGGCGTAGGGGATAAATTAGGAGGAAACTGTGTGGTGCTGCCATTTGGAGAAGGTGTAGCGCTGCCCATCTCATAATAGGAATAGGAGGAATATAAACTTGCAGGTGTATGAGGCCTAGACGGGGGCTGCCTTGGGAGCACAACTTGGCTCGGCGAAGTGAGAGCTGTAAGGGAAGAAGGAGATGTGGGTGGAGGATATGAGATGTAAGGAGACAAGTGATTATTGGGAGACAAGAATGACCCTGTACTACTTGAAGGGGACGGAGCGAATGACTGATATTGATGAGGTGAAGGAGTATGATTGGAATAACGTCCCTGGGGAGTTTGAATGTCAGACGACGGCGACATATCGTATGGAGAGGCCAAGGGTGAGTGATGTCTAGGGGTATTACGCTCGAGAACTTGACGTTTTTGACTGTCAGATGGGGCTATAGGAGGGCGACCTGGTCTTGAATAGTTTACCCTGACGGGGGCGACAATTGGTGATCTCCCTTGGCGCTGCGCATTGGATTCTGTATTTACATCGTGATGAGATGAAACGACGACCGTGGGTACGGGTGAAGGTGGTGGGTTTGATTGGGAGTATGGACTATCCTTGGCTCTGCTGAATCCAGAAAAGCTAGATGATGCACCGTACTGGGTGAAATTGCTTGTTCCTTGAGCTGTATCATACGGATCCGCCTCAAAGTAAGGCTGCGCGACCCTTGATGAACTGTCGTTCATATCAGAATACATGCTCGCATCATCGTAATATGGATCTTCATTGTCCTGCGACGTGTCCAAAGATGTCATGAAGGACTTTCTATTCAAATACGAGCTGACATCGTTGTTGGTGGATGCGCTGACTCCTGAGCCTCTAAATCGAGAATGCAGAAGGGGAGACGGGGGCGCTTGTGCCTCTGCCTGAAATGGTGCTCTGGGCGGAGAAGGGAGGTTTGGAGAAGGTGAGTAACGAGTGGCATAGGCTGTTGAGGACGATGGTTCCTGCGATGCTGCTTGGTTTCGTACTCTACGGGAGGATGTGCGTCGAACAAGGGTATCCAAAGGAGATGAATGCAGCAGCTTGACCTGAGGGCGATGTTCATATGTTGGCGTCTCCATTTGTCGCTGGCCTCAGGTTTGACACGAACATATAAGCTCAGGAGAACAAGAGCAGTGAGACTAGGAAAGATTATGCCAGTGGAATGTAGTTTGCAGCTGGTATGGCCGCAATAAATAATGTTGTGCTGTAACTGAAGCGGTAGATCAAACCCGACTATATATTATAATTATGTTATTTTTGCATCTCGATACTTCCATGGATACAGTATGCTAGCGGCCAATCTTACAAATAACAAGTGCAATCTAGTATACAAGAAATGTACATCTATGTATATGTACCTGTGTACATCGTGGAAACCCAACAATTAAATTATATCCCGACTCTTCGTCTGGGTGTCTGATTAACTCGAACACTTCCAGGTCTTGGAGTACCCGGAACGATGATTCGAGAACTGGTTCCGCTGGACGTCTTGACAGAGATTGCATCCTCTGCTTCCTTCTTCGCATTTCTACATCGTTCTCGTTAAAAGCCTGTACTGTCAACAATATGTATCATTACGTACGCTTCTCTTTGGAGGGCAATCGCAGTTTCAAGTTCTGCGCGTTTAGAGAATTCGCGATCCGCCTGCTTTCTCATCCCTCGGTCATCAAAGTTCTTCTCTTTTACGGAGTAGAACACGGATCCCAGTTCCGCTGTCATGATTGTTAGCCTAACAGGGGATGTAATAAGATGAACCGCACAAACCTAGCCAGTATGCGTCGATAGAAGTCACTTGTGTCATGTATTCTTTTGACGTTAATATCAGTTCATGATAGACAACATACGTTGGTGTGTCTGAACGGAAGATTTAGCCCGGCACGAGAATCTAAAGATGCATACTCACATCCTAATCCATAAAGCGCACTAGTAGGATGAAGATGCGTGGGTAGACCAGATCGAATGTTGACAAATTCTCCTATACCTTTGACGCGTGCGGCTTGATGGAAGTAACCAGCAGTAATGGCTTTCCTGTCCGATTATTGATAAAAGTCATTAATTATGACTACGATCACATTACCTAAGAATATCGAAATCGGTCCCAGCAGAGATAATCTCCATCTTCTGGAAATTCATGATATCTTCCAACTGAACACGCACTTCTCGGGCCTTCCGCAATAGCTTGGGGTGCAAAAAATGGCGCATCGCCCAATCATCGCGGAAACTGGGACATTCAGTCAGTGTGACTGATATGGCTAATCTATCATTGACAGGAAGAAAACATACCCATGACTCTTCCATTGGTTGAAAACATTAAGTAACGTCAAATGGTCGCTTTCGGGGACGTTAAACTTTTCTCGAGCCGCGTCCGCCTCTTCCATTCTTTCTTTTGGTCTGTAGAACACACTGGGGACTGACAACATTGAAACAATCGTCAACATTTCTGCAGAGCATTTATACTCCACAGACGCGATGAGCATCTTGCCCATTGAAGGCTCCATAGGAAACTCGGACATCTTCCGACCAACCGAGGTCAGGTCGCCAACATTATCAAGGGCACCTAGCACCCATAGTTGATACATCGAATTCAGTATGTTTGCCTGGGTGTACAACATCAAAGGGGTGGCGAATAATCACATTTTATGACATACCTGAGGTGGGGGATCCATAAAATCGAACTCAAGCAAGTTTTTCACTCCTAGAGATTTCAATAGGAGCACCGTGTTCGCCAAATTGGTCCTCTGGATCTCAGGTATGGTGCTTGAGAACATCTCGTTACGGAAGGCCATTTCAGTATACAGCCGGTAGCAAAAACTGCAGAACGTAGTTAGTCACTATTGGCCAGACCATGGTGTTGGGATGCCTACCCCGAACCTGTGCGCCCAGCTCTTCCTGTTCGCTGATTTGCATTCGCTTGGCTGATTGGAGTAATCTGTAAAGCGTCCATTCCGACTTTGGGGTTGTAAACTTTGAGTTTGGAATAACCGGCATCAACGACGTATAGTATACCATCAACTAAACAAAAAAACATGAGGTGATTAAAAACAAAACAGCTGCGGAAAGAGGGTACCGGTAAGAGATGTTTCGGCAATATTTGTCGCAACGATAACTTTACGACGTCCATCACTGGTGGATTCAAAGATCTTTGCTTGTAGATCAGCAGGCATCTGGGAGTAAATGGGGAGAACAGCGAGTGGTGCTGGCTCATCCAGTTGGGACAAACGTTCTAAAAAGAGTAAGCGTCGGTACAACTCAACAAAAGCACGCACAAGTAGACTAACCTTGAACGACCTGGCATGTGATTTCGATATCTTCTTGACCAGTCATAAATACCAGTATGTCACCGGGAGGAAGGGATAGATGAATTTGGAGAACCTGTTTTACGGCGCCATCTACATAATCATCGCATGGAGACTTCGAGTGGTAAATCTCAACCGGGAATGTACGGCCTGGAATTGTGAATGTGGGAGCATTACCATAGAAGGAGGAAAACTAACAGGGAGTTTAGCTATAAATAATTAACAAGCCAATTTAATTCACCTTTTCAGCATTCATGGTAGCGGAAGTGACTATAAGTTTGAGGTCTCTCCTTCTAGAAAGAACTAAGATCCTGTGTAAGCTTCGTTCATGGGCGATAGAGACAAACGCACTTTTGCGAAGCAAACCCATGAGAACATCGGTACTTAGCGACCGCTCATGAGCCTCGTCCAAGATGATTACACTATATCGGTCTAGATCTCCCTCGTTTAACGACTCGCGAAGCAATACACCATCCGTCATATCTGATAGACGTATATAGTAAGCTTTAAGACCCCACGTCGGAAAGGCAAGGAACGTACATTTTATTTTCGTGTCAGACGAAGTACAATCCTCGAAACGAATAGCATAACCGACAGTAGAACCTAATTTGCACTACACAAAATTCATGAGTCTTGGATATAAAGCGTGGTGGACCATACTGACCTCCATCTCTTCCGCAACTCGTTTAGCAACAGACATAGCAGCTACCCGACGAGGTTGTGTGCACCCAACGAGACCATGTGCGCAATAGCCATCTTCGTGTAGAAATTGCGCAAGCTGCGTGGTCTTTCCGGAACCAGTTTCACCGACTACTACGACCACTACATATTACCGAAGGTCAGCACACCTTTTTTTCCCATGGGTAAAAGAGACCAGCAAAATTAATTACCTTGATTATCTCTGATTGTCCTCAAAAGATCTTCACGGCAGGCAAAGGCAGGCAGGTACTCCCTTTGCTCTTTTAGAGTCCTATTTTTGGAGAAAGAGCTAACCCCTGCAGATGTCTTCAAATGACTAGCGAATTTAGAGTCTCCTTTATAATCTTCTTTTACCCCATCCTTAGCCTTGGCTTCCTCTTCCGCTGTAAAGGACCACTACGTGAATGTCCAACTCCGGGAGTATGGGGAGGGGGAGAATAGAAGTGTGAACTTACCTTGAGCATCAGCTTCCTCATCTTTCACTCCCATGATATTTCCCAAAGCAGTGCCTCCTAGAGAAGCAAGCTTGGCAGCAGCCTTAGCTCGTTCAGCTTGCTCTCTCTTCTCTTTGACAAGGGGACTTCCCTTCTTCGAGAAAATTGCCATGTCACTAGTGGGATCCCTTATAGGATTTATGGGGTCAAGTTGCTTAGTAAATACGGTTCTCCCGTCTAAGAAAGGAGGTTTGAGGTCATGGACCATAACATGAACGGTTGATTCCGACTCGTCCTCAAAGTCAAGATCGACAGCTTTGCGAGTAGCCACACCAGACGTGAGCATTCGATTGGCTTCCCAGAGATCATTATCTGCGTTCTATGAATGATGAAAGTTAATTAATATTGAACACTGAAAATATGATGAAACCAACATACATATTGGGCTTGTCTGGCAGATATCTTCTTCTGTATATTCCATTAAAAATCAGCGACATCAGTGATATTTAAAAAATTATGCAGCGCATGCTCGCACCACTTGTTTTGAAGCTATTTCGGCTTGTTTCAGGGCGTTCAGGTCTTCATATTGAGATAGCGGGTTGTGATCTTCGTCACCAGCTACACCGCCCTCTTCTGCACCTGTGTACCAATCGCGATCCAATTTGACCTGCTCTTCTTCCCATTCTCGAGCATTAACTCCGAGCAAACCGTCGACATCTGGACTTACGCCTCTAGGGGCTCGAGGAGTAGGAGCATCCCATGCCCGGTTTCTGGCTCCACCCCACCCTACACCGTCTTCTGAGCGACCATGCCGAGGGGTCGAGTCCCATCCAACATTAGGAACACGAACACTGGGCGCCTCCGAGCGTGGTGTCAGGTCCCAATTTCGACCATATTGCTTATCCCGCTCCCCATCAAAGTCACGCTTACCGCTCCATCCTCGGTCACGATCACGGTTCAAGCGACGTTGGAAATCACCAAGTCCTCGTGTTGCGTCAGCCCTATTTTGACTCGGGGCAGCAATTCCTTCTATAGACGTAGATGTAGACATTTGAAGGTTAACATACTACTTTTTTACTTCAAAGTAGTCAAGACGTACCTCGCTGCTTCTCGCGGTTCTTCCTGTAATCTTCGAGTTTTTTACGTGCAGCGTCGGACAGACCTCCTGGATGAGATGGTGTCTCTTCCCCTCTTTGACGAATATTATTATTGCGAGAAATGGGAAGGTTTGGAACTGATTGAACAGAGATAAATGCCATGACAGCCGGTGAGCACAATAAAACATACCTTTGAACACTGGGTCCCCTTGGCCGTCTATGCGAGGTCTCTTCCTACTTCCGTTGGAGTCAAGAGCTGCTGCTTCTCTTTTCTCTTTGGCAAGACGATCCAAGCCCAAAAGCGATCCTCTAGGCGTTGGTGGTTCTATAGGTTTTGCAGGTTGTCGAAAAGTATGTTTCTAAATACCAGAGTGAATTCCGAGAATGTTGTAGTTGTGAAAGATACGTACTATATCTTTTTGCATCAGTCCTCCACGCCTGACAGGGTCTGGCTCGAGTACTTCACTATCATGGACTGTGATCCCCTCAATTGGTTGCATCAGGGATTCGTTACCTTAAGCTTGTTTACAAGGTCACTCAGCCGATAATTGTGGCTGAGAGCAGACACTTTTTGCTATTTAGTTCTCAGCTCGGAAAGTTCCTGCGCTTTGCTATACGCGCCAACTGGAGCGCGGAAATGACCGTGTCACTCGAAAACTACCGCAATTCATCTTGTAATCTGCATCTCGAACATTCAGACGTTTGTCCCGACACTGTCTACCCGTCAGAGTCATTGGCGCCAGAACCCTTGCATTTTGAAATGCGGTTAGGCCTAAGCGAATTTTAAGCGAATTTTCGCATTTTACAGATGAAGTTCAATGAGTATCGTTGGATTGGTGTGGAGCAACCGCAACACTTCTGTAAGCTTATGAATCTTGTGTCGGAAAAATCCAATTCACCTGATCAGGACTGCTGGAGCATGCTGCGAGTACGGTGTCGCCTGACGACCTTATGAGGGAGCTGGAGTATCAGGTAAGGTATGAGCGGGCCCTATAAAATCATAGTGCAAATGAAAAGCCTATCATCATGTCTTATGAGACCTTACAAGGGGAATAGAGGACGTGATAAGATGTGATCAAGCTCTATAAAATCGCAGCGAAAAATGAAAAGGCGTCATCACACCTTGTTTAAGAACTAAGAAGTCCTCGAAGGCTATTCAGGGCTCTGTGAGGCCAAATCAATGGTCCATAATTCGAACGACGTTAGGTTGGATCAATTTTAGTGCCAGAGATACAAGATTCATTAGTACAGTTAGATAATACAGTAGGAATCACTTTGAAAAGCGTAGAAACATGTCGCCGTCTACGGTATCGTTGAGATAAAAGCGACCCTCCCTCATTCCAAACGCTGTAATCATATGTGCCCCACGAATAAAATATTTCACCAGTGCGAACCTGCTTTCCCTTGCCTCCTCATAAAGACGAGCACCAGCCCATTTTGTCCTTGGTTTTGTAGTGGAGGGCTTGAAGTAATTGACGAGGACGACATCATATGTTTTGGACTTGATATAACACCTGTAAATCCCTATAAGTCGAGCCGGTGTGGGTTTAACAGTGTCCGTGTTGATGAGTATGCAATCGTGGCGGGGCACTCCATTGAATCGAGGGTTACACCTGAGGATATCTCGCCCTTCGGTCCAGTCTTCTTGCGACTGGTACCGAAGATAGACGCAATGATATTGTCGGATCTATTGTATGGCGTACTAAGATCAATGAGACCAAAAAACAACATAAATATATATACCTTAATGGGTTCAACACCGAGGCTAGCATCCGGAACATCAATCGAAAAAAACCGTCGCAGAGACTTATCAAATGCTGAATGCATGGTCTCCATTGCAATAGAGTCACTCAGGCTTGTTGGCGATCCAAGTGTCCAGTGGTCGTCTGTACTCTCTATTATGTGCTCTCTTGTGTCCTCTGTCTCGGCCTGCTCTGTTGTATCCTCTGTCTCAGCTTCTCGTGCGTTCCCTACCTGCTCTTGTTCTTGTTGTGCTTTGTCATACTCGTCAACGACCATACGTAGATACGCAATGGATTCTTGATTCTCGTCTATTCGGGCCATCTGTAGAATAGTTGTGTGATTTTCAGATTTTGATAGAAAGACAGGAGCATACCTGTGGATCCGTGTTCTTGCAATTAGTCTGTTTGTAAGCTTGACGAACCTCCTGGTGAATTCCTTCACCGACTCTTGTTTCATAGTTGTCAGTAGCACCCTTTTGTTGGATATCCTCAATAACATGATTGACGAAATGTTGTTTGAAGAAATCGAATGATTTTCCGTAGTCTCTTGAGACGTCCTAGTAAATTGTTAGTGCCAGCAATTCATTGATTCTACAAATGTAGAATAGTTACCTCACAAGTGTTCTTATAGGATAATATTATGCTATTTATCTGTTGCAGCCGCTCGTCAGTCAAACAGGACAATCCAATCATTGTCCGATATTGAGCATAGGCCCGAATGCAGTGGACAAGTGAACAGTCTTCGGGCAGAAGCTGAACGACACAAGGTAGTATACACTAAAATAGCAAAGTAAGTACTTTGAAAATACTGCGTTGAGAAATGTCTACCTTTAGAATATCAAAAAATACTTGACCATCTGCGTAATCAACTGTTGTGACATTACCAAAGTGTTTAAGGTTGCGCCAGCGAGAAACGTTTCGCATGCTGGTGTCGAGTTTTTAGCTATGATTCAATGATAATCATGAAGACTCACTTCCTTGCTAGCTGCCCTTTGACTCCATCTTCGGCTAGAACACTAAGCAACAGGGGCCACAAGTGTTTCCCCCACTTTCCTAAGTCGTCCGAGTGAAGTTTGTCGTAGGAAACTGATAGATACGGGTCCGAGTAGTGTAAAGACCAGAAGAAATTCTGTAAATATAGAAAATACATTATTTATAGGATTATCAGCGATGAATACAGGGTATGCACTTACCTGCGTAGCATGAAGCCCCCGGCTCTGTAAGATTCGTTCAGCTTCGCTTTTGTTTGGCGCTCGAGTAGAATCAAGATAAGCCTTCTGCATAGTCTTGGTAATGCGGGGCTCAAATGTTCCATTGATGTTATGTAGCTCGTTGTGATGAACCAAACATTTGGGGCAGGGGTAATTGGCAAGTGCAGCCCGCGTTGCTGTAACCGCACAGCTCTCTTCTCCGTCAAGAGACTTGATTGGTATTCCAGGGTGAATAATCCTATTATGTGAGTCGCCACATTTCATTGCCTCCCCATGGCGTGCTGGTCGTTGTAAGGTCTTGAAAACAATGCCAAGAACTTGATGGTATACGTCTCTCTTGAAATGCGCCCACTCAAGGGTCTCGGCTGAATTGCGGTCTGTTGGGTCGGCCGGGTCTTCAGGCTATGGTAAAGTAGTAAGAACTCTCTAGGGGATAGAGAGAGAAGCACACCACCGGCATGTAACCAATCAGTACCCCCCCTCCATTACCAGAAGCATTCCGTACTTCACGAGGTAGGAATGCTGGCCGAATAATCATTGGGTGCTTTCGCACTCGTTTTGTTACATTCCCCTTGTTGAGCCAGAGGGAGACCGGGAGAAAGCAGTGTGGGATGTCGTCTTTGGGAAGCTGATCCTGGAAGAACGTAAGTGAAGTACTGTATAATACATAGAAACGCACCTGTATATCCCACCATCTATTACCAGTGCTAAACTCATCGTATATTCGAGTCTTGAGAGTGACCCGGCCATTGCGCCTACAAAAGAATTTCTTACACGGATACCAGAATATCATGGATGATAAGCTGGCATCCATGATCCAGTCACAATATACTTCCCAGGGATCGCGATACACGAAACTGAAATGAAATGTCTCACCCAAATAAACGGCTGAGACATTCCCCTCTCAAAACTGTAATGAAAACATTAGACCAGACTTGAGTTTGAAGTTTTGGCTCACCTGAGGACATAGTTTCCGTGCTTTTTTCAATGAATGTTCTAGATCGACGTGGCTTTGCAGTGTGATTGCCGTTTCACGTGCCCATCCACCGTGTATACCACGTAACTGTGTGTTGATGATGTCCTTGCTAAATAATCCTTTTACAGCGGTTTCTGCATACTCAAAGTCTGCACGAGTTCGGAACGGAGCCCATGGTTTGCTGTTGATGCCACGGACATTGAAAGTACTGTAGGTTGTTGGTGTGTCTAGTGAGATAATGGTTGGTTCCTTGATGCCGCTGTGAGGGTGTGGTATGACTTGAATAAAGCTTGAGGGACGTTCATTGTGCACCTCAGAGTCTAAGTCCAGCGAAGATTCCTGGTGCGATGGTTCTGCTTCGTCAATTTGTGCCTGATCTTCTCCATAAGCAGTTTTGTTGAATGTAAAGTCGGGACTGGACTATGGGAAACAGTGTAGTATTAGTATAAGAAATGGGAAGGCACTCAGTACCGTAGCAACCACATGCATAAACAAACATGGAGATATTATTTGCTTACATTTGAGTCTAGTTTGCGCCGTTTTTGAGGCACAGGTAAGTCATCCTGTGGGCGCGATTTATTGACTTGAAAGGATGGAGCTGTTGCAAGCTCATTATGATGACGTTTGCAGGCTTCCACATGTTTATCAAATCGACGAGAGCTTCGAAAACTGTTGCAGTATTGGCACCAAGGGCCCTGGCAAAGCTTCTTTGTCCTAGTAGATGAGCGCATGTTGATGGATTTGAGTGAGCTTGAGCTGATTCTACTAATTGCAGTTGATAATGGAGAACAACCATATCTTTGACGGCATCCTACGTCATGTTAGATTGTCGGACTTGAAAACTACCTACGCACCATCAACAGTTTTCCTAACTGCGAGTAACTCAAACCCTCAATATTGTCCTTCTTTTTAAATTCACAGCCTACAATGGAAAAAAACCGTAAAAGAGAACGACGAAGGGTGCCTACAAACAGAGGGAGTGATCAGAGCAGAGACCATGTCCAAGAGACGGACTTACATCATGGAGCACAGCCAATGCAAGACTGGGGCAGGGATGATTCGACTTTGAGCGATACTCGAGGACAGAATGCTCAAGTCAGTGAAGACCATGCCATGAGACATGAAGCAGACACACCTGAATTACATGGTGATCTGAGTGTCAATCAGACAATGTCCCCACGAATGCTTTATAAGGTACGCTGATGTTAATCTGGGAAGATTAGCAAAATATACTGACTCACCTAATGTCAGGTTGCTCGAGAAGCTCAGATAGCGGTCAATTTGGCCAGAGAGGAAACAAGGATTTTGCGGCGAAAATACGACGATTTGCTGAACGAGACTGAAGACCCTGAAATCTCGAGTCAGCAAGGTCCCCCCAAAAAGCAAGAGCTTATGGACGTCGGCAGTGAGCTACAAAGAAAAATCAAACATACCAAGCAGCTGGGGCAAAAGTTCCTTGTGACGTCCATGCTATGGATACATGACCCAGTAAATACATTCAAGACAACTCGTGACGATCAATATAGTCCACTGGGCCGGTTTGAAAACATTGAGCAAAAGATACAAGGTCAGATTAGTGAGATATACGCAAACACACCTCGTGAACTTGTTGGGATGATTGGGCAGGATTGGTTCGTATCTGCTGTGAGTAGAGTCTTTTCATTCCTACCACGCCTCCTTGAACTGAGCGTATGAAAATGAGTTCCGCGACGGGATGCAGGCCCAGCGGTCAAATGGTGCAAGCCGTCTTCGTGCATGCGGCAACACTATCTTTGATTGTTCAGCGGCCGATTTGAAGACATCTGAGGCAAGGCGAAATAAATTTCTCAATAAAATTGGGTGGAGGATGAACAGCAAAGGACACTCAGCTTTCAGCCTATGGAACGTTGAGGTCCTCCATGCTGATTATTCTGGGAAGTTCGACGTGAATAAAGTCTTCCTTAACCCGCTCTTGAAAGTGGTAAGTGTCTTCCTGTCAAAATCAGATTTATTGTAGCTGAGAAACTCCAAGGTCCTATCCTGTGTCATTCGAGGACCCGGCTCAATTGTGGCGATGAAAAAGGGGATGCCTTATGAGGGCGCGCGAAGTACCGAAACTCTGGACGTTAAATGGGGCCTCCAGCACACCACACCAGGCATGGTTGCATGCGCCGCTATTTTGGTAAGTAAAATGCCTAACCCAACACTAATTATTACTGAATTTCCCTTAGGCACGATGGGTGCTCTCCCCTGATAGTATCCTGAAAGAGAGGGGAGCTCAGTCCGGCATTAATTGGCATGAAGATTTCGACAATTACCTTGAATATCTCGAAATTGGGCTGGGAAAAAGGAAAGGGAGTGTACTCACTATCTTCCGCGAGTGGGACAGAATACTTTTCCCACATACCACAAGTGGCCTCGGAGGTCCACTGAACGACGAAGACAGGGAGGAGGCAATGAAAGAAGCGATGGATGCATTGAATCAAGACGTTGAAGAGCTGCCGCCTAGTGATCAAGAACATGATGATGATGGTGGCGTGATAAGGGAGGGGAACGATCTAGGTCCAGGCGAATCAGATAACGGCCTCGAATCAGAAGGGGAAGCCTGAGACCAAGAACCAAAGTATGATTGGTAAGTGATGTCAATGGTAATTCTCTGTCGGGTCTATGTTGCTCACCAATTTGTCTAGGGAGAGCTCAGTCGTGGGGTGAATGATACTGAACCCGTCAGAAGAGCCATTAGTCCACAGTTAACTTAGCCTGGAAGCTCGCTCCCCCCCATCCTCCTGTAATTATGCAATATCTATGTGAATCATTTCTGTGTGCACATGATCAGGCTGACGACAATAAGAATGATAAGAATAGACCAGTGCCCAGAACGAAGTAATTGACTTTTGAGCAGCCTATGCTTATCACAACAAGAAGCTTAACTTTCATCGATCTGAATCTGGACTCTGGTCATGCGGCACAAGCATGTATGGATCAAATGGGTAAGTGACGACAACTATTCTCTGTCGGATCTACGTTGCTCAGCAATTCGTCTAGGAGAGCTCAATCATGGGGAAGATGATACTGAACCCGTCAGAAGAGTCCTGAGGCATTGTAATTCAGACCAACTCCCGGGTCCCTATTGTCATTGACAATGTAATTAGACAATATCAGTATATTATTTAAATTATTTCTGTCCACATGCTCAGCTCCGATGGGAATGATAAGAATAGACAACTGTAACCCAGACCCAATCTAACTTAGCAACAGAGTTTTTGATCTTTCAATACATGTTGTCGTCGAATGTTGATTCAGAGTGATATAATTCACACTAAATCCCAGGTTCAAATAAAACTCGGTAGGATTTCTGATAGTATTCATACATTGGACAGACAAGGACAGTATACATTCTCTACTTATTCAGGCACTCACGGAAAATATTTTCCAGGGCCAAAGTCTGACCATCGATTGCACAAGTTACTCCTTTCAAAGCCTCGCTGATGTCTTGTGCCCGGTTCTCAATTCTATCCAACCTTTCACTGATGCCGGGGCTTCCAGTGCCCTGGCGCATCTTCTGTGTTGTTTTGCTAGGTGTTATCTCCAATTGAGAGATAACAAAACGGCGGGCCTTGCGAGGTGTGATGGGAACAGGGACAACTTCGTTAGACGGTAAGTCCACTTGAGCTGATGCGTCTTGTTTGGTAGGCTAATTAAATTACAAATAATTAGCAAAATCAAGGAGATATTTACAGCCAGTACATACCTCAACATTTTCGTCCCCTATCTCTCCGACTCGACGTTTTTTCACGATCCTTGGTTGCAACCCTTTTGAATGATGAAGGGTAAACTAGTATTAACAGTGTTCATAAGTCAGTCAGTGCTATGTGCGATCCAAAAATGAGGCACACTCACAATGATCTCTTCGTCACTAGGATTGGGAAACGGCTTATCCGGTGATGACTTTTTGGTGAGTCCTGAACTCGGAACAAGCCAAGGATATTGACTGCCGTGGTCTTCAATAGGATGTGATTGCAGGTCATACTCGGACTCTGGGCTCTGACTTTTACTGTCAGGATCTTTCCAAGATTTTCTGACACTTTCATCCTCGGGCTGGTATGAACTGTGTTGACCCCCAACTTCTGCTCTATCGCTGACTAGAACATCTGGCTCAGGCTCTTTTTTGATGCTAATCCCCCCACCCTGACTTGCTTCATCCTCCAACTCAGCATGTGCCTTGCTATTACCAAGGATGACCGAGGCAGCGTTGTTTCGTGAAGAAGAACGAGAGCTATAGTAATTGCGGTGGTAAGTCCGACTTGGAGGGTTTTTCTGAGAGCCCTGATTGCCGCTGCCTGGGGCTGGCACAGGGCTTTCTGACTCCGTGTCGCTGATAACAATGACTGAGTTTTCTCTTTTCATCTTGTAGGTAGGAGTCGACGAGAAATGTAGATACAGTGAGTTTCGGCAATAAATTAGATTCAAGTATGCTCTAGTAATGTGACGTCGATTAATCCACACGCCACTACATTGCATTTATAAAGGTCCGTTGTTGCCATCGTGTTGCTGTATTATCTCCATCTCCTCCTCAGTCAACTACAGAACTCATTGAGAAGACTCTACCACATCAATGAATACCACTCCAAGTCCCAGCCATCCAACCCTTCTTGTACTCAATGCAGTGAGTAATATCAATCATCAATACTGTAGACATTTGGATTTGATTTCACACATTTCAATTGACAGGATCTTGCTTGTAGTGTCGTTTGGTCATCAACAACTGGGGCTGCCTTTGCGCTTGTGGTATCAATATTATTATGGTAAGCATTTTGTTTCTCTTTTCATTACCTCACATTCACATGCCTCGATTTCCAGATTTCTGTCAGGACCAGAACTCACGAGGAACAAGTCATTTTTGACGACAATTGTCACAAATTGATTTTTGTTTTAACTAAGTGCTTCTACATTTTTGCTGTTACCTTACAGTTGTAGTTGTATACTTGTAGTGTCCTCCTGATTGATAAATATAACCTGACTTTTTTACTTAATTTCCATGCCTTTCGTTTGTGTGATTTGGGGATATCCGAGTCAGCCAAACTGTAAAGATACTAATGATGGCACTTCAGTCATGATCGAGATAATATTAGCCATGATCCGGCTGAGATGAATTATCAGCACTAACAAGGAAACTGCTAGACCAAGCCTGTCTGGCCTGTTGCTATCTGCCTGGTTGTGCTGGTCGCGCTGGTCATACTGGTCACGCTGGTTGCACTGGTTGCGCTGATTGGACTGGTTTGAGTGGTCTGTCGCACATGTCATATATGGTCTCATAAATGAGACTAGGTATCTAATGATGGTTGATCTTACTAGGGCGTAATTTCGATCATGACTTACAAGGCATTGTTGCAACGTTTTGATTCTTTTAAGGCTACCTAAAATCTAACGACCTGAAGTGGCCATTCTAGACCTTGTATGGGAAAATGGATTTTTCCGACATGATTTCGTACAATGGCCCGGTTTTTGTGTATATACGCAAACATGCACTTGGGAGCCCTAGGATAGACTCCACAGTATTATCTTGATTCTGATCTCTCATATTTGCTAGTCATGGATCAATCCCTTTTCAAAGATCTCACCACCTCTCGTGGAATAAAATACCACTACTTCTACTCTCCTCCTACTGATGTGGCCAAGCCCGTGTTGCTGCTTATCCACGGTTTCCCGTCTACGTCGTACGACTGGCATCGCGTCACGCCCTTCTTCCTCAAGGGTGGATTTGGAGTGCTTGTCCCTGATTTGCTGGGTTATGGTTTGACAGACAAGCCGAAGGACACTGCAGAGTATGTTGCGAGCAAGGTCTGCAAGGACCTGATCGATATCCTTGATTTTGAGAAGGTCGAGAAAGTCGTAGCTGTTGGTCACGATTGGTGCGTTTGTACTAACCTGATTAACGCTCTCGTTCAACGGCTCTAACGTCGTCGATCATCGCCGTTTTCGTCCAGGGGCTCAAAAGTAGTATCTCGTCTTGCGAACTTCTACCCAGAGCGTTTCCTCGCCTTTGCATTCTTTGCGGCTTCCTATATTGCTCCAGCAACAGTGTATGATTACCAAAAGCACATTGAAATGTCGCGTAGCACCGTGGGACATGATCAGTTTGGCTACTGGGAGTTCTTCGCGGAAGAGGGATCGGATAAGGTGATCGAGCAACATGTGAGTAATTGTCGTCTTTGGACATGGTTGTGTTAAGTTATGGGACTTGCTCGGGGTGTTGATAATGCTGATACGTTATTGCATAGTGGGATTCTTTCCACAGTATAATATTTCCACATGATCCGTTGCTGTGGAGATCCAACGTGGCACCATTGGGAGCGTTGAGAGTATGGGTGCAAGCTGATCGCAAAGGTTCCCTTCCGCACTATCTTACTGAAGAGGTCCGTCCTTTCATATTACAGCCCTTGATTCACTCATTAAACTAGGCTATATGTAGGACAAAGCTCAACAATCTAAGAACTTCTTGAGAGACGGCATTCGGGGAGGCCTGAATTGGTACAAGCTTATGATTGACAAGCCTTCACTTGGCGCTGAGGATGACAAAGGTGCGCATAGAGCGCGTGTCCTTTGACTATCGAGCTCACCCCAGTCACCGAATTGGATCACACGTACTTCGCGCAATAGCTATCCCGATTTCCCGCTACGACATCTCTCACCCTACCTTTTTCGGCGCCGCTTTACAAGACCAAATTTGCGTGGCGTCTCTTGGACGTGCTGCAATGGGGAAGCACTGCACCAATGCGACGATACGTGAATTTGATGCTGATCATTGGGTGATTTTGTCGCATGGAGAGGAAGTTGCGGATGCTTTGACGCAGTGGGTTTTAGAGGAGGTGTTGAAGGAGTAGGAGAAACTCGGAAACACGGAGGACTTGCTTGAAACGGTGCGAACGAGGACAAGGGCAGATGGTTATTTTGAAAGGAATGTGCTTCCTCTATGATTTCATTTCCGCTTTTTAGGGAACATGTATAACAGGCAATGGTGCACTATCATGTGAAGTATATTCCTGGACCCAGAGGTTCCAGGTTTCCATTTCGACATTGAGGTTTTTTTTTTCTTCCCGGAACTTTTATACCTCTTATGTACCGATCTGCATGACTCGCCTTCATTTGTAAGCAATTCGTATGTCTTGATTGATACCGCTGCCTCTTTATTCTCATTTCCTTTGCTTTCCATTCAATATAGTGGCTTGCATGGTAGCAGACAGAGCCAGATCCTGACATACAATTTTTGGAGCACCTACAACTAAGTGTGGCAGAATCAGGGTATGATCAAACAATGTCAATTATCAGAGATACCTGCAAAACAGTACTTTAAATGAGTTGGTGCTGAAAAACTTTACGTCGCCGTTGGGTGCATTGTAGAGATGAATGCTAACTCACCACAACAAGGGGACCAAAACACAGAACAACTGGGTCCAGGTCTGCCCTGGAGGGCCATGTGATGTATATGTTTGAGTTTGAGAGTTGCTTAAATTTGGCTTTCCGAGTCATTTTTGGCGTGTATTTTTCCGCTCACATATCAGTACTGAATTTTTGGTTCATGCAAATTTGTTTCTTGCTGGAATACTTGGTTGGGTCTGTGTTAGCTCTAGCATCTGTCTTACAGTACTTCTTGACCATCATTTATTTGTGTGACAACTAGGGAACGTCCTTGGGTTTAAGTATATGACACTGGATTTGCACAAAAAGTGCACATGCAGTTGCCTTGCGCGACACACATATATCTCACACAGATGGTAAATCTGTGCACACACATTGCAAAGCCCACCCACCCACCCACCCACACACACACACACAATTATGCTCACATATGCATTTTCTTTGTATTAAACTAATGTAAGGTATATAGAAAGATAGAAACCAGAAAATATAACTAAACGACTGTAATGAAAAAAGAATAAAATGAAAAGAGTGACTAAATATTATTCTGGTTGTGAAGCTATCAAAATGCTGGGAATGAAAGTCCATAGATATTGACCACTTGGACATTTATAGACCACAGGGATAGCTGTGATATCTGGCTTAATATCAACTGATCCAAGGCAGTTGAAAGTGGGGCCAAAAAGGCTATCATTGTCTGAGTCCAAACCATGAACCTCATCAGAGTTGTGAGAATCATTGCTCATCCCTGTACTACTTTCATCACAATTCTCATTCCAGGACTTAAAGACAGATTTTGGAATGTTTCTATGAAAAGCTAGGAATATTCAAAGATTAGTTTGGCCCAACAATAATCAGATGCTCAATACTCACCAATATAGATATTTGAATCTCCAACACTCCCTTTTTCTTGCCCTTTGTATCGCTGGAGGTCAGCACCAATAGGCTTCTTTTCAGGTACTACTAAGATTTTCCTATTTTCCTTATTCACTAGCTTCCAGGGACATTTATATGTTGCTTTCCCTTTTTCTGCAGCCTCAACGGCCCCCAGGTAACCAAATGGCAGAGGAAACAACTTACAGAAGAAGCTGTTGACTTCTTCATGCGTCCAACGTGGATTAAATCCAAGATTCTTGCACTGGAAGGGCACAGCTGTGCTTTTTGAGGCATGCCAGGTCTGTAAACAGTTTGGGGGCATCCTTCTTATTAAATGGCCATGTGATAATTCAGAAAGTGAGTGGATCCATTTAATGCATTTGTCCCAAATGGATGTTACTTATATCAAGAAAGTTGATCAACACTATATAGGAGTTGACAACAACCAGGTCTTTACTAGCATGTCGTCCATGGCCCTTTGGGGGCCGCTTTAGACTTCATCCCTGACTGTTTTTGCTAGCCCAAACTGACCTTCAGGATTGGAGGAACAACAAACCCCATTATTGGATCCGGTCATCTTACTGAAGATGTCTAGTACAGGGTTTTTACCTCCAAGAACCACATTTTTCCCTCTGCAGTATTGGATGAGTTGAGCCATAAGCTGCATATTGGATTGAATAAATAACTAGCAAGAGGAAAATAGTGGTGGGCTGAGCGAGTGAGAATTGACACTACAATTCCACTGTCTGTTCAAGTAGTGACAAAATCAAAATTTATTGAAGCATTTGTAATACTATGTCTGTAGTCTGGTTTTCCCCATTGATTACTGTTGAAATGTAATCAAACTGTCTTCGAAAATAATTAAAACTGAACATGCTTGACACCATAATTTAGCCTGACTTTGCCATATGGGGTTTGTGAGAGAAGTATATAAGTCTCTTCCTCTACGGCCACCAATATTGATCAAATCATTGCTACCCCAGTTTATTACCATACTTTTTATCTACCTTTTGTAAACACATTTATATCACCCTACATACATGATAGTTTGGGACAAAAGAGGGCCCATTTATCAAAAACAGAGAGACAGTATCTGCGATCTTCACAGCGGTGTATCGATCCAATTTGTCATTGGTGAACTCCTGTGTATGCACAGAGACGATTTAGAACATTGGATAGCTACCAAACAAAGCTATACACATACATTTCTGTGGTGTTGCAAATTTGAAGCACCAGAAATAGAAACAATAAAATCAGCATCACTATGTACCACTACCCCCCAGATCAAACAAGAATCAATCGAACCTGTCTTACCCAAGAAATGTCGAATTCACACAATTTTGGCAAGTAGAACCATCAGTAAGCAGCATGACAGACAGCATGACCAACCTAATTGGGGCATTGCCGGAAGCTAGATCCAGCCAGACTCAACCGACAATACCGGCCGGTCTAACACCAGAGATCCAAGAATGGATGCAGAGAATGATGGAAGCAGAAGTTGCCAGAAGGGTGACAGAAGCAACAGAAAGAGAGGGGCGGATGAGGGCCCATCAGGCAGCAAAAAGAGCGGAGGAAGAGGCAGTGGAGTACAGAGGATTATGGGAGCAACAGATCACTACCAATTCCGGGATACAAAAGAATGATGGAGGAGGAGAGAAGAGAGATTGAGGAAGGATTAAAAGCGCACTTGATAATCCACCTACTTTCAACAGCGATCAAACAAAATTTAAAAACTTCATAGAACATATCTCACTTCACTTCGAAGAAGACCTAGAATACTTTGGAGATGAAAAGAAGAAGATAGCTGTGAGGCAACGATAAACTATAACAAAAACAAAACCTGTCTCCGACTGCACTTGCAGGGAGTAAGGGGTTCTATGAGCCTGGTTATCGACAGATACTAGAGAATATAGCAAGTAGAGGATGTAGGAGTTAGGACTCAGAGATTTCTGATAAGAGGTAAAGTGGATAATTCAAGTAATAGAAAACTAAAGAACTATACATGAATAGGTAAGGCTTTATATAGCTAACCGTCCGTTGCTCAGACCGAAAGGAGAATAGATGAAAGGTGGTCTGAGGAATAAATTGTCCAATAAGATAAAAGGAACAACTATCGTACAACTTTTGAATGATTAATCAGCTGGTGAGAGAATTGTACTAATAATAGGTGTTTGTCACGCGCGTTCAGGAACCGTATCCTCATGATGAGGTACAATCTGAATCAAAGCATTTATTAGTATATCCAGGCCTTAATGGGGCTTGGAGCTGGTTGGCGAGATGCCTACTACCAGTCCCTTCCCATTGTGCTGGCTGGCTGGGAGTGATACCCAGTCTCTGATCTGTGATATAAAGTGGTAGTGGTGGTTAAGAAAGCCTGTGAGGGCTATGAAAAGTAAGATAGCAAACGATACCTCTAGCCCTAGAGCCAGAGATGTAATGGGAAAAGCGTTTGAGAACCAAGACATAGAGAAGATAAGAAAATAGTAAAATGGTCCTTACAATAGCCTTCGTGCTATCATATATGAAAGAAGGAACAGCCACGAGCTTTAGAAGCAAATGGCTAGAAGATAAAATGTCCGTTATCTCAGCACTGGAACGGGCACAGTACCAAAGATGGGCGATCTTTGAAAAAAGGCTAACTGAAACCTTCAAAAACAATTATGAAGAAGAAGCACAAAACAGGATCTTATACCTAAAATAGAGTAATAAGACTGCAAGAGACTTCTTCTTAGAGTTTGATAGTCTACAAAGGAAGGCAGGATACAAGGATGACTCCATTCTGATCACCCTGCTAAAGAAGAACATGAACTATACACTTGTGGACAAGCTCTAAGTCAGCGGGCTGCCACCAAACAGATACGGGGAGTGGAGGAAACTACTCCTAAACTACTCCTAAATCATGATCAGTTATGGAGGAAAAGAGAGAAAGAGAAGAAGGGGTATTTTGGTCAGATGGAGAGGACCAAAGACGGAACCGGAACTGTCTACACGGGTGCTGGGCAACCCATGGAGATAGACAAAGCCAAATATAGAAAAGAAGGACTCTGATTCAAATGCGGAGTCAAAGGACACATCAGAAAGTTCTGTTCCATGGAAGGGAAGAACAAAGTTGACTTGCGTGCAATGATAGTGGCATTGTCAAAAGAAGAGCGTGAAGCTCTGAAACTGGATTTTTAAAGAGGCAACTGATGAAGCATCAGTCAGCCAAGCCCAAATATGTCAATCCTTACTCTGTTCTCCCTGTCAATTATTTCACATGTACTGAAGAGACAAATGAAAAATAATTATACAAAGAATCAAAGACAAAGAAAGAAGTAAGTAATGACATGAAAGATGCAAACCAGAAAAGGGGACTGGTAAAAGAAACCCCAAACAAAAGTACAACCGCAGCAGAAGCGGCGCACAGTGAAATAACAGATGCAGCTACAGTGTTGATGATGAGAACTGTAGTTAGAACCACACACAAAAACAAACTAACACACAATCCTCCCAGATTCCACGGAACTTGTTTATGGGCTTTGCCTCCTAGAACAGTGGGTGCTCTGGTTGTTTGTGGGGTGGTATGTATGAAGATCCTTCAAAGTAAAACCCAGAGATGTATGGGTGTGGGTTTTGAGGAGGAGGGATAGTTGGAATATAGAAAGACAGGGGCTTTGTGGCGAGTATAGATGAGCACTATCTTGCTAATTGTAGCACAAGGTAGGTTTGAGAACGACAAGATGATGAGGTTCCCAGTGATAGCAGGCTCCTGACGCACAAACTGTAGTGCTCAGAAGGACTCTAATTGAATGGGATGACAATGACTTCAAAAGTGGGAAGTGACGATGACAGCAGTTAACAGTAGTAGCAGTGGGAAGTGTTGTGACCACACTGGATCACAAGCAGCAGAGTAGTGAACTTGAAATTAGAGAAGAAGTCTGGATTTGAGTTTCTTGTTGTTTTACAAGGTAAAATACAGGGGTTTATATAGTGAAAGAAAAGTAGGCTATGCACAGCGAGAAAGAACATGAAGGAGGAATGTATGCTGATGAATCCTGCGTAGGTAGTACAGGATAAGATTGTCAAAAAAAGGAAAAGAAAGGGATAGAACAATGAATGCTGTGAGTAATGTCACAGGTTTGTACAGCCATAAAGTAAAGTCCAATAGCAAAAAGAGAGCAGGAAAATCATGATGTCATGGGAAGATGCAGTAAAAAAAAAAGGGCAAGGCAAAACACTATCAGTATCAACACAGTTCCTTTATTGTCAGTCAGGCATTCTAAAAAATATGTGTCCATAAAAATGATTCAAAAATCAAAAATAATCACACTGTAAATGAATGTTCTGCTGAAAAAAAAAAAACTGGAGCCACCGGTCCACCACCTAGTCCAAATCCGACAGTTCCATGGCCTTACCAATAGACTGGTTGTGTTGGACCACCTGGTCAAACGAGGGAGGGAGAGGAGTAGTCCCAATTTGGAACAAGTGAGTCCCAGGCAGCGTGTGGTAGGTGTAACTGTAGCGAAGACGATGGACAAAAGATAAGTGTACCCAAGTGAATGGGACAGCGATGAACATGGGCAACGCAAGGGGATGAACCTTCGCCAGCTCAAAAACTACCCACCCACGCTCCAACCAGGCAAGACGAGCGACCAAGGTTTTGATAGTATATGATGGTAGATTGACGTCATAAAGATGGACCTGTTGCCCTATTTGAACCGGCCACCGGGGCTTTGCTGATATCAGCAGTGGCACATGGTAGTCAACGGATCGGCAACGGAAGCGGATAGGAAGTGGTGACATCAGAAATGGTGGGGGTGCAAATAAGATGAGGAGGAGGAGGGTGGAGGTGACGAAAAAGTGGATTAGAATGGGGATCCAGAAACGACCGTCACGTGAGAATAAAAAGGAGAGGAAGGGGCCCATGGTGGGGCTAGGCAAAGGAAGGGGAGTAAGGAAAACGACAAAAACGAGGGCGCAATGCAATGTGTAGCCAGGGGCGACGCGAAAATTTGCCGAAATGCCGAAATGCGGAAAGTACCAAATGGAAAGCAAAGGTGAGCGCAACTGGATTGCTATTCCACGTGGCACTGTGCCTGTGTGGTGCAAAGGCGAGTCTTTTTGAATATTCGCTTCGTTATTGACACCTGTCCATGCTACCAATCAACTTTGGTGCATGACAACGGTGGCAGGTAGATCACTGAAAAGTGCAGCATCAGCAGCGGATACTGAAAGAATTCTCATACCTGATATGGCGTACTCTACGGAGAAAAGCGCAGTAGAGACTATGAAAGACAGGTCAGGCACCCCTGTAAATAAAAACCTAGAAAAAGAAAAAAGGAAACTGATGACAGCAGCATGGACTCACAAATGGGTAGCAGAGAGACTTAAAGACCAACAGGAAGAAAGATCCATTGGAATCTTAAACACCTGAATGCACCATAAAAGAGGAAAAGAAGCAACAAGAGAAACAATCAAAGAACTCAATACACTATCATTACATGACACTGAGTTAGCTATCTTAAAACTTCATACCCCAAAAAAGTACATCCGAGGAATGCAGTGAACCAAACGAATATCACCTGCAGGTTGACAACGCTAGACACGCAAAGATCAACGATGATCCAAGCACTGCTAGACAGCGGATGTACGGGAAGCTGTATAGATTCCGAATTTGTAAAAACTCAAAAATATCAAACACATAAGATACCGAGACCAATACCAGTATACAATGCTAATAGAACTCTGAATAAAGACGGAGCCATCAAAGAGTTCATTGAGCTTAAAATGGAAATTGATGATCATTCCAAAAGAATTCATTTTGATGTTACCAATCTTGGCAGTGGAAGGATGTTCCTAGGACATGAATGGTTATCAAAACATAATCCAAGCATTAAATGGAAGAAATTGGATGTAACAACCAAGAGTTTGTTACTCTGGCGCACAACTAGAACACACTATAGAGATAAATGATGAGGGAGTGGTTACCCTTTAAGCTTCAACAAGTTAGTTGTGAGGATACAACAGGAGGACTCGCTAAGGAGTCTCCTTGATCTATTGGGGTATATATATTACTACAGGTTTGTTTGTACATGTGTACTATACAGTTGATGAAGGCAGTGGCTGATGATGTCATGGGGCACAGCCCGTGTAACCAGCTCCACTGCGTGAGAGACTTGTATCTAAAATAGAAAGAAAGGCAGCGCAGCACGAGAAAGTGGAGTTTGAACAAAAGGGAAAGTGCCGCATGGCACGGAGTGTGAAAACTACAGTAAAAGATTAAAGAGGAGAATGAAAATTAAAGGTCCGAAAATGTGTTATTGTAACATTGGATATAAAGTTTGAAAGATGTCCGGAGGAATGCAAACAAAAGGTCAAACTCTCTGATCCAGAGGAAGACCCGGAAACATACTCCGAAGAAGTAGACTTCCCAGAAGGGGATCAGCTGATCCAGGTAGATCTACTTAATTATGAAGAAACCAGAATTCCAGAACATCTTTACCAGGTAAGAGCTACAGACACAACTGCACAACAACTTGCTGAGGCCGCTGGGAAAGATCAAAAGGAAGGAGGCTTCAATAAGATAGTCCCAAAATATCTCCACGATCATAAAGACATATTCAATAAAGAGAACTTTGATACACTGCCAGAAAGACGTGAATGGGATCATGCCATAGAACTAATCCCAG